GGCCATAATTGGTCCTTTACCGCCAGGGTGCCAGCTCAAGACACTGGTCGCGTCGTACACATTCCCGTTTATCACAATCCAACAATCGTCTTCAGTATGGTGTTTCTCGATCTCATCTCGAGTGAACTGTTTCCCAGGAGCGGATGCCTTCCGCCTAACTTCTTCGATCTGTTCCTCGGTTGATTCCTTCATCCAGCCGTTGGTACCATTCCCTTGCTCAACGGGATGTCTGAATAGTAGGTACGCGTCCTCGTTAGCGGGATCATCGTATATCTCTGGTATCACTTGATACCAGCAGTTGTTCATCATCCTACAAGAAGGTTAGCATAGTTATTGGCAATTACTTAAGTCAGCATTATGTTACCCTGCAAGGTTCCACACTGGCTTTGGAGGTTGTGTGTTCTTATGCTCATCAAAGGCACGTACTATAATGCTCTCTGCACGAGCGAGTTTTGTTATGTCGAGGTCAACATGCCAATGCAACCAGGTCCAGAACTTCTTGCCATGTCGCATCGGTGCTTCAGGATACTAGGAGGGTTTAGCCAGTTATGGAAGAATGGTCTTGAGAGAGCTGCACTCACCTTGCGCACACAGTAGAGCCAGGTATCGCCACCGTTCAAACTAATCTCCACCCTGTCGATCTCATTCCCGCCTCCGTTATAAGCAAAGCCTTCGATACGATATGTTTTACCTTTCTTCATGTCCGCCAAATTGATTTTCTCTCCTTGTGATGGCATCACAATTACCGAGTTCAGCATCTGTTGCGTGCACAGAGTGCTTGGATGGTGATACATAATTTTCGCAATTTCCGATTCAGAGTCGGTCACAAAGCTGGGTAGTTGTCGGTTATCATAAATGTGGTAATAGCTATCGTTTTCGAATTCAGTGACCCAGACCTTTGTCAACCATTTAATAGACCGGGCCCCTACCCACCCAGGAAGCATTAACCGCAGTGGATAACCATGGTCAGGGGGAATCGGATGGTCATTCATCTCATAAACCAACAACACATCATTAGTGGGATCCATGACATATGATAGAGGAACACAGGTTGCATATTCGCCCTCGCCCAACTGATCGGCACCCTTATAATGAACCCAAAAGCACTTCTCAGGCTCTCTCTCCATCAGCTGCGTAGCACCCGCCTCCAGAAGGACATCGCGGAGTAGCACACCTTTCCAATACGAGCAGCCCGCAGCGGCAGTGGTGAAGTTGAACCCGCGAGTGCGTTTGATCATATTGAGTTCTTTCCGACGACTACCATCACAGGCAAGGAAAATGGGTATGTTGATGCTGGTGAACTGGTCTATTAACTCATCCATGCCAAAGGTCAATTGTCTGTCGACCACCACATCGAGCTTGTGATTTTCCCAGAGTAAATGTGGTACATTCCCATGATTACGGACGTAGTGGATGGGGGATGGTGTGATAAGACCGGCGTTGAACAAAGTTGTGAGATCTGCTTCTGCATTCATCGGATGCTTTCCCGTGAGACGTTTCAAGCTCTTGCTACGAGGGACCCAACTATCTGGAGAGAACTGGTCTGCCTCGTCAATCTGCTCTGGAAGTGCCTCGTCGTGAAAAGGAGAGCGACCTCGCCCATCATTTTGCCTCATCGACGATCGGTATTTCTGCTCATATTGTAGGCATTTCAACAACGCCGCTTCCTCAAATGACATCTCTGGCTTAGCGTCCTTCTTTGCGCCCTCCTCTTGATCCTTTGACTGCTCTTTAGCGTCACCTTTCTTCCCTCGACCTTGCTCTTCTACCTTCCCCTTTGCCCTTCTTTTCTCTTCCTCCTCTCTCTTTGCCAGATTCGCAGGCCACGGTTGCTCCTGTTTTATAAAACTCTCAGTCGTGTGAAGTACATATCTCCAGAACTTCGGATGCACGTCTGGTCTTCGTAAATGAAAGTCCTGGCACCACGTTAAGTCTTATTCTTTGCTGGCCCATTAGATCCCCCAGGGAATACTCACGATCTGCTTGGTCATGATATCTCGAACAGTAACCAATTCCCCCTTCTTCACCTTCTTCCGAAGCTCGTTGAGCTTCTCCTCAGCAACCTCCTCGAGGTCATACGGTATCTCATCCCCATTATGGGTGAGCCCGATATACCGCGCATCGCGATTTCGGGTCCCGACGCGATGACTATGCGTCCGGGTCCAGTCTGGCTCGTTCAGTATATCTAGATAAGATGCACCGGAATGGTTCGTAACCGACATGGCTATTCTGGGACACAATTTGGGGAGATAAGGTATTTAGCCGTGGTACGGAGTACAATAAAAAGAATTGATAATACAGCGGCCACAGAGAGAACAGGGGTAACAAAAGCGGCTCTATTATACCATTCCCCCACTACGAATTACCGAATGACACTAAATCAACCTGCCGTAATATGAACGCATGTTCATACCGGTGCTTTGTTTCCTCCCTGTTACTATGATTCAAACATGACATCATGTGGTTCTTGTTTGCCGATGGTGAACTCTATCTCGGTGCCAAGACTGGGGATAGGGTTGAGCGTTTACTAAGGCATTCTTGGTAGAGGTTCATCTATCTCCTCGGAGCTCGTTCACCGCTGATCTAATATGTCTGTGCAGAAGTGCCACTTGAGCGAATTTCATAGGCTGATTCTGCCAGCGATGTCACCAGAGGCACAAATACATGGCCCGGTATTTGCCGATAATTCATCATCGTACACACAAGCTGGGCTTGCATACCAGAAGTTTGGCATTGACGAAGAAGGCTGCCCGGTTCTCATCTGTCCAGATCAACATATATCTTTACTAGCAGGCTTGAGGGAGTAAAGCTTTTGTTCAATCTTCTTTCCATGTTCATGAATCTATAGGAGCACTATCTGACTGGCTCAATTGCTAAACCATCACCTACGATACTCGTTGATCAACTCCTTTCCTTCGTGTATACGAGTCAAATTGAGACGTAGAATCTCTAGTGAGCGTTCCCAGTACCGCTTCCCAAATGCACTCATATGTGAACCGATGTACACATTTGGCTGCTCCCAGAGTGGGTGTTCCACTGGCAGAGGCTCAGGATCAGTCACATCCAAAGCAGCACCTCCCACCGCCTCTGACTGCAGTGCCGATAGCAGGGCATCTTGGTCAATTACCTTGCCTCGCGATATGTTCGTTAAAAAGGGCTTCCGAGTAGTGGACTTGCAGTGTGCCGAAAAGATGCCCAACTCCTCTTTACCTATGAGGTTGGTGGTGGCCGCGTTTAAGGGAAGACTAACCACCAGGTGATCTAAACCCTGAGCCAGGAAAGCATGAAGGGATGATTTGTCGCGCCCGCTATACCAGGCTTCAGGTATGAGGCCATCTGGATCTCCGGTCCCTGGGATGATAAATCCAGTATCCCTTCGCGACTCTGGCGTCAGCCTTGGTTGTGCTGTGTATACCAAGACTCTCATACCCAGACCAGATGCAGCGCGAGCAACTAACGGATATTAATTAGCCTCTGAACTGGAAAAGTAGATTATCATGCGCTGTGGCAGTGAAGAAGAAGGTGATGTTGTCTCCTAAGAACTTACTTTGGCGGCCAATGCTCCCATACCCTAGAATGCCGACCGTTTGGCCCACATGGTCATCAACCTCCCATTGTCTCACTTCCTTGAATGTCAACCAGCGGTGCTGATCCCTGGCTTCTAAGATTTTTGTGTACATCCTGGAGTATACAAGCCAATTCATCACCACCCATTCTGCGATCGGCGGTCCGTGGATCCCCGAGCTTGTGGACATTCGGATGTTAGTGTCGCGAAAGATCGGATGGCCAATCAGATGATCCACTCCTGCCGAGAAGGAGTGTAAATACTTCAGCCTAGACATAAATCGTCAGCAGGTGTCTTGTTAATGATTTGACTTAGGTTTCCTTGGCTCACTGGGGTGTTTGATGAGGATGCGGCACAATGCCAAAAGCTGTGGTCATAATAGTGGCCCTCTCAAGTACGTCTGACTCTTCCAGTTAGTTGTAATCATGACTTAGGGTTTGTAGAGGACCTGTTCTAACCAGCTGGAATAACATCATTGGTGACCTCCAAGGTACCAGGGGGGATCTCCAGGAAGACCACCTCTAGAGTAGGAAATTGCTGGCGAATCGAGTCAATTGCTTGTGTTGGCTCCGGCAAGGGAAGGAAGACCAGGAGAAGCTCCCGTGCATTGGATATCGACATATCTACAGTGAGTAGTACTCGTTCGACTGCGAACAGTGGATACTAGACAAGCATGTCAGTTCTGCAAGCAAGGAATCTAACTGCAGCAGGGGGGGGGTGAACCCTGTAGGTACATATATTTATGTACCTTTCTTAATTTAAGTGCCGTTGATAAGCGGGGGGAAAAACCCGGCGCGGGGTCCGAAAGTTGACCCACAGCATTTGCACTCTTTTATAGGTCAATTACAACTATTTATTGACCACCTGGAGATTCTCATCTCCAGGTGCTGTGGCTCCTCAGTCTACGGACATATATTAGGGTCTCCCGGTATCTACACTACTGCTACATACTGCTAAAATTTGTACATGTACAGATCCTACCAAAGTTCTCTGACTCCGCCATGTTAAGTTATAAAATTTGTTAATATCCTAATTATCAGCATATATATATATATAGAAATGTAGATATTTAGTGCATTGAATATCTTCAAAAATATAGGACATGCCAAAAAAGGCATACGTTATGACAATCATACAAATCGGGAGCAGCGTCCAATTTCCCCAACCCTGAAATTCGGAGCGGATTCGGCTCGGCTTTTGCCGGGATTTTAATCCGCTATGTTTAGTATCTTAAATAGTATCCCAAACCCGCCCACGCCAGAGATTCTATATGGCTTTCTACGCTTTCTACCAGGTACTCCTCGGAGTTTCTTTTTCTTTCCTTCTATCCTTCGTGTTTCCCTCCTTCTTGACTTGGCTACCCAAAACCCCTACTTCGTGAACTGAACCCTTCCCACACTCTATCCGAAACGTATCGCGGACACAAATCCCTTCAATGGCAAGATTGAGCTGCGAGGCCTGCACCAAGCGGAAAGTGAAATGCGACCGGCTTATACCGTGTACCAACTGCCGGAACTCGGGCATCCTTTGCATTCCGGTGGAGAGAAAACGACGTCCCCGTGGTCGATCGCAAAGACCCGTGAATTGGCCTTCACAGGCCCCTTTGGATCAGAGGGACAGCCATGATAGTTTGCCAGCTGGCTTGGTCCAATCCTCACTAGGGGAGCCGTCTGTGGCATCATCCGCACAAGCACCTAATATCCTATCCACTCAAGACATCCCCTCCTGTACTAGCGAGCTCGACAACACCCCGAGAAACAGTTGCGCCTTTTATGATAGATTAGTAAGCTCATCCTACTCGATCTCATCTCCTAGCATGTGCTATAACGCCAGTGCAGGAATCACCGCCAACAAAAGGGGCGGCGGGCCAGACTCGCGGACGCAGTGACCTTACCAATATGATTAATCAATATGCTCAACTGGGACCGAATGAAACGATATCTGCGGGGAGGGACGGTTTAAATAGTTGTAGAGAGCGGCAGCAGCTATTGTATATCTATCTAACACAGGTCGATCCCATAGTGAACATTCTGCATCGTCCGTCCATTCAGGCACATCTGTTGGAAGGAGAATGCTACCTGAACTACGAGCCTTGGCATCCGGCGCCTGCCGCACTTGCATCTGCAATATACTACGCTGCCAGCTGTACTGTCAACCAAGATATATGTCTCTCCTGCTTTGGGATGGATAAAGCCTCTCTGATTTCAAAATATCAGAAGGAGTCGAATGCTGCTCTCGAACGAGCAGACTACTTATTGACGGATGACCTAACTGTCCTCCAAGCTTTTGTGATATCTTTAGTAAGTGCAAGAGACATAGTTCCGGTTGCACTGCTTGCTAAATGGGTACAGATAGCGATGCGATGTCATGACCGTACCCGACGCTTCTGGACGATGCTGGCATTAGCCTTACGGATTGCCCATGCTCTCTCACTCCATGATTCCAGCCCCCCATTCCCGGTCCCACTGTTTGAAAAGGAAATGCGCCGACGACTATGGCATGCAATTGGATTGCTAGATATCCAGGCATCTCTAAGCAGCGCTACAGAGCCAATGATTCAATCCAACTGGGTCAGGCTCCAGTCATTTCATGATATGAACAACGAAATACAAATATCCCAACAGAGAAAGGTCTCAGAGACTGCTTTGTTCCATGTTCTTTCTTACGCTCAAGAGACAGCTCGACAGTTAATCATTCCGAACTTTGCCACGCCTTGTACAAAATCTATTCAACAGCGACAACAGCTAACAATGGTATTCAAGGCGCGCACAGACGAGCTATTTGCTGGATGTCAACCGGGCCAGAATGACTTAGACTACTACGCTAAGGAGCTTTCGCACTCAATCGGGCTTTACCTACAAGTCCTTGCGGTACGCTCGGTGGAAAATAGTCCGCCCTCAGGCGAGTCACAAGCCACCAACATCAATATCTTTAGGCTAGCTGTAGAGGCCCTCTATACGAGATGCCGGGTATATAGCAGCGTTAAGACACAGCCATGGCGGTGGATTGCATCACTCTTTTTTCCCTGGCAAGCACTTGCAACGTGCCTTGCTGAAATTCTAGACTGTGACGACCTACATTTCGTGAGAAGTGTATGGCCCCTGATCGAGCAGAGCTATGACTCATTTACTACGCTCGGCATTGAATCGCCAAACCGTCGGCTGCAAGGATCCATGAAAGGCATGATGGAACGAGCTAGGAGTGTCCATGACCGCATGGTACTGTCCTTGCTCTCTCATGAGAGTGCGGGATCCGCTTTTTCCCTGAGGCTTTCACCACAAACAATATTCCAGTACCACGCGCCTTTCAAGTCAAGTGAATTATGCTTCCCCGACAACACTTCCACTAGATCGACTGAGTATCTACATCCATGCAGTCTGGGTCCCCAAGAGAATAATGTTGCCACACGGAATAATGACAGTGCACTGGACGAGGTTGATCTGACTTCTGTCGAGTCACAATTTCCGTTTGAAGATATGGCTACCTTCGACGTCGACGGTGTGTCGCAGGCCCTGTATGATGCAAGCTACGAAGAGCTGTTCTTACAATACACCCAACAATGACATAGTTCATCAAATAGTCTGTTATTGTAGATAAATAGTTTAGTTCTCCCAAAGCAGTTATTGGTTTGCTAGGATTGCTCTCTGATATAGATACATCACTACATTCAATTCGCTATACTCTTGTGCAACCACTGGCGGAACCAGAGAACCGCCGCATTTTTCGCCCTTTCCATGCCCGCGATCTCATCCTTATCGTTTGGATTCCCGCGTGTCGCAAATCCATGCGTTAAGGAGGGAAAATACTGGTAGTCATAGGGCAAGCCGAGCTTGGGGATAGTGGTGTTACTGAAAGCCTTCAGATCCTCTGTAAATTGCGGATCGTGTTCAGGCGCCATGATCTGAACGGGAACACCGATATTACTGATCTCCTTTTGTTCCAGGAATGTGGGATGTGCGGTAGAGATGCAGTCGACAAGCCGAACATCCTTTGCGCCTAAGCGGAAAACCGCCCAGCCACCGAAGCAGAATCCAATCGCGCCGATGGAGGAGTATCCATGCTCCGTTCGCAGAGCCTTGGTGCAGTTGAATATATCCGGCTCTCTAATAGCCTTGGTATTACGGCTCAGGAAACTGGGGATGTCGAGCTCGCCCCATCTCCTCTCGTCGAGAAGGACATCGAGTGGAAGGCGCTCACCTCCGAACCTGATCTCAACAAATTTAAATGAGGCACAGTTCATTATGAAAGCATCCCGCGAACGCCGCAACTTACAAGTCAGGTACATATACTGTACAGTCAACTTCCTCCGCCAGATGGTCCGCTAGGAGTCGCGTGTTGGGGAAGGTCCAGCCATAGAGATCGTGAAGCAGTAGGATTGCGATGCTGGAATTCGTTCCTACCGTGTAGCAACTCATGCCAGCCAGTATGGCCTCTTGGCCAGCAGGCTTGCCATTCCAGCGGAAGCCCTTTAAGCAGCAGTCACCCATTCTATCGTCGGCGGTGCTTTTCCTGTGGTGGTGAAGGGTCTTTTCAATTGATTAGCAGTCAAGTGGTGGAACAACGAAAGATGGAATCTCTTTCGACAAAGGGCCTATTCTTGTCTAGTTCTACGTTCTCTACTTATTTCCAAATTTACAGTCTCCATGAGTGTCCAGAAGGCTTTCTCCACGGCTCGGGTGTCTCGGCTGCTTCCCTAAACCCGAAGCCAACCCTGCATCCTGAATTGGTATCAGATCTGCTGTCGGTGGGTCCGTTTCCAAACTCCGGTTAGATTACATATAATACACAAAATCCGGGAGCTCTTCAGTCATCTTCATGCTGCGCTAAATTACATAGCCGAAGCTGGTTCAACCGGCGAAGAAGACAAAGTGTGCAGCTGATACGGACACTGCTGTGGATGATTAGTTTCCTGCGCATTGATCACGAAAAGACCCGAAATTATGGGGCAGTTTGTCGGTCGCGTTCTGGTGTGTCACCAACTGACTGGCATGAGGGAATTGGCTGTATCCAGAGGATGTTAGAGGCTGAATCAGAAGGACCAATATGAGCTGTACTTATTTCCTCATTCTGTCCGTAGCAGATATCGGACACCTGATGGCGATGTGCCAGTCGGGAATGTGTTGTGCCTCACCTCTTTTCTAGAGTATCGAATTCTACCCACTTGCGTACCACGCTTACCTGGTCCTCTGTAACTATAGCTTCAATCCATACGAGTGTATAGTGTTTTGATGACGTCTCCCCCATTTTCTCTTTACAAATAAAGATATAAGTAAATCAAATTATAGCATTTGACCATGGCACCATGGCCTTTTTTCCTTCCATATCTGTATGGTACATAACTGATATCTCAATTCTCAAAATACCGAGACCATGCCTCATGAAACTGGTCAGCTTGTTGTGGTAAACAGGAAAACACTTTACACAATTTGCTAGATATGATTCTTTTTCAACTTTTGTCTACAAGTCTCCATGTCTCGACTCAGGCCACTCGCGTAACTGTCTCCCGTACCGATAAAGCAGCCAAGGAACAGGTATGAACAGGATAGCTAAAAGCCCAAGTAAACTATTTCCCCAACCCAAACCAAGTGTATCATATAATGGTGGTCCAGCAAGAGGTAACAGACCTGCTGCAATGGAACGTAATATTGTATTTGCTGCTAGAGCGGAGGCAGCCTTCTTAGGCCCGCAGGCGTCGATGAGATAGAGCTGCACTGGCATCTGGATCAAATGAAGTCAGCTGTATTCGAATAGAGCTTACCAAGAAAGGCGAGGAACACTCACCAATGTGAATAAAGTGCCCAGTCCGATCAGCGAGGTGCCGATGATCGGTACAATCCAATGCGTTACCTTATCGGCACACCATCCGTACCAAAAATAGCCAATTGGTATCACAGGGCAGAATATGGCCATAAGGGCGAGTCTGTTTTCTGGCTCGTAGAAATTGCGCCGGCGGTGCCACTCCTGCAATTTATCGCTTGTCAGGCTGAATATGGCCACGCCAACTAACATCCCTGAGCCCATCCCGAGGTAGCAAAGACCTGAAATACCAAGTGAGAAGCCATATTGCATTTGGAAAATGTTTGGAAATGTGGTAAAAAGCAGAAAAGACAGTCCGAAGGCGTATGCGACAGAGAGTGAGGTCAGGAGTACTGCCGGATGGAAGATGAGGAGCTTTATCGGGGTCAGTAACGCGCGTAGGAAGACGTGGGTTGGCAGCCTGTTCGCAGTTATCTTTTTCTGTTCGGAAGCAGGGTACTGGCCAGCCTGAGGGGCTTCTGTGAAAGTCTCTCGCATAAAGATAAGGCACGCCAACGAAACGGATCCGTGCTACCAATAGACAGGTTAGCGCCAATGGATCTCTTTGTGGCCGTGTGTCCTTTGGATGCTCGTACGTACCAGAATCAAGAGCACCCAGAATGTCCATCTCCACCCCTTGTATTGTGCAACAAAGCCGCCTATTATAGGCCCTAGCGACGGCCCCAGTGTCGGCCCCAACGAAAACATACCCATTGCCACACCTCGTTGCTCCTTTGGAATAACGTCTGCAATGGTGCCACCGCCGATTGTCAACGGTGCTGAGCCTGCACAGCCTGCTAGGAACCTGAATGCGAGAAACATCCCCGTGCTAGTTGACTTGGCACAACCTATTGTAAAACCGAAGAATATGAGGTTCGATACATGGTACGGAATAAGACGCCCATAAAGCTCGGACAAAGGCGCAATAGCAAGCGGGCCACACATAAGCCCTAACATATAAATGCTGGCTATTAGGGTCTGTAGGCTTGGGTTGGTAATCCCGTACTCCTCTGCGAAGAACCTAGCTCCGGGTGTAAATATCGTTGACGAAAGGTTCCTGTTTGTTCATTAGCGTAGAAGCTGAAAATGAGACGGTATGGTTCTCAAGTACATTACTAGTGTCAGGACACTGACGAGGATAACGTGCCCAACTCGTTTGGACTGGGGCCATTGCAGTGGCGAGCTTTCGGACTCTTCCTGGCTTGGAATACCATTCTCAGATCCTTGCGGTGGCTGCCCGTCAGGTGTGGGCTTATCCATCGGTCTTAACCCTTTCCTTGTCTTTTCACACGAATTCTAGTAGAAGGTAGTACCTCGTCTTTGGCCACTTGAGCGTTGATAGACACAGAAGAAATGTCAAGGGCATCTGCTTCTATACTAGTCTAGCTCCTCAAATTCTCCACAGACCACTATCACCGAGCTTCTTAGGGTTGATATGTCAAGAATCGGATCGGATTCTGGACAAGTTTAACCTATACTACTTCTAATAGTACATCGTCCACCTGCTCCGGAGACGAAATCACAGATATTAATTGAGGACTCATGACACACCCTAAAATAGGGAAGATCAGCGAAGCTTCGGGGTTTGTGTCATTTCTCCGGCTTTTGGGTATGGTATTACCCTTTGGCTGTATACGGAGACTGTGTATTAACCCCAAACCCCGTATCCATCGCCCATCCGAGTCAACCGAGTCAGCAGTTTCAGCCCCAATGAAATGGCGTACTGCTGTCTTATTTGAAGTCAAGGCAGTACACATCGACTCGGCGGACCAAACTAAATAGTCACTTCTCTACTTTCACCTGGACTATCCGTGTTCATCTCACTGTATCCCTGGATTTCAAATTTGCACTTCCAAACTTCATCCTCAAAGCCAATAAAGCTACATTATGGCACCCGATATTGCTATTGTGGGTGGTGGGCCTTGTGGCTTTGCTCTTGCCGCCATGCTCGAGCAGCAAGGCATCGACTATGTTGTCTATGAACGCAGTGCAGAGGATACTCCCCCTCGAGGCGGATGCTTAGACATTCATCGCAGTAGCGGCCAAATCGTTCTCAAAGATGCAGGGTGCTTTGAAGAATTCAAGAAATATGCGCGAGGGGGTTATGCCACAGTTCACTCGTTGTTTGATCATACAGGGAACAAGGTCGTTACGTTCGGCGAAGGGCGCGACTCACCTGAGATTGACCGCACGCAGTTACGCCAAGTCATGCTTTCCTCGATCCCAAAGGAGAAGGTCCGCTGGTCGACTCCAGTCAAAAGCTCTCTTCGCAATGAAAACGGCGATATTGTTCTCCAGTTTGAGGATGGCACTACGGCCTCGGGGTTCAAACTTGTCGTCGGGGCTGACGGCATGCGCAGCAAGATCCGGCACTTGGTGAGCTTTCTCAATCCTGTACAATTGGAAGTCCTGCTATTGACCCCTTTCAGGTGACAGAAGTAGAACCAAAATACTGTGGTATTCTATTCCTCACGTTATTTATCCGACCCTCTAATCCCTATCACCCCACCCTCGAGCAGCTTGCCGGCCAGGGGCCCATGATCTTCTGTGGGAGAAGCAAGAAGGTCTGGATTCAACGACAAGGTGATGGCCATTACCGCATGGACTTTGGATGGAAGGGGCCGGCAGACTTCCCATCTGCAGGTGAGCTCGACCTATCGGACGAAGATTCCGTCAAGAACTTCCTTCTTCGGGAAGAATACTTCGGGGGTTTTACAGGACTGGTCCACGAGATCATTCGAAATTCCACCGGACCTTTCCGGACTTGGCCCTTGTATTACTTCCCAGTCGAGCACCTGAATTGGCAAACATCACCGGGGGTGGCTTTGGTTGGAGATGCGGCGCATGTCACCACGCCCTTTGTTGGAGATGGAGTCAACTGTGGCATGCGCAATGCGCGGGCTTTGGCTCACAAGATCCAGGATCTGGGTATTACGCAAGAGGCTGTTACCGCATATGAGCAAGAGATGTTTCCCTATGCCCAGGACGTGATTAGTCGGAGTGTGGCTAGCGGGGAGTTGTTCCTTGCATGGGACAGTCCCAAGGGTCTTCTGGAGAATATGACATCTCCCAATCGCCTCATCCGGGATGAGGGGGACTATTAAAGGAGGTCCTAATACCCCTCCAGATATCACACGATCCAGTCCCGAGGGGGCTGGGGAACGTTCTATGTATGTATATGGGCTTCTAGGAAAACTGGAGGGACACGGTGCTTCCGATATTAGCTGGAAAACGACGGAAGAGCCCATTGGAAAGTATCTCTGATCAATATATTAGCACATCAAATATAACATGGACCAAAGCTTCTCACGGAGAACTTGGGTATTGCGGTTCGGGTGATCGCTCTGTTCCAGGAAGAGCAAAGCCTAGGATCTTTCAAAACGACCGTAGTAAACGATAGGTAATACAACTTAGAAAAGTATCCCCCAGTGGCGCGACCCTAAGGCGGTGAGCTCCCGGCTTAAGTTCTTGTTCCCCACGCCCTATGGCCGTATGGACCAGCTGACCCTAGGTCATCCATAGCTTATATAGTGCCAATCTTAGATCATAAGGACAATTTGTATACAATTCACCGGGAAAGGTATTGAGCTTTGTAAGTTGTTGACATTAATCATGAGATAGATAAACCCGTCGGTAATACATCGTTTTGTCGACAACTCATCATTCTTTTTGAAATCAAAAGGAAGAAACAACATTTGATGCTATTCTGGGTTGAAAAAATTCAACTCTTTCATATATATTTTCTGGAGACATACTGTATTTCCGTCATTCTACGCATATATCAAAACAAAAATGCTTAGGTGCCTAGTGACCTCAGATGAAGTCAAAGCTAAATTTCAAGTTGAATAACTGTATGGGCTTTAGCTCTGAAGTAAAAGTGTATATTTTCTTTTTAAAAAAAATCCTATTCCAATATATTTTCTCTTTCCAGTACCAACTGTATTCAAGCTTTCTCGCCTACCGAGAAGAGGATTCGAGGAATATGTTAAGGAGCGCTGATGCAACCACGGTTTACAAGCCTTTCCGGAGCTATAAGCTCAGGGTGAAGATACAATAACGGATGATCGGCAAGGGACTCCCAAAAGCCTATTTCAAAATCCAAAAGGATGCTGACTGGGTCACTTTTCTCTCATATGGTGCAACAGCTGTTCATGATACAGCATTCCAGATTTTCTGCCGTCGTGGTGATTTTGTACTTGGCGAGCAATATACCTACCTCGGAACACTCGAGAGCGCCACCCTGAACGGCCTCCATATTCATGGTGTTGAGATGGACCCTGAGGGCCTTCGTCCTGATATTCTCGGGAAATGTACTGTACTCATGGGGCTCTTCCCGAGGCCCAAAGCCTCGAGTCTTATATACTATCCCGACGGGCCAGAACCCCACTGGCTTCACTAAGTCCTTGGAAAGACGAATGTGGAATGTTTCTTTGGATCAAGTTCGACTGGCGAGTACATCATCGCTTGTGTACACTGTCAGCCTCTGGGGAAGAGACGGACTTGCAGCTCCACAAGCTTGAGTATTACACTGCAGCCAAGACCTTAGAGTATGGGGTTCTTGTCACCCACGGGTCACTCTTTTCCTTCAACAACCGCCAGAATGGCGATTGACACTTCCGTGGAACCTTTGCTGCTGCACCGGAAGCGGATTTGACAAAGGGTGGGAGGTTGTTTGCGAATAATCTGAGGGCGGAGTTCTCTGTTTGTCGTGTTTGATATCTCTGTTAAAGGGACAGAGTCTGTCGTGACTAAGAGGTTATCTGTAATGATCCCATGCTGTTAAGTCTTGCATCTGATAAGTATTCCTGGGACGCTCTCTCTTACACACATATAACGGCCCTAGCACTGTACACACTTACCGTATAAACGGGATAGCCATCAGTACAGAATTGTAGAAAATAGAATTCTAATCTGTATCTAGCCCCGCAAAAGAAAGAAACAAAGAAATGAAACAAAAATGAAGAAAATTAAAAGACAATAGGATGAATGGAGACAGAATGAGAACGAAATGAGACAAAGTGAAATGAAGTGAGACGAAGTGAGATGGAATGTAAGGTAGTGCAATGTGATGCAATGTAATGCAATGCAGTAAAATAAAAAACAAATTGAAAATAATAATAATAATAATAATAATAATAGTAATAATAATAATAGTAATAATAATAATAATAATAATAATAGTAATAGTAACAGCGAGATACAAAAGACCAGGCATTATTGCGCTATGATGCTTGATTTGAAACAACAGTCCAAGAGGCCCAGAGAGCGAAAGCAGCGGTGGTGATTCTTTTTTCTTTCATTTTTTCCCCTTTGTTTTGATTTAATTTAGTTATTATTTTTATTTTATTCTTTTATTTTTTCTCGTCTGGTTTTTCAAATCAGGAGATCATCTGGTCCTAATGTAAATCCCAGACCTTTCCCAAGTCAATCGAACCGAAGATACAGGTCCTGATAGGCTGCACCTCCGGAGATTACCTCCATGCTACAGCAACCTCTTTGGGCTATGTTAGATATCCTTGACGTGGAGTCACTCACCCTCTCTTCTCAGCCTTCCTTTCAGTGAGTTCCCCGTTGTGTTCGGCAAAACTCAAAATCATGGATACAGGGGGGAAAACATTTAAAGTTACGTTACACCTGCTAGCGGAAGTTCCCGACAGTCATGGAGATGAGTGTGTACCTTGAAAAAGTACTACGTTATTTTCTCTGGGGTGGACTCCAGCTCATTTATCATGCGTCTCGGTCGAGGAAGTCGCGGAGATGGGTTGGGTATTTTTCATCCGCTAACCGAAAAGGTCAAGTTTTGTTTTGTCGGTTCAGAGCCTCTTAGGAGGGAAGTCTTGGCATAGGTAGACTTCGGGAAGGGGGTGGGTGGGTGTGTGGTGTGTGGTATGTGTGTGGTGGTGGTGGTGGTTGTGTGTGTGTACACATAACCTTATACCACGAGTTCTCGACATAAAGCCAAGTTTCTATACCCGATTCCGATTTCAGGCACAGCGCCCAACCCATGAGAGGTCGAGTCCACCTAAAATATCGTGTACGTAATTCGTCGGTGGCTTTGCGGCGATTGAATTTAAATATATTATAATTTATTTTAGTTTGTGCCGGCGAGCAGATCTTCAGATACGCACCTACGGTGGATCCGATCCTCAAAGCCGTCAAGAAGGAGGGTCTGTTGGTTCATCTTCGCGGTTCCCCGGTGAAAATCTCCCAAGGCTAGACCTGGAGGCAGAAACTATCCGGATGTCAAATTTTAATCTAATCCGACTCCGTAAAATTTAACTTCGTCCATGTTATGATTTAGTTAGTAGGATAATATGAATACCGAGTACTTCGGGTAGTTTGATTTGGGAGTCCAATCAAGGCTCGTGTTACCAGATCATAGGATTTGGAAATTAAAAAGTTGATACAATGACGTTTGAAAGGCATTAATTTTAAGCATTACGTTAATCTAAAATTACTAGATAGCCCTCGGCGGAGGAATCTGTCCTCAGATTAGAGGAGCGAATGATGGCTGTCTGAACGAAGTGCGTGTGTTATCAACGGTGCGGACGAAGACCCATTTAAAAAAAAAAAAAAACAAAAAAAGGAAAGCCTTTTTGTCAGTATTTTATGAAACCCGTGGATTATTGGTAAATTGTCGCGTTTTTGTTGTTATTGATTTATTTTGTCCCTTGGGTGGATAAAGCCACAGCGCCTCGGGCAAGAGTTAGGGCTAGACTGTGAAGCAGGCCAAGGCTGGCAGACTTCGCGAGGTACGGTAAGATCCTAGTGGCGTTGATAAGGACATGGCTCATCCCGGTCTGTCCTGTTGGTAATTCCGTGTGTTTGTGACTGTCCAGAAGCTGGAAACCAAGCGAGGCGGAGCAGTGCTTTGGGATTCACTCAGACCCCCAAATGACGGAACTAACTGGGCCCCCACCCCAAATCGTGCAATTCCGCCCAGTTCATGCATGAACTGGGATAATAACAACTGCCGCTCGACTCGTGTTTCGTACGGAGGACTGTTGTGACCAAGCCCAATTGACCGGCGATCAGACTTCCGAACACTGGTAGCGAGTTCAACTTTCTTGGGGTCTCGTGCGAGTAATACCGGTTTGTTCTGGAGATAACCACATACATGTGTATCACTCCTTTTGGGGTCAGTTTCAATGTCTGGGTATCTGAACTTGTTACGGCCAGGAAGCGGCGGAGTAATACAGCCTCAAGAATTAGTCATCTACAGTAGACGCAGGGACACCGAATGGTTAAACGGGGCTCAGGGGCCATCGACCACGACATGTGTGTGATTCTCGGTAGGTATCTAGTACAGGATGGATCTCTCTAATGGCATACATAGGTAGGAGAGGATCGCTGCTCCATCTCCCACGTGTAGGCGGTTCAGACTTCAAGCCTGCCGAGATAGGGTTGGTACCTGAAACTAAAAAGACCTTTCACTTTAAGACAACACTCACCAGATTTACATGGGCCCTGTGGATCCCTTTCAAGACTATCCAACGGGATCGAACGTGACTCACCGCCCTGTTCCGGCCGGGAGTAATGCTGCTCGGGGGGATCAACAAAGGCTAACATTCCAGCTCATAATCTTCCTGGTTGGGACTGGACCCCGACAGTTTTTTATTTTATTTTTTTTTTTTTCAAGGTCAAATCTTAACTCTATGGTAGCCTTTCCGTACGAGGTGCGTCTGGACAGCGGTACCTGACGTCTTCCCTACAAGACATGCGCGGCCTATCGATTGAAGTACGTATTACGGACCCACCACCCTGTGGAGGTCCAGCTATCTCCATAAGCGAGCATCATCTGTGACTCTGGGGGACGTCGAGTGATCAAGGACGAAGTGGTCTCTCACAGAATACTGAAAAGCCCCCATGCCAACAAATACAATTAATATCAAACGAGCCCCTAAGTGAGGCAAATAAAAAGTGATGAACCAACGGCCAGTGAAATTTATCCCAGTCAAGTCTACGCGAAGAACGAGTTGCTACATTCACTAATGAAAGGTAAAGAAAAGGAAAGTCCAATATAAAATGTAAGCCACAAAGGCTGTCCAAGCCATAGCATTGTGTCAGCGTCTGACCGCCGTTGTCCGTAACGAATCCTGCAGATACGCATTAAAAAAAAAGCAAAGCAAAGAAAAGAAAAGAAAAGAAAAGAAAAGAAGAAATAGGCCAGTAGCAGATTTTCCTTGTCAATGAAATTGGATATTTCACTAGCCTAATACAATATGAGCCTTTGGTGTATTGTCTTAGAGGGCCGGTAATATTTCTTTGCTTCGTTACAATGTACTTCCGCATTTCTATATAGATCTAGAGTATATATCTATATGTATGTGTGCGTGTATACAGAATTGGTAGAGATATGGAGCTTTAAAAAGTAGATTGAGGTTAGGGTTGTTATTGGGGCGGGTGCAGGTCCAAATCTCCACCGCGGTGATGCCTTAAGATACTTTTACAATCAACACAAAATCCTTTTACTACTTCTGCATATCTAAAAGGTCATCCCAGATATAGGGATTCTAGACAAGAAAGCATCTCATCAGTTGAACCTATATTGACGAATTTGTGGTGGTTTGAAGTTGAACTCAAAACTCGAGGTACATGGAAATCCGTGTGGCGGGGGATGTGTGTCAGGTGACCAAGTACTGTTATTCGTTGAATTGCTTCTCCTAGCTTAGTAATTTATTCCCAACCCCTTCCGGGACAAATATATCCATCCACACACGGTTTATTTCTACCTCCTCCCCTACGGAACCGATCAGTTTATGTGCTTGCTCTTAAAGCATTCCGATTATCAACATGTTCGGTCATGCTGCACCTCCTGCTGAAGACGTTGATACAGTCGGGGACCGCGCTAATGTGGTCCGCTTATGTACAGTGGTTCCCCCGAACTGTGCCGCAGTTTTTGTGAAAGTGGTGGATAGGACTTCAACTGAATCATACAAAGACCGTTTGGCCAAATACATCATCGAAGAGGCTGAACGTCGCGGGGACTTGAAACCCGGTATGACTATAGTCGCGGCTACAGATGGGAGCACAGGTTTTTCTCTTGCTTTCGCCTGTATCCTCAAGAAATATCCACTTACGATTGTTTCCTCCAACGCCTTTGATGTGGAAAAATTAAGGTCTTTGGAGGGCCATGGGGCTCTTAAGTTAGATCTTGTCTATAGTTCCTCGGGAATTACACCAGACCTGATTCCTTCAATGGTGCACCGTGCAAAAGAACTTGCACAAGGCGATGGGTACTATCTCGCTGATCAATTCCATAACGAGGATACTTGTATTGAATACGAGACTATGGGCCGAGAGCTGCTTAACCGGTTTCCTGAAGGGATTGATGCGTTTTGTGGTGCGGTGGGTGGTGCGGGGATAGCGATGGGTATAGCTAAGATACTGAAGTCGAAGTGGCCAGAAATTTTTATTGCAATGCCTGAACCAGCATCCTCGCCGACCATTAGAGAGAGTCGTCCAGGGGCACATAGTGTTGAAGGTATTGGCTTTTACCCGCCGCATCCAGATTGGAAACTCTGCAATGAAGTATGCGCTGTTCCGGAGGAAGAAGGGCATGATATGTATCGTCGTCTGGTCAAAGAGGAATGCTTGTCGGTTGAAGCGCCAACTGGCTTCAATGTGGCTGCGGCGATTGCTTTGGCCAAGCGTCTTGGTCCTGGGAAGCAAGTTGTGACTGTTGCCGTACAATATGGAGTAAAGAACACGAGTAGTAACTGGTTTACTTAATGGGCAATATATATAGAGGGCCGTCCACATTCGCTATTCTAATATACACTTTGACCATTTCTCAGCATCTGAAAGATTGGTAAAACTTATACTATCTATAGTATTGACTGACCAGAAGTAGATAGAAATCACAGTACCTGGATACAAGGCTAGCTATTTCAATGGTTATTACTGCAAGTAAATTTACAATATACTTGATATAGCAGTAGAAAAATAACTACAATATACTAAGTCTGTCTTAGATCTTCTCGGGCACCCATAGATAGATAAAAAGACCTTCGAGGTCAATAAGTGCAATGGTTTACGGGTGCCTTTTTCACCGCCAAAGTATGAAACATCGGCAAGAGTAACGTTGTTCGGTAAGCACCCTGCGCATGCCAGTACCCTGCGCAGCTCTGTATTCGATACAAATGCGCCCCTTTTACTACTTGAATATCTCAGCAACCACAAGCTATAATAATCCAAAATTTAAGAAGAGTATATAATAGTACTTAATTATTAATATATAAAGTAAAGAAGCTTATATAAACAATACTTGTTTCAGTATTGAATATTACAGCTGTATTTTTAATATTTCCACTTTATAGGGTAAGGTTAAGAAGAAAAAAAATCAGAAAAATTATCAATAGCCTCATTCACCCTATGCTATAGTATATATTTATTATTGTTTCTTTACTATCTCTGGTTACTAAGATAATGAAGTAGTAAAAAGGGCGGATTTGTATGGAATACAGAGCTGCGCAGGGTACTTGCATGCGCAGGGTGCTTACCAAACACGTTACTATTCAAGAAGTTATGTACTAAAATAATTCAGGAGAGAAGTGTTGGTTAATTCTTAGAAAACCCAAAAAAGACAATTCTAGCCTATTTGAAATAAGCTGGAAGAATCTGATACCGTTGATCACCGCGAAATTTGGTTACTTGGAGGCTCTACTATCAGGTACGCTAGACACAAGATAAAGATTGAAAGAATAGATAATGGGCAGGAGACTCCCAAAGGACCATTTCAAAAGCCAATCGATGTTCATCGGTTGAGATGTTTCGACCATGAATTATCTATTTCACTGCGACATGTTAATCATGACAGGAGTGGACAGCGGTTACGTAAATCATGTTTGGTATATAAATCCTCGACCCAGATATATAGTACATTGAGAGATGGGTATACTAATACAAGCAAATGCTAGACGGTATTTGTCCTCTAGCAGCAACTCCGACCTAAAATACCTATTCCCTTCTCTTTTTACTTTCGAAGGAATCTTTGTCTATCCAGATTCGACACTTTTGCCCTCCATTCACCAGGTGGATAATCAGGTGCGCCAGCTTCGTCACCAACCATCTGCGACCGGCCTGCTTCGGCTCTACCGTGGTCACTATTCTATTAATTGGACCCTTGGGTGGAACCCTCTGCACAACTGTAAGCACATCACTCGGAACGGAACGGGCGTTTTGTTGTGTGGACATCAGCAAGATTCGCTAGGAAACGCATATCCACCCTAAGAAAGAAAGGGAAAAAAAAGAAAAAAAGAAAAAAAAAAAAAGGGTAATGGCCCCAGGAACATACAACAGATCTTGACGCATTTGGTGTAACAAACACAATGAAAGAATCCCTGAGGAAACCAGGTCGTTGGATGTCTGCCTGCCGAGTGGTAGGTATTCCTGCGCTATGATGCCAGATCTGAAACAACGGTCCGGTTCCTGAGTCGCCTGTACCCGACGATAGAGCGACAACCTCCGAAGAGTGATTCACTGGGATCTTCCCAGCCTCGGGCTTTTTTGTTCTCTTCGTTGGTTAAACTCTTTAGACTCCTGCCCGAATAGACTTAGACTCATTCAGTAGTGGACCCTTCTTTCGGTCTTCATTCCTTACACGTTTCTTTGTTGGGACTAGTTGGCCACAGATCATCTAACTGACCCAAAAGAGACAGAGAGAGAAGAAGGAGGAGAGAATGATACGGCATGATTCCCAGACAAGTATTAAAGACTTTTGACAGTGTAAATAGTAAAGGCAGATCTTCAGGAAGATAAGATCACACTAAGCTAGGCTATAGGCCGAGGCTGACACTCCGTGGATTGCTCTTCGTAATAATAGAAGTCAAAGATAATATCCCAGTATCTCGGCGATAGTCATCAGGGCTATAATTTAGTAAAGTTACCGTTCTGTGATTGACAAAATATTACTATGCTTATGATAAACTATATTTAGGAAGAGAGAGGGAAAAGTAGAGAAAGTAGCAAAAGTCCTAACTGCCAAATAGAGAAGAGTGGGGACTAACTCTTTGTTTATTTTTATTTGATATTTTTTTTTTTTTTTTTTTGGTTTTCGAATAAGAGAAATGATGTGGTGCTAATGTAGATCCCAGTGCTGCAGTATTCCGCGGTTGGGAACCGCAAGACCCTGAGTAGTCCAGCTCGCGAAGGCATGAGTCACTGAACCAGAGGACGCAGCTCAGAACATTACCATGCTAAGAAATTTGATTGGGCTATGCTAGGAATACGTGAAGTTCCTTATCCTCCCTTTTCATTCTCTCTTGTCGCTCTGCTTCACGGGCAGCAAATTTCTCATGGTGCCTTGGAAAAAACCCAAAATTGTGGATACATGACATGGGTTTCATTAATTTGGCGACTTAACCCTCATCCAAGTTGGGGAAAGGACTGGTATTAAGAACCGGCGATGGGACTTACGCGGTAACATGGCGCGTCTGTCCTCATATTCGGAACCCATGCCAGGGAGCGGAAGTCGCCGACTATTATGCAGTTGAGCGTAGCTTAAAAGAGAATCCATTAATTTTCTCAGTGGTTGGCTCGGTTATCAGGAGTTCAGTTGAGCCGTTCGAAGTTCATTTCCGACTTCAGGTATGGTGCCGAATCCATTAGCGGCCAACATCCGTAAAAGGGTCTTATACGTATTTCTTATGGTGCCTGCCAATATTTAATTTAGTTTGCAATGTTTATTTTTTTTTATGCCAGCAAGAGGATCTTCCAATACCCACTGTGGATCTGGTCCACAAGGGAAATTATAGAGATGTTCCTGACTCGATCAGCAATCAAAAACTGCTGATCTGTTGGACAGTCTTCCTGCTTCCTTGGAGAAAACTCTTGAGGCTGGACCTGAAAGCAGAAAACAATCCACATGCTCAATTTTAATTTCATCTTACACCGTAATTTTTTACCCTTGCCGATCTTATCATCTAGTGTGTATGAATACTTGGGTGGGATGTTCTACGAATGTGATCATTGTATATTTTCCAAATTATAGTGTCCGGAGATCAGAGGTTAGCAGGATTGAATTAAGCATTACGTTGAACTAAAACAACCACCCCTCTTCCCCCGCGGGGGAAGAGGGGAGTGGAATCTGTCCTCAGATCAGTGGAACTCATTTTTTAATCCTTAATCTGCAGGCAAGACTAAGCTAACCAAGTGGGTATGCTGTTATTGAGATGTTGTTATGGCGTCGTCGAACCTCGGTTGGATGAAGAACCTTTTCGGGAAAGCAAGGCAAAAAAAGTGAATAAATGAAAAGAAAAAAGGAAAAGAAGTCCCCTTTTGTCAACATTGGATGAACATCCCAGACACGGCTTGTCGTATACTTTCGCCTTCTATAAAATTTACATAATTGTATTTTTATTGATTGATTCATTTAATGATTTGGGTTGTCGGGGTTTCACACCCAGATGTGGATACATCTACGACCACTGCCGCTAGATTTAGGGCTAAATTGCCGTGCAGATGGGAGGAACGGTAAAATCTTAGTCGCATTCGAAAAGACATAGCCGGGAGGCAACTCCGTACTTTTGTTAGTGTTGTTTTCAACGATGGAAGCGAAGCGAGACCGAATGATGATGGAATTGGCCCCCAACTTGCGCAATACCTCGCAGTTCATGCGCCCATGAAGCACAAAGATACGGCCGTCTCTTGATTCCTATCTCTTTGCGTTTCGTACTTTTGCGGGCCAAGTCGGAGTACCAACGACCTGACTTCCGACAACTAATAGCGAGCCCAAGTTTCTTGGGTCTCGTGGGATCGCATCCTCGAAGAATACTGGTAGAGGAACGCACATTCCGCGCAGCGAGGCCTGCTTTGCACGAAACCACACACAAGTGGATCACTCAATTCGATATTGGTTTCAACAACTACGTATCTAAATAGGCTACAGCCAAGGATTGGATGAGTACAACCTCTGTAATTGGTAAATCTGAAGTAGATGCAGAGACTCGCACAATGAAACAAGGCCTACCCACTACTGAGGCGCTTAGCCACCGCTCCATCTATTAACCTTCACCACGGGAATAGATCTATGGAATGACATACATGCGTAGAAGAGGATCGTGGCTATACTGTACGTAGGATATAGTATATCCCACATGTGTCAGAAGGAAGGAGGGGGGTTGTTCTGTTAGTCTGTACCTTGTTATTGCTTCTCGAAGAATAAGGTTAACGGCCTGTAGCTCCCCACTGGATTGCCTTAAAGACTATCCAACCAGATCGAACGTGATTCACCGCCCCTTCCGTGGCTTCAAATGGAGGCTCTCCTGACTGCGAGGAATGAAGCTTAGCGTCCGAGCCCATAATCTTACCCTTTGGGATCAGACCCCTAATGTTTTTTGTGATTTTTTTTATTCTCGGGCAGTATTGTGTCCTCGGCAGATTTTCAGGAGGATGTGTGTCTAGACAGCAGTACAAGACGCCGTCTACGCAAGACATGCACCGATTAATCAACTCCTCCTACATCGTACGCGGAGGCAGCCAAAATCCCTTCTCTGACTAGTTCTTCTACGGCCCCACTAGCCGCCCTAAAAGACCCAGCACATGATCTGACAGTTAGAACAGGTAGTCTTGCGACGGCTTAAACCGTTTAAATCCAGCTCAGCTAATGGGAACAGGGACATTAACTACCGTTCCATAAGCGAGTATCATCTAACACTCCGGGAAACATCCGGTGACGAGGAACGAAATCGTCTCCACGGAATACCGAAGAGTTAATATCAGCAAATTCAATCGAGACCAGCCAAGTCTCTAAAAGGGGAAGGGAATTCATGCAGGTCGTGTCTATGTTAACTCGGACAACAATGCTCTTGTTTAATAAAATGAGATGAGTTCGTTTCGGGAGGAACGGTAGTCCAGGCAACACCACTGGGCGATAATTTTTGATCCCTCTTATCCTTTATTAACCCTGTAGATCTATAACGGCGGAAATACAAAAAGACAACAAAAGGAAAGAGCCAAAATGAATGTCAAAAAAGAAAATTTTAAACAGGAACATTACGACCAAACTAATGGACGGTAACTGCATGGTGCCGCAAAACCTTACTCCAGTCACAGACATGTCGGTATGCCGCCTTCATGGTGACAGTTCCTGGAGGAGCATCCTGCTATTAGCGAAATATCATTGGTGGCCAACGTGGTGGTTCTACTAGCCCGGTCGAAAGAAAGTCTTTGGTTTATTCTGTAGGAGGATTGACAAATCTATCTTTCTCGGCTCCATCAGAACGGATTTCTAGACACCACCAACATACCAGCTCTGACAGTCAGCACCGTATTCTATTCGTCCACGATGTGTTGACAAGGGTGGAGCTAGACTGGTATCTTACCACAACCCTCATTTCAATTTCGTACAGATCCACACGGACTTGTAGAAGTCATCCGGGATCCGACCAAAGCTCCCACGCAGTCGGTTTCTCCTGTCCCTATGGGAGATACCTAATGTGGCAGCTGTGTGGCTCTCTTTTCCGAATTTTCCTTTTTTTTGTGTTTTTTCTTTTCTTTTCTTTTCTTTCTGGACATTGTGGGTACCTGCCACCTCTTCGTAGGAGCTTGCACTATTTGTCTGACCTTAGTATGGTGGAAGGCTTTTTCAACCCTACCCTCCACAACCTCTCACCCCTAAAGAGTACTCAAGTAACCACCTCAACCAAGGTATGGATCAGCAATGGCTATCTTTAACACACTAATCCTAATTGCAGCTAGTGGGATAAGCCATCAGGATAGTCAGCTGCAATACCCAAGGGGATCTTTACACCTGGCGAGACGTATATAACTGACCGCTGCCCCATGCTCTTTCTATCTGTCACCTTCACATCATTCTACATTTCAAATATTGCTTGCTTATTGCTCTGGAAAAGAACAGCTGCGACTATGGATGGTTCGATGGAAAATATCTCTGATAGGCTACTTGAGCTTACCGATCTCGTCACCCGCCTCCAGAGATTTCTGTTGAGCTTGGTTGATTTGATCAACTGGCCACGAAGCCCCCTGACACTGGTATGATCTCGAAAGTTGCTCAAGAGTCAAGTTATTAAATACTGATACCCGATTTCCCATCACTTCAGGTTGAAGGGAAACTTCACAAATGACCGCGCACGTCCGCCTGACCCTACGTCAACGAACATGGAAAGCCAAGAATTTAGAGGTCGGGCTCTTTCAGTAGCTGCACACGTCTTGCATGTTGGACCATAGACCGCCAGAGGCCCTGCCTGGTTCGTCACGGGCGTAGGCAAAGGTTGCCGGTGCAGTTTCGAAGTCGACATGCGTACCTGCCATGGTGATACGATGCCAGTCTCACGCTTGCATCTTGATTATATATATGGTATTTTTTGCAAATCATAGCATTGGGTGTTGGTGGCTTTGCTTCTAGCGTCGGAGTATACATTGTGTCATAGGTAGCACCGTGATTGAGAGAAGGTACCAATACACTCTCTGTTAATGTTTGAAGCAGAGCTCACCGCATTTGTCTTTTCGGGAAGTATATTTGTTGAATGATTGTTTTTATTAATTGCTCGTTTGTGTTATGTAGTTTTGACAAACCATTACACTCCTGTATCCACAGACTTGAGGACATATCTACTCTTTTCATCCTGATCAAGAAACATGCGAATACTAATTTAACTGTAGATTAGATCAGGCCCTTGAACCATACTCTTGTTAGTATATAATAATGAGCCCTCCAACAAATGTGGTTTAGAATAAAGCATAAATTACTCCATCCCGGATGTCCGATGACAGTTCTGGGTGCTCCCTATCAGATGAATTAACTCAAAGCTTATTCAGCAATATGAAGCTTACACTATCCAACTCAAGGTAGTAGACAGACAGATAATGGACTGCATGAGAAAATCCATATGGCCATTTAGCTCTCGTTTGGCACAGGGATCATCCCCACCGTACATCGCAGTCATGCCTATATCTGTAAGGTCACGGGACGCTTAGGTCGCGCCAGGATTACTAATTTGTTATATCACATAATAAATGGTGAGAGACGATGGACAACCTACCCCATGTTTGGTAAGAAAGACCACCCTTCTAGTGCTATTTCTGCTTTTTCAACGCATATCACCAAGTTTGATCTTTCTATCGCCAGTCACATCATATTGATCACAAGGAACCAGTCGGAAAGAATCTGAAGACAACAATAGAAATGCAGCTGCCGTCGGCTAAACCTACACCTCCCCCCATTATCTCAAGATCGGGAGCGTGGGCGGCGGAGAGGTTATCCTGTAGGAGAGATGATGTCCGATGTCTCTATGATGATATGTGACCGACAGATAAGGCAGAACTCAAGGAAAGGATTATCGGTGACTGGTCAGGTTGCTGTCCTTGAGTACGAAGGATAAATATGGACATACCAGCAACTCTGTGGCCTATACGATCGGAGTTGTGCTCGCAGTTTACCAACATTTGCTCATTTTAAGATACCTAGCTAGAGAGCTCGGCGAATACGACGGAAATACGAGTCTGGAAAAGTATGTTGTGGATGCGGTTGTTGATGTGTATATATTGTGACTGGAGGGTAGGTGTGCTATTATAGTACCAAACTGCGAAGACTGTGTTTCTACTAATACAGATATCAGGTCCAACAATTCAACAACCTTAATCATGTCACAGCCAGGTTTAGGCACGATTTTGGTTCAAACTATGATAATGTGCTAACCACATTTTATGCTAAGCAAGAGGACCCTTATCGCCTGGGTAAGAGAGTCATACGGATTTTCTCGTCTACCAGTCTTTCTAAAGCGACTTGCATATTAACACTTTGCCGGTAAACCTCCCTAGTACCTGAGCTTTGTATACTAGTGGCTTACTGGTGGAAACTTTAAGGCCTCTCTACCGCAGCTTCTCGCCAAGTTCAGAGTCGCGCCGTATCTTGCAAACCGTCGTGCTTAGAAACTATGATATTCGACTAAGTATGGCTTCTGCTGTGTATTACATTTCCCTTCGCCCTTCAACGGCAGAGTTGAGGGGTAAATTACAGATGCAACTACACCCAATTGGCTTCTGTTAACCTTCTGATCACTAATATACATGTTCCTCCAATCAGGCAAATGATAAACATTCTCTGACAGTTTCACCCCCCAACGAGCCGTCAAGATACCAAACTCAGACGTGTATCCACGGGGCAAGCTGCTCTGTCCATAGAATCCCACAATAACCTCATTCTCGGCTGGTTCGAGACTGAAGATAAGATTGTCGTTGATACCATCGTCACTGTCACTGCCATTTCCAATGTGGTTGAGATGGCCCCACTCATCTCTATTGCTCAGGGTCATGCAGATACCTACCAGGCAGCTCCATGCGCCGTCATCCTTGCAAATCTTGACTTTGGTGATGGTCTCATTAGCAGGGATCTCATGACGTTCTGATCTGTATCCACAAAACCGATGGGGATGGCTGGGGCCGCAATTCGCCTGCTTCCCATTGGCATACTCGACGATTGCTCCATCCATGATACATCCAACTCGAAGGTCGATCGACGTCGCACGAGGCAGTTGGCCATCTTGACCGCGGCCGTGAAGGACCATAACCCACTGGATAAGCTCTTGGTCATGAGTGTTCGGATCTATATCTTCTGACCGAATGGATTGTTGGCGAAGAGTCACATTACTGCCTGGGATCATGATGTAGGGCCTTTCCTTGAGCCTCGGCCATAAGTCCTTAACTATGGCCATCTTACCATTCATGCTAATGGCAGAGACTTTTAGCGGTTGATTCTGGTAGAGCCTTTCACGAAGCCTGTCCTATGAAAGCCTTGTGCAACTGGCTTTTTCATCCTCATCACCTATGAAATCATGATTTTGGGAATCGTTTGCCCCATTCTCAATCTTCACCTGCGCAAGGCCTGCCGTACAAGACACCTTAAGGCTCTCCGGATACTCCCCTACCATATTGGTAATATCTGAGCTATCCAAGCTGAAGTCAACCTCGACTCTTGCGTTGGCAAGCCATTTGACACGGGCTTATCGCCAGGGAGTGCAAAATGCGGCAGCAACCTGAACTTGAGCGCATCTTGGAGATTCCACCTGGCATCGTTCTCCGCCGCACTACTGGTCTCATGCGAGACGAAGTTCATCCCTCAGGCTTTGCTGTACCCTCTTGCCATGATCCCCGTAGTATGTCCGGCACCGAAGGCATGGCCCACCTCCTGCAGAAAGGCTCCTTGGCCGACAAAACACGCGCCGCGCATGGTGTCGCATTCACCATTGTCATTGCCAAGGGTGTCACCTGTGGGCGTCATAGTAGATAGACAGGCAGGGACCTCTAGGAAACGCGGCCGGGGGTACGTAGGATAGCTGCCAAAGATGCCCAAGGAGATGCCATCGAGTTTATGGCAACCCAACGCTGCATGTGCCATGATCATGGATTACTCAGTGGAGTAGTGCGCATCCAGAATCAAACCGGCTACCACTGGACGGCAACATGACTCGAACGGGGGCCCTGAACTTCGCGAGGGCGGCTTCGAAATATCTGTGCAGGGCGTCTCGATCTCGACCTCGAGGATTCTGCTGGGCAATATCGGCATCCCGGAGCTGTGCGACAGTCTTACCCGACCGGATAATATATACCTTGGCGACAGATCCCATATGACCACTGGTGACAGGTGTCGTTTGATGCCCCGTTTGCATGGTTGTGTTAGGGGATTACCGAGTCCGTTATTATTATGAGAGTATTGAAAACCCAAAGAGCTATCTGCGGGAGATGATACTCTGCTTCGCCAACTGGTAAAAAGCGGCATGAATCTGGAGACTATATAGGTCTAAACCAGAGTTTATAGTGCAACGGCAAGCGAACCGTTTGAGTCGGTCATACAGAGCGACTCGCTCAGGCGATGGGAGGCTGACTCGGCGGCCTCTCAGTAGGGATAGGGCTAGTTGAAAGGCGGAGAGAGAGAGAGAGAGGGCAGAATTGTCTCCAGCTTCAGCCCCGCCAAAACAGATGGAACACCGACCACAATTCACATAAAATTCCGAAAACTGATCCGAGACCCTGGTTCGGATAGTCGGTTGCTGACTCTCTCCACTGATGTACTGTTGTATCTGATAGCTGTCCTGCCGTCGTGTGGTCTCGTGCCGTGCCCTCCCTGGATAGATTCGAGATCATGTGGTCTAGATCGCGTGTATATACATATATCGCCAAAGAAACTTGGCTCAAGCAAGGCTCGTTTTGGAGTCTCGCTCCATAATTAGAAGCACCCCAACAGTGACTCTCCCTTTCTATCAAAATCAACCACTTCTGCCCTAGGGTTAGGATGCCATCAGTTTCTCTATGAGCCTTTACGTGCGGGCTGGGCGATGGCGTGGCGCTAGAGGGCAGGTACGCAATATCCAGCATAGCTACGTAGGTCTAGATAGAAAAACGTGATTTATGGCAAAGCTAAGACCGAAGAAACGAATAGCAAGGGCTAGTCATGAGTGAGAGTGAGAACAAGGCTTAGTCTGGACTATTATACATTACATCGATAACCATGTCACAAATATACCCATTTCGCGTGTGATTCCGACACGATGATGGCCGAATTTGAAATGAAATAATTTCACAACAATTGAAATCAGAATAACCTAACACAACTGGATTAGCATGCTTGACTTGCTGCACCCTGGAGCTACACGCCACCACCTCCTGACGTATATATGGTTGCCACGAATCAAAAGCGTTTCTTAGTCATTTTGGTATCCTTTTCTAGCCAGGCACCGAAATCCTTCAGCTCGGGATACACCTTCTTCAACATAGAGATATCGGCCTTGTATCCGTTTTTGTAAAACCAACGGTACATATTACCCACATCCTTGACCATGAACATGAGCAGGTGAGCAAGAAAACCAAAGGTCATTGGGATATCCTCGCCGGTGCGGGCCTTGTATATGCGTGCCATTTCCTCGAATGTGATTTCATCGCCAGCTAAGGAAATGCACCGCCCGGTGTATTCTTCGGGATGCAGGAATGCCTGGGCACCGAAAAAGCCGATATCACTGACTGCGACCAGCTGCAAGGGCTTATCCTTGAGGGCAACTTTCCAGCAGGTATTTACGAGCTTACCCGCGAAGCCAGGGGTGAAGTTGTCGAAGAAGCAGGTGGGGCGTAGGATCACGTAGTTCATGCCAGATGCTTCTGTTTTGTCAAGGAGATACTTCTCGATGTTGTGCTTTGTAGCGAAATGAGGTACGTCAGTTGGGTTGTGGATCGAATCGTCACCGCCTCGGTCCACGGAGGTATAGACGAAGTGCTTGACGTTGTTCTGGACAGCTGCATCGATCACAGCCTTGGACTGTTGCTCCTCTTTGTCGTGCTTAGATCTTGTTGGGTCCATGACCTTTTTTATTTTTTAGCAAGAAGTCAGCGGATGGACACGTAAGGTAGACGATCGTCTCGACCGGGTGATCAATGCCAACACTTACGGGTACAAGGAATACACCCCAGATACCTTGAGGGGCAACTGTCATGGCGTTCTTGAAGATCCCCGGCACATCACTGAGATTACCTTCCACGAGCTTGATCGTGGGGTATTTCTCTCGAAGCGACTGGGCTCTGGGTGAATTCGTCTTGCGAGTCAGAGCAAGAACCTCTACGCCCGCATTCGCTTTGAACAGGGCATCAACAACACCACCACCCTGATTTCCAGTGGCACCGGTAACCAGCACTGCTCGAGACATGGTTGAAATGCTCTTCCCAGTTACTAAGAAGAAGGGCGATGTGGAAGGCGATGAGTGAAAGGGTAAGCTGTTGCCAGTGACAGTGGGCCTGAGAGGCAAGGAAAGGGCTCGGGTGGTGTAGCGCAGCATGACAGAAACACCTGAGGGATCAAGGGGGGTGCAGAAAGTGCATTTGTAAGCTGCGCCCATGGAGAGAGCGACTGGAGCTAACGCGGGGGGAATTTCTGAGTCGTTAGATGATTGGTCTGTTTAGGGCTGCATAATCGGGAATATGAGGTGTACGGCGGCCGTGGGTCGTTTGGGTTCGGGCAGAGGAGCGAAGGCCCGTCCCTCGATGGACCACGTTAGTGTTAGCCCGGGAGGGATCGGTGTCTCCACAGGTGGAGTGCGAGGGAGAAGCTTCACTAGGGTCTTTGTTAGACCAAGCCAAGGCCTGTATTTATTTTACCTGGGGATTTGAATACTACTCACCTCATTTCTACATCGTACATCGCCAACACCATCTCGTTTTTCCTACCCAGCACGGCCTCTCATGATCATGACTAGTCTCCATCTTGTCCGTCAGGCAAATGCCACCCTTCGCAACCAACGGCCCAAAATGGTGGCTGTATTTGTAGGGGGAACCAGTGGGATTGGAGAGGCGACGGCAAAGGAGCTAGCAAAAACAGTAGCTTCACCTACAATTTACATCGTCGGTCGCAACCAAGAGGCTGGCTCTCGTATCCTGGCCGACTGTCAGAATTTGAATTCCCACGGCACGTACAGATTTATCAAGTCGGATGTGTCGCTTCTCCGTGAGGTTGACGCGGCTTGTCAAGAGATCCAAAGCAAGGAAGCCGCCGTGGACCTTCTCTTCATGACGCCGGGCCACCTGGCAACTCGGAAAAATAGTACGAGTCCGAAGATAATATCGTCCCCCTCTCCCGGACTGACAAAACTATAGACACGGCGGAGGGACTGGACGACAACCATGTCCTCCGATACTACGCCAGAATGCGATTCATCCAAAATCTGATACCTCAGCTACAAGCCGCCGACCTTCCCGCCCGTGTTCTTACTATTCTTGCTGCCGGAAAGGAGGGTGAGATTGAGGAGAACAATTTCGATCTTCAGACAAATTGGTCCTTCGGTACTGCCGCGGTCTATGGAGCGACTCTGAATTCCTTAGCGATAGAGTATCTGGCTTCGCAGTATACCTCTATTAGCTTTATCCACGTCTTCCCAGGACTGGTACGCACATCGCTCATGAAGTCGAGTTTTGGCAGTCTACTTGGGTCGGTGATTGGTCTACTCACGAGACTGCTGTCGATATCGGAGCAGGAGAGTGGAGAGCGCAATATCTTTCTTGCAACATCGATAGCGTATGCACCGGCCGCGTATGCCGGTGATATCACAGCTAAAGGGGGAAATGTCGCAATCGCGTCGACAGGGGAGGCCGGTGGTGGCTCATATCTCCTGAACTATGATGGGACGGATGCAACCAATAAGACCTTGATGGCAGACTATCGCGTGAGGAACTATCCAAAGAAGGTATGGGAGCATACCCTGGGTGTCTTTCAGAGGATCCTCGGGGCGGATTCTTAGGTTCTCTGAGCTGTTACTCGCGCGATGGAGGCTGGCGATAGAGAAATAGCCTACTTTCATGATTGCACTATTATTGGTACTTTAAAATTACTAGTGCTTCTCTCTAGGGATGATTATAATTGGACCAGAGGCGTAGCTATCTCGTAACTCAATACGATCGGGCTTGGCGATATGACTCGTCCATTTCTCGTACAATGCTAGCTGATCACTGCCTCGCAAGGGGTAATACACTGTACAGAAAAGACGATTTCACTGGTCGAAGCATACATTAGCACCGGGAATCGCAATGGCCGAGGGCCCACCCCAAGGATCAGTTCCCGACGGTGGATCTCCGGGCGCTATTTCCCACCGCACTGCCTTTGACATTCCTCTCGGGCTGAGCAGTCATTCTTAGGGCCGAGAGTGGGTCTTCATTTGTAATCCCATGGGGTCTTTGTTGGTGCCCTGCCCATTCGGGAATGGCATATCTGAGCAGTGCTTGACGAGTAACTTGACCCCTTCACTTGGGCCTATGGGTTCCTGCCACCGCGGTGATGGTAATCGGATCTAGACATTGCACCGCTGCTCGGTGCAGTAATGGTGCGCTGGCCGCGATGTGAACTATTCCGTCGATATAGATGAGATTGGGAAATGAACAACTAAGAAGGACCGGTACTTAGGGCATACATGGTATACAGGCTAGCGACACAGTGTTTATATGACTCCCTAGTAGACTCCCCTACAAAAGAACATTCAAAAATTAGAAGATCAAACTTTTTCGTCTATACCACTCGCAAAACGCTTTCGTTATCGTTAATCCATTCTAAACAACTTTCAGACAGGATGGGGCAGTTTAGCGATCTAGTAAACACCATTTCGAAAGAGTCAGAACGTATTTCAAACCATTGCAAGACGGGAAATCTCCCAGAACCCTCCTTCGATGCGAAATTTCCACCAAACACTCAAATACCTGATGAAAGCGAGGAGCTGACAGGTGCACGGCGGAACCTCTTTCAGGCTGCCACAGACCTTGCGATACTGGCCCTCGGACCGTCCGAATATATTCGTTGGCAGGCATGGAATGTCAGTATAGAGCCCCTTATATATGAAATCGTCACGGTGGCATAGCTGTGGAACTAACCGGAAACTGCAGCAATTCAATGACAATATCAGCCTTCAGTCAATTCTTCGCTTCCGCATCGCCGAATCAGTTCCCCCAGAGGGAATAACTATCTCAGACCTCTCGGAAGCGACAGGGGTAGATCAACACCTGCTCACCCGTATCGTTCGTCATGCCATGACCTCACATATTTTCTATGAGCCTGAACCAGGCAAGGTCGCACACACTGCCTCCTCTCAGGCCCTGTCCAGCAACCAAGGAGTTCGAGACTGGTTGGATATGACTCTTGAAGAATGGGGTCCGGCTGCAGTGCGCACGGTGGACGCTTTCCAGACGTACCCAGGGAGCGAGGAGCAGAAAGAGACTGGGTTCGGGCTGGCATTTAACGGCCAGACGATCTTTGAGTTCCTTGCCCAGCAGCCTGAGCGGTCGAAGGTTTTCGGTGGCGCTATGGCTAATTTTTCCAAGGGCGAGAGCCATAGGGTAGGACATTTCGTCCACGGGTATGACTGGAAGGCCCTCGGGAAAGGAACGGTGGTCGATGTAAGATTGGATTTGAATCCCTCAGTTGTAATACTCGGAAAATACTGATCAGTATGGTTGATATAGATTGGAGGATCCCACGGTCACATCAGCGCTGCCATCGCGGCCGAAGCTCCTGACCTCAGGTTTGTCGTCCAGGACCTTGGCGGGACAGCGGCCGAAGGATGCAAGATGCTTGATGCAGCCTTGAAAGACCGTGTTACGTTTATGGCCCATGACATGAATGACATACAGCCCGTCCTCGGTGCAAAAGCCTACATATTCCGCTCTGTGCTCCTAAACTGGCCTAGGAAGTACTGCGTCAAGTTTCTGAAGAACTTAGTCCCTGCTATGACCCCTGGTGCACTGCTCATTATCAACGAGGGAGTTCTGCCGGACCAGGAGAGACTATCTGCCTGGGATAACCGACTTCTCCGGTGTGTTCACCCACCATTCTTTTGACTCGGAGAGATTTGTTACTGACGTGGAGCTACAGGAGCTTGGACCTCTGCATGATGGGTATGTTTAACAGCAACGAGCGAACGGTAGAAGAATGGAAGGGCATCCTCTCCGAGGCAGACTCGCGCTTCAAGCTTATTAATGTTCGCCGCCCGAACCCGGCGAGTTTACTTTGGATTCTGGAGATTGTATGGGAATAGATGTTTGGGATTTAGGTTAGAAAGGAATTCTATGGATTTGCGATAGAGTATTATGACATCGGAGCCCACCTACAATCTAAACCTAACCATAACGACGTTATTAAAGTATTTTGGCTGTTGTGCTTCCATGTCCTACTTCAGTAGCATGGCCAGAGTCATGTCATTCCACCATTGCCATGCCCAAGGGAAAGTCCCTTCAATGCAATGCAACGGTTATATATAGAGACAGGTCTAGAAGTACACTCACACAGGCCTCTTGGTAATATTCAGAGCTTTTGCGACTAACATTACAACCATGCAAACATAAGGTAAGATTGCTTAGTAGAGACTAAATTTAACACACATATATATATTAATCATTATTCTACAGTTGGGGGATCTCGACCTTAGCTATAGCAGAGGCCTATTTTCCTTCCTCCTTACTTTCCTCCTCATCCGCTGTTCTGTTCGTCTGCAGTCCTTGCGCCGAGTTCAAAACCTGATCTAGGTTATAGCTCTTCGTCAATAGACTTGTGAAGAGCGCGACCCCACATATGGCACAACAGACAGCATAAACGACCCGCAGGCTATCTGTATACGCATCTTTCAAATTATTCTTCTCACTCTCATCTGGCATACCCGCAATTGCTCTGACAAGACCCGCTGCATCCTGACTATATGCATCAGCCATTGGCGCCAGACTGGGGTATTTCAAGAGGTTCTTTTTCATTTGGTTCTGAAAAACCACACCCCCCACAGCAACGCCAATACATTGTCCCAGTGCACGGAAGAAACTAAACATGGCCACGGCCATTGACAGGTTCTCACTGGGTGTTGCAGCCTGCACAGCGAATGTTAAAGCTGGGAAAAGGACGCCCAGCCCCAGGCCGCTGACTAGGTTGATGAAAATCCATTGGGGGATGCTGCTATCCGCCTTAATATAGCACATGAGCCCCATTCCAAGGGTGGAAAGCGCCCATCCGGACCAGACAGCCCACCGATAGCTGCTTGTTTTAGTAATGGCAAATCCCACAATAATAGCGCTGGGGGCGACGGTGAAGGTCTGAGGAAAGAGGGCTACACCAGCGATGATAGGAGAGTACTGCTTTACAGCCTCGAAGTATAATGGAAGATAGTACAAGACACACCACAGAACTAGTCCCTGGACAACACTTCCGATGTAAGTCACAGTTGCTGTCCTGTTATTAAAGATACTTGGTGGGATCATAGGATGTTCGGCGACGTAGGATTCGTAAAATGCGAATGCGACCAGGCCACAGGGGCCTACGATAATGGGTACAAGAGTACGCCATGAATCCCATGCGTACAGCACCCCACCCCAAGTTAACGGAATGAGGAAAGATGTCATGCTTGCGATGAAGATCACTGCTCCGAGCCAGTCTATGGAGCGGAGCTTCTCCCCTACTGAACCTGGAATCGCGCTCAGGTTCAGGAAAATAGCGACAAATACCACCCCGACTCCAATGAAGGGGAAGTTAATGTAGAACACCCATCTCTATAGCCCTGTTAGCGCGTTTTCCTGTATGTTGTACCGGAGACCCTACCCAGGTGACATCCTCCGCAAATCCACCCCCAAGGATAGGACCAGTCACAGATCCAATACTCCACATCGCGCTAAGAATGCCTAGATACTGACCTCGCTGTCTCAAAGGAACTATATCGGTCACGATGACTTCAGTGAGCGCGATGATTCCACCACCCCCGACACCCTGGATGGACCGTCCGACGAGCATGTATGTAAAGTTTTTGGCGATCCCCGACACTAAAGCCCCGACGAAGAATAGTAGAATGGAAAAAAGAATGACTGGACGTCGGCCAAACACATTCGATAGATTGGCAAAGCTTGGCTCAAACACTGGCGGTGTATCGGTCAGATCTGTGAGAGTATACCGCATAGCACCAGTCAGACTCACCTGTAGATGTCAAGAGGAATGACGTTCCAGTCCAGAAGGATTCAATCGCCGTTCCATGCAGTTCTTCCGACATGATCTACTGTTGGTGTCAGCAGTTGGGCGACGTTGGTTCCCGCTTAGCACCCTTCTTCCACATATTCCGTGCAGTCGGGCTCAATGGTTGCATACCGGAAGGGCAACAGACACAGATGTTCCATCGAGAGCAGCCATTAGTGACAACACCGACAGAGCCAAAAACACGAGAAGTCCACGTTTCCCCAGTTTGAAGTGCTCCCCGCCCTCTTTGGACATTACGGTCCCTGATTGATCTTCGTCGTGCAAGACACGCGAGTCGGATGGTGTGTCGCCCGTCATATTTGCCAGAATTGATACTGTAGCCCTCACTCGAAGACGAGCATTGAGCGAAAGGAAAGACTTAAATGTAGCTCTTATTAGCTTCTCATAGAAGCGGACAATACTTTCGGAAATCAGCCCTAGGCGAGAAAGGTCTCACAACAATCTAGAGGGGGTCCATGTGCAATCCAAAATTATTTCCTCCTGGATTTTGAATTACACTATGCTGATAATGGGCCAGACCAACTTTGCATACGCTTCCATACACATCACTCACTGCACTCCCTTCCAAAACGAGAGAGAGGGTCAGACTCCACGGCACAACTCGCACTATTAAGCCTACCTTGCTTTTTCGGTATCCGCTCAAGCCCACCTTTCGGACAATGAAATGAGAGGATATGATAGGCCACTTTACGGGAAAACACTCTGGGGCGTCCGTAGAGTAGTACGCCGGCAAGATTCCACCTTCCAATCCGCTCGGTATCACCCAGTGGGTGGCTTCCGTGATCGTCGGGGTGGATGATCATCTCGGCCTTCGGTGATCTACATTATAAATCAACCGCAGCTGGCATTCTGTGGGGGACCCACAGTGTAATTCCCGGCGCTCGCCGTGCCCCTCGGGCTTGTTTTTTTAGTACCATGGATGGCGACTGCCCTATATTGTTCGCCCACCACTGATTTGGTCGGAAAATCAGGTAACAAAAGCCACCCACAAATGTCCGTAAGTTGATTGGTATTGAATCAGTTCTATTCCACCCATGGTCAACAGACGGGAGTGTGAAACTGGATAGGTAATACAGACATAACCTCTTTTATTCTTGGGCATAAAATATGTATAGTTCCATACCGGAGGTAGCCTCAAGTAGTATATTGTGTATTTGAGAAGCATCACTGCGAGCAATTAACTTGGAAAAATAGCTGAGGGAAAAGAAATTGGAAGGACGAGATAGACGTGGTAGAACGCACCAAATCTCCCCATCACTCCTATAGAACGTAGCGGGAGCAATGTTATGATACGAAAAGAATCTAGGTTGGGCCGTGAACGAGGTGACCAATAAGGTAGAAGAAGTTCATAGATATTAAGTCATGGCTACCAAATAAAACTGCTATCCAAGTTACCGAAGAATAAAAAGCCTTCCTGGACTCGCTCTAGGTAGCAATAATAATCATCTAGGAATTCTACAATTACCACAGCAGGTGAGTCGCTGCTAAGGATATATATACAGGGTAGAGACAAGCATCAATAGATATAACCTCTTCAGCCCTCTCCTTTTGACATCAATCAAACACCAGTAGTAGGACTGTTCCAGCCACGATCGTGCAGATGAAAGCCGAGAAGTAACGGAGGCACCCAGATAAAGTGATAGCTCCGCGATAGGTACGTACGGGGCCCCCTTGGTGGGAGGCATCATACGCGACCTGGATACGAACACTCTCGACTTTCGGTAATTCCTAGGAGAGGAAGTCCCTGATGTAGGACGCCACCTCATGAAGCTAGATCAAGTTAACTTGGGGTTTGTTAAGGCATATTAGAAAGGAGCATAGTGCTTACCTGTTCTCCATAATTCAGCATAGTGAAGTGGTTACCGTCAACTGTCTTGAATTTCACCGAGTTAGTACCCAGGAGCCTGTCCCATCCGTTAAACCCGAAGTCGGTACGGTTATCGAGGAGCCACGTCATGCTCCACGGCTCGTCGTCAGTCTTGACAGGCCGCGGGTCGGTGGGGTGGCGGCACACTCCATGTTGTGCCCAAATGATAAGAACCTTGGGAATTTTTGTGTGAGGCTGGATAGGAATGGCCTTATATTCAGAGAGCGCCTTAATGGTGGCCTCAAAATGTGGAAGTAGCCAGGACGGTGGAGCTTGACCGTTGCTTCCGAGAAGACCAGATTCTGCGAGGAAAGCGTGGAAGCGGTTCGGAAGTGCAGGAAGGTTAACAGGGCATGGGGAATCGAAGAATACAAGCTGCTCCACGGTTTCGCCTTGAGTAATCAGCTGCTGGGTAACTTCATAAGCGAGGACACCTCCTGCGGACCAGCCACCAAGGTAGTACGGGCCCCTCGGTTGGCGGCGACGAACTTCATTTAGATATAGGGTAGCAACTCCACTGATTCCTATGTTGAATTTCGAAGGGTTGGTCATGAAGGGGCAATTAAGACCATAAATGGCGATGGTAGCGTCGACTGGTGGAATTGTGGCATACGACGTGGCTGACCCTGAGCCATCAGGGAACAAAAACAGTGTTTTCGTTGCTTTACTCGGCTTCCCCTGGAGCAAGATAGACACAGCCCGCGCTGTTGAGGCTATGGTGGAGCTTGGCGCAGTCTCCCTGGCTGGGGTACTCGATTTTGGGGTTTTCTGCACAGTGATGGGAGGGGCGGTGTTCGTAGGTGTATTGAGGCCAAGGAATTCTTCAACACAGGCGACAGTTGCATGGTCGACAAAGAGTGAAGATGGGAGCACAAGATCTGTCTGCTCCCGTAGGGAACCCAAAATTGCGATGCTCATCAGAGAGTCTAGGCCGAGGGAGGCGAGATCAGCAGAGCCCGTAACATCCTCCAATGGAATGTCCATCTCTCGCGCAATCGTCCCACGAAGTATCTTGCGGAGTTCGTCTTTCTTCGGGTCAGGCACGTCATTCCTTGGAGGAATTTCATCAGACTCAATGGACACCTTGGAAGCGGCCTCCCAAGAATCATCCATTGAGGATCTCGATGATGTGGATGCTGTCTCTGCCGCTACAAAACTTTGCAGATACCTCATGAAGTCACCAACTGTTGCGTTGTCCAAGAATGCTGAACCCTGAATATCTAGACCTAAGTCCTCGCGGATTCTCCCAGAGATTTGGAGGGAAAGGAGGGAATCAATTCCCAGATTCGCAAATTCACAGTCATCTTGTAGCTCTGAGATACCTAGATCGGATTCCTCAGCGATTATCCTCTTCGCATGTTCGATAGGGCTAGGAACTGAGGGGGCCGGCTGAGGTTCACGAGACTTGACAGTCGGCTCCGGCCTCTGAGTGTTTCGTGAATGCCTGGCCGTGACTGCTGTTGGAACCGCTGCTGGAGTTGAAGCTGCAGGCTTTGTTACACCTGCTGGCGGTAATAGGCGATTAAGAATATTGCGTGGAATACGCTGGAACTTCAATCCTCCAACAACACCAATGACCTCATCTCCATGGAGAATATAGACATTTCCGACCATAACATTATTTGGCGCAGGCTGCATCTTCACGTAAGTTGTGTAGACAGTAGAGCGATCCAATGCGCGAGCAAATCTCATAGATTTCCAGCCATGAGAAATGTAGACAGCATCTGACCCAGCAGCACCACCACCATTAAGGAGAAATCCAGAAATATGGGCAGAGCTATCAATCCAGAACGGATTGACCGTGAACTTCCCATCCTTGTCCTCGGTTTGGAATGCAACCTTAGCGGTACCTTCAACATTTTTGCCGTCAAAGATGATCTCTTCCATGCCCTGGAAGGGACGCGAGTACGAAACAAGTGAGGCGAAGAGCTTATATGCGGTTCCTCGAGATACCTTGTCTGCTTCATTGCGGTCAAGCTTGTCTTGCAACATCGAGATACGATCTTTTATCCAGAATGTGTTCTCTTCCCACTCAGGAATCCAGTTCGCTTTATCTTCAAAGTTCACAACACACTTAGCATGGACTGCAAGCTCTTTTCCGTCATTGTCCACACTGGTATACTGCAGAGATGCTTGCTTCTGCGCCAAATCAGCAGTGACAGAGAGCTGGAGGAGCTGAGAGGCGGTGATGTTGTCCTTCACAATCAGTGGGTTCATAACTTCCATATGTCCAACATTGAGACCAATATTTTTCTTGTCCTGCTTAAGCTCTGCGATAATATATTCACAAACCGTAAGTGCCATATCCGCATAGAGGGATGAAGGGCAGAGCCCGGCACCGTTGACCATGTGTCCCCGAATAGCTTCGCGTAACACCGGATCCGACATGTCTGACTGTGTCACCACCCGGCCTTTGTTGGCATTGAACTCCTCAAAGGCAATCCTGTGCACGGACGTCGTTGACAACTTCGGCGTAACTGAAGCAGGCTCCATACCATGCAGGGCCTTGCGATTGCGTGGATCAACCTTGTGCAGACACCAGTCGTTTACGTAGTCAATCCAGTAGTTTTTGTTGTCGAAGCGATATTGGGGAAGGCGCAGGAATTCATGGCTGGCATTGTACTCGCGGTGAAATTGGTGCCAGTCTATGGGAACACCAGCAGTAAGAAGCGCTCCCGTCGCAACTACCACTGTCTTCCAGGAATCTTCACCTCTCTTAAGGGAAGGGGCGGCTGTCATGCTGCCACCAACCATGGTCTGTACCATTCTCGAGCAAATTGGATGAGCGCCGATCTCAAGTAGCACTGTCTTAGCGTCCAGGAACTTCGCATCGACAGCACTTTGAATGGCTGTGGCAAAGTTCACAGTCTCCCGGGCATGACGAGCGAGATACGAAGGATTGAATATTCCATCAGTAGAGATGACATCCCCAAGAAGTGGGGATATAACTGGTACATTCGGATGGTTGAAGATCGTAGACGATGCTATAGATTCAAATTCCTCCAGGATAGGATCAAGCTGGGCTGAATGAAACGAATACGGAATATCCAGAACCTTGAACTTGAATCCGGCATTAGTCAACCCTCGTTGCAGCTGCTGGATGTTCTCTCTGCTTCCCGAGAGAACCGATTCACTTGGAGTGTTAGAGCAGGCTAGGTCGAATGTGGGGAGACCTGAAGTATGACGAAGTTCATCAATTGATGCATTTACAGCAATCATACCATGGGTGCCAGCCGTTGTGTGCTGCTCAAGCAACCGGGCGCGTTGCCCAACTAAATGAATCGTATCCACGGTGCTCAAAACACCTGCGGCATGCAGGGCAGCGTATTCGCCCAGACTGTGGCCAATGACTGCAGCCGGCTGGACTCCCCATGACTGCCACAGATGCACGAGGGCCATCTGGACGCAAGTTAGCGTCAACTGGGCAACCATTGGGGATGCGTCCTCAGTTGCACATTTGCCCTTAATAATCGGGAGGATCGAAGGGAAGCTCAAATCAACCGATAAGCGATCTAGCTGCTGAATCCTGTCACGGAAATCACGATTCAGCTCGTACAGCTGTTGAGCCAACCCTGTATAGAAAACGCCTTGACCAGTAAAGACGAACACAACCTTAGGGGGCTTTGTTGGAGCTGGGGTCACGTTGGACGTATCTAGGCGCTCTTTCAAGGCTTGGATCAGCTCACGACGGCTAGTTGCGGTTATCGCTATACGGTTGCTATAGTGCACTCGCCGAGCTGTCAAACTGTACGATAGGCTCCCGAGAGAAACATCAGGATTCTCGTCAATCCATTCGATGAGCGTTGATATGTTGTTGCGCAATGCTGACAATGACTTCGCTGATACGACGAAGGGCAAGAATGGACGAGGGTCATGGTCTTTTACTGGTTGCATTCTCGACCCCTCCTGTAGTAGGACAGCTGTATTACCTCCAGCAGCACTGAAGCTGTTAACGAAGGCAATTCGAGGCTTTCCAGCAACGGCCGGCCATGGTTGCTGCTTGAAAGGAATTTTCACATTGAGAGAGTCAAAATCAGGGAGCTGAGGGTTCATGGCTGTCTTGATACCGACATGAGGTGGAATCGCTTGCTTTTCCATCATCATAAGAACCTTAATCAGTGATGATATACCGGCAGCGGCTTCACTGTGGCCAATGTTGGATTTCAGTGCCCCGATATATAGATTCTCACGCTCTGAACGTGCTCCCTTCGGAGCAAAGACGCTCGTCACAGACCGTGTTTCCGCAAGATCACCGGTCTATTCGTAGATTTTAGCAACTATAGTAAAGGGAAGCGGATGGGGACATCATACCTGTGTACCAGTTCCATGCATCTCCACATAGCTTACCTCCAAAGGGTTGACACCAGCTGTGTGCAAGATAGTCTCGTACAGTTCCGCCTGATTTCCACTGTGGGGATTGGTAATGGACACTGCATCTGCACAGTGGTTTGTCGAGGATGCAAGAATGACTCCAAAGATTGGATCCTTCTCCGCCACAGCATCATCCAGACGTTTGAGAACAACACTTCCGACTGCATCTGCACGGCAGTATCCATCTGCGCCCTGATCCCACGTCTTGCATGATCCTGTTTTGGACAAAAACTGCCCTCGACTGAGCCCGGCGTAGATGTCTGGTGCAGTAAGAATGTTAACTCCTCCTGTTACAGCTGTGTCACACTCGCCCGCCTTGAGTGCGGTGCAGGCAATATGCAGTGCAGCAAAACTCGAGGAACAAGCCGTGTCTACACTATAACTGGGCCCACGGAACCCAAAGTGGTAGTTTATACGACCGGGAGCAAAGGCCCGAACACCACCTGGAATAAAGTAGGTTTCGATGTGCTGAGCGGCATTGACCTCACGCCAGTCATCCGAGGTTTGACCATAGAATGTACCCACACGGTCTGCCATAGTTGAAGGGGTACTATTAAGGACAAAGCCAGACATTTCCATGGCCTCATATGCTGTGACAATTGCCAAGCGATGCATTGGGTCCGTCTGTGTGGCTTCCCGTGGGGACATGTTGAAGAATCGCGGATCGAACAGACCAGGCTCCTCGATGAAACAGCCGTAAGGAGTATGACTAGTGTTGTTCGTCTTCCCAGTGGGGTCGTAATGCGTCTCAACTGGAAAGCGATCTTTAGGAATCGTTCGGTGCATATCTCTCCCATTTTCTAGGACTTTCCACAGTGCTTCAACGTCAGGAGCCCCTGGAAAACGACCGGAAAACCCAACGATAGCGATTTTCTCGCGGCCTGAGTCATTTGTCGGGAGTTCATTGACCCGCGATGGTACACTTTCTGACATTGGCCTTATGACTATGGGCTTTTCTTTCCCCGGTTTTTCGATGGCATTGGAGAGGCTTGTGGTAGCCTGCTCTCCAGAAAAGGCGAAGATCTCAATAAAAGATTCCGTGCTCCTCTGGAAAATATTGGCGAGCTCTTGTTGCATGATATCCCAACGCGCGGTCTCGCGTAATATTTCATGGACAGCCTGTTCGAAACAAGCCCTTCCATTGCCGCTATCGATTGACTCGCGGGTCAAGGACGAAATAATCGGGCGACAAGGGGGCGAAATCTCCTTTAGGACCTCTGCTCGCCGCTGTAATACTTCGTCCACGTCATGTTCTTGGTAAAGATGAGGTGCGTGCCAAAGCCCAGGGATGAGGGCCGTGGTTCTCTGCAATGTTCGCCCACGTAGCCGCGAGGCTAGGAACGCGAGCCGCGATTCATGCCCACTGATGACGCACGTCCTTTGGTCGGCGAGCGAGGCGTAAGCTCGAGAATGCTTGGGGATTTCCTGCGGGCAAGTTAAACGTAGGCAACCATGGATTCATTACAGGGACAACCCACCAGCTCATCCTGGATATCCTTTAACTCGCGAGTGATGTCTTCGAGAGAACCTTCTGCAATGAGACGGAAGCTATGCTCGGGACCTGGCTGATCAATGCCTCCGCCAGCCTTCATTATAACAACACCTGTCCGGAACGCTAAGCGTACAGCCTCAACCGCCAGGTCAACTAACTGTAGAGGTGTCGAGGCACATGCTACTGCAGCGGCTGATAATAGGCCAGGCCCATGGCCCAAGATAACATCATCCCTGGAGGGGAATTGGTCTTCGTTGTCTTCAACCAATCTATAGGGTCATAAGCCATCGGGGAAGCTTAATCGGGACTAGAGTGTTCGGTGCTATGAGGTAGGGCCTTACTGGAAAAATAGTGATAATTGATAGACACAAAGCAACGCGATGGAAATTTCTAATCTTTTCACCCGCTGAGACCGCACTCGCTCAATGAGGTCGATCACACTGTTAAAAGGTGGGAGCTGTGCGCGGCATAGTGCTGGCAGCAAGCTGATCTCGTCCCGTAGAGCAACATGTACCTTTGACAAAAAGGCATTCAGTAATATAGATCCACGATTTATTCGATTAGCAGAGGGAAGGCTTTGTTGCCCATCAACGAGCTGATCTGTGAATAGAAAGGCTCTCATGTTGAACTGAGCGATTCTGGTGGCAGGGTGATTGTGATGATGGTTAGTTGGCCTCTGTAAGGGGAAATTATACTTAAAAGTAATGGGAAGTGTACTTTGGCCTCCATACATATGATGCTACCACAGGGCCGCTACGCAATCAGTGGGGACTAGTTCCTATTGCAGTATCCCACTGTTGTACTCCGTGGCGGTTTCAAACCCTCGTCGCTCACCATGAACGGGCATGCTCTCAATACGCCAATAGGTATCTGCATAGACTTCTCTACTTTAATTCTACGATATGCATGGTGTGACATATTCTGAAGGCTAGTCTCCAGACCGCCAGTCCTCGGGGATTCCTGAAGTCCAGCAGGTCAAATCCAGACGGACATGGCATATCCCACGGCCTAAAACTATTACACGCATCATAACTCGGGTAATACAAGTGGCCACTAGTTGCAGATCATCTGTCTTTTCACCGTCACCGTGCGGAGTCTTGGTTCGCCGCTAGGCCATCGGGACAGGAGTCGGGAATCGGCAGTAGCTCGGGTTATTGCATCTGACATGTATACCGGTGATCCCGACATCTTGGGCCGTGCACCGAAATCTCCTGGACTGACTTCTTGCTGAAGGGCAGATATACTAATGTCATGATTGATGGTCCTACGAATACTCCGGAAAGTCACAGGCCTTAAGCCCCCACTACTCCCAAGGTTGCCTTCACCGGAAATAAGATAATAATAATCCTCAGGAAAATATTGATACGATCCCCTTGCATCACCATGACTGCCACTAGCACCGGCCCTGCTGTTACGAAGCTAGCAGCTGAGCTGCGGGAAACTCTAAAGGAATCGACTGTTTTGACTCCAGACTCAGATGGCTACAGTGAAAGCATCAAACGATGGAGCGATGCAGTAGAAAAGAAAGCGGTATGTTACTATCCCACCACTCTCTTACAATGGGGCTCAAGGCTAACAAGTGCTCCAGGGCATCGTAGTTTACGTTCGATCCGCTGAGGATATCTCTGCTACCATCTTAGCATGCCGCAAACATTCAATCTCCTTTGTGGTCTCAGGAGGGAAACACTCGTCTAACGGTGCCTGTTCATCCGAAGGTGGACTGGTGATCGACTTGGCCAAGATGCGCGAGGTCCATGTTGATCCCGCCACCAACCTTGTCCGAGTGCAAGGCGGATGCATCTGGAAGGATGTTGATGATACCGCTTTTGAAAGTGGACTCGCGGCCGTCGGAGGCACTGTGAACCACACTGGCGTTGCTGGGCTCACTCTCGGAGGTGGCTACGGGTGGCTTTCAGGCCGATACGGATTGGTTATTGACAACTTGCGGGCTGTTCAAATGGTCTTAGCGGATGGTACTATCACCACTGTCTCAGAGGAGAATCAGCCTGATTTGTTCTGGGCCGTTCGTGGCGCTGGCCATGCCTTCGGTGTCGCTGTAGAGTTCACCTTCCAGGCGCATTCGCAAAAGAACCTTGTCTGGGCTGGGCAGATGGCGTTCCCCATTGACAAGCTGCATACTATCATTAACTTCGCGAATAACCTAGTTTCCACCACCAATGGAGACTCTGGGCTGATCATGGGCATCACTGCCCCTCCCTTCACCAAACACAAGCCGGCGGTTATTACCAATGTCTTTCATAATGGATCTACCACCGAGGCACTGTCGATCTTCCAGCCTCTCCTAGATCTGCAGCCCATAATCAATAGCACCAAAGAACGGCCATACAACGAGGTCAACGGTATGATGAACCACGCCGTCGACTACGGTGGTCGCAAACTCTCCAAGAGTGCCGTCTTTCAGACCCCCTTACGGCCAGAGTTTGTCAGCGACATCATCCTGCCCGAACTCGAGCGTTTCCACGCTACTGTACCCGGTGGAACACGGTCCATCCTCCTTTTTGAATTCTTCAAGTCGGACAAGTGGTGTGAATATTCTACCTCTGACATGTCTTTCGCCAACCGCGGCCCGCATCAAAACTTGATGGTTGGGCCCTTCTGGGACAGCGCAGAACATGATCAGGTAGCTCGAAACTGGTCCCAAGCCGTGTCTGAGCTCGCCTGGCTCGAGATCAAGCGTAACCAGATTGACAATGGTCCTGCCGCGAAGCCAGCACCAACCACAGAGTATGGAAACTACGACCATCTCGCTGCCAGCCCGCGTCGCATATTTGGGGCTAATCTCGAGCGTCTGATTGAGATCAAGCATCAGTATGACCCGCAAAATGTTTTTGACAAGTCGTACAGTTTAATCAAGGGATATGAAGAAATTGGTCGAGCCGCGATAGGCGTCGCTCAACTCTAATTTTGATAGTATCGTGCCAGGTATTTAGAATAAATTGGACAATGAACAGGTTTATACATGTTTTAGCCCGTACGCTATGAGTATTCTATTGTAGTAATATGATTGTGTGAAAGTATACATATCTATGAGGATAGAGTGGCTTAATATTCCATCTAAGGAGCATTAGAGAAGAGTCTTTAGTTCAATGTACCTCTGCTGCAGATCTAGAAGCTCAGTAGTTACGCTCTAAGAGGTTATTACAATATTCATTAATTGACATATTGATCCAATATAGCTCCTGATGTGCTAGAGCTCTGTGTTTACTTTGGCAGTATGATGCAACATCCTACGTATATGCTTGCCAATCGAGATATCCGTTGAACAGGTCTTACGGTTTTACCATTCTTTATCTCAAATTCGATATACAGCCTTTATATCTTGTTACCATAAAAGGTATCGCCCCGGTATCTTGACTTGTGCATTTCTTCTGCTCATATCTATCTAGCTAAAGGCAATCGGTAACTGACTCGGACAAATTCCATTCATCAGTCTACCAACCTTCATCCTATATTTATGCTAGATACTGCTTGAGCAATTGAATGACGCTCACTGCAAACATCGATTCAGGGGCGTTGCGAAAATAGCCGTAAGCGTACGGGCTAGCCGTGTAAAGCAACCAAACCGCCACCCAAATGTAGCCCACCAAAAGCTGCCACGTTTCCGGTAGCTCTCCCTGTCTCGCTGTGACCTCCCCAGACCTTCCAGTATTGCCCGATACTTTCGGCTTGGTAAGTTTGAAGTAGGCTTGCTGAGCTAGGTCCTCGATAGTGATACCAACTGCCTGTATCATAAAGGCCAAAATGGCCCGGTTATCAGACCCCGGGATGCCAATAACCTCATCCACGAAGTAATGAATCGTTCCACTCAGGCCAAATGTCAACAACACGGTGAGGACTCGTCCCTCGAATGACCGTTTACGCAAGCGGAGGACATCGTAGACGATGAAGCGGATGTTGCTCGAGAGCGGATTGCGCAAGCCTGAGTGCCAGAACACGCTAAAAGTACCACTGATGTTAGTTTCAAATCCCTTCTACATTATTAAACCCCACTATTGTCAGACACTTACGCCCAAAACCGACGGATAGTCCATGCGTTCTCGATACTTCCAAAATACGGAGGCCAGTCTTTAGGTTCTGTGAGGCCCGTTGCGACACCAAAGATACTGGTAATATCATAGATGAACCGAACTGTCGTATATCGGTCAACCCAGAACAAGAACGTTGCGATAAGCCGCAGACGCAAACAGGGAAGTGTCCATAGTTGTGGTGAAAGAAAAATTGCTGCTCGCTCCGCAGAGAAAGCCTCCACTGGCGCCAATCGAAGGTTTGCCAGAAGGTCTAGCACCAGATATCCCAAGGCACATGCGATACACTGGCTCCAGATGAAACGCATACGGGATGGAATATCTGGATAAAACGAAGGTATGTTTGGGGTTTGCCGGGATGTCCCAATTGCTCGATAGCTGAACATGACATGCATCGCCCACTTCAGTCTCGTCCACGGATTCTGGGGACTGGCCTTCAACAGAGATGATTGATCTCCCATTTCCTTCTTTTCTTTCCCGATATCCGGTCGGCCTTTTCTCTCCACGCCCCGGTCGTCCATGTACAGCCTCTGCAGCCCGAAGACATCGACAACAGTCAAAAACAAAAGCATGAACGGGCCGTCTAACCCGCCCGCTTGGTTTCGATTGGGAAAGACCTCCGGAGACAGACGGTGGTAGCATATGCTGGCGACAGACGCGAAAGGCAGTAACGTCAGTCGCACCGGCGACGACGGACGTGTAAAGGCTAGGGTAAGAACAGGAACAGCATGACTGAGAAGCATGAGAGGCAGCGCATTGGAGAGGTAAAACTGTCGCAGCAATTCTGGTATGCCCCAGAAGCTTAGAACCCCCAAAGGGACATAAGCCGCCAGGACGATGAAAGCGACGTCTTTCGCAGGCATAGACATAGTGAGTAGACTGCTGGGTATGCTCTCGACAACTCACATGTGCCTTCTTGGTGGCGCATTCGCACGCCCAATCACGTATGATATATAACTCGGTCTCGCTCATCGTCATTTGAGCCCGGGAGTCGATCTATCAATTGGCGACTCCACCGTCGGGTTTCGGCCTTCACATCGTGCATCGCGGGTAATTCCGCGGTCCGAGCACGTATCACATCTTCAAAACTAGTCTCTGTACCTTTGGCATGGCCATGAATGCTGCTAGAGCCCACCAACCATGATTTTATCCCGTCGCACAATCTTCGGTCTCTTTTTGAAACCCAGAGCCTCGTCTTCCTTCTCTATTTTTTCCCCGCCTCTCCCCTACTACTTTCGTGCCCAACAACCTTACCATTCAGCGCTCTGCCCTCATAGTTTTGCGACCATGTCTAAAGATACTATTGTCATTTTTGGCGCCACTGGCAAGCAGGGTGGATCTGTTGTTGACAGTATCCTGAATGACCCCACGGCAGCCAGCCGATTCCATGTCAAAGCTGTCACCCGTGACATTTCGACGGACAAGGCGAAGGCATTGGCTGCAAAGGGTGCTGAGCTGGTTACGGTAAGTACAATTTTACCCTGATCTCTAGACCTGAGCGACTCAACCTGTCCATCCTCGTAGGGAGACCTGAACGATAAAGAGTCGTTGCGTCCTGTGATCAAGGGAGCCTATGGGGTTTTCGCTGTCACCAACTTCTGGGAAATCTTCAGTGCGGAGAAAGAAGTTCAGCAGGGGAAGAATACTGCTGAGGTCTGCAAGGAGGAAGGCGTGCAGCACCTGGTATGGAGTAGTCTCCTCAACATCAATAAACGTATGCAGCCCTCCGCCCGTTGCCTCTTTGTTCCCCGGCGCTAACACGTTCACTCTATCGCAGTTACCAACGGCGTGCTTTCCCAAGTCTACCACTTTGACGGCAAGGCTGAGGTCGAGGAGTACATCCGGTCCCTTGACATTCCGGCTACCTTCTTCCTCGCCGGCTTCTTTATGTCCAATGTCCCCGGGGTGAGCTTCCGCCAGATCCCCACTGGCAGCTACGCCCTCTCCATGCCTGTTCCGGATGACGCGCCCGTTCCTCTCTTTGCTGCTGAGTTTGACACCGGTAAGTTTGTCAAGGCGATCTTCCTCAAGCGGGACGCTACGCTCGGAAAACGTATATACGGGGCGACCAGTTATTCCACTCCGGCGGAAATGGTGGCTACTTTCCAGAAAGTCTACCCCGAGGCGGGCAAGGACGCCAAGTTCAATCAACTGTCTCATGAGGCATTCAAGGGCATCATGGCTGCAACCGGTGCCCCTGAGATTATTCAAGAGGAGATGCTACAGAATATGCGCCTTCTGTCGGAGTTTGGGTATTATGGGGGGGATGCTTTAGAGCCTAGTCTTGCGGTGAGTTCAGACTTCGGCGATGCTTCTTAACCAATCGACATACTGATCTGTGCAATGTAGATCGTTGACGAACCATTGACGACTTGGGAGGAGTACATCAAGCAGGCTGCCGCTTTCGCCTCGTTGAAGTAGGCAATTAAATGTATAATCCCCTGTGTACATGCCAGGGGTAGCGCACTATATCGTCCCATATGAACAGAGCAAATGCTTATTCGATGTTCCACTAGATGTAGTCCAATTGAGCATGTCATTTACTATTGCTTTCTTCTGTAATTGATTGGTCAATTCTCCGTATAGCTACTTTTTATCTCAATCCATTCCTTCCACAGAGAAAGTTTTGTCTCGTTGCTGCACTCAAATAGGCCTTGCCTTGGTTTAAGATTGTATTCCCAGTTTTGTTGATTTACATGCAGTTATCTGATAAACTCAAGATTATCAAGTGCCTCCAACTCCATACAGTAGCTAGCATTCATCCTTATTGAGGCTTCCTAAGTTCATATGTCCACCCGTGATGAATGCGAACGCAGGTCCTCAATGCCATCCCCTGTTATATAATACCTACTCTTAAGATCTACCCCAGCAGAAGTATACCGGGAGTATACTCTACAATCTACTCACAATAGAGTCACGATAGAGGTAGATAGTTAGGGATATAAGAATAATTATTTATATACTTTGATTAGTTCTTGATGATCAATCTATACTATTAATACAGAGTTATCGTTAGTAGCAAGACCAGTCCCAGCTTCTTTACACTCTCCCGATTATTGAGTCTATACTCAGTAGACCGGGCTCTTCGGACTTGGGTCTAGTATTGATAGCTGTCTAGTGTAGTGATGGCGAGATTTTGATGCATCCCGATATTTATACATATATAGAAAGAAACCTATAGAGAGAGATATATATATCTCACTAGCCGAACCTATAATCATAAACCAGCTCTACACGGATTGATATACAACCTTTGATAATTTAGTTCAGTCGTTTCGACTAATCACAGTAGCCTAGAATATCCAGCTTGTAAGATATTGTGAGTGCTCAAAAATCCATATTCTGGGAGAGGGTGTTGGCCAGTACACATTTTTCGTTCGGGTGGTGATTACCCGTTAGTCACTCAACGAACCTCTTGAAAAACCCCCTTGATAAATTACTCTACGTATATTTTTACAATGCTCTCAGATCTTCTAGTTTTCTTATTATCACTGATGTCTAGTAGATTCTAGTCATTAAGATAAATTACATCTAACCAGATAGCTAACAGATCGCCGAGTCTTTGGACGAACCCCCGGGTGTAACTGTAAGGGCAGTTGCCTCAGGCAACAAGCACATCACTCCAAGCGAGGCGCTGGCAGGGCGCCCAGGCCCTAAATCGCCCCATTAAGATTGGTTCTGTTTGAATACACATACAATTCCCCTAGCGATCTGGACGCAATAGATCCTCCTGGTACTATTCATCCTAAAGCCTGTGGGCCTACGGCTGGCCTGATTACGGATGCCCAAAGCGCGTACGGTAACGGATGGTTAGAATATCTAAGATTGAAAACACGTAAAGCTTGTTGAATACTAGCGAATCTCTAATTTTTTGAAGCTAACGTTACTACTAAGACGCTGCCTTTTTGTGTCGCCTCGGCTTTAGAACTTTCGGGTATTTTTGGTAGTAGAGGCGATAGTTGGATAGCCTCGTTTCGAGGAGGTGCAAAAGGGAAGGTTGACCAGGTCCGTGTACCGGCGATGTGGAACTCTCGGAAGATGGCTGCAAATTCAGTCTCGTATAAGCATAAGTGGATCTCAATATCCATAATTCTCCTGAGTATAGCTCTCTTCGAGGATGTGCATAACTATCCTGTCTAGCCACTCATAGCACTCCTCCATATGGCTTGCGATGTAAATCTCAGCAGCCGTCCCTCTAGCGTCTCTCGGTAACATCCTAAACTGTAAGCTACATTGATTAACTAGTTATAACTAAACTTTCTGATTGACTAATAGGGTCTGGTCCAATCTACGATTAGCAATAACTACAACCGATTGAGAGGTGTTAAAAGACTATCCTGAAATCCCCTGTTTCGGAAAGTGACCGGACAAATGCTGACCAAGAATAGCGAAAAAAATTTTGATTTTTCTAATAATAGTATCACTTTGTTATTGCATGTAATCTGATCGCTGAACGCCGTAGGTAGAAAGGGCAACGATTGCAAATCGCGGTGACGCATCTTATGCAAGGCTACGCCGATGCCCCGCCGGAGATAGTGATGTTCTGACCTGGCCAAACGAACACCTGTCAGATTTGGGCCCCGACGCCATCCATGATAAGATGATAAATCATACGCCTCTGGAATTCGGGAATAGGAGCACATACCACTGAGCCATTGGGCATCCTCTGAAGCTAAGAAAGCCACCACTTTGGCGATGTCGGTGGGGACGCCCATGCGACGCATCGGGGTCCGAGCGGAGACGAAGGCTTCAATATCGTCGATGGTCCACGATGCATCCGCACCGGGGATGTACTTGTACCCGACTTCTGCGGCCATATCTGTCTTCACCCCACCGGGCGCAACACTATTGACCGTAATGCCTCGGGGCCCCAATTCAGGCGCAAAACACCGCGCAAATGCCTCGACGGCGCATTTGCTCCCGGCATAGACCGCATGCTCCGCCAGCGAAACGTGGGCCGAGATACTGGAGGTTAGAATGAGACGGCCATTGTTGGAGAGATGCTGGGAGGCCGCTTGCGCGACAAAGAACTGGCCGCGAGTGTTGACGCTGAAGACACGGTCAAACTGTTCCGGGGTGACTTCGCCAAGCTTGCCGAAATGTTCGACCCCCGAGTTGGAAACAACAATGTCAATCTGGCCAAGTCGGGCCTGGACTTCTTGGAATAGGGTTTGGATCTCGTGGGGGTTGGAAACATCCGCCTGAATGCTGATCGCTTTACCCCCATTGGCTGTGATATCGTCGGTCAGCTCCTGCGCGGTGGAGGAGTTGCTTCGGTAGTTGATGACAACAGCGGCGCCACGACGAGCCAATTCCCGTGCAATCCCGGCGCCGATCCCGCGGCTGGATCCAGTGACGAGGGCAACCTTGCCGTCGAGTGGGGTTGTAGTGGACATTTTGAATGCAAGAAGAGAGCCGTGATAATGCCAGAGAGCTCCGGACACCTGTGACTGATTGCGAGTTGATATGTGTGGACTGTTCCCTGGAAGAGTGGCTCTCTTCCTGCCTCCGCTCTTTATAGGCAAGCCCGACGGCTGGCGCATAACCTGTCATCCTTTGCTCGGACTGATCACAAAAACAAATACCGAACCGCTCGCATTGTATGTGTCGCCATTTGGCCGAAGACCGAGGATTATTCGCGAGGTTCGAGCCGACGGTGCGAGGGCCTTGATGGAGACTGGCCGTAATGTTCTGAATGGTAGATTAACATTTTATATCACTAGAGATTTGTACTGTGTGAACTGGAGCTTGCTCTGCTGTATCTAGAGTTATACGTTCTACATTTCATACCATGGCACCGACTACCAAACCAAGCTTTGAAGGTAAATAAGCGCTCCGCCTCAGGCCATCATTTCTGAGTGGGTCTAACGTACCTTTGAGGGTACAGAATGGCTAGATGTCAGTGAGCTAGCATATGAGTGGGCGGAGAGCTACGACTCCAAGGTAGATGACCCTTTCCGGGCTCATCTCACACTTGTCTAACCCGAATTACAGGACTGGCCACGCCTTCGGTCTATTCTAGCCCCTACTCTCACGGTATGGCACCAACGGCCAGGCCCCAATCTCCGGATGATTTAGTAACCTGGAACGATGAAACCATGTAGATCGATTACAACAAAGTCAATAATTCCAAGTTCTCTGATCTGCCTGCAGACGACTTTGTCGAGATGATGAAGGACCCACTGTTCTTAGGCGACCCCAATATCGACTCGCAGCATATGCTCGGCCTGACCAAATGGGAGAAAACGTCGGACGATGAGATTGTCAGTCACTCTCAATCGAGGGCTGCTCATGTCCGGTGGGAGGAGGGACGGGCCGCGGTGGCGGCGAAGGGGCATGGACATGGAGTTGTTACCACCACGTATCGGAAGGTTGATGGGGTATGGAAATGGGCGGGGATCAAGACATTAGTGCGCTGGAATGAATACGAGTTTGAGAGGGTGTTTCGGGGAGCTGCTGGCAAGTTCGACTAGCGTGAGGGCGAGGCTATGAGGGATTGCCAACGGGAGCGTAGAGCTTCAAGCCCTAAATAACCAGCAATAATAAAAACCCAGATGGCGATTGGGAGCCACGGCAGCTAGAGTATTTCTTACCCTGGAATCACTTGTCTTTCTCATCGGCCATGTATCGGAATGTTTCATCCTGTACCCTGTATTTGTGACGGCCCAGTCCCTATAGCAGGCCTGACGTTATTCTTGTTTTTTGTTTTTGTATCCAAGATATACGATATGCCAGCGCTTCACTCGTGGAATATCTTCTTCTTCGAGCGATTCTCTCGTATTAGAGCTAACCAATTAGATCGAATCATCTACGTTGGCTTGAGCCGTCACATCTTACGAATTAATGGATGACGCGGATCCTCCCCGTACAATGTATCTTTAGCTGCCACTTTGTGAGCTCCAAATGGCTATCTACATTTGAATAAGTGTTCAGCAAAATCATTGTTTTCAACACTTTGCCCCACCATTTATTGATTGGGCTGGCCCCTGCCTATCGGTGTGAGACGTAATATGCAGGCTCGTCGGAAACTACAGCCGCAAAGAAAAAGTAACTTTTATCAGCAGTCATTGTAGGGAGCGGGTATTTCATGCACAGAAAATGAGTAAATCTCCTTTCTGTTAATGTACCTGTGCCTGATGTGACTATAGCTTCCACTTTCTGCGGAAGTGGCAGTGGTTTCGCTTGCTAAATTGGCCGATTAAAGAAAAAATACATAGAGAGTATCACTCTCAAAGTGCTGACAACAGTATTGACTGAAAAGAGAAAGAGGAGATGTAGTTCGGACTTCTGGAGGCCCACCCAGGACAATGGCTGGCTCAGCCTCGGGAATGATGATCGATGATATCCCGACGCGGTGCTCCTGAACATCTGCACTGGCCACTATTGTAATGACTCCTCTCCTCCTAGTGGAGTGATAATATTGTGCCCCGCTGCAAGACAAATACGAGGAAAGGCGATCATCGGGCAATCGCCGTATTGATCAGGGGTAACTTTTGCTTTTTCTTTTGTCGATGGCACGGAAATAGTAAGTGTGTGTAGAAGCCAAGAAGAAGGAAATCAGGGGAATAGAAAACGACAAAAGGGGTCCTCTTAACCTAAGGACAACTGCTCCGCCGATGAGTGCTATATAACTGCGCCATAGATTGTATTTGCATTGAATCCGGTCATCCGTTCGATATAGGAATCACGGCTCTTGAACGATTGTGTTATTGGGTACTTTAGTCGGCTCCATGAGGTTCTATTTCTCCGAAGTTGTGTCCATTCTCTCCGGCGTGCAACTTGCGTTCGCTGCGGGTCTTGATTTGGCACAACCTCCCGATGCAAGCACAACCGGGGACAACCTTCTGCAATGCGTGAAGGGTGCCTTGAACGAATACTTGAGGGACTATCGGATCGTGACTCCAGATAGGAAGGAGTACGAGACTGTTTCGACTGGTGTCATCTTGTAATTCACCCATCCGAAATCCTCTAAATCCAGGCTAACTCTCATAAGGGTCCGCCAATACCCAGCCGTGGTAACATACCCTACTGAGATTGAGGAAGTAGTGAAGCTTGTCAAGTGTGGCTATGACAATGGATACAAAGTTTCACCGCGGTCTGGAGCTCATCAGTAAGGCCATTCGTCTCCGGGCTTACTCACGCACAGAGCTGACCATGAACAAGCTTCGAGAATTGGTCCGCGCTCAATGGAACATTGGTTATCGATATCTCGCATATCGACCATGTTAAACCCTCGTCTGATTTAAATACAGCGGTGGTTGGAGCAGGTGCAAGACTAGGCACTGTTTACAGCATCTTGGGCAAGTACGGGCGCACCTGGGTTGCCGGGATCTGTCCATCTGTTGGCTTGGGTGGCTATATCAGTGTTGGCGGGTATAATATGCAAATGCGCAAGTACGGCCTTGCGGTGGATTGGCTGGAGTCAGCTAAGGTTGTCTTGGCAAATGGGACCATCGTCAATGCATCGGAGACAGAGAACCAGGATCTCTGGTGGGCTATGAGAGGAGGTGGCACATTCGGCCTCACCGTGGAAGCTGTATTGAAACTCACCACGATACCTCGGTCGGCTATGCTGTCCATGAACGCCCCTAAGGAATCTCGACTGGAGGTTCTGAAAAGATTCGTCAACTGGGCGCCGGCACAGGATCCTCTGTTCAATTCTCAGCTAAACCTGTACGGCGACCATGCCAATATCTTGGGCTGGTATATCGGAGAGTCAAAGGGCAACTTGGATGCCCTCATGCATGAGTCTGGACTTCTTGCTGTTCCCGGCGCACAGTTTAACATTACTGGTAACTGCAGTACTGAAAATTCGCGTAACTTCTGGGTATACACACAGCAAACCTGCACGGATGACGAGACGGCCCACGGATTGAGCAACCTTCTTTATAACGTTGTACCGGATGACATTGTGCCGATCAACAATGTCTCATACAGCTTTGACGACACACCTGCTCTCCCGGATGAGCCTCAGGCAATGCTGTGGCCTCATCTGGGAATCGTGGAGAAAACTTACGTCCAAAGGCTTGGTCATTCCAGCCTCAGTGATGAGGACCTGCAATGGATTATTGAGAGAACCGGACAATTGCCCGCTGAGTTGGGTGTTTGGGCTGAAATCACCACGTTTAACATGTCCAGCGCTCCTCCGTCGACCAGCTCATTCCCTTGGTTTCAGGATGCGGAGATCATGTTTCGCGTTGAGGTGAAGAAGGTTGAGAACGAGGAGGTGATGCGGCAAGGACAGCAGTTCATAGATGAACTGGACCGGCTCATGCTTGCAAAATTAGGGTAAGGTCTCCCTCGATTGATCTAGAATATAATTGTCTCACTAACAAACCCGATTGTGGTTGTCACAGAACCGCCTCTTATGCGGGTTATATTGATGCCAAAATCCAGGTCGACCCTCACCAAGCATACTGGGGTACGAATGTCGGTCGACTGGCTGAGGTGAAGGCTGCATATGACGAGAGTGACTTGTTCAGCAATCCTTTCTCTATTCGACCCAAGGCCTAGATACCTGACAGACGGGCCATGGCATGTGTGGGTGCCATGCTCGAAATTGGTCATAGACAGCTTGCATACTGAATCCACCGGATGCGTGTCTGCACACATGGGGTGATATCATTATCATTATTATTCTCATGTTTCTGTTTTTCTAGAGTCCTAATCTGTATATTACTCATGTATTAGTTCTCGTTACTACATTTCTGAGCTTTAATGTACTGATTTGCAATCAACACTGTGGCCCCTTGCGGCTTAGGGAAGTCCGGGCTAATTGAGATGTGATCAAGAGCTTGGGATATTATGGCAGGTCACATTGTCCGACCCGGAAAGGATTTCTCTTCTCAACAGGACAGCAGGTATAGGGACTCCATATGCACGTCTATACCTAGTCCACTGCAAGTAAGGAGCCACAAAACATGCCGAACTCGTCCGTGATAGTATACTAGACAGCTTTAGGAAACATTTACCGAAACCTTACGAGGGGGAGTAGATATACAACGCCTATCATACCACCGGTATTGTAAGAAAGGGGACTGTACACACAACGCTTAGAGATGGTATGGAGCTGCCTCGTCACCAACCAACTTCCCCACCTGGTCAACCAAACCTGCTAAGTGCTCATCCAACGGACCCGCCTCGACCGCGTCCAGATTTGCCTGCAACTGTGTGAGGCTAGATGCACCAATGATCACAGAATCTCCATACTGAGGGCCTAAAGCCGAATGGTAGATAGTCCAGCGTAATGCCAGCGCATGCCCACTAATCCCCACCGCCTTTGCTGCCTTTGCTGTTTCGTCAACTGCGGCCAGGACCGCTGGTCTAAAATACGTATTTTGATAATTTTTGCCCATGTCAGTCTGAAGGCGCGTTAGTGTGTGACGGACTTGTCAGCACGCTGATGAGCGACCTACATCTTTGTCCCAGCGTGAACCGGGCGAGGTGGATTCGGGCGAAACCTGGCCCGTGAAGAGGCCTGCTGCTGCGGGACTAACAGGCAAGAAGAGTTCAAGTTAGCACTATCACCCAGCTACCTTGCGGATTGCGTTGTGGTCTTACCTGTATGCGTAAAACGCTATGCCGTGCCGTCTAAGAAGAGGGAAGAGCTGTGTTTCTGCGGAGCGGATGATTGCATTGTACCGGCCCTGGTACACACTAGGCTTCACCAGACCATGTTTCTCACAGATGGTCAGGATCTCTTCGACCTCCTCCGCGGTATAGTTGCTTAAGCCAAACCGAGCGAATTTCCCGACCCGGTACTCAGCATCTATCGCTCGGCACGTTTCCTCAAATGGGGTAGCCCGGTCAGGTGCGTGTAAATATAAGATATCCACCTTATCCGTCTTTAGCGCTTCGAGGGATGCCGTGATACTTTCTTTAACTCTATCCGCCCTGTGGGATCCAGGCTTCCACGACAGGACTTTGGTGGAGACTGTGGCCCAAGAAGGAACATGCAGATCACCTAGGATCTTTTCGGAGGTACCCGGGGACCCCACAGGGTACGCCCGAGCCGTATCCAGGACGGTAATATTTCTCGCCTGGAGGGTGGTCAGGATGGGAGATGCGGTTGCCTCATCGTAGAATTTGGCCTGAGGGGATCCTGTGCCGAAAGCAGCGGTGCCGAAAACAACCTGTGGATGTGCTGATGGTGCCATGGTCAATGGTCGATAATGAGGTAGCAGAGACTCTGTATTGGGGGAACCTAAATAAGTGGCTGTGAACTTGCCCTACTTTTACATTTATGAGAAGGCGCCGGTTTTCGGCCTTCTCGGAGTGCCGCATTCATTCGCTCGCCGGTCGGTTTTCACCCACAAGTGCCTTCACCGATGGATTAAGGCATAACCGGCTATGTGGGAGGTTCGCGAAGTGTCCCACATATCCATTATCTCAGCCTCTCGAATGGAACGAGGCTCCAGGGCATGGGGGACAACTGGAGCCAGTAGCCTTACTGGCGATCCACCGACAAGCCCCGTCCTGTCCCGTCCCCCAAAGTCTGCCGGTGGGCCCAACGACTAAAATGGCAGTAGCCAAAAGTATTGATTCGTACTTACCTGCTGCATGTAACCAGAGAGAATTCATCCTAGGGAGAATATCGTGCCTTGGGTACATGTAGACTGGAGCATATCCACGAATACCAGTTACCTAAGAGGCTATCTCCATCTGTATGTCTGTATGCAAATCGGTGCAGATACGATGGGGATATCCGGTTACTCAACTCATTCGCATAGCTCTCGCTAAATGCACCCACTCTATCCTGCCAAGTCGTGTATAACTGGCTGAATCAGACCAGTACCTAAGGGTTATAATTATACAGTCCTAGGTTTGATCATGTTTGTATTGTTTGGATATGTTGCCCCTGCCTAGGTACATCTTCATGCATAGCCTTGAATACCATGGCAATTAGCCAACCGAGTCAAGCAAAGAACAGCCCGTGAAACAACCGAGATATTATTGCCCCACTACGGGAAGGAGAAAGAGAGAATAAATAAAAGTAGGGGAAGAGAACAAAGAGAACAAGGAGGCTTCCACGAGACAAGGCTGGTGCTCAACGCCAGCTGAAAATTAACTAAGTCCAATCGTCAGATCGGAAATGACATTAAATTATACATCCACTTCGTAAAATCAATAGTGTATTCAGAGACACGGTTCCCAACCCCGAATTCGATCGAACTTGGCACGAGCTTGCTTCTTTAGATCCGCGAGTAAAGGCGATATTAGGGAGATATCCCCGGTCCGAGTGCCATTTATTGTGGGACTGTATTGTTGATTGAGGCTTTGGATCAACACTCCGACCTTGGCGAGCTCAATTCGAAGAAGATTGGCCTGTAAAACCCGCTCTTCCCCTTGGTCCAGCTGATACGACCCGAGAGAAAGTCGCACCGACGTGGGAGACTGTCTTCCCTGGCTATCGAGCCCACATATTACCCGATCAAACCCTTCAAGAATATGGATTAATAGGGCGACGAGTTCCACCAGTACAAGGATGCCCTGTTTATGATGGGGACTAGTGCACTCCAGGACCGAGATACAGACCGCCATGGTCGCCTTGTGCTTGATGAGGAACTCGTCAAAGGCGACCGTCTCCGATTGAGGCCGAACCCCAAGCTTCGCTAGTTCTTGCGGTAGGATACTTTGACAGTAACACGTGGTGCCAAATAATGAAGCGTGCGATGTGGAGGTCGATGAATGAGGAGGGGTAGGTAAGTTAGTAGCCCTGGCCGCAACGCTGGTCGGGTTGTATGAGTCGGCCAGCGGAGGATTGAGAAGATTAAATTGGTTATCCAGGTCGATCTCCTTGCTGGGGAAGGAATCACTGGGAAAGTTATAGTCCCAATCTTGGAGTAATTCCTCAGGAAAGCGGGGAGTCGTTGAGGGGGAAAACGGCTCCTGGAGAGACGGGGTGCGTAGGGAGTTCTTCTCGTGGCGCTTATATGCCGCACGTTTGACCCCCCGTAAGGACACCCCATAGACGCAGGAAATGTTGCGGCTATGACAGCGCCGGCAGGATGGCCTATCCCTGGAACACTTCACTTTGGCAGCGTTGCAACTGTCACAGGCATTGCGAAGGGGCAGTTCGTCTGTGCCCACGTTGGCAGCCGAGGCTGTCGCGGATTCCGTCGTCACCGGGAGGGATGCCAATTGCGTACCCGAGATAGGCATGGTGATTGCAGGAGAACGAGATTCGTCGGCGAAAGCTTTGATCCAAGTGCGTGTGGTCATCATTCAATTCAATATATCATTCTGCCTTATAAAAGCAAATGTAAGATTTGGTAGAAAATAATTCGGCAAAACTTTCACTCTGCCCTTTAAATTCCCGTTCAGGTCCTTCCTCTTTCCTTTTTTCTGTCGTAACAAAGTTCAATCCTGATGCAGTAACTTTGGTATCAGATCATCGTCAAGGATCTTCAGCTGTATGGGGTCATGACATCCTTTGGCCGCCGATCAACTACTTATGGGACTTATGGAAGAGGTGGCACTTTCTTTCCTAATCTCCTGGTTGATAAGTCATATGCAACTCTCTTGTCTTTCTTTTTTTTTTTTTTTTTTTTTTTTTTTTTTTTTTTTTTTTTTTTTTTTTCTATTTTTTCCTGTTTTTTCCCCCATTCTGTTTGTGCAGGTAAGAAAACAAGAAACTTCATATTTACGGATACTACTTCGGAGATCCAACAGATCTGCATTTATTCCCACTTTTTATTACATATCTACATAAGGGTAATAAAATATTTTCCGTGTCTCCGTCCTTTTGAAGGGCTATGCAGTGTTGGTGTGAAATTCTGTTCCGAACGGGAGAGATCCCCAAGGATATGTGGAGCCATACCTCAGGGTACAGCGTGATTTACTTCGCAGCGGTGAATATGCCACAAACTAGCATGAACTTCTGGCCATGACCTGTCTGGTGGGGTCAGTGAGGTTCGCAGGTCTCGGCTCAAGCGGTCACGGTTGTGGCTGGCTGACTCTACCGGAGTGGAATGCTGATAGTGCGAATCATCAGCTGAAGTGGACCAATCTTACATGGAACTAGTTGTAAACTAAAGTCACTACGCGAGCTGCTGGAACGTGTGGAGCTTGGGCTGGTTGTAGAGCCTGATAGTCTAGTAGATAGGGAAGGGAAGACGTTCTGTACCCACGTAGCCTCAATAGGCTAGGTTTGACCGGTTAAATGCACCGTCGATACTGTGATCATAATCGTAAGCAGCATATCGCCTAAATAGTACGCTCTTCTCTTTTCCTATCCTGCTAGGGGTAGTGGGTCATTGCAGTTCTCAGCTGCCAAGTCCACAGGGCTTGCTGTACTATTGCCTCTTCATCTGGGTCTCACATTATACAAAAGGCTATCTGGGAAACGCTGGTTGGCAAGGATATGCCCTCAGTACCTTGATCAAGACCGCAATAGCGGAGCACATGCATAGTCGATTGTCGATTCCCAGTGGCACCTCCAAAGCCTATGCTTGAACCAAAAAGAACAGGCACCCAAAAGCGTAGATTATTACATATCTATACAAGCCCACCAATTCGCCATAGTTGCTCCCCCGAGAATAACAACAAAGACTAAAAGAAAGCAATGAAAAATATAGCATATGCATCTATCATATATGTAGATCGCAGCAGACCTTGCATCACTGGATACTCCCTAGTATTTCTCGTAGAACAGGACTCCCGGTGATGTCGAATACCTTCTTGATGTAATCCACTTCCAAGGAGAAAGGCTTGCCGATGACATTGGGCACATATCGGCCAGCCAACCTTCCAATCTCTCCTTGCCAATTAGCCACATCAGACCTAAGCAGGAATGAACGATACGCATCCACCGTAGTCCGTAAATGGCTTGAATGGAAGGGCGTATCGATCCCAGACAGAGGAATGGTTGCTCGGCCGCGCTCCAGCTTGATTGGAGCAGAAAGCTGGTTGCTTTCCTGTACAAGCTTTGCGATAATACTTTCAAGACTATTGGAAGCCTCTAGGGGCTGCTTGCCGTGCACGATTTGGTCAAGAACTTTGCCAAGGACATAGAGGTTCGCAGTCTGTCACAATATGAGTATTGCCCCCAAGCTCTTTACCGATAGGAAAGCCTAATTCGATGTACTTACAGTTCCTGTGCAGACATACTGCTCTCCTTCCACGTTGAAGTTGGCAATTTCCAGCAGCTGCTGGCTTTCAGCAGATATTGCCCGAACAATGTGGGACAGGTCCTTAGGTGTGAAACCTGTACATATTAGACCACAGCTGCAGCAGATACGCCAGGCAAACTTACCTTTACCAACCCGTTTTGGGTTCGCGGCTATCATCCCAAACTCAGGGCCCTCCTTGGCTCCCGTGTTTGAAGAATACCTCATAATAAGCCCACGATAAAAGGCAATCTGCGCGATGGCCCAAATCGAGACTCGGTCGAGGAGGGAACTCAACGCTCCTAGCTCACCAAGAGAGTGACCAGCATACATCGCTCCTTCCTGAATGTATCCTTTCGCCTTCAGCACGGCGAAGGCGACCTTTTCCAAAACAAGAATGGCAGGCTGGGTGAACATGGTGACAAATAACAGGCCACGAGGCTCCGAGAAAGTGTAAGACGCGGAATTGGGTGTCAAATTTGGCAGCAGAGGGCGCTCTGTGGTGCTACCATCCGGTAGAACCACGGTAGTCGACATGGACAGATAGGTGTCTCTGATAGCTCTCCCTTTCTTACCTCCAAAGTGTACCGTGAGGTGTTTGGGGTTGTTCTTGACAATTTCAAGTAGTGACCACCCTATACAAGATTTTACCTACATTAGCGCTGTGCTCTCACGATTGTGTTTGAAGCTATACAGGGTGCAAGGCCACTTACCATAGGTATCCTTAAACTGTTTATCAACATCATCCCAAATGGCCTTGGCTAATGGGCTGCTCTTGTAGAGGTCCATACCCATACCCTGGGATGCGCTCCCTTGACCAGTAAACAGATAGGCTGTCCCAGATTGTTCAACCTCCACATCAGCTTCCATGACCTTTCTAGAATCGCTCTTTCGAACCACTTCAATCTTGAAGCACATGCGGCCTTGAGCCATGGCAATGTGCTGCAGATGGACCACTAGCGATTCTAACGGCAACACCATATCCACAAACGACACCTCGAACCGCCTAACTCTTTGTCGGTCGCCATCCAACACAAGGTGATCAAGGGCTGCAGCAGCCACAGCGGAGGTATACATGCCATGGCAGATTGTCCCTGGAAGATTTGCAAGTTGTGCGAAGGTCGGTGACGTATGAATTGGGTTGTAGTCCTTTGAAATGTGGCTGTACTGGTGGCCGTCCTTCGGCATCTGTACGTCGATGGAAGACTTCCCAGACCAACCCGGCTTTTCCAGTTCGACCCGAGCTCCTGACATCAGTGTTCCTTTTCGCTCGAGGAAGTCAAGGACAGGGTTTCCAAGGCATGGACCGTATTGGAAGCTGACTGAGCCATTCTTCTGTCGTTCTCCAGTTCCACAGTCGAGAAAGACGGAGCCTTGAACTTGTAAACTCCCAAATTTGGCTATGCTCTGGTAGGTGACAAAGGATTCCAGTTCAAATATAAGTGATTGTCCAATGATTGAAGGAGAGTCAGTATCAAGGTGGAGCCACTCCCTATCACGGAGGACAGCCTCATCCTCATCTGAAGACGCGGTAACAGCCCACCTTTGGTGCCTGGTACGTCTGAACGTGTTTTCAAAGTCATGAAACTCTCCACGAAAAAGAAATTCAGACGTGACTACCATCACCTCTTTGGCGTCTCGATAGATGATAGCTTCGACTAGGACCAACTTGCCAGCAGCCTCGATTGTGACGGCTTTCACACGCGCCGTCGAGGTTACTGTATCGCCCAACGATAACGGAGTGGCCCCTTCAACATACTCAAATTTGTTTGATCGATGAACCAGAGCTAGAAGATCACCATCGATATCCTTGAGCACGAGTGGCTGGGTTAACGATTCCCAGGCAGCCAGGATGCCAACGTTAATAGGCAGCGTATCAGAGCTCGAAAACGGGAGGTCTTTATTCTCGAAAGCACAACCAGTTGCCAATGACAGGTCAGTCAGCAAGCGCCGGGTGAGAGTCACCTCTGGGCCATGGAATGTGGAATGAACCGTCAGGTTCGGGTCAATATCCTTGCCAAACCATACTTTACTGTAAAAAGACTTGATTTGCGCATTTCGACCCTCCATGACTTCGGTTATAGCCCGGCTGCTTGTGTCAAAATTATACCTGAGGGGTAACACCACCGAGCTCTGACTATATGCACTAGGCTGATGCACCTCAACTACAATGTCTCGACCATTGTGACACTGTACTTTAATGCATGACCTCGATTCAGAGTTAGAAGGCACCGGGACCACTAACTCAGACCTTTCAAAATTGAAATGTTTGGCGATGTGCCGGGGAGAGTCAAGTAGTGAACGAAATGGGTTCTCTCTACGTTTGTGACCCTGCGTAATATATTTGTCAAACAATAATGCCTGGAGCGCGCCCATAATAGCATGAACAGGCTGCTCCAGAGTGCTGGACGCGACGGAGGTCTCGCTCTCAGCCTCAGAAACTTCTGATTCCGGTCCACTTGACGCAGTGGAACAGGAGTCAGGAGTCTGACAGCGACTCTCCTGCTGGGTCTCTACGCCGATTCTTCGACGAGACTTCTGGAATCGGTCAATCAGACCGTACACAATCCCGTCTAAAATATCCTGGGCGGATTCATCCGATCGTGTGGAGTGTGCGGCGGCCACTGGGCCATGAAGCACGCAAACTCGGCTAGCATCTTGGCCGACAACAGCGTCAAGATCCTCGGACTGCCAGAGGGAGTCTTTCTTGAAGTAAAACTCGAAGTCATCGTCAAGGGTCGGGATAAAGTTCACTGGCTTTTGCCCAGGCTCTTTGCATCTTGCGATGAAAAAGGATGCATCTTCGGGACTGAGAAGTTGGACGCCCGCTAAGGGGCACACCTTTACAAGGCTTTCCAGGAACACATTTGGGTCTTCTTCCAAAGTCGAGGTGGACACTGCTTCTCCATCGCCTACCGTCAGTCGTTCTAATGTCCTCGAGGCGATATCCTGGACCAAACGGATATATGACGCATCAATCCACCGCTTCTGGTGATCGACATACATCAGCTCTACCAACCTGCGCAAGACTTCCATGTATGTCATCTGGCTAATCTCGACCACATTAGCTTTCGAGTCGCGGCCGAACCAGGGTTTGGCGTAGTCAGAGTTGAGTCGCTCGATTATGTATTTTCTGTTCTTCATGAGATAGGCGATCCGATCCTCCCTCGGAAGGTTAAAGACCGTTTTATCCATCTCCGCCCATAGCATGACACCACGATTGGCAATCTTATGTATAGGCTCCCCCATCTCCGATTTCACAGTGACGATGCCTCCTGCAGAACCGGTATATGTTTTCTCCCATTCATTGTCGGATACCCCTGGCGTATTACATATAAGCTCCTTCACTGCCTGAGATGTATGTGCCTCTTGAGACACCATCATGCGACTGCCCAGCAGGACTCCATCAAAGGGCATCTCGGGGTACCCGAGCTCAATGGACCAAGTACCCGTGAGGTAAGGGTAGATATCATCAGTATTTCCAAATCCACTCCCTGCCACCAGATATATATTCGTACATCTACGTATAGCGGCATACATGCTTAGCATCGGGGCATGAAAGTCTTCGAAAGAGTGATGGCCGCCCCCACGCCCTCCAGTCCATTGCATGATTATTGGAAAGTTCGGGTGTGCCTTGGCGATATCGATTACATCCCGTATCGCTGGCACGGATCCTGGCTTGAGGGAGATATGCTGAATTCCTATAGAGTTAATATACTCGGCCACTATCTCGGCAGATGGCACCCCAGCTCCGATGGTTAGGCCCTGGATGTGATACTGGTTTCGAGACAGTTGCTGCAGCAGAGGGATTTGCCAGCTAATGGCCTTCGGGTTTGCGTATATTAAGTTGACCGTGACCCCCCGCCCTTGAGGGATGCTTTGAAGCACTTTCTTGACCGCCGTTGAGAGATCATCTTCTTTATAATAACCCCCACCAGCCAGCTCCACATGATAACCGGCGTTGACGATGGCCGAAACAACATCCCAATGCGCTGTAGTCGGCGTCATACCAGCGACCATGACGGGGGGTGTACCTAACAGCTCTGTGAGTCTGGTTTCTAATCGAACTAGGCCTCCAGCCGATGCTGATAATCGTGGTCGGAACCGCTGGCCCCATGGCCGGATTTTGGTGGACGAATCGAGAAGTGATGGGGACAGCAGGTCAACTATGTTCCCCATTTCCTCATCCCGTTTATCAGTCTGGAGGGCGCTTATTATTCGAATCCCGCGTCCATCTACATTCAGCTTGGCCAACGGAGCCATGACGGGGTCAAATGAAAGGATGTGAGTGGTGGACCCAGGGAGTGCCAGAGTTGCGGGCCAATCACAAATCTCAAGCAGGATGGCATCTATCAACATCGGAATCAGGTTTGAAGTCGACGACTGCTTGATATCGTGTCCACTCCTGGTATGCCGAACTGACAGCCGGAGCTGGGCTCCGATGACCACTTTGTCGGTAAATCGTGTTTTCAATTCAGTTGCGATATCGTTTAGGTGTGGTGTATGGAATGGAATGCTGATAGGAAGAAATTCGTGAGTGAATATAGGCTTGCGGCTGCTAAAGGGAACCCGGTTCTGATCATTGCTGGAGGCAGCTATCGATGTTAAATAGCTGTCCAGGCGTGCTAATGATCCCGCAGGCCCTCCGATCACCATCCGATCACGCGTATTCACCACGCTCATATGTACTTTCTCGGAGGAATCGAGACTTTCATTGATCTGAGCAATTGTTGACTCGGCCTCGGAAAGTTGCATCCCAGAGATATCTAGCATGCACGACGGAGATATCTCGGTATTTGCAGGTACGGAAACTCGTGGTGTGGATTTGTAGCATTGAAATCCAATCCAAAACAGAAGTTCCAAGGCCATTTCCGCATAATGGTAGAACGATGCCCATGTATCCGACAATGCAACAACCACTGCAGTTAATATGCCCTGGGAGTGGCCCGCGAAGCTGCTGAAATGGGACCCCAACTGTCCTGGTGTAAGGCCCAGGAGATGACATGAAACGGCGTACCGGGCTAGGCTAAGCAGACCTGTGATCGGCATACTAACAGTTGCCTCCGCCATTTCTGTCGGGCCTGGAATAGTTTGTGGATCGCGCATCCAAGATTCTAAATCCAAAGGATGATTAAGTTGAGTACTGGCCTCAGGAGATCTGGAGAGATCGCGAAGGCGGCCACCAGCAACGCGGAAAAGATCGGCCAAGAATGGCTGGTAGGTATTGTAAAGCTCCCTCAACTCCTGGATGCATACTGTATTTCTAGACCCTTGTCCTCCAAAGATGCCCACAAGCTGAAAGTTCCCTCGTAGTGCCTCCTGCAAAAGTGCGCTCTGAGGACCCCCATACGCCCCGGGCATCGTACACGCTGCCCGGTAGTATGTCTCAAGCCATCGTTGACGTTCAGCTGGACTCTTCGTAATCTGGGATATCACCGCATGTACCTCCGAGTTCCGTAAAAGTTGATCGTCAAACGCGCGGACCACTGCTCGAAGGGCTGATGGAGGTGTTGCTTCCTGGTCAAGTAAATATCGAATAAAAGACAACACTAATTCAACTGGGCTTCTAGGACCGTGCGCTGATTCGCTGCTTGTGGGAAGTTGTACAAGAGACCAAAGAAAATCGTCTCTCTGTCCCTGGAGAAAATTCCAATCGTCAAGATCAATAATAGTTAAAGAGACTAGTACGCCCTGGAAGATTAGGGAAAGCCGGCCCTGCATCTCAGCTGGCGATGAGGTTGGAACTGCACGGTCCGAATGGATCATATTAGCTGTTGGGATGCCTCCAATGTACACACTCTCAAGACTGAAGCTAAAGGGAAGGCATAATCCTGCAAAATGGGTCTGTTGCTTATTAGTGCCTTGGGTCATATCCCCCCTTGATGATCATGTCGGTGAGAGGCCACAGACAATGTGCACTGAAATCAAGCTATTTCAACGGCACAAAGCGAGATACAACCACGGCCTTTCGGGCTGTATTTGCTCACCGATCCTAGGCTGGCCAAGCTTCGGCCACTGCACCCCAGGACCGGCGATGATAACCGGCAGTATGGACCTATCTTTTTTACATGGCGTGATTGGCCAGGACCCGCTGAGTGGAAATCCCGGGTGTCTCGGTCACTACTACGGACTTCGGCTTTGTGCAGTAGAGACCGGCCATGGAGAAAGTGAGAGATCATAGAAGGCAACTTATTGGATCGACGCCACCGATCGCCAACACCGATCGCCGACGGACAGGTGGGGCCGGTATCCAGCAGCCCTAGGTGCATGGATATGGTCAAATTAAGAAAGAATTTTTCATGAAAGTCTTAAAAGAACAGTCTCACTGGCTCGCTCGTACTCCATGTTTCATGTCCCACGGCCGTCAACTTATCCCTTCATACAGCTGTGTCAGTGGTTCGCTGAGCTACGCGGAAATGACTACCCAGACGGCCTCAGTTTCGAAGCTGCCGGATGATCAGGACGAAATAGCATTCAAACTCTTAATTGAGCTTTTATCGTAAGTCCCAAATGTGGCGAAAGGTCAATCTGTCATGATGATAACTAAATCTTTGGCGCCTTGTATGTCACGTACAGGTACCATTTGGCGTCACCCGTGCAATGGTGAGTCTCACACGTGCGCAGGCAGGCTATGGGTAGCAGAATGAGTGACATTGACCAGGATCGAGACGCAAAATGAGCTGTTGCAGCATAATCCACCGATTCATCGCCTTGTCGAAGTCGGACCGCGCACGACATTAGCCACGATGGCTAAAAAGACCGCTGAAAAACGACATTTCACACGCTCCCCAGCGCAACGCTCAAAATTTTCATTCCTTTCAACTGCCGATAACTCCAATGATATTCATTATGAATATGAACAGGAAGAGGAGGTATCTGATAAGGCCGCGGGACCAGCCATAAAAGTGGAGAATTCCATTTCAGAATCCGAGAATCCTCCTGCAGCACCTCAACCCACGCCTCAAGCCCCATCGGTTTCCCAGTCAATGAATCGAGTTCCTACTGAACAAGTACCTCTCTCTGCAAGCCATATCCTGGTGGCATTAGTTGGCGAGAAACTTAACAAACCCTTTGATCACATCCCAACAGATTCCACTATCCAGGACTGCTCTAGCGGTAAGAGAGAAAACCGGAGTTGGCCTTCCTTAAATAAAGCTCGCTAATGTTTCGAACAGGAAGGTCAACGGTTCAAAATGAAATAATTGGTGCATTGGTGTCGGAGTTTGGGAGGCTTCCAGATGGAGCCGAGTACATGCCACTGAAGGCGCTGGGTGACGCTCTGCAGGCCGGGTTTTCCCACCAGCCTGGCAAGCAGATGTCCCCACTCCTCTCCAAATTTATCAATGGTAAAATGCCCTCTGGGTTTAATAAGGCTGCAATTTACGACTATCTGGAATCTTCCTGGGGTCTAAATAAGGATCATTCTATTGTCCCGATGTGTCTTGCAACAACCCTTCAACCTCCTTCCCGACTCGCCTCCAGGACGGATGCAGAAGACTTCTTCAATACGGTTGTCTCACGCTATGCGCCATACGTGGGAATCTCGTTTGCCGTCTCGCAAACGACTACAATACCTGAGCCACCAATTAACCGGACTGCGAATGGTAATTCATTACCGGACCACATCCTAGACCCAGCCCAATTAAATCTTTTAGCGGCGTATCAGACTCGCATACAGCCACAGAACGATCCTCGGTTAGAGGAACTCGCAGCGTCGGCTGAGGAGATGACCAAGCGGCTGGCAGAGGTTCAAGCTGAATTGGGTGACCAGTTTCTTGATGGGATCAAGCCGGTATTTGACTTACGGCAGGTCCGCCAATATGATTCCTGGTGGAACTGGGTAAGGATTGATCTACTCAGATGGCTTGGCCGCACTGGAAGTTCAAGCGAAGAGTCTCTGTTGGATGGAGATGAAGATCTCCGCCACATATTGAACCGATGGGAACCTAGTTGCACCAGTATACTACAGAGTCAAGTATCTAGCAGCATTACAGCTACGGGGCAGCGTGCTTTTTACCAGAAGGTATTGCAACTGTCCGAGACAGCGGAGCTAGCGGACCCGGTCTTTATGTACAAAAGGCCGGCGCTAGCGCCCAAGACAATTATCGACTCAGACGGTACAGTGCGCACTGTAGACGTACCTCGCAAAACCTCCAACTACGCAGATCTTATCCGCGAGACACGTATCTCTGGGTCCGGTACCGACTTACCGTTTATTAATGTCCAAACGCGTGCAGAAGGCGCGAACTTTGCATATGACGTAGCTGCAACCCGCGTCCTGGCCGAAGCAATGAAAGCTGGTACGGAGACGGGATTTACATATATCGGAAAGTCTGCTTTGGTCACCGGCGCTGGAACGGGTTCAATCGGTGCCGAAATTGTGAAGGGTCTCCTTAGCGGAGGTGCACATGTGGTCGTCACCACCAGCCGATCGATCACGGCCAGTAGCCAGGCATTCCAGGATATGTATAAGGCATATGCTGGGCGAGGTGCGAAACTCACTGTTGTCCCAATGAACCAGGGAAGCCAGCAGGACTGCGAGGCCCTTATCCAATACATCTATGGGCCCGAATCACCCACCGGTGGAGACCTTGATTTTGTTATCCCTTTTGCTGCCCTCAACCAGGTCGGTGAGATACACATGATCGATGGTCGTGCCGAAATGGCACAGCGAACAATGCTTGTCAATCTCCTCCGCATTCTAGGCGGTATACGAAAGGAAAAAGAACGTCGGAATATAACGACTAGACCTACAACGGCAATTCTTCCCATGACATGTAATGAGGGTACAATCGGTTCAGACGGCCTGTATCCGGAGTCTAAAATTGCCTTGCGGTCCCTATTCAACCGCTTTTATTCGGAAACTTGGGCCGATTATGTGCACATATGCGGTGCAGCTATCGGCTGGACACGAGGTACAGGCATCATGCAACCTCTAAACAATATTTCCGAGGAAATCGAGAAACTTGGAGTAATAACCTTCACGCCTGCAGAAACTGCATTCAATATCCTGTCCCTGATGACACCAGATATGACTGCGATGTTGGAAGAACGGCCAATACTCGTAGACATGGCGGCTGGTTTGTGTGAGATGTGGAACATGAAAGAAACAATCTCCAGTGCCTTTGCCACTGTCGCAAAGAAGCAAAAGGTCCAGAAAGCGTTACAGGCGGAGAAAATGCGCCATGAAGAGATTCTGTGCGGCCAAGCAATACGTACCCAACCTGCAACATCAAACCTCCTCCGACGCGCCAACATACAGTTGGATTTCCCAGACCTCCCTAATTACGATGAAATAACAGCAAACCTGCCTGGACTAGATGGCATGGTTGACCTTTCGCGCACTGTGGTTGTGGTCGGATATTCCGAGTTAGGTCCGTGGGGTAACTCTCGTACACGTTGGGAAATAGAATCTCAAGGAAAGTTTTCCTTAGAAGGCTATGTGGAAATTGCGAGGATTATGGGCTTAATAAAGTACTTTTCTGGGGATATGAATGGACAAGCCTACTCCGGCTGGATTGATGAACAAACCAATAAACCCGTGGCTGATGATGAGATACCCCAGAAGTACCATGAGCACATCATGAGCCATGTTGGATTGAGAATGGTGGAGCCAGAAATGGCTTTAGGATATGATCCAGCGAAGAAGGAATCGCTGCATGAAGTTGTAGTGGATGGAGACCTCCCGCCATTTGAATGCTCCAAGGCTACCGCAGAGTCGTTCAAGCGCCGCCACGGTGACAACGTCTCCATATATCCACTTTCCGATGAAGACTACAAGGTCGTGGTGAAAAGGGGAACCGGCCTCCTGGTACCTAGAGCAACCATCTTCGAAACGACAGTGGCCGGTCAGGTCCCCAAAGGCTGGGACCCTCTGAAGTACGGCATACCGGAAGATGTTGTGCAACAAGTGGACCGCCTCACACTTTACATGCTTTGCTGCTTGTCAGAGGCATTGCTATCCGCGGGTATCACAGATCCTTATGAACTATATAAGTACATCCACGTTTCTGAGCTGGCCAGCTGCATTGGGTCCGGGGGTGGTCCACTTATATCATCACAACGGCTGTTCCGAGACCGTTACATGGAAAAGCCAGTGCGGAATGATATCCTGGCAGAGAGTTTCTACAACACCATCGGTGCTTGGATAAATATGCTGCTTTTCTCCTCCACTGGCCCACTCAGGACTCCTGTTGGAGCTTGTGCAACTGCTCTGGAGAGTCTGGATAGCGCATGTGAAGCTATTCAGTCTGGGAAGTATAGAGTTGCCTTAGTTGGTGCGGCGGACGACTTTACAGAACAGCCGTCATATGAATTTGCCCAGATGAAGGCTACTGTTAATAGCATGGAGGATTTAAAGGCTGGCCGACGCCCGGGCGAGATGTCACGACCCACTGCCACATCCCGGCAAGGTTTCGTTGAATCTGCCGGTAGTGGGGCTCAGATCCTCATGACCGCGGAGCTTGCAATGGAGATGGGACTTCCTATTTATGGAATTGTCGCGTACAGCCAGCTGGCTGGGGACCAGATTGGACGTTCAGTTCCTGCTCCAGGAAAGGGCCTCCTCTGCGCTGCCCGGCAGGCCATTGATGGCGAAAGCTCACCTTTTCTTGATCTGGATTATCGCCGCACAATGTTTCAAGATGAGATGGCCGAGATTGATAATTGGTATAGCAAACAGCTTCTGGCCAAGGGGCCATCCCAGCACCTGGAGGTTATCCGGGTCTCTAGGGTTCAGGGGGCACAGCACCGGTGGGCCAACAGCCTCTGGCATCAAGACCGTTCAATATCTCCTGTCAAAGCAGCGCTCGCTACATGGGGCCTTACTATCGATGATATTCAAGTAGCCTCATTCCACGGAACGTCAACCAAGGCTAATGATCTTAACGAAAGTGATGTGGTCAATACCCAGATGGCCCATTTGGGTCGGACACCGGGAAAGCCCTTACTAGTAGTGTGCCAGAAGAGCGTAACCGGGCATCCAAAAGGGCCAGCGGGGGCATGGCAAGTCAACGGATGTCTCCAAATGCTCCGAACAGGAATCGTTCCAGGGAATCGAAATGCCGATAATGTGGACGAGCAGCTGAGGCAGTTTCAGCACCTTGCTTATCCTTCGCAGTCGATTAACCTAGACGGAATTAGGGCAACCATGGTGACCTCATTCGGGTTCGGTCAAAAGGGTGCGATTGCGATAGTTGTCTCTCCAAAGTATATTTTTGCGGCGGTCCCACAACCAATATTCGACAACTACCGATCTCGTACTATCCAACGTCAGCAGTCGGCGAATCAGGCGTATGTGTCTGCGCTGCTCAATAATTCAATCGTTAGGGTAAAGAGCATCTCACCATGGAAGGATCAAGCGCAGCTTCGCCAGATGCTCCTAGACCCCCATTGTCGCCTTTCAGATGATGGATCACTTGTCACGGAGCCCGCTGTTAAGAGCGCCCGACAGGATCTACATTTTCTAAGGGGCCAAGAATCGTCCGCAAAATCGCGGATGCAACCAATGGACTCGAAATCCCTGTATGGAGCTGCTCATGATATGATTGAATCCATACCCACATCTTCACGGGGTGCCTCTGCGATCTCCGTCGGCATCGACATAGAAGACATTTCCAGTGTAAATATTGAAGATACTATATTTTTGGAGCGGAATTTCACCGCTATTGAGAGGGAGATCTGTCGCAGTTCGCCGAATCCTCGCGCTTCATATGCTGGGCGCTGGAGTGCGAAAGAAGCCGTTTTCAAGAGCCTGTCTGTTCAATCGCGTGGTCCAGGGGCTGAGATGGCATCGATTGAAATACTTAGCGACTCAGGAATACCGAAGGTGAAGGTAAGCATAATCCGGGATATACCGAGTCTCCGTACCTAATATGCGCGCAACAATGACTGACAACTCGTTACACTAGCTTCATGGCCCTGCCCTAGAGGTAGCAACTCTCAAAGGTATTAACCGTATCGAGGTCAGCATCAGCCATGCTGCTGGGAGCGTCGTTGCCATTGCTTTGGCGCAGAGTAGTTGAGTGGTAGAGGCATTTGACACGTGTCTCCTGTAATGCTCATGGAATGTTATCATTTGGCCATCTTTCACACAATATTTCAGAAAGGAACGGTACCCGAATTGGACTCTGTATGGGTGCCTATACCATTTAATCTTAGCCTTATACCCTAACATTTAATCATCCGGCGTGGCAATTTAGCCCCCCAATCGTTTCTCTCGTTTCAGGATCAACATCAAGGAGCCCATTTTGATATTTTGAGCCGATTACTAGTTAACGTACGGCTAGCTTCCTATGCCGAATCGGCTGAGGGAACATCCGCGACATATCCCAATCTACGTATCCCCGGGTTTGGATATGATTTCTTATCCACATATCCGCAAGGATACGATCACATTACTACATGGTATCCGCAGGTTAGATCTGGACACTTGATGGATAGGTAATATAAATTCACCTTACAGATACATAATATGTACTATTGAGTAACGTAGGAGAGGCTTCTCGGAAGGTTTTATTAAGCTAACGGGATCGGACGGCGAGCGAGCGGGTCCTGTGTACACGGAGAGGACCTACAAAGAACAACCACCTCAGTACATTGTGGCACCTATGCTGACTGTAATAGACATTTGGACAACTGACAAGTACGTTAGGAATCATGAGCTACTGTAGCTTTTCATGTAACCTTCCCGTAATCCTCAATTTTCCCATTCGAGATCATCCTTCTGACGAAGCCTTAAGATACCACAACAAAAACAACCAAAAAAAAGATCACCGAATCGTATATACAGGCTTGTCTAGTTGCTGCTGTAGTGCCTCAGCGAGATGATCTGGCCACCATTTGTGTGCAGCTTTTCGATAGACCCTCAAACGTTCGTTGAAGACACGGTTGCCCGCACATCCCCCTTGAAATAATCGCTGTAAATTGGATCGTGCGGTCTGTCTGACGTCGTCATCCGTAACCATGGCTAAAATATGTTGAGGAAGGTCCAGGGGCTTCTTACATGCCTTATTAAGGCTGATTGTAAGAAAGAGTGGAAATGAAAATCTCGGCCCCATATCATGACCATGATCATCGATGAAATCTCGCCGCTGGACGAGTACTCTGTGTATGGCTGCATTGCACACCCCATCAGTTAATGCTTCTAGTTGCACACCGACATTGATTATCATCGCTCCAGGTATAGGAGGCACGGGGATCCATTCCCCAGCCGCGTTCATGGCCTCAAGACCCATGTGTGGTGTCCCAGGGAGAAGAAAGGTCAGGAAGCCGGAATCTTTATGCCTTCCTTTACCCTGCGTTAGTTGCTCCTCACTACCACTCTCCGGCTTGGAGTATTTAGCTAACGTCAAGCGGCCGAAGGGCTCCGCATCAAATAAATTCATCAGTTCTGGGAGATGGATACCCAGTGCCTCAGCGATAAGGACTTTAAATTCATCCGCCAGCTTCGCAACCTCCGCCATGTATGTTTCTATGACGGGCTTAAATCTAGGTAATATTTTCTTATCGGGCCACTAAGTTCCAGCTTCAATATTAGTTAATGCGGAAACATGGATTGATTTAAGAACAATGTAGTTACCAGATTGGGCCCCTGTAGATTGCGATAAACTGGCTCATTGGGCCCTGGAGCAGGCTGTTCATACCCAAGCTACAGTAGAATAATAAGTAAGGTTTTTGACAAGGCAAATACCGTAGGACAGTGAATGTATGTTATTATTTAACATACCGTGTATGTTTCCCGATGATCCTGTTTCTTAGAGGTGGTTGACTGATCTAAGCCCACATATCCAACAAAATGTTTGCTATTACTCATATCAATTTCACTTTTCTTCTCCGGTGAAAGATCAAAGAGCTCTTGTGACTGATTAAGTAAGTCCTGCCGTGCTGTAGTTGGAACTTGGTGATTTTGAAGGTAAAAGAAGCCAACTTTAATAAGGGCATCTCGAAGGTCCCTCAGGAACTCAGGTCTTGTCCCTGGGGAGGTTGACAGTGAGTAGTCGAGGATAGGAATACTACTGAAGTTTTCAGTCATGATGGCTTAATGAAAAAGTCAATGAATTTAAGGAAGCTGTGAGATGTGCGTAGTTGAAGTACGCAGATATTATGGATGAAGTGGAGTAGGTAATTGAAATATGGAACCATCGCTTACGGTTTACCGGCCGATTTAGGAACCGCCTACTAAACTAGGACTATTCTGCCGGGCAGGAACGTTATAAATTCCTATCCTAGTATTTAGTATATTAATAATATTATCTCTGAGCCTCCATAATAGACTTTACACAGTAAGATATAGTTTAGGATAGGTGTAGTAGAATTCTCTGTTCTGAAGGCCTACTGGTTAGATATATTATATAGAGCTGAAGGTATATATAATCCTATTAAACTATGTGTACGGTTGTCTTAGTCCCGCTTATTATAGTAAAAATGGTAGGCTGGTAGGATGGGCGCACGATTCCCTCCTAGGGGTGTTCCAAATTTCAAATACCAGTCACCCTACTCCGTAAGCTGCAGTACTACCTGAGTGTTCCCAGCCCCCCCTTCTAGTCCACAGATAGCGAGCTTAGTCTTGAGTTGATATCGGGTCGGGTTTGGGTCCAAAATCCAGGACCCGCCCCAGACCCGCGGCAATTTCGGTAAACCTAATCTGAATAAAATCTAAAAATCAGCTACTAGGCCTAAATAGATAAGATACTACTTCTTAATTAGATATTTTATCTATTTAGATCTGGTATAGAAAATTTTAAAGCTCTGTATCTCTCTTAATTCTATATAGAAACGTAGAAAAAAATCTAGAAACTCTAGATTTTTCTAATGTAGGGCATATTCTAGATCAAGAACCTGATCCGGGAAATTACCGGGTTCGGGGTGGGTTTAGCGGGGGAACCCGAGGAACTCTTCCGATCGTCAGGCGGTCAACTACGGTACTACCAATACAGCTGTTAATACTGGATTACTGTCAATACAGAGTTAGAGTTAATACAGAACTTGTAACAGTGGGTGCTTCAGGCAACGATCACCCCGCTGCAAGCGAGGCGCCGGCTGCCCGCCAGCGCCCTAACCCGCACTATATAGATTTCTGGCTGGCTCAAGGTATCAATGAAGGAATTGCAATTGCACATCACACCACGCCTAGCCTATAAGATGGGGACCAAGTTGTTTTGAGTGGCACCTCTCAGGTCAGCAGGTTCGAGAGATGTGTCAAGATCTGCATCAGACATGATACTGCCATCAATGTGCAATCCGGCCAAATATTGCCTATCTTGCGACCTGAAAGTCTCCGACCACCGATCATTCTTGCAGAAGTTGCCTCGGAACGGCAAGAGCTGGACCCCGGTGCTATTTTGTTATTCATCTCCCCATGGTTACCGGGACATATTGAGAAAGGCCTGACCATTAGGGTTGCAAGTCGGCTGCAACAAACTGCTAAAAGCCAAAGTAAGAGAGTATGTGGAAATTTGTCCATCAATATGGGGAGTGCATAGTGAAATAAAGATCAAAATATAAGAACTGGGCTTACCTTGAATCGATCACGCCCCTTTCTTTCAATCGCTTCCCCCATGATCTCGTGGGCACAATCCCCAACATTTGGTCATCCGACTCATCCAGTAAGTTTGGCGTTCTGCAAGACGTGCTTCGCGTGATAGACGTAAACCAACGCTTGAGGCCAAAAAATAGTTTCATAGGCTGTGCTTTGCCGAACCGCCGCTATCACCGGTGCTTCCTGGAGATATCCGGCAAATGCGGAAACCTTCACTTGCATTTGTCTCTGTGCCCCGTGTAGATATGCGCGTGTCTGGCCAGTTTGAAGGCCTACTCGATCCGCTTCTTAGTAAACTGGAAGTATTCAGGTCGAAGGGGAGTGATAGAGTGGCCGTGCCATGTCTGGCCCAGCAAGTTCCCATGGTCTTGAAATGCTTCCCGAATGCAGTCTTGATCAAACAGATTTCCAATGAAGCGGATGCCCAGGCCTCGATGCGATCTGTGACTATGATCCCGGAACTTGGATTCAAGTTCCGCATGGAGCTGTCCTTCGCTTGTCATATCACTTCTGCGGTGTGTACAATCACCCGCGGGACCGCTGTGCAAGGGCCATGGATCACGAGTCTGCTATATAAACCAACACCAACAGACGTGTGGGTTTTCGGAGAGGTGGCATCTATCTGCGGAAGCCAGGAAGACTTCAGCCAGGCAAAGAACATGAGCTCTGTTTTGCGGGAGGACTTGGAGCAGAAAGCAAGCCTTCAAAACGAAGCACTTATAGTCGCCGCAGCCCTGCTCGAGCAGCATCCAACCGATGGACGTACATATGCAGAGATATTATTCAACCTGACGACGGTCGCTGAAAAAACAGCTTGGCTGGGAGAGTGAGGACCCCATCCGTGTCAACTTTCCGTTTGCAGCTATCGAAGCAACGAGTACTGATAATCCATTGCTTCATAGATACTTTACACGTTTCTTCGCCCTTATGCTCCAACCCTTGGTTCGATATGAGATTGCTCTCGACGCCCACATGCAGAATGTTGTGGTCCGCATATGTACAGAAACGGGATATATCAAGGGCTTTGCCATTCGCGACGTTAAATTTCACAAACCAACCCTGCTAAAAAAGGGGTTCAATGTTGACTGGGAGGTTGAAGGTAGCCTCACTTTGACAGATGAGATAATATCTGTATGGAGTATTGCGAGCCACACCATAGTGCAAAGCCATATAGCCGGTGATATATATCCAATGCAATTAGAAGCCCAGGGTGGCTGGGGCGTGGCACGAGAGGCGCTCACAGAGATGCTCGCCAAGGACTCTTCTAAGACCGCAAAGTTGCTATTGAAATACTTTTTGAAAGGGACGGTTGCTCTAAAATGCTTCTTTAGAATGATCGTTGAAGGGGTATACCGTTATATGAGTACTGGACCTTAGATAAAACTTCTCATCTAACTAAACCTTCGCCACTAGAATCTTCAAAGGGACGTTTCCAATCCCCTTATCCAGTTTCGAAGGGACAGTGTGGCTTCCTACCATTGCACACCTTAGATCGAAATGTTCCTCCATATTCTAGTAGCTCTGGGGCTTTCTTCATGGAATCATCAAATTTGCCCATATTTAATACAAAATTGCGTGTCCTGAGTTTTCATGAATTTACACTCTCCATGGATCTATTAGGCGATGCAAGACACGAGAAAAACCGCAGCCAGGCCTTTATACCCTAGTTCCTGGGACCTCAAGGTTGCATATCACATCGGGGCCCCTTAATAGGCCTGCGTTTGATATTCCCATGTGGACCTGTCGCGCATAGTGCGTAGTAATGAATCTACACGAGTGTGTGGTAGCCATTGAATATGACTGTAATTGTAATATATTGACTAGTATTCTCAAAGCATAAACATGAGAAAGTAGGGATATAGGTTGGTGTGCAGCACGAATACAGAACGTAGTTCCTGTACGAGCGGGCCACCCCGACTGAGTAGGCCACCACACGCGTCTTGTACGTGCTCAACTTATGAAGCTATCTAAGGCCCTGTTCTACAAATAATACTTCTTAGCTAATCACTGGAATGGCAAGATAGCTCTCATAATCTCCGCCGGTGTGCACTGTGTGCTTTCCTTCATTATCATCTCCTGGAGCTGTCAACCTCAGCGACTCTGCTTCCGGAAGTGACATATCGTGACCGGAGATCCGTAGCATCAAGCCTTCACCGGCCTCAAAGATCACACCCAGGGGCCATATTGGGATCAAAAGGGGAACGATCTCTCCGGGAACGATCGCTTCGCGGCTGCGGTGATCATACACTGGCACCTCATCTTCGCCAGCTCGGGGTTGTAAGCTCACGTGGTGCGATGCTCGGAGCATTCCCTGCTGCCCTAAATGCTTTGCGACATTGACATTCGGGACCTTGGGCCCTGGTGCGGGCATCGGCGACCAGTTAAGAGACTCAAGAAGCTCTCCAGATGCAGAGGTTTTGCGGATCTGCACCACAACATCAAAGTCATCTTTCACATTGCAAGACATGTACAGCTTCACAAATGGACGTCCGCATAGTTCGGTATATCGATCGAAGATAAGAGTGAAATCCTAAAAGGTGACCGATGGTTAACAACAATGGGAAGAGTATGGTGTTTTGAAGGAAACATACAGAGGAGGCTGTCATTGAATGTCCTTCGTGAGTAATACTGGCAGAGTTAACAAGCTTAGCTATGCTAAAGGATTGAGTAGCAGCGTCCAGGTAATAGCGACGGATATGTTGCCTTGCCGGAGGCCACTGCGCTTCAGGGCGCTCGATAATTGCTTTCATCATACTACCCTCGTATCCCAATAGGGTCAGTCGCACACGGGGTGTTTCCGCCTCCCAGCCGTTTTGGATACCTTTAGCATAGTAGTCGTAGAAACGCTGCAGGTCATCCGTGGCTTCTGGTCTGTATAGGTCATGCCACTCTTGCGTTGAGTGCACGCGTAGCCATTTCCGACATGTCTGTGCTGCTTCAAACGCTCTGAAGGAGCCCTCGCAGTGTAGTCCGGTCGAGTAGGAGGCTGTCAGATACATTGGAATGTCCTTGATACCTTCCGGTTTGATTTGCTTTCCCTCCCAGTATTCGTCGAACAATGGACGAGACTTTAACATGGCACCGATATTCTCTGCCTTTCCAAAGCCTAGTAAATGTTAAGTCCTGATTCATATCTGACCTTCATGCAGGCCTTTGGAGTGTCAGATGTTAGTCAATATGACGCACCTGCCAATGCATGGAGGACCAATTCACCAAATGCAGGCCTCGGGATTCCTCCACGGCATATCTGATGAGCATAGAGATCAGTCAATCCTTCCCATGGGGCGATTGCCTTCAGATTTGGGTGCTGGAAGCGGGACGCAAAGTTGAGCTGTGAAATAGCCAACCAAGAGTTCCCCCTTTTGAGGTGTTAGAGGATTCTCAGAGTGATATATCATGAAACCTACGCCATAACTACTGATCCATTGCACCACGGCTGCTGGGCGATCCAGCTGATTGTATCATAGATGTCAACTGCTTCCTGCGTAGCCCATTAGCCACTGCATTCCTCATCATAGGAGCATGTTACGCCTACCTGTTCGCCCCAGAACATGAGGTTGCCCTCCGAATGCCCAGTCCCCCTGGCGTCGACATCGACAACAGCATAGCCCCGAGAACACCATTCCGCCGGGTTGGGACCCTTAGTACAGTCAGCTATTATTGCTAATTGTAAGGCGCGACGCCTGATGATAACTCACTTCAAAGGTCTCATATCCGCTAAGATTCTGGTAGGGAATACCGATTCGCCACGGCCCCATATTATCGTAGCTGAGAGTACTGGTCCCGACCTTCCCATATGGGCTCCAGGGTATGATTGCGGGTACCTTCTCACTCTCATCAGTGGGACGAAAAATATCTGCATAGAGCTTTACACCATCACGCGTGGGGATTGCTTGGTCTTCTTCCCAAGTCACATCCACTGGGAACGCCTGATATCCGGGCTCCTTAACATGGCCCCTCGGAAGTCGGGTAACCCGGCCTGGGTGAAAGCCCTTGTAGTTGAATCCGGGATGACGGTCTGGTGGTGCCAGTGCTGTGTAAACGGTGTCTGGAAATTGAGTTTGGAGTTTCTCCTCCACTGACATAATGACGGCGATGATATGAAAACTGGCTCGACAGACCACAAAAGAACTGTTTGGGACGGGGAATTAGGAAGGAAATTATGTCTACACTGAGCTATCGAGTAATGGGTATATATACAGCCGGAACTAAAGTAGCCGAAGCTGATCGACATGTCGCATGCCTGGAGCCCCTCGTGGGGGTAACGTGGGTTATTAAGCGGAATCGGAAGTGTTTTCAGCACCCGGAAGGAAGTATAACTGCAGTCCAGCCCAAGTCTCCCCGATGCTCCGCACTTACTGCGAACTTACTCCGTGAATATATGGTCTATAAATGACCAGAAGGAGCGTTGACCTTGTTATCCCCTCTGTACTATCATTGTGCATATCATATGTCTTCTTCCCAGTCAACAACTGCTAATCAACACTATGGCCAACGCAAATATCGGTCTATATGCCGATGAAAATGCTACTTTCCGAGTCCGCCGAGGTCTTGAATTCCCTGTGCCCGGGGATGGAGAACTCATAATCGAGACACAGTTCTCGGGGGTAAATCCGGCTGATGTCAAACATGCCACTCAACTAGGCATTTACCCGGCTGTACTGGGTTACGACTTCTGCGGGAAAGTGCTCCGGGCACCGCCCCAGTCGTCCTTTGTCCCAGGTGACACTGTTGCCGGATATACTCCTACCGGTCTCAACCGACCAGCTGGATATGGGACCCATCAGCGATACTTGGTCTGTCCCGAAGAGATGGCATTTCATGTTCCTGCAAACCTTCCGCTGCAGCATGCGGCATGCCTTGGCGTTGTGGCTATGACAGCTGCTGATACGCTCTATAACATTTTCAAGTTTCCTCCGCCAGACAACGGAGACACTAGGAAGATAAGAGAACCAGTGTTGATCTGGGGCGCATCCAGCAGTGTTGGTCTCTGCGCAGTGCAGCTCGCCCGGGCCAGCGGTATTTATCCGATCTTCGTCACTGCATCCCCACAAAGACACCAACTTCTTTTGGAACTCGGAGCAACGCAGTGCTTTGATTATCGATCTGCCGATGTGGCTTCGCAAATAGAGTCGGCGGTCGAGGAAGGACACTGGGATCCTATAGGTTATGCTTTCGACGCGGTTGGAAGTTACACAGGAACCGGCTCAGCAAACCTTATGGCAGAGTGCGTTTCGGAAAAGGCAAATCTTGTCTCTGTTGTTGTCCAGCGTGATCCTCGGTTCAAGATGCCCTTTGCTACACCAAACCGTGACTCTACTATTCGGGTTCATGGGGCTCCTCATCCTATTACGATTCCAGCTCGACCGTCTGATTATGTCCGTGCATGGAAGGCTCTACAATGGGCGGTTGCGAACTACGGTGCGGTATTCCGATTCCCATCTGTAGATGTGGTTAAGGGGACAGCCGAAACTGCACTCGAACAGGTGCAAGCTGTGGGTGATGGTGCACGAGGGTTTGGGAAGCTGGTCCTTGAGCATCCTTTGCTGTAGGGATATAAAGGTGGGACATTCCATGGATGGAATAGATCCCTTGCCATGTGCCTCACGGTATCTATTGCAGGCAAATTACAGTTGGGGCAGATATTGCAGAAGGTATCCTGCTATCGTCTTCCTCATGTAGTTCAATGTTCACAATACACTCCTTGATGACCCATATACCAATCAGTATGCTCATTAGAGACCAGTAGAGATGGATAAAGCTTGTACTCATCGCCGCTGTAGACTTCAAAGCATTAAGAAATAGTGTGCCAGTGGCCCACATGCATCGCATCCCAATTATGACAAGGGAAACCCGAAGTGTAATACATACCACCTCATAGCAACGATCCATACTCTCCGCAGACAAGATACCACGGGTGAGCATAAACGACGATGATCGTCAATACCTCGAGGCTCGGGTGTTCCAGTATAAGGGATTACTGCACTGAATTACCATCCAGGCCATCGCAATTTCGCTTTGTATGAGGACAAGCTTGCTCAACTGGCCCTAGGTTGTGGGATACACCCCGTGCTGCCGATTGTTCGTTTAATACAATTTTATCCTTGAATCGTCTCCCTTTTCGCAACATCCAGAGAATGATCATCGAAGCAGAAAGCGCCGCAAGGCCTCCAACAACACTCCCAACTACTGCACCCACCAGGATCGGAGAGGGTCCCGAAGAGGACTTCGACATGTTGGTAGCAGTTGATCGAGACGACTGGGATGATGTAGGTTTTGGAGGTTTGAAGTTCAAGCGTGTGACCAGTTCAGCATCCTCGATCCATGATATTGACACAACAAACACTGCTGTTCTGCCGAACCCTGCGACGTCTGTGTGCGTTAACAGGGAGTTTATCGTGGCGGTTTCACTCAGAGTGAAACTAGTACATTCGAACGCGGAAACGCCTATCTCAGGCCACGTCCAGCGCAAGCAGTATGGAGAATCATCCTTGGTGCAGAACATAACAAAGAAATCGTCTGTGGAAGAGAGCAATGACGGGGTTTTCAATATCTCGTGGTGGCCGTAACAAGTGCTAAAGAATCCGTTGCATGGCCCAGCAGGACCCTTGGGGCAGCAGCCCATCATTCCAGGGTAGTCGGCATGCGATGAATGGAATCGACAGGCGTAGTTGTCGTCGCAACCGTATATCCCTTAATGACAAGTCATTGTCAGTATACAATATGCGAGAGGATGAGTCCACCTCAACTCTCCTACTGACCGCTATCGCCCCAGTAACCGCAGTCGCTTGCAGGTCCAAACCAAGTTTTGTATCGACGAGCAAAGCCATGGTTGATTGGTTCTGTCGGCATCGGAGACGGTGGTGTCAGGTCAATGCTACTAGGTCCTGTCGCTCGAGGGGTGAAGAGGGTCATTGCCTGTACCCCAGCGACAAGGACAAGCGCATGGTGCCACTGGGTCTTATACATCCTGCGTATGTTGTGATCAAGCACTGCCGACAGTACACTAGGGGCCAAGTTTCTGAAATCAACTGCTCACGGTTACAGCTGAGCGGATATGGAGCGTACTGAGGTACTACATCCAGTCGCTACGCAGAATAGGTCGTGATGACACCAAAGCCTTTCTCACGAGCTGGATAACAAGATCTGGTAAGATTTCCATAGAATAAGTCAGCAGCTTGCAGCTTGTGGAGGGTAGTATTTGGCTTATTCGGCTGTCGCACAGCCAGCCGACTAGCCCCGCAGTAATACCGCTTCCCCTACAGCTCCAATCTCGGACATCTCAGTTCAATTTACAACGCGGGCAGACATCGGAGCATATTCTATTTGCTGAAGGTGTCCGTCGCATTTATAGAGCACATGATACGTTGTTATACCCTTGGGCTCGCTCGTGATGTGCTGTCCCGTACCGTTTTTAAAGACTAGTGAAGGCTTAACTCTGTTACATCATGACATCCTCCACTATCATCTTGTCTGGAGGCAAACGTATCTTCCAGAGTATCTCTATAGTAGGTGAGAGAATCAACTGACTAACCCACAGGGCTCTAATATCATACACGGAGTTCGTACTCAAATGTAACTTCATCAGTAAGGGACAATGTCTAGTCAAGCGGCACCACCTATCCAATCATACCCATCCCTACGTCCGTAAAGCTGATCAATCAAGCCTTCTATAATACAAGGTATTCCACTGCGCTTAATGATTCGACACGTTGGTCCTTGCTCAGTGATAAACAGCCTTTGTCGCGAATGTCTATCAGTACATGAGGTCTAGTTTAAGTGTCAGCTTATTTAGCCCACGTTGGATATCGAGATTCAATCAAGGCTTACAATACGTGCGCTGCCAAGTTCATACACAGGACCAGCGCGAACAACCCTATCATGCATCTTCTATCCACTCGTGAAGTCCCGCTTTCAGTATCTCTATGGTGTTGTGTCGGAACAATGGGAACCATACTTTACATGTACATGATTACCGTGTCGCATAACAACCTACGTGAAGAGGAGCGCTCAGGAGTTGGCGACAAAGAGGTGTAAGTTCGAACATACTACAGCACCGATATAAAATAAAACATCACAATCGTGACATTAAGACGTGACATTGGCCTTCATTAACAACATCACCCACGTATCCAAGAGCACTCAAGATGAAGTCCTTCCCACATGGCTGATGCACAAGGTCTCTATTTCGGTGGCTGTGGCTCTAGCACTCATCAAGCCAGGTAGTAATCAGCTTTAACTCCGACATAACCGCTGCATTCTCGTGTACATGGGATCTAGAATTGAGAGACCTATGTGATGGGACACACTGGTGTATCAATTACCACTCTCAGTGAGCGGTACTCCACGAGCAGGAACCTCGATTGTCTGATTGACAGTAAGACGGTAGGGCGGTTGCAGGTCATTTGTGGCAATGATATACTGCTTTGGCACATTGTACTTGGCGCTTATCGTATCCAGGTCCTCCCCTTTCTGAACTGTATGAGATCCGCCGTCCCACAGTTTACCAGGGTCCAGACTACCATCGGTAACGAGTTTATACAGCGGACCACCAGGACACTCGGTATTGTAACCATCTCGGTGACCCTTAATCTCGTCACCAGCCCCAGCCCGACGAAGATACGCAATCGAATCTTGCAGCCCGGTAATTTGGGCATCGCTAGGCTCCGTAATGCCAGACTTTCCTAAAAAGGCGAGAACAGCATAATGATCCGAGTTCAACTGTACGTTTCCATTGGCACCACTGCGATGGCCCTTGCCTCGGCCATCGAAGACGTAACCGTGCTCGCACACTGCAAGATTGTAGGCAATGTCAAAGTAATCTTCAGGTGATTCGTCCATGTGCTCGTTTTGCACAGATCTCATGAAGTCGTCGCATTCCGAATGCTGCTTTCCACTGAATTCGGGTCCCAGATAGTGTACTTTTACGCCCTTGGCATCTGTCATCGGTTTATAGGCTTCTTTGGGCGGCCGTGCCTTCCACTCTTCACGGGACACAAAGTTCATCGCCAAGACACTTGGAGCTATCATGAGATACGCCAGCACAGCGAGCAAAGTGAAAGGAGAGCGTCCCGCCCTGCGAGTATCAATATAAGAAGCCATGTTGAAGGTATGGTGGTATGAGCGGAGAAGACCAGTGACATTGGCAGGCCATTTCTGCATAGGAAGAGTCGCTAGTATTTATAGCATTTCGGATCTCCACGATACCCATCAATTCTTCGTATAGGCCCTTGCTTCCCAGTTAGGCCCTTGGCGTTTCGTGTCTATACGGGAAGATTGTGTCTGCCAAGGCGAGTAGTTGGGCAGATTGTGCCGTGGAAAGTGGATAGGCCTCGTATCGTTGTAGATCTCAGAACCCACTTCTCGGATTGGCAGGTGAAGACCCTCTAACGGCTCGTGTTATTATTAAACAATGCAACCAACTCCACCTCGGCTGGGGCCTTTGCAAAACACTTCTTGATCTTCGCTCCAAGGGCCCAACCCTCACATAGTAAGAGTAGCAAATAGTATCTGGCACCAACTTTGGTATGTGACCACAGTCTTAGCTATCTTGTCAACCTATGTATGACCTCACTTCTGTCCGAAGCATTCCCAGTTCTGTTGCACTGGTTAGGAGCGCAGGCGAGCCATTACGGCTGCACGAGCTTCGATTAGATTGACCGGTTCTTGTGAGGCGGATGCAGTCGGGGATTGGTGCTTGATAAATGAAAACATAGGCCAAGTGGAAAATCTCTGCCAAGCATAAGATCGTCACTCGGAGGAAATCGATATACCCTATGAGCCTAAGGCAGCAGTTTTAGGCGCTATTAATGGACTTTCCAAAACAGGCTGCATTCTGGAATGTTTCCTGTTCTGGACGTCTCATCATGTGACTTCCAATGTAGTACGGAGTATGCCTGGTTCCAGCGTCAGCGTTCAGCGTCGGTACCACAAAGGACATGAAAAAGAGGGTATAAAACTAGTTGAGACAGGACAAGTAATCGTTGTCTCAATCGCAAGTCTACTAAACTTCCTAGCATAAAGAGGATTATCTAGTTCGGTTACTTCTGAGATTTAACATTCGCATATATATATTTCCAGAACAGGCCATGCATATTGAACTTCATTCTTGAAAGCGCCCTTTGATATGACAGTGAATGACCATTCCTGAAGCATAGCTGAATTAGCCCCCCTATCTAGGATCACTCCTTTTGCTGGTTCATCTTTGTGTCCAGCCATCAATCCGAACTTCTACGTCTTCGCTTGAACAGTGTAAGCGATGACTAGAACCAATTCGGAGAACGTTGGACTTGGTTTCAACTTCATAGTTACTTGCAACATTGTAGATCCACCTAGGATATGCTATATCCAGTGTTTGAAGGGAGAAGGAGGTAAGACTATAGCGAATGGCAGCGCATACATTCAACAGGTCGCTAGATAAAGCATAATCCAAACATATTATACAAAGACGAAGGTATATAAACAAGCAAGTATTGAGTCTCATACATCCCAGTACGGGGACAAATCAACGCCTTTTGCCGAAACCTGTCTGACCGTACTTATCGACATACACAAATTCGCTATCATGGCACCAATATCCCCTATGGTGAGGGGTTGTGGTATCGAATCCGCCATGAGGACGCCAGATCTTTTCCATCTCTTCGCGAAATTTGGTCTTGGGCTGACCATCACGGATACGTAGCTTCTCAAAGAAAACATAAGCAGCGTAGAAGACAGAGTTCGTGTTGCCCGAGTTGGCACCCGACATGTCCAGAAACCGGGTTAAAGAGTTGCCTTGGAACTTCACGCCCTGTGCTGGCGGGTAGGTCTTTATAATCTCCCTGAGAAAGCCGGCTTTAGTAACGTTTGGATCCCGCAAATAGGCATGGATCTTCTTTCGGACCACGTCGCATGTATCATAGACCTCTACCTTGCCTTCCTCTTCGCCTGGGAGATGAATACCGCTGACATCGTATTTCTTTTGGGTATCCAATTTCGCCTGCTTGCTAACGGGCTTCTTCTTGGGCTCCGTAACACCCTGCAGCTCCCGTTTGACAAAGAACCGGTGCGCGTAGAGGTACGTGTTGGACTCGCTCCCTTTCATTTGGCCACTCATTTTCAGAAATGCATTATAGCTCCGTGACGAAACCCCGATCGCATCTTGGAACTCGCCAACTTTCATCTCCTTCGACTCGATGAAGTTTTTGATTTTGCGGCGAACCTGGTTGCAGTCCCACTTCAAGACATGAAGACGCGGGTCTTCATCGTCTATCTCCTCGGGCTCAGACGCGTCGGCTTTCCGTTTTGTCCCTGCGGTAGAGACCATGGGCTGAGTAGATTTACCGGGCGACAGAATGATTAGATTCGCGTTTTCATCGCCAGGCCTCACGTCAGGAATGTGGGATGTGCTGCTTGGAGGTTGGGGCATAGGCACGAGGCCATTCGGATCTGCCGCATCCAGCGGGGTCCGGGCCGAAGCTTTTTTGGCGACACGAGGCATGTTTCCCAAAAGATGCTTTGCTAACCTTTGACAAGGGAATAGACTATGAAAGGAGGATGTGTACTCTACGGGTTGAATATGTTCGAGAGAGACTTGAAATTGTGGAATTAGGGGTTGTGTGACTGGTCCATTTGGGGTAATCCTGTAAACAAACGCGTGTATGCACAGACCACATAAATCATATCCGCGTCATGGTACGATGTCCCACCGGATAACCTACTACATTTCCAAACACAACCGTGAGGGTTCTCTACCATAGCATGGGTTTTCAATCTACATGTTGTCTATATACCTTCTCCCCACAGTGAAGGCTGACTCATTACTATAGCTGTACTGTATGTTTAGACCACTGTTGTTGATGTTATCATTGCAGCGGCCCGGGAAGCCCAGCTCTCGGAATCAAGATCTACAAACGAGAGTTGCCACTGAGGAAAGGTGGGGAACAGTTGACATCATAGCGGAATCCTCAGAACGTGGGCCGTGATAGCCAGCGGGGCTTTTCTTTCGCCACGGTGCCGGTTCCTTTCCATGCCCAAAGACCGATATCAAAAGAAGAATGACGATATAGTAGGGTTCCAAGCCCGAAACAGTTAAGGTGGTAATTTAATACACACTGCGACTAAGCGCAGACGAGTCCGTTCATTGCCCTTGGCTGCTACACTAGTGACGGACTCGTGATCTCCGGCTTCACCTGTGGCCGCCTTCGCTCATGCAGCTACCAACGGAACTTCCGAGTCAATACCGGACGATACAGGTCAGGTATCAACACATAGTCGCTGGGATGCTGTACTGCGACAGCCAGCTCTTGATCAGCTGGATATGTGTGCCAACCAGGGAAATTTCCGCTTTCCTTTCTCTCTAGGACCCGAGATCTCGCAAGAGGAGCTGCTCCAGATGTTGCCCCCCAAGGACTGTTGCGCGTATTTGATTTCACAATACTTCACGCCTCTTGTCCCTCTATATCGTGTTATTCACGGTCCCGGTTTCCAAAAGCAAAACGCGGCCTTCGCACGGGATCCCCATGCTGTCCACCTTTTCATGGCTTGCATTGCAGTTCATGATCCGCTTCCTATCACTTCAGAGCATAGACCCTAAGGATCCAGTTCTGGTAGATCTATCGGAAGAACAACCTCAACCATACCAGCGTGATACCATGGCTCTTTCGATACATTTTCGAGACATCTGCAAGGTCTGCTTAGCCCAAGACCAATTTCTCATCCGTCATTAGCTTAGCACCCTTGAAGCGCTCTTGATAATGACGTATAGTATCTGCCACAATGAGGGCATGGAATGCCCATGCACGATGTTGGCATCGCCTTGAACATGGGCATTGCGCTACGCTGTATTATGGGCTCGAAAGGGCTGAGCTGCGTTGAAACAGAACGATGCAGGCGGTGCTGGGCTGGTATTCTAATGTTACATAGGCACCAGGAAATTTCGTTCCAGGACATTGACATGTCTTTTCTGCTAAACATGAAGACGACAATGCCCAGCGGCGTAAATGACACTGCTATAGCCGACAACACAGTTGTGCAGCCATCAACTCAACCGACGCAGATGTCTCTTGTGATTTTCAAAATCAGACTCTTTCAACTTTCAACCCAGATATATAGCCACATCCCTGGCCCACAAAGGCTCGACATGGCATCCTTGTACTGCTTCGACACCGCTATAGCCGTAGAGCAAGAGCAATGCACATCTATGTTCCTTGTCGATAGCGCCCCCAATGTCCTGGATATTATTGGCTACAGAAGCTGGTGTGTTCTTCAAACGTACGCACATCAACGTTACGTCGTCCTTCATAGACCGGTCTGCAACTGCCATTCGGGTAGGTCACACTTTATCCAGTCGTCAAGAGACAAATGTGTTGAGTCTAGTCTGGCCCTCTTAGACCTTCACAGACAGTTCTCTGATCTCTCCCGACTACGAAATTACCAGTGGCTCGTTTATGGCCTTACAAGCTTCAACGCCGTCCACGGGGCAGTAGCCCTAGCGTCCTGCCTCCTTGATCGACCAAATGATATAGACCCAGCCGCCTACCGGGCCGCTTTGATGGCACCATCCGAACAATAGAGTCGCTGCTGGACCGCAGCCCTGTTTGTGTGAAAGCGCTACCCATCCTTCGGCATATACAGTTAGCGTTCTACTATGCTATATTCATACCTATGCTCACTCTTCCATAGCACATAATTGTTCCCGGACCACTCAGCAGCCAGGGCCGGAAGATGGCTTTGACAGCACATTCGAAAGCTGGATTGATGCTGTTCAGTGGTTTTAACCCAGAGTTAATTAATTGGGTGTGGTGGTTTGTCTTCGCGTTCATCTGATTACTCCCCCATCGCTGCCTTTCTCAAACCGTGTATCTATCTTTGCTTCTACGATGATAACTTCAAGCTAACATATTTGTTCTCCGTATGACTTCTGGAATAATGGGTTAGGAACGGACGCTGAGTAATGGTACTACTATCTCCGTATATCCTGTGTATATATGCGGACTCTCCCATAGAAACATACTTGTTAATTGTAGATATAATTGAGGTAAGTAAACATACATTTACCACGTACATACTCCCACAAAATATAGCCACAAACAACATATTCTGAATGTTTATGCTGGAGGACGATGACCAGACACGAAAGTGAGAAACTCACTTTGCTCTTCGCCTTCGAATATTATGTCCAGACGAACATTGATACCAGTGCTACCCTACCGAGCTTTAACCTGTTGACGTCTGCGCGTGACGATCATGCAACAGCCAACTGGTTTGAGGTAGAACAACATAACCTCTCTAGGCAGAGCATTTATCAGGAACTGCATCCTTCGCTTGGCCCAGCCACTTATCGTAGGAGTCGCTCGCAGCATGATCATCAAGCATCGCGGTCCAGGTACCCTGTATATCATGTCGAGCAAGCTTCAGGTCGGCCGCACAGGACGGATTACTCGGTGCTTTGACGGACTGCGCGTAGCCCAAGTCCAAGAGACCACTGCTGGTGGATGCACTGCCAGTAGTCTCACCCTGCGACCAATGCAGACAGTCCTGACAATGGAAGATCAATGAGAAACCGGTCGAGTTGGCAGTAGAGGAAATCGGCTTTACGGTCGCATTGCCGCCGTACACACCGGGCATCGCGTATTCCGAGGTGAAGCGTAGGGAGGACCGCACTGCGTCGCCATCGGGGTACGCAACAAATAAAAGGGCGTCTGTCATAGAGCCACCTAGTGTAATACCACACCAGCCCTTTGCTGCGGACTCATCGGTAGCCGTGCAGCGCTGTTCTGGTTAGCTTGCGCTACAACATGTCGAAGATAAGACAAGGGATACCCACTAGGTATCCGATGAAATCAGTAGCGTCTGATTTGAGAGCATCGTTAGGCAATGCTACGCCGAAGGTGAGCCCACCAGCCTTTGAGCTTGATGGCACATTCCATGTATCGAAGGTGATTCCCGTGCCCGGGTCGTTATAAACCACTGCTTCAGGAGCTTGTGCCTGGCAGCCCGGTAGTACTGGTCCAATATTGTCAGGTAGTTTCTCAGATGATCGAACAGAGGCCTAGCATACATGTAGTAACAGCCACGAAGGTGGTCAGAATGGTGTTTCTCAATGTCATGCTGAGGACACGGGTGTTATGTGACTCGATAGAAAACTGCAATCTGAAGTGGCCAGTTGAAGGTATTCATAGGAGCTTAAGTCGAACTAAAAACAATGATGCTAATTTCGAAGATGGGCAACATTCCTGACGCGTCGACATTCCAATCATGAGCTGGTTATTAGTTATCAGCTGCATTGTACGGGTACCTTCCGGACGCAAGGGATGCCTGTCTACAAGATATAATGATCAATACAGAAATTCAGGAGGCTTGTAGTCGTGGTATGTTGTTCATCTTTGTGAGGGATATAGTGAACAGGAGACCATATAGAAATAGACAAGCTAGTCAAGGTGCTCATAGGGTCGGATTATTTTACTCATAACTCTAAGGTATAATAAAGTTTGAATCTAAGAGTTTGACTGAGATAATCATACTGTGGCTAATTGATTAGACTCTCTAACGTATACAGTAGAATGTGAAGAGTCATGACACCTGTCGTCCGAACTAACCCAGTACCAGAAATCTATATTGCACCCACGCTTTCGAACAGCTACGAGTACTGTGAGAATTATCGTACTTTAATACTAACTTGAAGTATACCATATGGTATACTCATGACCAGTAATCTAGAAACTCTCCCCCCCTTTTTTTTCAGCTGATATATGGTATATTAGGGCTTCGTTGACAAACCCCCGTATACGTCCTGCATAAGATGGATAGCAAGATTGAATCTTTTAAATAGTAATAATTTTAATTGATCTTATCTACAATGTCCGGCGGAGTATAAATCCAGTATACGTATTCTTGTACCAATCTAGAGTATTTCAATTTAATACATAAATTAATTACAACTATTTGATCCCTAATTTTTATGAATCCCACCGGAGTCGAGGGGGGCCGAAGGCATCAGCAACCTCGTTTATGACCAACACCCGAACGGAAATACAGGATCTGCGTCTTTTACCCCCGAGACCGGCTTTTCGCTTATAGATGTTGGCTCGAGGTGAAGTGATTATAAAACATCATCTTCTACGCTGCTGCTCTGTGCCCTCAAGACGTGTCCTGATCTTCTACAGCAGCTACTGCGCTCGAAATATTGTGCATTCTCCACGCGACATCAGAAAGATGCAGAGGTGGGCATTTTCAGAGATTCGTCCAGATGGAATTATCGGATTTGTTCCCGGTACAAATGTTATGAACCTAGCTCAAGGTATCGCATTGTACTTGGCACTCTACCGCGAGCTCCATGGTCAAGGGGCGGAGGTTCCGTTCCCAGGGAAGCCTCATGATTACCTTTCCACGCATAGCGATACTTTCCAGGACATTCTGTCTAAGATGGAAATTTACGCTGCGCTGAATCGGGATAAGTGTTCTAACGGGTCAGCGTTCAATGTTGCAGACGGCGAAGCTGTTAGTTGGGAACAGGTCTGGCCTGGTCTCTGTTCGTATTTCGAGCTGGTGGGCGTTAGGCCTCAGGCGGAGCAGAAGAAAATCGAAGACTTTGTTCGTGAGAATCAGGGCGCCTGGGATGCTTTGGTCGAAAGACATGGGTTGAGGAAGGGTTCTCTCAAGGCGCAGAACTGGCCTTTCATTCACTTCATGCTCGTCGACTTTGACTTTGACCGCGAGTATTCACTTGATGCTGGCCGCTCCATTGGATTCACCGAGCGCATTGACACTGTCGAGGGATATCGAATCGCGTTTGATAGGATGGCAGCTGCTAAGATTATTCCTTCTTCCTTTTAAATAACATTGTTTCTAAATTGGCTGATAGTGTCATACGGATACTTGGCCATGTGTGATTTCCACCGCGGCATTTGTCGTAATGAGCAAATATATATCTTGGTTTTGTCATTTTCCTGTCACTATTTGAGCAACAGGCCTTAATCACCAGTTGATAAGATCGTCTGATATGCAATAATCAACCAAATTCCTCTCTACAAGACGTATTAAAGAGCACATAAGTGATTTCTATAATGTTTTCCGATGGCTTCGGCTCAATTACAACATTATTAATATTGGACTATGGGTCAACCACATGTTTGTCTGGTCATCAATTCTAATGCGCACCCTCGGCAGATCGTTCGTTTCTGGTACTTATCTATCCTACAATCCATAGGATTCACGATATTTTGTTTCAAATTCAATTGCCACTTGGGATGGTGAGAAAGCTCCCACTACGAGCCTGCAGACAGGATGTGCGAAGAACATGAACCAAGTCTTACATCCGTTGAAGTTTATAACGAACAGAAATATTGACTGTAAAGGAAATAATAGTACATCACAGGAATGAACTTCTATAACAACATATGAATATCACAGCATTATGCCTCTCTTCGATCAGAAACCTCTAACATTAACCCAATTCCGGCCACTCCTTTTCAGGTAAATCTTAAACCATCACGACGTTTATTCCCGGCCCTAAGCGATGGCTAGAGCAAGGGCCATGGCTGCACCCCCGGCAGCCAAGAAGGCGTGGCCAGTAGGCAGACCCATAGCAGCATTGTCAGTGTTCGACGCGCTTGCGCTGGCACTCGCGCTGGTCGATGTCGCGTTGGCAGCTCCACTGACACTCGCCTTAACAGAAGCAGAGGCCGAAGCCGTGGGTGTAACCGAGGCAGCCGTAGCTGCGACGGTGATGGTCACGGAGGTAATAGGGTAATGATCCGTAGTGACAGATGTTCCAATGGTCGATGTTCCACTTGTTGTCGTCCATGTTTGATAGCAAGTAGCGCTCTTATCGCCCATATCGCAACGGTAAAAGTCCTCGCTGGAAAGATTTAGATCTCCCTTTCCTCCTGGTTTCGGTATAGAATGCACTTACCCTTCATATTCCAACCGCAAGGTCTTTGAGCCAGAAACCAACGTCATATCACAGTTCAAGGAGCTGTCATCGGTAGCAGTGCTCGCGCTGGCGGTGATCGTAGCGGTACTGCCTGCGGGACAGTTGGGTACGAACGACGTCGTGGAACCATTCTGTGGTTTTTGGTTCGTTAGTATATCACGCTTCAGGATATGGATGTACATCTGACGGGGTGCTAGGAATCGTACAATGCCAATAATTTTGAAGTCGATGTCCAGAGAAGCACTCGTCTCACTGCCATCGCTATCATCTGGCATAGCCACTGTGACAACATTCTTAGCAGCGACGGTCGTGGCTGCGGCCAACAGGGCAAGGGAAGAAAGTGTAAAGCGCATTTTGAATATAAGGAGAATGATTTATATTGATTGTAGAGAGATAATTGAATCGATGAGGCAGGATGCTTTACTTCAGCAATCCGGAACAAGTCTGGGTATATATACACAAGTTGCTCGGCAAGATTCCGCCCGGCAATGTCGGTTCACCATTCACGACCGTGGCTGAGCTGCCAGAGGTGTGTAGTTGTGAAATGAATATCCCCACTAGGATTGAGTGCTCTATCATCAACCAAGCCACCATAATGCCTGTTGTTGAGGCTCTTTTTCGCCCCCAAAAGCTGTCAAGTATCTTCATGACACTAATGCAACATGTAAACGATGTAGCCAATAGGATTGCCGTGCTATAATGAAGAGAAATGGCTAAGCCATCGGGTAGACCCGCACTCAGCCTTGCCAGGGAATAATATTAGCAATCGTTGGTACCTGATCTTATTCCACGCTTCGGACGTTGCCGACGTTTCCACCGCCCCCAACTTACGATAGTCGACTGTACTGCGTAGTAAGTGGCCTAGAACTGCTAGAATCACACTAAAGGGTACGCTAGCTCACATAGGAATGTCGACAGAAACCTCCTGATTGGCTCGAGAGGATGTGTCACTATGGTTGGTACGGAGACGGCTGTGCCTCTAGGGCTGGGGATCACGAGGACATGGCTATTCGAGAACAATCCTTCCATTATGCCGCACATGAAAAAGATTAAGAATCACATACAATAATGTGTACATTTTCATATATCCTTCGCCGCTAGCAAATCAATAATTGGCTGATTGCTCAATCCCTTAGCGAGATCCAACGCGGTCTGTCCCTCCTCATCAACTATCTTCACATCTGCCCCATGATCCAGCAGTAAGCGGACAACTTCCTCTACTTCACAAACTACAGCCATGTGCAATGCCGTGGCGCCTCTCATACGCATGAAGGAAGCATACGGGGTCATTTGGTTATTCAAATCTTCGCCCGACCGAACGGCAGCTTCAACCAGCATCTGGCAGATCTCATGAATGCTTTGGTATGTATCCCGATTATACCGATAGCCGAACAAGGCCGCGTGCAGTGCGGTCATCCCATTTCGCCCTTTGATGGAGACCTTCGCACCATAGCGCAGGAGTAACTCTACCCCCTGTAGCGACCCGCCACCAGCAAACTGATGCAGTGGTAGTCTCTCAAGAGGTCTCGGTGCCCCGCCAACAAATTCCGGAATGGTAACATGTGTGCTGTTGATATCCCCGCCCGCATTTCGATACGCGTGGAAAATGCGCTCTATCGTCTCCCAGCTCAGCTTAGGTGAGCAGGCAGCACACCCCAACGCAGATCGTTCTACGGCATCATGAGGTAAAGGGTTTGCATCACGATCCAGAAGCATTGTGACTATCTCCTCGTTGCCATTTGCCGTGGCGAGTGTCAATGCCGATTGACCGTGTATATCCCACCCGGACGGGTCAGCCCCATTTTCAAGTAGAATGCGGACAGAATCCACATCCCCTTTCGAAATTGCACGGTGCAGGACCAAGACATCATCGGCGGGGGCGAATATATCTCCGGTTGCACCGACTTTGTCCCGAACAATATCGACGACTTTGCCAACAACAGTTGCAGAACAGAATCCAGCAGCTAGGCTGAGGATGGTCAAACCGGTTCCCATGAGCCATTCCGTGACATTGGCGCCGTGGGCGATCAGCCAGAGGGCCATTTCCTCCCGGCCAAATTGCATGGCTCTGGCGAGAGGGCTGTATCCGTCATGGCACCGGTCAATATCCAATCCCTTGGAGATGAGTGCCTCGACTAGATCAATATTTCCACCCTGGGCAGCTAGATGCAGGAGACTCAATCTAGGGATTCCGCAACGCGAGAGTACATCTTGAGATTGCGACCGGAGATAATTCAGTATGACTTTCGAGTGCCATCGTGGGACACATTCCGTCCAGTGGAGAGATGGCACTTCAACCTCTGAGGCAGTCGAAATAGTGTGAAAATCATCCAAGTCAGAATCAGGATTGTCCTCCGGCTCCAGGGGTAGAGGCTCATGAACCACTTTGTTGTAAAGACATGGCGTCAGTAGTCGTGCGATGCCTCTTTGGGTCTGAATCAACGCGGCGAGACTGGCATCCGGGAGAAAGCTGGCTACATGCAGGATGAGCTCCCGGGGGAGTAGACAGAGCATCCTACAACGCTTCTTGGCTTGTCCTGCGTGAAGATGAAAACGGCAACTGAAGAGGTCCGAAGACCGGAGTCTCGTTTTTTAGTGCGTGTTAGCCTTAAAAAGTGTGAACTTATCATATCTTTTGGGACTCGCTATTCAAGATTATCGTTCCCATCCTTTACAGTTACGCAGTCGTACTCCTTGTGATGGTCCGTCCTCGAGGTTCGCCGCTGCAGAATTGCCTTTATTTATTTTTTTTATTTTTTTTTTTCAAGGACCCGCGGCAATTGCGCGAACAATGCACATGATGCCTCAGGCGCTAAAGGTCATCTGATCATCTGATCATCGCCATTCCGGTACAAAGGAAAATCCGATGCCGAGAAAGAAATCGTTGGCGCAGTTGCTGCCTGAGGCGGAATTCCTGCATTCGGTTGTGGCCCGCATAAGTAATTTCTCACTTCCGCACTTAGTCTGTTGACGCGATCCTGAGAGCTGTTACTTGACTGTTCCTGCGACTGCATAGAAGTTCAACATCTATTCACGGCAATACATGCAGCGCCTGGGTATCATGACTTGTACTCAAGGGCTTTCGTTCAATAGGCTAGTAACGATTTGGTAGGATGGGATTATAATGTTATTCTGGAGATACACTGAATGGACGTTTAACTCAAAGATGATGGCTATCCGACAACCAGATATCCAGCACCAATTGTGCCAACCAGCGTCCACAGCGAAAGTCTAGGTTCATGACCGGCTCCAGACTCCGCAGTGGCTGTGGCACTCTTACCACCGGATTCTGATCTTGTTGGTACAGCCTTGTTGGTGGCCGCAGCTGTGATAGGGCGTGGAATGTCGTGGATTGTCCAAGTGAAAGTATTTCCGCTGATTGGTGTCGAAATCACGCCCCCAGTATTGTACAATGTTTCCGTTCCATTCGGGGGTAGCTCCCCTGGACCGTGGAATGCTGTCAAATTGCTAAAGCCCAGATCCGCTGTACAAGTGTCGTTATCAAGATACGTCCCGCACTTGTTCCAGTCACTGTTCTCCACGAAAGCCTTATATACGGCATCTGCGTCCAGCAAGGCGGGTATTGTATTTGGACATATGTCCCATATCCTTGATGAGAAAGGTTAGTAATGCAAACTGTAAGTAACGGCTCACTGTGTTGCCCGCACGTACGACGAGATATAAGAACTTTGGCCGCAACACAGACATGTAGCCCCATAGGCCATGGTCTGCTCGTACGGCCAATCCGGCTTCATAGTGTCGTAACACTTATTCATGGCATTTTCTGCCACCGTTTGGACCTCAGCCACTCTGCCCAGATTACAGGAGCAGCCACCGGGGGCATTATCAGGAGGCGGGAAAAAAGGGACTGATTTGTAATCCGTGTTCACGCAGGAGTTAAGCAAGTCGTAGACAGTCTTTTGATATTCGCACGAATATACCTGATAACTGGCATGTCAGCGAATGGATTGCATTATTTGTTGTGATGGGAGCAGTTGGCGTACCTGATTCCAACAACTAGTTGCGGCACAATCTATGTAGTCGGTGTTCTTCACGCACTCGCAGGCGTTAATACAATCTATTCCCAAGTCGGGACACTTCGATTGCACGCATGCAGGATCTCCATTGCACGATTCCGTACATCCTCTGCTTCCTCCAGCACAATGGTTATTGACACAACTGGTAAAGCCCTGGTCGGCATCTTGGTAACATGATTCGAATCCCGATGGGTCAACACAGTCCGGCGACTGGAAATGTCCAACTTGCTTGGCAACGGTTGTGATCGCAAAGGAGGCTAACGAAAGTCTAAGAATGGTTAATGGCTTCATTGTGAGGATGTGTTGAGGTGTACATGTCCGTCGTACGATCTGCCTTGGGGGTTCAGCGGCTAATAAACACCATTTTATGAAACCTGCATAAAAGCAGGATGGGATATAGTCGCAAGGCTCTCCCAGGGTTCAACTGAGGAACTCTTGCATGAGACCTGCGAACTAATCTCAGCCCAAGCCACCCGAGCGCCTTGGCATTCATTCCGGGACCAATCTGGGGGACAGTCATCGTGTGAGTTCTCCAGATCAGGATAGGCGATCTCAGGTTCTGAAAGGGCCCCACCCAACACAGGCTGCTGTTTAGATCAGAGAGGCTTAGCGTTACATCGGATCAAGGGATCGCGGTGGAATTATGGGTGGCGTAGCCCAACGGATATTGTCCCACTCCAGGGTTCATTTCGCGACGAATACGAGATTTCTTTCTGTCCCATTTACCAGCATCGCCCTAATTCGATTTCGGGAATGGTCTCTCAACTTGGCCTATCGCCGTTGCCCCCTTTCTTCCGGGGTCTGCCTCGCCTTCCCAATAGTTGATTAAAGCAGCCTTGCTTCCAAATAATAATCCAATGGGATTATCAAAGGATCCTGCCTGCATCTCGCATCTATCAATACAGAGAGGTCCTCCTTGGCATTTCATATATATGGGAATGTTCGGCGTCCCCACCCACCTGAAGTTTTGGCACTAGGCGCCGGGATGCGGAGGTACATTTCCTCCAGAGCTTCGTGCCACACCAGTCTGGAGTAATTGACATTGATCCCTACGTCCGCTTGCACAAGGGTGGTGCAGAAATTACAGCATCAGCTGTAGCAGAGTGATGTGGCATGGCTACCCCCACTGGAACCCCTCAGGATCCAGTCCGCACGCAGCAAACTAATCTTATCATCTTCCCTGCCCGGGCCTGAGGCTGGTCCTTACTTCAACGGAGCAGTCATTTGGTATTCGTGCTATTGATCGCTCCCGGGGCAATCCAACACGTCAATATTACCTCTGTCTTACCACATGGTAGCGTCCATACGCCTGGCATGGTATCGCGAAGGTAGGTATCCTTTTATCATCTCAATTGTTTTTTCCTTGCATGGATATATAATACTTCGAAACACGTCACATCTAAAGTGAAGAGATGAAGCACTAGACCTTGGGTGGGATAAGTTACACAAATTTCTGTCGACCACTGTTACAGCCAAAGGCGATAGGAGAATGGTTTTCAACTCCCATGGGTTAACCCGAGTCATCTACCCTGGCTAGCTCCTCTCTCGCGCAAATAGGTCGGTGTTGACGATACTGGACAGAGAACTATGTTCATACTGAGAGGGACGCTACTTGCATGACGGATTAACGTCCGCTCCTTTGTTCTTGCTGCTGAAAAGCCTCGACTGGGCTTATTAGCTCTATCAATATTATATGATTCTATGACCACAGCTCATAGCCCACCATAGGTAATTGTTATCGTGTGCGGAATGTTGGAGACATTCCGTCAATCTCAGCACTCCGAACATCTTCTACCTTCGGATGGATCGCGCTCAAGACGGTATTACATGAAAGCAAAGCTTTGACGATGACCCGATCAGTTATGGTTCCGGGTTGATAACTAGCGATATGAGCCCTGAGCTGATATATACTCCTAGTATGTTTTCTTGTATGAATGTGCGAGAAGCTTCTCGATAGCACCTGAGCAGCCTGCGCAGCCTCTTTGAACATTGAATTAGTACTGATGAATGTCAAGATGGTATATTAACTGCGCATTAGCGGAGACATTTATTATTTCAGTAAACTTGTTGGCAGAGTTGTTAGGAGTGGACAATACCCCTTGGATAACCTTACAAGACACGTGTGGAGCCGTTCCCTAAACCAATTCCCGGCCGATGCGCGTTTTTTGCGTTATTCTCGGGTAGCGGCAACAACAATTTTATAAAGCGCGGGACCGCCCTGATGGCGAAAATCACCATTCCTAAGCCTTTCCAAGCCCATCTGTAAAATGAATAGATTACCAGGTCGGATCCTTTCACCCTGGCAGCCAGTCCGGGTGTTCCGGCCGAACCTTCGTTGCCACAAGTTCCTTTCGAGTTTCCCTCCCGCGCAGGCCTGTCAGTCCAGTCAGGACAAGACCATTGTCGAACCTCAGAATGGACATTGTCGCTCAACAACTACCTCAGCCACAGCGAACAAACAGCCATTATCAGCGTGGGAATTAAACTTCTGGAAATGCCGTCATACATGGAAACGCGCAGGGATCAACACACTACGCTGCCTAGTCGGCTGTACGCTAGGTGACTTCTCCGCTCTGTGGATGCTCCAGACATTCTATCCGGGGCTCGGGATGGGTACTATCATGGCCGCATCTAGTAAGTTCTTCGTTGTTCACCCTGTAAGAGTGGAGAAACCATATATGTCCCCAGCTGCTGACACAACCCAGTGGCATCCGGCATCAGCACGTCGATTATTCTGGAAACGGTCCTCCTCCGGCGTGGAGCTGACCAGCTCTCCTGGCCAATGGCACTTCGCACTGCGATGGGGATGAGTATGGTATCGATGCTTGCAATGGAGGCGGCAGAGAATGCTGTTGACTACCACCTTACTGGCGGTGTTGTGGCTCTGGACGACCCGAGTTTCTGGATGGCAGCGGCTGTCTCCATGTCGGCTGGTTATCTGGCTCCGTTGCCGTATAATTACCTCCGGCTGAAAAAATATGGGAAGGCCTGTCATTGATCATCCGGTAGGATTCTGCACTGATTTAAGGGAACCGCATATACCATGTATAGCTGCTAGCGATGAAATACATCATGTACTATTATGCAAGTACCGCGGCAAATCTCCTCGATAAAAATTGTTGTAATTGATACATTGTCTGTGTTTGCCAAGGCAGCAACGCGCCGAAACGAACTTTCGGCGTAGGTTGTCCCCGACCAGAAAAGCCATAAGGATGACATTGTTCATCTAGGGTGCAAAAACATTAGTAAAGTGAAATTAAAGATCGGCGCCTGAGGCTTATATACTTCAGCGGTTCCTATAACTCTACTCCGAGACGCAGCTGAACTAGCTATAGATAACAAACGGAACAATATACTCCTGAAAGGAGTACACTATAGTATATACTTATGAAGTACCATCCTATTCCGTAATATATGTACATACCGCCTATAAACATCTAGGGGACTAATTTTCATTATTGTAAAACTATAGCTACTCTTTACACATCATACAGTTGGATTTGCTAACTCTTGTTCTTTTCAATTGTCTTCAGTACTTCCTGAGGGAGGTTTTTTATACTACTTTCTTTTGTCTCCCTGGTTTGCGCGTCCTTAACTTTATTATTCATTTGCTTTTGTTGAATATACTTACCTGTCGTTTTATGAAAAGATATAGCGGTACGAGAAGGAGCAGGCACGGCTGGGAGAACTTGGAAGATCGAGCGATTTATTATTATTATTCGTATATAAAGCGCATATATATCTTGCATCATCGACATGATGGCTGCATAGTATCGATAGTTCTCATTGGAGTAAAAGCGATGAACGAGGTAATATTAAAACCTTGGGAAGATTGAAACACCTAACTTTTACGTGAGGATATACCAGCTGCAGACCTTCCGAACTATGATCCAAAACTTCCGATACTTTAGTGACATAAACTGACTATATATCTAGAAGTCTGCGAGATGGGCATTGGTGAGTCATTTCGAAAGTGGTATCAGGCCACTAAATACCATACTTGAAGCCACCATCACCAGCGGAAGTCAAACTTCTATCAGTTTGAGCAAATGTCGTATGATGCTTTCTAAGTTAGATGGGGACCAAGCAACGCCATGGGAAAGCTCTGGATATTAGTCAGCTGATGAGTGACAGATAAAGTAATGTCAATGAACGCTAGGATATGATGAACAATTGGCACAGCACCAGGCTATTATCACGTCCTGCAACAGACACGACTAATATACAAGAGAATATCAGTCATGAGATGAGCTTCCACATTGTGAAGCTTACACGCATGAACTACCGAAACTTGCCACTCCTGAATATATACGTAGAGGGGAGGGGTCTAGACTTGCTCGTGGTCTGAACAGGGGAGGCACAATGAATTCTACACTCTTCGAGACTTATCCTGTACGGTATTGGCTGTACAGTAGCCAGCATACACTAGTCTATCTTGAGTGTTACTCTGATTTACTCATGTCTTCAATCTAGATCGTTTCTTACGTAGCTCATTATGTATGACCCCCGCCACCTCGAACCTTTTCTAATCAATCACGTATACAGTACCTCATCGTGCTTTCTGCCTATACGTAACCGATTCCTAGATATAAACAGATGATGGTAGTAAGGCTCAGAAATCCTTCGCGTAGATGGCACGCCTCCAAGCGTTACCTGTGATCTGACTCTCGCATTCAAACACGTCCACGGCTATGGTCGGTGACACCATTCCTAAACTCGCGGTTCTCATTGACGCGGATAATGCTCGGTCCTCTGTCGTGGATGGCCTCCTCTCGGAGATCGCGAAATACGGTACAGCTCATGCGAAGCGGGCACATGGGGACTGGACTAGACCCAATCTACAGGGCTGGAAGGACGAGCTCCTGAGACAATCAATCCAACCCATCCAGCAGTTCGCGTATACCCAAGGCAAGAATGCAACAGACTCAGCGATGATTATAGATGCGATGGACCTTCTGTACTCCTGCCGGTATGATGGGTTCTGCCTTGTCTCAAGCGATAGTGATTTTACTCGGCTGGCTGCCCGTATTCGCGAGTCGGGACTAATAGTATATGGATTTGGGGAGAATCACACACCAAAGCCCTTCGTCGCTGCTTGTAGCAAGTTTGTTTATACGGAAAATCTTGTACACCTTGACAAGCTCGTGCCGCACGCCGGCAGTGTTGCCGTCCCTGAGAATCATTCATCAGCTTCACAGGCCCACAGAGATGACCAGCTAGCAAATCGGTTGCGAACAGCGGTAGAAGCAGCCTCCGATGATGATGGCTGGGCAAAGCTGTCGCAGGTGGGCCACTTGCTCACAAAAAAGCACCCCGATTTCGACTCTCGTACATATGGATACCATAAGCTCAGCGATCTTATCACCGATTCGTCGTTGTTTGAAACCGCCCGCCGCTCGTTTCGAAAGGGGTCACCCGCAGAGATCACTGTACGCGATAAGCGTCGGAAGCCTAGTAGTTCTGCTAATTAGGTGGATATGAGTTGCTTCTCTCTATTTTCCTTTATCCGATCTGGTATCAATTGGAATTAAGTTCTATGTATATTGTTTTTCATTTTTCATTTTCTTAATAGCTGTACCAAGGCGATTTCTAGCTATAGGCGCACCTGAAATCTCATTCCATACCTCACATATTATAATTTGAAAGGAGTAGGTGCTAAATGGTTTTCTTATTATATGACGTATTTACAGTCATTCTCCAAATCAGTTTGACCCACAAAGATATAATTGTTTCCCAGCCCGGCAACATAAGGTCGAGGCACGTAGTAACATATATTCCGTATAATACAATAGTCATCTAAAGGTAGTTGCCTGTAATATCGCACAGTGCACTAAATCTCATGGTCAGATATGCTACAGTGGAAAGCTACTTCAGCCTTACGACAGGTCCTGCAAATATATGGATATAAAGGTAGCAATCCATTGTCGTATGGGCTTCAAATCCCTCATTACGCTAAACTATCAACCTTAAACAACTTATTCCAAATGTAAAACAATGGCCCACCGAAGATAATTCCATTACTTGGTCTGAGAGAAAGTCCCAAGCCTTGCAAATATGTAAGTTTGTTCTCTTCCACGAATATATTCTGGTAAACTGAAAGTAGCAAAGATATAGAAGAAGTAATTGATTATTTGGGGTCTCCAAGTCTTCGAAGCTGAACAAATGATGAGATATCTAGACCAGTCAAGGAGCTTTCCAGACTTTCCAGTAGGGGAGCCAAACTTGACGATAAGCCGCAACTATGAGCTCTCTTGCTCCTTTGGCCGTACCATTGAGGATACTCCATTTTGCGGCATTCGCTGGCCAATCCAATAAAGGACATCCCTGGATACTCTGACTTTGGTCTTGGGGAGAGTATCTGCATTTGAGACATTTGTTTCGTTAATGCCCCAAGTAGCATGCAATCACATTCGTAAGAACATTGAATTGTGCTACTCTGTAGCCTCGATAAGTGGTCATGCATGCACTCAATAACGCTTTCAATTGCATTCTCTCGTGACAAATTGATCGCATCTGGATTTAAATTAACTCCCGAGCATATAATGGAAAAGGTGAACTAGGTCTCGATGTGAACTTACCTCGTACACTAGAGAGAAATGGGAATTGGATGGTTGTCAATTTCGTTCTGTATCTGAGCTGTAGGTATTTAGAAGAGCTTTCGAAAATCGCATCGTGTTGGAAAACCCAGGATACAAACAGCCATCTCTCTGCATCGGATACCGATGCGAAGGGTATCTCGGCTAGGGCTTTAATCCACATTTCTGAAAACACTTCCACTACTTCATAGCATTCGTAGTAATCGACTAATAGAGCTATCTCCGCAAGCCTTTCTGGAGATACTTCTCGGGGTACTGTCCGTGTTCGGCCGTGGATTATCATTGTCAAGATTAGAAAGGGTACTGCCGGCCAATCTTGCAAGGGTATTTCTAGATAGCCCTTAGACGTAAGCTCATTTCCTTCTTGAAAACCATGTTGGAGTGTACGTTTGAACTGTGGACAAGAAAGCGTGAGGTGCTTAGAGGATACGCGGATCTGAAGCCGTTGCTCGCCCTTTTGGTGGTCCTGGGGTGACTCGGCAGATTTGTCTATACCCTCACTATGGCCGAGCTCGACAATGTCGTTCTCTTCTCCCAAGTTCCCCATATCCGGTGGTGGCTCAGATACTGCTTCAGAGTGTATGGAAATGTTTGACAGCCCAGAAAGTGTAGAAGCATCGATATCCCACATGCTCCCTGGCAGATTCTCAGGCACATTGTATAGAACCAGGATAACGTCACCTTCCGGATCTAGTGTGTAGATTATGTCGTCCATGCTTCCAATGCTTCCTACTTACCTGGGCTTCCCTCCCGAAAAGGAATGGAATAAGAGAAAGCAGTGATAATGCTGGACCGCTTGGACCAAGCAGAGGTGGGGGTTAAGTGAAGTGGGGTAAGACGCAGGGTGTCCATGCCAGTTCATCATTGATCTATTGTTAGCAACTATTTCCCCCGTATCGTACCATACCCCGACAACCCCTGCTGCACGACCACCACTTGCTAACATGTTGTCTGGGTCGGACTTGGAGTTAATTGTAAGTATACGACATGAACTCATTGACTCGAGTGGACGCTGAAAGGAAACTTGAAACCCCTTGTATCTTCTTGACCTCACGACTAGGAGACATTATACTGATGGCGGCCTCGTAGGTACCGCATAATGTCAGACCACTTATATTACAGACCTCAGTAAGATACCGGTTATTTGTGAGAAGATACTTCGATACCACACAGTACCCTGAAACGAACGAAGAGAGAGGAGAAAGAAAGGAGGCTGCGAGGGCGCACGCAAAACGACTAGTGGCGTTTCGCTTGAAGCGCTTCCTTCCACGTGTGCTGGTTTTGGAATCTCTCCTTCCCGTGAGGCCTGGGACATTTTTAAAGGTCTGATATATAATATTACTATAATATGGAAGCAATACATTCAAATGGAGGACAACTGGAAGTGCAGTACATTATAGTAAAATTCATAATTCATTAGATTGTATCCCAGACCACACGCGTTATGTTGCTCCCATCATCCAGTTGATGTGCCAAGTGTACCCTTTCTCCCTCACAACCTTCTTAACAGGATTCCCATGCTCATCAAATTTGCCTTTGACAACCACTTCTCGCCAGCCGTGACCCCAATCTAGTTCCCACTTGTCGTCCGTCTTCTTGGCTTGACGAGGAGGAGCCGGCAGCCGGTCTCCAGACTCTCGTGCCCTCTCAACGGACACGCAGAACTGGAGCGCCTTCTGGATTTCTTTTATACGCTTCTGGGAGAGGTTGCTCGTAGATACCTCCCCTTCACTGCCGCTACTGGCATCCTTGACACACTCGCAAGCCCAGCAGAGACAACAGGTATATGGCTGTGCGAACTGCCTCTTCCATAAATCAGCAGTATTGGTCTCTGATGTATTATTTGCGGTAGATTTCTCGGTCTCCAAGGGTCTCGCGACTTCGGCGTAATCCAAGTCTCTTCCAAAAGGCCGGCTGGTGAACGTCTGAAAATTGTCTGCATAAAGTTGATGCGTTCTCAAAGCAAGTTCAATATCCCATGTTGGCACTAAACTAGCACGTCTGTCTGGATGCAGTTGTACGAGAAGAAGAAACCTTTTATATCTCTCCAGGCAGCGGGTCAATGATCCAGGGCATGCTGGCGAGCGGAGCCAGAGAAGCTCATGTGTGTCATTAACAAAGCTCTCTTGCATGGCGACTGCATCTTCCAGGTGAATTGAGTACTGGGCGCCCATCGACGCGGTGTACGGCGGTGGGGACGCAAGACAAGAAATCAGGTCCACAGATTGTGACGACATGGTCTTGAACATATTTGCTGCCGCAGTCGGCAAGTTGTAATTAAGTGTCCTCTGATCGATGACTTCGTAGAGTGCGTGCCAAGGAAAGCAGAGCATGAATGCATTTTGTTTACCAAATTCCACAGAATCAGAAAAGTAGGAAGGATGGAGAATGTAGCTGTACCATACTAGTAGCACATCTAATGGAGGAAGATAGTTTTTGGAGAGAGTACTCCTGCCCTGCTGCGCTGCGGCAGGGACAGTGTTGTATGCTTTTGCATGTCGTAGTACTTTGTCGATATTTTGCCACCAAAGGTCAAAGCGGCCCACGGCTGCCTTTATAAAGAGTTCCCATTTCCTTATCTGGCTTGTACGCGCCATCTCCGCATCTGCAGCCGTCGGATGTGATTTGGAGCTTTGAGTATTTTCTGCTGAGGCAAAACGGGGTGCGGTTGGTCCGATGACAGCGTCCAGGTCCTTGGAGTGCATCACATCGTTTCTTAGCTTATAGAAACATTCAATGAGGCATAGGTGCATTGCTAGGTGGTTAGTTGATGGGTACAGAAGGTCGACTTTGCCTATGTCTGAGGCAACGAGAGCTCCGGGTGTACGACTAGGAGGGATGGAAATTCCTCTAAAGATCGCGGGGTCCGGAATCTGGATTTCCTCTTCTGTAGCACCTGCGGGAGCCAAAATGGTTGGGCTTATCTTCCATGAGTGCTGATGGTTTGATGGCTCCTGTCGGCCAAATCGCAATCCACTCAGTCCAGACGTCATATTTGCTTCATAAACAGGAACAGGAACCACTAATTTTCTGCGAAATACTTTATGGCGAGGTATATGGTGGTAAAAGGATGCCCGGAAAGCATAGGTTGTTTCCGTTCAATGTCAGTGTTTGGGATTGGGCCACCGCCTGCTTTAATACTTTATACTTCACGGGCAAAAGCATAGCCACGGACCATAGCCACAGAACCCAGCCACAGTTCGGGTACTCTCGTGAATTACTACAAACAGTAAGGCGTGCCTATCTAGGCCTAGTGCCATCCGGTCAACTGGTATTAAGTATATTCTCCATAAATTATTGATGTACATTCCAAAAGAACATATGCTTCCATAAATAAAGCCCTAGGAGAAATAAATATCGCCTAGAAAGGCCTTGACTAAATGATAGTAACTACTAGAAGCTGGGAAAAATACTATGACGCGAGATAGAGTGTATAAGATACCCCTTCTCTCGCTTCGTAAATAGCCTATTAATAGCCTATAAGGTTGAGTGGGCTGCTTGTCTATTGTGCATCTTCATACCTTTTTTTATCAAATATTGAAAGTATTATCGAATAATGTAACCGCAGATATAGTTAGCCCATGGTCAGAGCCGTCACTATTACTGATATTAAGCACCAGTAAACACCACAACATCATGCAAGCCATTCGGATTCATCCCACTCCTCCCCGAACTACTCCCTATTCACCTTCCTATCCCGGCCTAACTACCGCCCTGCAGCTGGACAACATCCCCGTCCCGAAGCCTTCACAGCCTGGGGAGCTGCTCGCGCGTCAAAGCTACAACCATTGTTCGCGACATGTTAACCTGGCCCGAAACCTACAGTCATTAATACGCCATTCCTGGCAACTATGTCGCCGGAATTGTAGCCGATGTCTTCTCGCCCGATAGCAAGTTAAAGCCAGGAGACCAGACCTTTGGCATGGCTGATATAGACCGTGCCGCCACATGGGCCGAATACACCATTCCCAAAGAGGATGAAATCGCCTTGAAACCGACCGGATTCACTTTTGCCCAGGCTGCCGTTTTGGCGCTTAGTGCACTAACCGCCTATTAGGCCGTATTCCACCACGCCCGGATACCTCGCCCTACTATGGAGGAGGTCAAGTCTCGCGCTGCGCGCAAGCAAGAGCAGCGCGTGCTGATTACCGAGGCTGCGGGTGCAGTGGGAGTGTATCTCGTTCAGCTCGCGGCGGCGGCTGGCATAACGGTTATAGCGGTTACTAGTTCTAATGCGCGTAATGGAGAATTTCTCCAGCGTCTTCAGGCAGATAAGGTAGTCGAGTACAGTACGCTAAGGTATTATCGGGGAACGTTCGACGCCATCATTGACGTGCTTGGCGGGGAGCAGCTGGACAAATGTTGGGACTACATCACTGAGACTGGGGTGCTAAATTCTATTGATTCTGCAAGTTTCAACTTTGTGGAAGAACATGAGAAGCGCGGTCTACGTAAATCGGGAGTGCGTTCTCTGCTTTCTATTGTGAAGGGCAGTGTCGAGGCATTACACTACCTTACTGAACTGGTGGCTATTGGAGCTCTGAAGTCACTGGTAGCGGACACTTTCCCTCTTGCAAGGGCTCAGAGACGTACAGTCTTACAAATGGACGGCATTCTAGGCGGGGTAAGTTCATTCCCATGGCCTGACAGTTATGGCTCTTCGCCATGATCCTATGTGCCGGTAGCAAGCTAAGCTCCGCAATATGAATTTGCCTGAAAGCAAGACTGATGATTATTATGTGGTTCGCTTACTTTGACACGGGGAAATGATATCAGAATCAAAACTTGATATTCCAGTAACGTATAAGATAGATGTATACCCTTGCAGCGTGTAGCGTCCGCTTGTTCTCTTGAGCCATCGGGGAAGTGGATTCATTCACAGTTAGATATATCTTCAGCCTTGTCAATGCCACCACCAAACTGTAATATCTGAAATGTGTAATACAAATTCAAGAGTAAACAGACATACAGGCGATAGATATACTGCCTAATTGAAGCTTTTAGACACCATATTGCCCATCCGTCCGCGACGTACCCAACCGGCCTCCCGACTTCAAGCTTTCATCTTCTGTGCCACAATATCCTTGTACTCCTCATCATACTGCACCAGAACGGCTGGTCCCTCCCGCTCGAGCGTCTCAGTGTCAAGCACAAAGTTCGCAAAAAATACCGCTGGCTCGGTCTTGCTGGGGTTGGCACTAATGCGATGATGGCACCCTGGGGCTTCATGCCAAGATCCTCCCTGGTCGATCACTTTCATCGGGTCGTTATTCATTTTGTTCAGCATGGAACCTTTAATCACATAAGCAGAAACAGAGGCTCCTCCATGACGATGAGGAGGACTAGCACCGTCTGGTGGGTATTCGACAAGCAGACCCACAGTAGTCTTCCCAGGGCAGTTGACCAATTTATACTGGTAGACGAGGGTGGTACTCGCAAGGGGGCGGCTGTTGTCGCAAAGGGAATTAGCAAATCAGATGCGTTCTGCTATGCCAACTTCACTACACACACACCTCGGATCGTAGGTCGGTTCGTCCATGGCGAAAAGTATTTATATATAACACGACACCTGCAATGGGTAATCAATAATCTCACTGGGCCTGCTGTGCATGATGGACGAACTGAAATCCTCGACAGCGCCAGTGACGGGCCTACTTATACGTTTCGGGTGGTCTGGATGTGATGAACCAGAGTTGAAGCTGTCTGCAGGATCAATCACACATTCTCTGTCCTAATGCATTTCAATCGTTGATTCTTGGTGGGAAATGGCCTTACCACGGATCCATGAACACTGAGTAGCATGACTGAAGCCGGGATAGCTGCAGGTGGAGAACCTTATCAAAACGAATAGGCTATTCGGAAAGGAGGCCACTCGAGCCCGACCCGCGTGCACCTCGAGGCCCAGGGCCCTGAAGAAGCCTACTTTTTCTAAATACCAGTGTCACCTAGAGTTACTCTATATTTTGAAGCTATTCAACCACTAACTATACTATCTGCCGAATATCCCGTTAGGTGCTGGCCGTCTTGTTTTTGTTTTTTTGGCTACCCGCATCCAATTAGTAGTATTTTCTGCCTTGGGTGTCCGCGTTCGATCAGGTACGCTATTATAATATACAATAGGGCTGATGAGGTTTTTCAAAAAATGCCTTCGCTCATTGGTATTCGCGTTTGAGTTACAGGACGCTTTAGCCCGAGCTAGGTGGCGTGATCGATTCGCCAGGCCTGGGCGAGTAGTTACTTTGACCAATAGCAATGATTATCCACTTCGTATTGTTGGAGAAAGGAAGCGACAGCCGAAAGGCAGCTTCGAACGACGAATGATAAGCGAGTTCCATCATGCGGAGACCCCACTGGAAAAACGCCAGCGTGTAAAACACTTCCAGATGGTGCTCCATCACACGCATCACCGGAGTTAGTGATCGAGGGACAGTATGCTGATCCAACGTCCGGCCTCACATCTTTCCATGAAGCATGGCGCAACACTTCCATGCAAAAGGGAGACATCCAATCCCCAAGGTCGAGTGAGGCAGAGATGAACCAGCCCTTAGTTTCTGCTGGAGACCGACCGTTCTACCAAGACGCGCATAGTCCGGACCCGTTGCCCAATGCTCCCACAGCGCGCCGCTTACTGAATCTTTACTTCGAGTCCTGTGTTGTTACCTATCGAATATTCCACCAACAAACCGTGGAAGGTTGACTAGATACCATCTTGGACAATTGGCGAACAAATCGCCCAATAACACACCCCATTAAGACTGTTAAGTATACAGTCACACAATCTTTCAATCAAAGACCGTCCAGCTCAATATCATTCAGGATGTACCCCATTCTACCGGGTGTGAACGCCTGGAACGTTTCCAATCTTCAGAACCCCACGAAGCGGGCAATTGGTATCGGTATCTTGTCTGTATGAGTAATGCGGGAGGCATTACCGGCAGTTTTATCTATCAGGAGAAGCGCTCCGTTATCCACCGGCTACAGGAACTCGTTTGCTTTTGCATCGGCGGGTTTCATTGCCTGCCTAGTACTCGAGCTCTGTCTCTTTAGGTTAAATAAACAGAAGGTCCAGCTAAGCGAAGCGAAGATCCGAGACTGATATACAGATGAGGAGTTGAACGAAATGGGAGAAAAAAGTCCCCTGCTCAAATATACACTGTGATCGGCGTTTCTGGGATGATTGTCTGAGGGGAGGGATGTATATGATATAGCCAGCGTTTAAATGCCTCACGGGGGGGCTTATTATCCAGTTGTACTTTTTTTCAGGTCCTTTAGTGTCGGGTTTCCCCGTTCCTCTGTCTAGGCGTCATGCATTATCGGGGTTTGTGGATCGGTTAGACCCACCGAGCCATCCATCCCTTGACAGCGGCAACATTTCCTCTGCCACACACTTGTTTGCCTTCGAAGGACCATAGGACATTGATCAATAATGAGTGATCACTATTTGTATACTTCTGTTAGGGATGCTATATCCCTTGGGACGATACTACCCGAAACAGTGCCAAAGCCCAGTAGCCACATCCGACAATAGTGACTTTCGATAAAAACAAGGAATCCTACAAGAGACCCCTACAGTCCTGGGTCAGGGAAGACCACAAATAGAAATGAGTAAAACTATTGAGTTCAGCCTCGATCGTCAACGACTTTACAACTATTGAGACATGTCTAAGACGATTAACTCCGCCCGGCGGACCGTTGAGACGGAAGAATCCCATGGGATTATTGTGGGGATAAGCAATAAAACGGGGTTTACGGGGCAATGCGAAATCCGATCCCTTCCAGAAATTGGGTCTTGGATTCCCATTTCATCGAGAAGGGGGTTTAGATCCCCGTTCCAGTCCCAAAGTTGAGGTTAGATGGGTCTTGGGCCCACGTACTATCTCATCTATTATGACGATCATTGAACCCGGTCCATTAATGGTAACTACGTAGTTACCTTTACACCATTAGTATGATGTAACGATTTGAATACAATGCATATGTTCTCTGGCCGAAGAATTACTCCATACATGGAATTTGCCACCGCAGTGGAGTTAAACACAGTATTATTATATTCAGACCGTCACAAAAGGATATAAAGAGGCGAGACTTCCGTTGAGCAAGAGACCATTCAGCCAGATACAGCAGCAAATAATTCTTCCATAATCCATCAAACAACCACTCCATCGATCCTCTAAACATTCACAATGCGTTTCCTCAGCATTTTCGCCGCCATCGTTGCCCTCACCCCTGCCGTCATGGCACAGGGCCAGAACCCCAAGAACTGTCTTGAGAAATGTCATCCCTACAGCGCTGGTTCCAATGAGTACTGTGATGCTGACCACCAGGTATGTTTTCCATGTAGCTGACCGCGAATGCATGAATGTCTGGCCGCTAACAATGCATATAGGCTCTGTACCGTGAAGGCCCTGTATGTATACCTAGATTCTTCTCATCGAGGCTTAAGATAACGTGGTATGATAAGTGGACAACTTACTGACTATGATTATAGGGCTGTTTCAAGTGCTGTGAGTCCGTTTAAGCGGATCAAGGAGAGCTGGGACCAGAAGTTTAGTAGTCTCTTAGGTTGAGGATCTGTAGGTTGATTTTGTGTTTCGCAGTTGGCTTCTTTGGGGGCTGTGGAGTATTGTTTCTGTTGAGCGAATACCGATGTGTACAATGCAATCTGTTTATTGGTGTGTCATTGGGATGTTTATAAAACAATATAAACTGGAAAATGGAAAAATGCGAAATGACAATAAGCCATCAAAGGTGCAGCCTAGTTAACATGCCAAAGGAAAGATTTACATTCTACCTATGTATAACGCCATCGTCTGAACAAACATCAAATGCAACATCGCACAACGCATACATTCTTATATCCATAACAGAGGCACTACTGCTTTGTCGCCGGGAAATTGCCAGTTCCTAATATATCACCATCCTCTTCCTTCCCATCCCTTGCCCGATCAATCCGGAACTGCGTCGTCTTGAATAGTCTCGGCATAGTTGTCTCCTCGAACGATGTTCCCTGCGCAACCATCTTTGCCAGCTCCTTGGCCGCCAACCAGATGACCGGCATGCCATGGCCATTAAAACCAGCAATGATAAACTGGCCATCCTTGGTAGGCACTTCACCGACGTGGGGATTTGAGTCATAGGAGTAGCCCATGACTCCAGTCCAAATCTTATCCACTTGAGCCCCTGAATTCTCCCACCCGCGATAGGTCCGTTGCATATAATCTGTATAGTAGTCCTTTGCCGAATCGATAAGAACACTGTCGTCCACGTTGTTGTACCATTGCTCCCGGAACGGCCGGAACTTCGCGGCGGCACCACCAACAATGATACTGCCGTCGGCTCGTGGAATTAGGTATGAAAGAGTGTTGTCTTCTGTTCGGTTGATGTAGGAGTTGTTAAGAAGGGGTGCCGTGGTTCCCTCTGGTACCGTAATTCGACAACAGATACCTTTGCATGGAATAATGTTGTTCTGGTACTCGGGGAGAAGGCCCGCGACGTAAGCATTGTTCGCATGGATGACGTTGCCTGCGTGCATTCTTCCCCGTGGAGTCTCAACCACATACCCGCCATTTGGATCCGGTGTGATTGAGGTCGCGGGGGTATATGTTTGGAGATTGATCTTGCCGGCTGCAAGCAGGGACTCAGTAAGATGCATGATAAGTTTGTACGGCCACACAGTTCCAGCCGTGTACGAGGCGCACGCCACAGCACCTTTGACGCCGCAGATCTGTACCATATTAGCATCCATTACTTGACTAAAAAATAGCAAACACTTACACCTTCCACTTCCTTGCCAGTATAGAAGATAGCATCATTCATATATTCAAAGTTTTGCGCAACTACGTTTTCGAAAGTTGCCTTAGCCTTTGCCGCGGCTTCCTCATTGCACCAGACGTCGATCGTCCTTGTTAAGGTAAAATCACAATCGATCTTCTCCTCTTCAATGACTTTTTTGAGCGCGGGCAGATGAGCAATCTCGAACTCCGCTATCTCAGCCCCTGCTCGTGCCCCAGCGCGATCGATGTATGTAGGAATATGACCGTAGAAATCAGGCCGGAGATGACCTCCGTTGCGACCCGTCGCGCCCGAGCAAACTCCCCTGGCTTCCAGGATTGTGATTGACTTGTTGAAATCCTTATGGTCCTTCACAATATGGTAGGCCGTACTGATACCAGCGTAGCCCGCGCCAATTATGACAATGTCACTGTGCTCGGGCAACTGTTCCGTCGAGCGATGGTCACTCTTCGGATGAGGCTGGGTTTGCCAGAAGCATTCCCCGGGATTGGGAACAGGGAAGCATCCTGCTGGTTGTATATCAGCTGCAGAAGCAGGCGGTTGCATATTTGTGTTAAAAATGTGAAGTTATGACCTCTAGGGCTTGAAGTAATTATCGAAAAGATGACGCGGAGTTAAGTTTATAAGAAAGTGATGTGTCCGAGGTCTTATCTTATCGCCAATCGGCCTCGGCACGGCGTACGATTGATTCTTTGGATCACTAAAAGCTCGCTACCGGACCGGAATTGCCTAATTAAAACCGGCGGATATCCATGGTCGGTCCGGGCTCCACTGAGGTTCTCCGGTTTATCAGTATATCAATTAATTTATTTCTAGAGCTGGCTGTCCAGCTATTCCTCTAGGCATGTACAACATGGTAAACTTGCCGGGATCCATCCGGTTCACTTAGCTCTTATCTTAACCACGTATGTGCAGAACTCCCGCCAATGAAGGAAATGGGATTTAATATTGGCTTTGCATTAGCCTCTGATAAGCGGGGGAAATAGCCCCATGAAGAACCTAAACTGCACAGAGATATATGAAAAAGTGTACAAAAATGGGAAGAAGTCACCCCCCGGTCGAGCACACAATCTCCCACTTTACGTTTGACATTATAGATTGTAGTCTCCAGCAAGATGCCTCCTCATACCGCGGAATACCCCTCGTTCGACGAAGTCGGTCCGGCAACAATGGCAGAGAAGAAGGGATTCCACGACAATGTGGGATCGTACGATGTGGAGAACACGGCCGGTCAGCTGGAGGAGGTGCACGACTTCAAGCAAGGCCTCCACCAGCGACATATTCAGATGATCGCGTTGGCTGGTACCATCGGGACTGGTCTGTTCCTAGGCTCGGGACGAGCCATCGCAACAGCAGGACCTCTGGGAGCCTTTCTCGGATACTCCATCATAGGTCTCACGGTGTCGAGTGTTGTGTTTGGTGTGGGAGAAATGGGTGCCCTAGCCCCCCTCACCGGCGGTGCCATTCGATACCTAGAACTCTTCTGCGATCCTGCGTTGTCTTTTGCCATTGGATGGAACCATGTATACTCCTACGTTGTATCAATTCCATCCGAGATCGTGGCAGCTGCCGTTATTGTTGAGTTTTGGGCTACGATCAACAACGCGATATGGATAACAGTGTTTGGCGTCCTCATGCTTATCACAGCACTCCTCTTCGTTCGTATCTACGGAGAGCTGGAGTTCGGCTTCTCCATGCTGAAGATCATGCTGGTCATTGGAATCAATATCATGGCCTTGGTCATCACATGTGGCGGGGGTCCCGACCATAAAGCCATCGGATTCAGTTACTGGAAGAACCCCGGCCCGTTCGTACAATACCTAGGAGTCGGTGGCTCATTAGGCCGCTTCATGGGATTCTGGACCACATTCGACAACGCTCTCTACGCATACTCCGGGATTGACAATATCACGGTCGCTGCAGCGGAAACACGCAACCCTCGACATGCAATCCCGCAAGCCGCGCGACGGATCTTCGTTAGAATCTTCCTCTTCTACATCTTGACAATATTCATGGTCGGCTTAGTCGTACCATCCAACGACCCCAATCTCCTCGGCTCAACAAGCACAGCCGCTCATTCACCCTTCGTCATCGCTGCCCGCAACGCAGGGATCTCGGCAGTGCCATCCATCATCAACGCCGTCGTCCTCACCTCCGCATGGTCATCCGGCAATTCCAACATGCTCGGTGGCTCCCGAATCCTCTACGGGATGGCCTGCAACGGGCACGCCCCGAAGATCTTCAAGCGAATGAACCGTTTCGGCGTCCCATACGTCTCCGTCGCCCTGTACGGCCTCTTCATGGGCCTGGGCTACATGACCCTCTCTGACTCGGCAAGTACAGTCTTCACCTGGTTACAGGATATCGTCGCCATATCCACCCTAGTCAATTGGGTCTGCATCTGCATCGTCTACCTCCGCTTCTACTACGGATGCAAGAAGCAGGGGATCGATCGTCATAAGGAGTTGCCGTGGGCGGCACCGTTCCAGCCCTGGAGTACGTGGTGCTCGTTGATCTTACTCATCATTCTTTTCTTTACGGGTGGTTATAAGACATTCATGCATGGGCATTGGGATACTGAGACATTTATCTCGTCGTATCTGAATGGGCCGCTGATTTTGGGTATTTATCTCGGCTATAAGTTTGTGAAGAAGACGAGGATTATTCCGCTGGAGGAAATCCCTATTCGCCCTTTTATTGAGAATTATCAGAATAATCCGGAGCCGGAACCGAAGCCAAAGAAGGGGTTGAGGCGGCTGAATATTTTGTGGTCGTAGTGTGAATGCTCGACGTTTGAAATATATATATACTTTGAATATAGTTATACCGAAAGCAATGATAATTCATATTCAAGCGAACAACGTGTTCAATCAGACTTAAAATCGTACGACCATATACCTAGAATACACTATAAGACTTACTTCCGATCATACCATAGAATAATCATGATCACAACTACCAATTCAACCACCCCATTACCCAATGTTCGATTGTTTTATCAATTATCTTATCTGGTCTTATCAGATCCATCACATGACCACCTCTGGCCGGCAGAACAAACCAATCACAATCTACCGGTCCGGCCTTTCCTAAAGAAGTAAGCGATATCCGGCGCAACAAATGCCGGCGACGATAACAAGCGAGTTCAAGTGATAGCGGGGAAAGCTTTCGATAAGATCGAACCCGGTCAACAGCTTTCTCCGTTATCGGGTCCAGTGTCAACACAACCTCGACCCATGGTATTTACCACGTGGACCGTCCTTGAAGGTGAGATATTGAACCCAAGACCACTTGAGTATGAAACTGAATTAAGGAGATCAACAGCACGCAGCAGTCATAAAACCACCCTTAAATACGCGTGCTAGCATCACATCATAGCAATCCACCCCGCCGATAATCCCACACCCCACATTCGACAACACAACACAACACCCCAACCACAAAATAATAAAATTAAAAACAATGTCCCCTCACAAACACGTCGTCTTCGACGTCGTCGGCACCTGCGTCTCCTTCGATGCCTTCTACAACTGCATTGACCGTGTCATGGGCGACAAGCTCCGCGCGCAATGTATCACGCCGCGTTTCTTCGGATTCAGCTGGATGACCGCTGCCGAGCTGGAATTTACCTTCTTGTCCATTTCAGAACGATACAAACCGTATAAAGAGGTTATTACGGCGCTGTTCTATCGGACCTTACACATGGCGGGGGTCGAGGACCCGAGGTCGTTTGCGACGGAGGCTGAGAGGGATCAGTGTGTGCAGGGATATTCGGAGTTGGAGCTTAGGCCGGGGACCCGGGAGTGTTTTGCGAGGTTAAGAGAGGCGGGGTTCACGGTTTGGTGTCTTACGACTGGGGATACGAGGCGTGTGAGAGGGTATTTTGAGCGTGCTGGGGTGGATATGCCGTTGGAGAACTTCATTAGTTGTGATTCGCAGGGGGTGGCTAAGCCCACGCTGGCGGCGTATAGGCCTGCGATGGAGAGGTTTGCCGAGGAGGACGTGAAGTGGTTTGCAGCGGCGCATATGTGGGATGTTTCGGCGGCGGTTAAGGTTGGGTTTAGAGGGGCGTATTGTACGGTGTATGAGAAGGAGTCGTGTGCGGAGATTTTTGATACCCAGATGGAGGTGTTGGCGGATTCTTTGCCTGAGATGGCGGACAAGATCATTGCAGCCTCGGGGTAGTGTTTTGGAGAGATCAACAAAAGTAAAGGAAGCCACAGTAATCAATTGCAAACTCATTCAATCATCATAACGTACTAGATACATCAATATACAATGGGGAGGGTATAGGTAAGTTCCTCGCTCAACGTCGGGAGGTCCTGGCGTCGTGGGACGCACGGTAGGGAAACATTTGTACAAAGCCACTGGGGCCATCGGCTTCAGGACGAGGCACTATGCCAGCCTCGGGCACGGCAAGAAATTGCTCAAGCACTTGCGTTTCCGTCTGTGTCGGCCATGCCGAGGATAGCGCTAGATTGCCAGCCCCAAAAATGGACAATTCGTTGACCGGATCCCAGGCATTGAGGGCGTCCATCTGCATATCTCTACGGGACTCATTGGACGATGCGCTGAGATTCGGAGGCTCCATATAACTAACTGAGGTGGGATCAAAGTTTATAGGCGGCAGTGCAGAGCCAGCTGATGCTCCAGCAGTGTTCGCAGGAATAGAAACATTGTCGCACATGTTCATAGCTCCACCACCCCTCCAGGATGACCCCCATTGCTTGAATGCATCATAGTCTGACATCGCTGATATTGTCTCTGAGGGGCCATCGTTCGGCTGTGTATCTTCTGTCTCGGAATGCAAACGAGCGAGTGCTTGTTCCAACGCCTCAATCAACGCCACTTCCGATCGAGCCGAATCCCCAGAAGCCGCCATTTCACGGATCATGTCCAGCCCGTCTTGTAATGTTTTATGATACTCTCCCGAGCGGTTCTGGATCGAGTAGGCAATCAACACTAACAACGAGGCTCGACAGGAACTGTATTCAATGTACGAAGCTCTAGCGAGACCTGATCCATGGTCTCGCAGTATTTGACAGAGCCGAATCACCTCCGTTGCTGCCTGTATGCAGCATATGACGAGACCCTGTGTACTAGAAGTCTGCCTCGGGCTCGAGCCCTCGCTATTATCGTGTGCCGCGTTCGTAAATTCTGGCCCAGCTGGAGAGCTTCGGGGGGATTGTGAGGCCTGGTCTCTCAGAAGAAACGGCCGTCCGATAAACATATTGACCAGGCAATACTCCAGTCGCAGATGCATTGCAGCGCGGTTTAGATTCTGTGGCTGACTTGAATAACCAAGTACATCTTCTGGTATTGAATTCCACCAATCAGTCATGGCGCATTTTTTGTCCCGCAAACGAGCCAAGATATTTGGGATTGTTTTCTTTTCGCAATGACGCAGGAGCGATCTAGGCACAATATCAGTTTCTTGCCGTGCTACGTCTACCGAGTGTATGTCGCGCTTACAGTTCGTGGAAGAAGTCCTCGAGAAAATGGATAAGTTGGATGGATGTCACAGCGCGTGCAACATTCCACAGGGGATCTTCGGCGTGCATCCCCTCGCGATACTCCGGTACATCTGTGTCGACATCTGATCGCAGGACAGACAGCGGTCGTCCGTGGAAAATGGATATTTTTCTGGGAGCCCATCATTAGCACTCAGATCATTCCATACAGCCGTTATGCTTTACCTTTCAAGCGAGTAGGCAGTCCACCAAACACGATTCCGCGTCTCAATCATATCTGGGTTGAACGCGTCACTTGTACACTTTCGGTGCATACCATTCTGCATAGCGAGTCGCACGGCGAGATTGATATAGACATATCCGAGGCCGGATGCATCAATGGGCAACGAGTAAAACCCAAAGAGTAAGCATGCCTGAACGCTTTCTAAACAAGACGATTCAATAATTTCAGGCAACAGTCGGACCGCACTCTGATAGAAGGTGGCACCGATGTCATCTTCCGAGAAGTCTCCATCCTTCGCTGTATCGCGACTGGGCGAGTCCAGGTACGCATACTGCGTCCCGATCGCGAATATTGTAAGCAGGATGCTTATGACAGCGGCACCCTTCTTACCAAAGCTGCTAGGGTCGTGATAAAGCACATCGAGGTTGTCGAGGAACCACCTCTTCCGGACAAAGAAGTAATGTGTTTCAGCATACTTGAAAAAGATATTAGCCAGAAATCTGGCTATTTGTCGTGGAGGACAGGAGGAGACCGCCGCGGATAAATGACTCTGGCCAGAACGTAGTTGTTGCGCTCGCCAATACTCAAAGACACGTTGATCAGAATTAGGAGTTTGCTGCTTCAGTTAGCTTTCGTCGTAACTGGCATCGGTCGTGAGTACCTGAGCAACTGAGTGCCGGGTTTGATGTTCAATTTGGTGTTTAATGCGCATGGAAAAGTTCCAATATGAGAATTCTCCAGAATAGTCTGCTCAACCTTAGCGTTGTTACTAATTAAAGCAGTGATGGGAGGGAACGAACGAGTAGTGGTATCTTCAACCGGGTCGATTGTACAAGCTTCGTCATCTATGGAGAGACCATCGACATCTCCGTGTTCCACCGGCAGTTCTCTGTGGCGCTCTTGGTCTGACGCGAGGGCATTTGCCATTTGAGAGAGATTGTCCGTATCAAGGGAGATTCCCTGCACCGTGTGTTTTAATATACACTCCATATACCTTGAGCGCTCAGCCAGCTCTCGGATATCTGCTCCTACGGCAGGAGATCTGGTTCTAACAGCCCATTAGGGGACGTGTATAGTGCGGATGGAGCCAAGGTACACACACCTAGGAATGTAGGCACGGAATTCGCGCACCCTTGATGCGCGATTCTTGAACTCACAGGAGCGATGAGAGTGGGAGCATCTACTGCAGGGAATTCCACCTTCACACTTCTCCTTCAAGCGCCGGCATTCGTCGCAGCTGCATGGTAGAATCTTAGTCCTTGAAGTACTCCTGGAAAGCTTCACGCCGCCGACTTACGCCCGTGCTGCTCGCTTTTTATCCGTTGGCATCGCGCTAACCTTACCCTGTAGGGTAACATCTGTTCCCAGGTAAACGACAGAGGGACAGTTGGGTCATTAAACGGATATGATCCAGGACAGGTAGAGAGACAGTGGCTGAAAATGGCCAGTCAGAGCCAGATCACGGGATGCGGGCGCGGGCGATAAGACTCGGGGTGTCCACCAATCATAAACCGCCCCTCCATCTGCCCTAATCGAATATGGTGTAGCATAATAAATTGAACTAGTATGGAGACACTGCTTTGCATTGATAAAGCGGGGAAGATCTCCACGAGGACTGCATACTATGAATTGCAGTCCGGAGTATGCGGCTCGGTGGGTAAACAACACAGGTGCTTCACAAGACGAAATGGAACTGGACAAGAGAGGTTCATCAAGATTTTGTGACACCGCGTGAATAGCCTCGTGCTCGAAGAGCTCTAGCTAAAACCTGCGTTGAAACTTTTAAATCAAGTTCTTGAATGATCTTCGCGTATGGCAACCGTTTCGCCCGCTCCGAGGACGATATAAAAGCGAGTATATCGTCTAATTGGGTAGTAGAAAGTTTAGGGGTTTGGCCACGAGCTTTTTTAGGTGAATAAGTCTTGGCTTGGCATGTATATTGCACCTGCCGATATGTGATACCGGGCAGGTGGTCGACGATTTGCTGATAGGTAAATCCAGCATCCCGTAGAGTCAAGATACGTATCCTATCGTCTCGGTCGAGGCGCGTAGAATTTGGACGGTCAGGGGTTGAAGGTCTAGCAGAGTCGGTCATCGTAAGTCGCAAGTCGCAAGTCACAAGTCGCAAGTCGAAGGTCTGTGAGCTACTAGTAGTAGAGAACTGTTTTGGTTTGCTTCACGCGATGGTCGCGCTGGACGGGTCGCATCGCACTTTACCCTTCAAGGCAATCGCTGCCAAGGCTGACTGATCCACACTATTGGACTGTCGACACCTAAGGTAGTGGACACCTCTTCGTCGTTTCTATCGTTTACGACCTCTCATTTGAACATATATAGAGGTAAGTTGAAGGCGATCCTCATCGCTCGGCCCACGTAAATAGGAAGACAAAGGACATGAAAGGCAAGCATTTGTATTCGGGATGGGCAACCAATCTATAGATCGATTCGGGCCGAATACTCTGCAGCCCGGGTGGATACCCTATCGAACGACGGAGACGAAGTGGACCAAGAGGACATGGACGGAATTGTGAGTAATCGTCTGGACAAGTTTACTGCTGCATAGGAGATTTGCGGAGCCGCTACCCCACAACAGGCTACGATATTATATCTACTACACTCTGTGAAGAGATCAGTAAGGTAATGACTGTAACCTGATTGAATAGAGGGGAAATGAAAAGCTCAGTGTATATGCGAAATTCTGGGGGCGTATACAGTCTATCAGATTATACTATGCAAAGCATCTTTATGTAGCAATTTTCCCACGTTCATCGGCGTTCGATAATGTGTGCTAGTCAAGGGTCTGTAACATTTTAATGGAAATGATCAGGCTGGGAACTGAGCTCCTCAGGTTATTAGGACAGATTATAGAGTAGTCCTGAGAGTATTACTTGAAGCTACAACCCAAGACCCAAAATCAGGGTTGTTTCGAATACGTCCGAAGCAGTGGTGGGGCCCAAAATTTGGGTAGAGTCCGCAGGCTTTAACCCCTACAACCACCGAACCTTTCCACCATTGACCATTGTCAACATCTTGCGCTGTAGCCTGTGTATTAGCTGACCCATAAGTTTACACCACAGGGGAGTCGAGAGGACAGACATGTGTGAGTACGATGGATACGAGGGGAGGCTTCTACCCCATATTCTTCACAAGGAGATCGACGCGAGTGCCGCTTTCTACTCGGAAGGGGAAATGATCAGCTGTACCAAGGCACATGAATTTCTTATGTTATCTTCAGTAAGTTGGTGTACCAACACGTTCCGGTTAATGTCTGAACCTGATTTGATATTATAGAGCCCCATTGGAATTAGCGGCACGTATTAATTAAACTAATCCTTCGAGAAGTGGAAAATCATATAGACATGTTCCCAACAGAACGTCGAGCGCGAAAAATGCCGAGGCTATTGCGATAAAAGCACAATCTGTCGTTGAAACTGTTGAGTGATCCTTAATTTCATATAGGAGGAAAATAATAAGTCCTAGTGACAAGATGGACTAGCTGCATGCATCGGGTTGTTTTCGGGGATTCGATGGTATTCGTGACCAGGGTAAGTAGATCCCATATTTGAGCCCTACACTACCTGCCCCGCACTTTAGACCCTTTCTATCTGCCTGAAGGATCGGTCATTGGAGAGCCTACTGCGCTTTTAATTAACCAGCCTTGAAAAACCTCGGTTGCTGACAATAGTCCATGATGCGCTTCGTACTGAGTGCCATTCATGTGCCATTCTCATGCAATGAAATTACACTCAGAACTAAGAAATGACTGGGTATATCCTTGCCTATCCAATAGTATTCGTTGTGATAACACCATAGTTCGCTTTCAACTTACTCGACTGAGGGATGGGGATGAAATGATATATAAACTCGGTACGGCCTCTACCTCTGGGGGTAATTGCACATATTCAAAATAACACGCCATGGCCAGGCTAAGCCTTTTGTTGGCGCCACTGCTCGCCGTGCTCTCGCTTGTTTCCGCCTTCCCAGCCCAGCTGCCTCCACGGGCCTCGGCACCTGCGTTACCAGTGGACGACCCTTTCTATATTCCTCCTGAAGGTTTTGAGTCCTCGGCGCCTGGGACAATTCTCCGTCATAGAACTCCTCCAAACCCAATTGCGGCGCTTGGCTTCGCCAAAGTCAACATTCAGGCAGCACATCAGATCCTTTATCGAACAAGCGACTCTGCTGGCAATGCCATTGCCACAGTTTCCACCATCCTGATTCCCCACAACGCCGACTACTCCAAGCTGCTCTCGTACCAGGTAGCTGAAGATGCAGCCGACCCAAACTGTGCTCCCTCCTATGCCCTACAGCTTGAGGCAGCCCACGACGGTATTCTGGGCCTGGTAATCCCCCAAGTCGAATTGTTGTTCTTCGGCGCAGCCCTGAACAAAGGCTGGGTGGTGACAGTCCCAGACCATCTTGGGCCCAAGGCAGCCTTCCTCGCCAACAACCTCTCTGGGCAAGCGGTTTTGGATAATATCCGCGCTGCCTTGGCATCCTCGAGCTTTACAAACATCACTTCGGATCCTACCATCGCGCTATGGGGCTACTCTGGTGGAAGTCTGGCCAGTGGATTTGCCGCCGAGCTGCATCCCACCTATGCCCCCGAGCTTAATATCGTGGGAGCTGCACTGGGTGGTACAGTGCCCAAGATTCGACCAGTCATTGAGGCAGTCAACAAGGGTCTTTTTGTCGGACTCGTCCCCTCTGGCATCCAGGGTTTGGCAAATGAGTATCCCAGCATTCAGCAACTTATTAATGCTGGGCTTAAACCATCAAAGAGGGCTGACTTCAACAAGACCCAGAACCTGTGTCTTTCGGGAGATATACTTCAATACCTCGGTCAGGATATCTACGATTATACGAATGACCGGAATATATTCGATCAGCCGGCGGCTGTGGAAGTGATGGACGCCAACGCGATGGGGCAGCATGTGCCCAAGATCCCTCTTCTGGTATACAAGTCTGTTGGCGATGAGATAAGCCCCGTGAATGACACCGATGCTCTCATTGAGACTTATTGTCAGGGTGGAGCTAGCGTTGAATATAAGCGTGATGAACTCTCTGAACATGCATCACTCGAGATTACGGGGTCCGCTGATGGGATGCTCTGGCTTATCGATCGCATGAACAATAAGCCCGTCCAACAGGGATGTACCAAATCTACTACCATCACCGGTCTTGCTGACCCAAAGGCTCTTCTAGCCTTGGGCGATGAGATCGTTACGCTCCTTAAGGCAATCCTATCGGGGCCCATTGGGCCTGGTGTCGTCGGCTAATTCCTTGATTGTAGTACTTCTTCTACGAGAGAGGCTAAAGCTCGTCCATAATCATGGTGGGCAAAAGGCACTATTGGAGCATAATAACAACCAAATACGCGGTATGTAACGTCTTTTACATGTCTGGCTTGCTATATGTTAAAATGTTTCAATGTGACATATCTCTATCAGTATGTGTCAATGATCATTTATGTCTTTTAACCCTTAGTGAAGATTGAAAATTATTCCCACGACAAATACATCAGTAGTATCAACCCTCCACACTCGTAATCATCATATAAGACTACCTCTAAATACGTGCAGCCAGGGTTCCCACCGTCTCCTTCAACGGGTGGTCATGTCGCTTAGTCCGACTCCGGACCTTCTCCCCATCCTCAGGTCTAACATAGCGCGCCTCAACCGCCGGATTGTATCCCAACGCAGACTTCTGTCGGACCTCTGCATCCGAAAGAGTTGGGTTGCTCTGTCCGTCAGCCCTCTTGTAAACGGTCACAACGACCGCACCACCAAGACCTAGATTATGTTGCAAAGCAACATTAGTCCCCTTAACCAAGCGATTGGTAGCCCATCCCCGCAACTGCCAAGTGAGCTCGGCACATTGGGCCACACCAGTCGCGCCAAGAGGATGACCCTTGGAAATAAGTCCACCGGAAGGGTTGATGACAAGTCCACGACCACCGTATGTAATATCACCCCGGCGAACCAGCTCATGGGCCTTTCCTGGCTCTGCGAAGCCAAGAGCATCAAGGAGTAGCAGTTCGTTTGCCGAAAAGCAGTCGTGCAGCTCGCACACCTTGATATCCTTTGGCGTGACACCCGCTTCTGCCATGGCGCGTGCGGCTGCTTGCTTGCTCATCTGGAAGCCCACCAGGTCGATTGCACTTCGTGAGTACACTTCCGGTCCGTCGGTCATAAGCTGCTGTCCCGCAATGAGAATAGCCTGGGATTTAAGGTGGGGTCGGGCATCCAGAAATCGTTGCGATACAATAACAGCGGCTGCAGCACCATCACTGGTGGGACTGCATTGCAACTTGGTCAACGGAGCAAAGATGGTTCCCGAGTTCTGGATCTCCTCGAGCGTATACGAGGTCCGGAACTGAGCATATGGGTTCCTCTGAGAATGTTCATGCGAGATACGCGCAATCTCTGCAAAGTCCTCTGCTTTGGCTCCGAACCTAATACACAGATTAAACCACACCATCCACATGATATACAAGGTAAAAGCAACATATAACTCACTTAGTCATATACTCCCTCCCCGCATTCCCAAAATACTGCGCATTCCTCGGTGCCGGATCCTTGCCATACACCTCCTCCATCATCCGAGTCGACGGTCCATGCGCACTGGGCCGATCATCCCAAACACTCTTAATGGAGCCCGGTCGCATCTGCTCAAACCCAACGACGAGCACACAGTCTGCGGTACCACTCTTCACCATCGTCCGCGCCAAATGTAGACCTGTTGACCCCGTAGCACAGGCATTATTGGTGTTGTAGATAGGGATGCCCGTCATGCCGAATTGGTAGAAGATCCGCTGGCCAGAGGTGCTGTCTCCGTAGCAATAGCATGCGATTCCAGTTTGTACATCGTCGTAGTTGATCTGGGCATCGATCATGGCTTTCACACCCGCTTCGTAACCGAGTTCGGGATATTCGCGCGTGCGGCGTGGTTTAAGGAATTGGGTCATTCCTACGCCGAGGACGTAGGCGTTGTTTGTGGTTGTTGACGCCATTTTGCTATTTTCAATTGCTGTATAGGTTTTGCACGTTTTTGGTGTAATCGCTGTGGATATCTGGGTAATATATGTAATCGAGCTTCTTGTCTGGTTGGTGGTGAGGGGATCTCTCCCCATAACCCCGGACCGAGGTTGCCGTTTCCCCTCACTATAGAGTTCGCCCCTCATATTGGCTTCTTCGCCATGTTTAACTCCTTTACTATATAGCCTTTATGTTATGGTACCTATACTTTGGTCCTTCCGAGGTACTGTCCTCGGACCTGGTAGACGCGAGGTTACTGCATCATGAGTCCAGACACTTCTGTCTGCGTCTCTAACACCACGCTCCTCCTTACGTCGATGTTCCCAAACCATAAACACCCAATGCGATTCAATTCGTTCAGAAAGTGCTGCGTATTACTCTTGCAAATGTGAATCGTATCTTGGTCAATGATAATGAGAAGGGGGGATTAGAGTATTTAATTTATAGTGCCACAGTATCCACCCCATCCACCATATAATCACATCCAACCCAAAAATATAACTCAATTAACCTTCTCCCAAACAAACTTCATACTATCCGGATCTCTCATCCCCATAACCAACAACTGATAATTATCATTTGTTGACCTCAAGATCCTCGCCTGCGCCTTCTCAAAGTCCTCCCCATCCAACAACGCCGGACGCATCCGATACTCCCTAAACAACGCCGCCATGGCTGCCACAATCTCCACCTGTGCGAATTTGCGTCCAACGCAGTTCTGCACACCCGCTGACCAAGGGAAGTATGTGCCGGCGCGAGGTTCCATAATTTCTTCGTACGCGAGTTGCTCTTCGCGTGTGGTGGTGTCGGTGCTCGGTGTGCTAGTTTCGATCCATCGGCGGGGATTCCAGCTGTTTGGCTCGTCGGACCAGTATTTAGGGTGCGTTTGGCTGGCGAGGAGGCTGGGGAGTACTACTGTTCCCTTGGGGAGGACGATGGTGCGGTTGCTTTCCGGGAGGTGGAGGCTGGTTCCGGTTTGGGGTGCTACGGATTTTGGTAATGCCATGATGGGTGGGTAAAGACGGACGGTTTCCAGCTGTTGGAGTCTTTGAGTTAGTATACGGGTCATGGAGGAGAGATCAGCCGGGGATACTTACCACGACTGCCAGACAGCGCTTCAGTCGAGGGAAAGCCTCCTTATAATCCCATGTGTCGCGGTCGGGGTTGGGGAAGACGGTCCGGATCTCCTCTGCGATCCACTCCTGGATATTGGGGTATGCAGCGAGCAAGAATAGGATGTAGGCAAGAGTACCAGCAGTTGTATCGTGGCCGGCAAAATTGATAACATAGATGTTGCCCAGGATTTCGTCCAGGGTAAGGACGGTCTTATTGCTCTTCGGATCGACGGTCGATTCGCGAACGAAGGAAGACATGAGTGTGCCGGTACCTGGCTGGCCCTGATCCAGGAGTGCCTTCTCGGTGTTGAACATGTTGAGCATGTGTTGCTTGAAGTCCTCGACCGCCTGACCGGCGCGACGACACCAGCTGGGGAAGATGGGCAGTTTTAGCACGGAGGGGGGAATCAGCATAATGAGGAAAGTGTTTAACATGACGGTCTTCAGCGACTGCGCGTAGGAGCGGGGATCCTCCGACTGCACCTCTTGAGCGCTCTGGAAGCGTGTAGACCGCTTGAAACCGGTTGCCGCAAGCACATTGAGAGCCAGAGTGCGGGTGTCAGTGCCCAGTCCGCCAGAAGGTCCAGCCGTGATGCGAGTGGCGAGCATGCTCTGCGCCTGGGTGAGGGCCTCGCGCCAGACAAAGCTGTTTAAGCTTTCATTAAAGGGAGAGGCGACAATCTTACGATGGCGCTGCCAGCCGGCCCCCTCGGTCTACCAACAGGTTAAAATTTACATCAAGTGGCACAAGCACAATAGACTGACCGTGGCAACATTAGGCCCGAACACATTCAGCAGTGCTAGTAAGGTCAGCGAACCCGCCTCCATAACTTATCGTCGGGTCATACTGAAGAGCTCAAGCGGGCGCACGAAATCTGTGCGACGCGCGATGATGTCGGTAATAGCCTCCGCGTCGCAGATGTAGACAAACACCTCGTTAGGGGTTGCGATGGCCCAGGCATCGCCCATTCGCATATGTGACTGGGCTTTGTCGGCAAACTGCCATGTGCGGCGACCATAAGGATTGACGCCGCCGAATTGAAATGGGAGGATATCGAGAACGAAGAAGATGAGCGGCTCGAGTAGGATCCACAGCGGATTGACGGGGCTGCATGGAATGACGACGTAAGGAATGCCAATCTTCCGGATACGGCGGATGTTCCCCACCAGACAGACGACGTTGTACACGGTCCAGCCCAGGACGGCCACTGCAAGACTTAGCAGCAACATGGCCGTACAATTGTCGTGGTAGACGATGGGGGAGAAGGAGGTAGGGAGGAAAAGCAGAGAGAGAACGGAACACAGGCTGGAGAAAAAAAATAGGTGCCAAGACGACGACCAGGAGATTGAAGTCGGGAGAATACAAGTGGTGCTGCTTCGAGTATTCCTTATTGCTGTCCTCTTACTCGTCGAACAATGCGCCGATCGTTGCTGGAACTTCAACTCCGCCTCGTTGGCTCAGCGACTAATCCGGGATTAAGATCTTAGGGCTGCATTAGTGCTTACAGTTCTCGTTCCAGAGCGTTTTGTTCCCACTTCGAAGCACCAAGCGCGAGTCAGTGCCCACTAAAAATAACCAAACAAACGCAAAACCCCCAAGGCAGACAAGGCTTTGACAAATGGTTCAGTTGGGGCTGCAAACATCATGGGATGCGGGCCGGCCCTAGAACAGGAATCGACCGTCACGTCACACTTTCCCCTACATTAATCATACCGAAAATCCAGTCAATCGATGGACAATTCTCGATTCTCAAGTCCCATTGCTCATGTTAAATTCTTGTATCCCTCCTTCCAGCTCATTGTAACATGGAGATCATCATCCGGTCTGGTCCCGAGAAAAGTAGTTCATCGAGCGGCCCTTGGTATCACAGTAACATATTAAGCATCGGTCCAGGCACCAGGTCATCCTTGAACATGTCTTGCATCAACTAGATGAAACGCTTCCCCCGCGGGTAAATTCGAGTTGGTCGAGGAATCAGTTGGTAGACATAGCATTCACATCGGCGAACAACGGGCGAATGTTTGCTGAACGTTGACGATGGGTCTCCAACTTCCTTCGCATGGGGGCCTTATAGGGGACCCAATATGGTAACTCGACTGAACCGCAGAAAAATGGCAGATATGTAAACCTTCAATCCGTCAGAAAGTTTAGGTCGCCAACACCGCCAACGCTACAAGCATCTAGACAGTGCTCGAGGCCTAGTACATCTGGACCCCGGAAGTGCGCGATGCTATCAAGTACTAAAGCATCGTCTCAAGTTTTACTTTCTGACTTCCTGTGTGCCCGTGTTTTGCGGACTCCAGTTCCTAATACTTACCATATTTGCAGAGGACGGCATCCCGACCGGAAATCGTACGTATATCCCAGTCTTTAATGCTGGTCTTTAGCCGCTAGCCGCTTTGTTCAGTTATCGCAGTCTCTCTATAGCAACTGGGAGGGTAAGTCGATTTTCCAGCCTCCGCATGCTTGCAGAGTCGTTAGTGACTCGGACTAAGACCCTGGAGGTAGCGGTCTTAATTATTTCGCTGAATCACATGCTCCGAGATGTGCCCCGACAGATCCCTGAATTTTACCGGAGCGAGTGATGTCCTGAGGCGCGTCTAATCTTTAGGCACTCGCCCCCACGCCGAAACGTCAATCTAGCTTCCCAGCATCTGGTGCAAATCCGTTTTGTATATCATGATTTTTTCACTTGCCTGGATTTGCGCATTTGTCCTCTTTGTGGTAGAGTGGCTCAATACGAAGAAGGCTCCAAATCAGAGGCGGGAGGCCGGCAGGGAGGGCGGCCTGGCATAGTACTCTAGTAATATAGTGAGCATAGATACAGCTTTTCTGCATGTCTCAAAAAGGTCTGGCTATACATGAAACTGGTATATGCACTTAATCTACTATCACGCAAGGGCCAAGTGTGGTCCGATCATCCGACGTATACCATGTATGAGTTGGAGTGCTACTCTGCAACCCCTGGTCGCCTAGTGATCGTCGCTTGAAGAAACCAGTCTTTCCTTTATAGGGTATACCTACAGCAGGAGGTCCAAAATCGATTAAAAAACAGCTCAGCGCGCCAAGTGATTGGATGAGGAAATGGCAACACTACGACCTTTAGCCCTAAGGTAGCGTATCTACAATTTCGCCCCATGAGAGTCAGCCTAACGAATATCTCGATTATTATGAGATACTCACCCGCTAGCCCCTTAATGCTTATTCCTTACATTTCAAATAGCAATGTTGTAGTAAAAGGCCCACTCGGACAACCGTAGGAGCGGGGTTGCGCGAGGATCTTACTCGTAAAGGTTGGTGAGGTCGAAATCAGTCTTGCACTCGCCCCCAAATCTCGCTTCCAAGGCATTACCAGTTTAACCATGCTGTACATAATGCCTGTCAATAGCACTACAGAGCGTACAGCCTCCCTGTCCCGGTGTCGTTTAATGACGAGATTGGAGTTCTTCCTTCACATTGGCAGCCTCCAAATGGGATCCCACAAATCAAACATAGCTACCCTGACCCCGGCCTCTTCGCGAACCTCGGGCGTTCACGCAACATACATCTAGTCTGGAGTGGCTGCACAAGCTGCTCGTCATTCTTTGATGTGAAAAAATCATTATTCTCTGGATTCCACCATGACAAACTATCAGATCGACACTCCTGCCAAGGTGATAGGGCCGGTTTTCATTGTAAGTCAGAGCGACCGGCTGATATGCGCTGCAATCCGGCTAACCTACCACCTTCTTGGGCCATAGGGCGTCCTTTGGGGTGCAACTGGGCTCTCTTTCCTCTTCGTTGCAGCGCGCACGTTGGCTCGTATCTATACCTTCCGACGTCTGTGGTTTGACGATGCCTTCGCTGTCGGAGCGTGGTTGATGCTTCTAGCTCAAGGGATCATCTGGCAGACCCAGGTGGACTCGATGTACCTTCTTTTTCAGGTCGATGCTGGCAACCTTATGCCGACGCCCGAGATCCTAAATCGCCTGGCACAGCTGGAGCGAGGCGAGTGCGCCATCCTTATCCTCTTTTACTCGTCTCTGTGGTCGATCAAAGCCTCGTTTCTGCTCTTCATCCGGCGGATCGGAGGTACGGATCGTTCATGGCGCATCTGGTTTTGGTGTGTTGTTGGCTTCACCGCTGCGACATATCTCGTCTGTGTGGGGGACGTTCCGTACCCCTGCCTGCTGAGAGACCAAGCCTATATCCTGGGTATGTTCACAGGGAAGGACACCTGCTTCTGTGGGCCAGGCTAACTCTTATTTAAATTTCCTGCGATAGAAAATTGCCCGAAAAAAGCAGCTGTTCTGTTTCAGTACTACACTTTTATCATCAACCTGGTGTTAGATGTCCTCACTGATCTCACCAGTATAGTTTTCAACCATCACCACACTTACGAACTAAACTTACTGACTATTGGTTCCCATTATAGTTATCAGCCTCCCGATCACCCTACTATGGAATGTCCGACTTCCCGTCCGCCACAAGATGATTCTGATTAGTATTCTGTCTTTGGCAGTCCTCATCATCATCGTAGCGATTGTGCGAGTGGCTGTCGTTGCTACAAAGGAGAAAAACTCCGACATGTCCTGGCTGTGGATGTGGAGCTTTATCGAAGCCACTGTCGGTATGGATTGCCTTTGAGAATCTTGATCACAATCCAGCCATTTTTGTGCTAACCATAAGCCTGGCCACTAGCTAATATCATTGCATGCGTTTGCTCCTTCCGCCAGTTGTTCGTGAAGCAGGACAAGAGCCGCGTTTCGGTATTTCCAGGATATTGTCATACAAAGTACCCATCCATGGATGCTAAACCGGGGTTTCAGCGCGTTCGTACCGGGTCGGAGGGAAGCTCTGATCTCCATCTCACTGCTTATGATAGTCAGCACGAGCTAACACCTGTTGTATAAATGGGCAAATTATCGGTGTTGGAGTTCAGCGCGTCTCTTATGTTTCTTTATGCCCTGTATATCTGTATTTGCTACACGATGACATGATAGATGTTACAAAAGACGTTTTTCCAAATTTATTGTGCTATACGATATGAACCCCAGACAGCCTATCTGTCACATTTCTGGTGTTGAGTGTCCCAATCCTTAGTATTAACATTGCCATCCATTGTGGCAGCCCTCAGGTCCTAGGCTTCGGGATCAGTCTAGTTAGTTCATCGCCCGCCCTCTTGTTCCGAGGCATCACCCAAATCAAGTTTCTTACAAGTTAAACTGGCAATAACCAAGTCCTTTATAAAATTAATGGAATGCAACTCCCTGCTATTCATCCGTCCATCTCAATGTGCATTATGTTTGCTATATGATCGCTTGAAACTGATGTAAATCCCTAATGAAATCATACGACTCACTACTATACATATTCCAACAAGGTTACTCCAGAGTCGATGTCAGGTGGGATATATGCCACCTAGTGACCCTCTATGACAGGGTTGTGGATATGAAAATATATTTCCGAACTAAGACGTGACAACCAGGTTCAATTTGCCCTGCGGCCTTTTTTGGACATGTGTATATCGATTATGGTTCCATGAATTACCTATTTATCTTGTTCATTGAGAAAGACACACCTATACTCTCTCACTGCGTGTGTGGTTGTCTTTTCTTTTCCTCTCTTTAGTTGTGCAGGAAGATTCTAGCCACGTGCCCAGATCTTCGGTGTGATACGCGGTAGCCTCGGAGCCCTAAATCGGAAAGCCAAGTTTTTCTTTTCTTCACGGTAACCTCCAATAATTGGCTCTCTGCTGCAATCCCCACTATGGCGAATAATTTCGCTAACCACCCACAGATAGCCTCGCATATCTATGGAACGCAGTGGAACCTAGCAAGGGATGAGATAAGGCGCATGGTACACCGACAAACAGAGAGAAAAAAAATTGGGGGAAATCGAGGCGCCACCAACCGACCTCCAGCAATCCCCCATCATCAACACACCACCCAACCTAAACTAAGATAAGATGCAATCACCCATAGCCAGGGAACGATTACTCGCAACAACAGATCACCTTATCAGGGCCGATCGAAATTTAAGCGATCGTCAACAATCATGGATCCACCCTCGTTTAATCCAGAGCGTGGACCCGATCAAGGGCCGTCAGCTCCGAGTCTCCCAACCCGTGCGAAAGGGTGAATTATTGCTTGTGGACCTGCCCTATGCGCTTATCCCGGTCGTCGATTGTCCGGAACAAAGCGAAGATATTCGTTGTAGCAATCCTGCTTGTCATAGACGTGTTGCTCAGACCGTAGAGCGCGTATCTTGTCCGAACCGATGCTCGGCCGATGTGGTCTGGTGCAATCCATCGTGTCGGGATGCCGACAGTATCCGCCATCAATTCGAATGCACCTGGTTAAGGAAATATGCCACCTCAATACGCTCCAAATGGGGCGAGTATGACTTCGGTATGCTGTGGTTAATTGTGCGCATCCTGGCCAACCGGCATGTGGAATTTCGGAATACACCCTCAAGCGACAAAACCGGTTCGGACTTTTCGAATCCTAGTTCTTTCGAGACAGGTTGGAACGCTATCCGCTCGTTCTGCGGGTCTCAAGATACCTGGGGTCATTCCCAAGTGCGACATTGGACCATGTTGGTCAAGAAATATCTGGGAAGCAGCGATTCCCTATCACATGGCTTGAGTTCCAGCGATGTGCTGGATTTAATTTGTCAAGAAGAGGCCAATTCATTTGGCTTGTACCCTAGGGAGACCGGGGCTTTTCCCCTCCCGGAGCTTGCAGTCGATCGCGGAGAGCAGTTCGGGGCTGGCGTATACCCGACTGCAGCTCTCGCGAATCACTCTTGCTCTCCGAATGTCTGATCTATTTATATTCCGCTCCCTAATATTAGTCATGCACTAACACCTGATGTAGATAATACATAAACCCGATAGCCAAAGCCGAATGGTCTTCGTCGCTTCGAAGGACATTGCTACCGGCGAGGAGTGCTGTATATCCTACTTCGATCTGACGAAGAAGGTCGAACTCAAAGATCGACGACACCACCTTCGAGAGTCGTTCCTCTTTGTTTGCAAGTGCGATAGATGTGTCTCGGAGGAACCTCCTAAGGAGGAGGTGCAGTGGGATGAATTCCCGTTGATGGAGGATTTTTAAACGTTTAGCACGTATATGTATGACATTCATGATACTAGAAGGTACATATCGGGAGTTTTGAACCTCAAGGTCGTTATTAGTGCATCACTAGGATAATTCATGTTCAGGGGATTCTTTGGCAGCATTTCCCTAGTGGATTCAGATTCTAAATAGGAAACACGGGGCTGAATGAAAGATAACCCCAACTAGCATCGGCTGTAGAAGTCGACCATAAGTCAGAACTATACTCACCAACCCACCACGCCATCAATAATCTTAACCACCTCCGCAGTCATACTCAAATAAACACCATGACCAGCATCTAACTCCACAATCTCAAAAACCCCACCTTTAGACTTAGCCTTCTCAACCATAACCTTCTGAAGCTCAAACAGCACCGCAACATCCTTAGTCGTATGAATATAAGTGGATGGAATCTCCCTCCAAGCACACCTCTCCAACGGCTGAAACATCGCATCACCATTCCACCTCGTCAACGTCGAAACAAGGGCCTCGGCATCCGCATCATCCACCCCTGGCCCAGCCATGAGCTTCTTCAAATCTTCCCTCGGAAATAACTCAAGGATATCGGATGCATTGGCGATTTGATCCGCGGTACCGAATTCTTTAGCTATGTCCAATATGCAGGCACCTTCCGTGAAAAGAGAAGCACACATGTAAACGAGATGACTGACACCACCGATGAGTCCTTGCTTCTTCCGGTCGTTCAACCCAAGGCTGTGCAGGGCGTTGGTTCCGACTTGCCCACCATAGGAATGCATGATTACTACTATTGTTCGACCGGCGGAAACAAGGCTTTCGACATAGCCGCGGATCAGGTCGGTGTCAGTTGTTAGATCTGCGTTGGGGGGTTTTGCGCCGTTCATGCTGGGGAGACGAGGAATGTGCACTTCGTAGCCGTTGTTTTTGAGCGCATCGGTAAATTTGGAGTAGGACTTTGGGGTATGCCATGCCCCGGATACTAGAAGTAGTGTTGGCTTGGAGTCCATTCTTTTTATTCTTGCAATATTGTTGGAGTTGGGAGAAGGCAGTGGAATTGCTACCGACGTTGCATCTTGTCGGGCTGGGAAAGTCAGGTTTATATAACCGCGTTTAAGTGTTAAGAGGAATAGTCTCGAGCTAATAACAGGGCTCAAACCCAGCAACCAATGAGCTTGTGCTCACTGAATACGGGCAGACTAGATTCAACCTGTCGGATACGCAAGATTAATAGCCCCCACACAGTAGTGCTTATGTTCAAGTGGGTAGGACGATGGGACTAACCGTACGTTGACCAGTGCATATGTCTTGATCTGAACAGGAACCGGCCAGAACATCGTGATAACACGGGATCTAGGAGAAAATGTACCCTGAGATAGGGAATGGCAGCAAGGCTCATTTTACCCTCCTTCGTAAGAATTCCACCAATTTGCCAGTCTTCATCACTGTATTTTGGCAGTGACCCACACTTAAAGGTTACTGTATGAGGGTCAACATCGAAATAACGCCGAAAGACCGATACGCCGATGAGAAATCCGCCCATACCCGGATAATGGTTCTTGGATGATTCATCACACTCTTCTCTCTTCCAGGCCACTGGGGGCCAGATGAGATATACAATGGAGTCGCCAGAACATCGCAAGCGAAGACCAATACAACCGTCATGTGCAGAATGTCATCGGCGAAAAGTCCGTTGTGACCGAAATGACCCTTGCGGTCGGTGTTTGGCGGCCGAGCGACCTCCCATACTCACGAGGCTGTACCAGCGACACACGGCGCCATGAGAGTGATTTCCTGGATCGGGGAACTATACACGGGGTCTTGTCAAAAGCTCGCCTTCTTGGGACCACCCATCCCATCCCAACCTATCGTCAGGCACGCCTCCGCCTTCGGGGCGCGTTCCAGTGTAACTAGTCGACTAATGTTAGTGTGGTGAAATGTATCCGGTTCATTTCAACCCGGAGTATGAGCGAGCTACGGACATTGTTCCCTCGTCGGTACTGTCTGAGGTCCAGGGTTTGATTGCTTCGTCCAAGGCTATGGCGCGATCTGTAAAGAACCACTAGACCCCGGCAGGCTTAGCACTGGAAGAGGCTGCCAGGTCTCTAACGGCTCGAGGAATCTGTGATAAACTTGTTGGTCATTATATACCCATTGTGGAGCTTCCATGTCGTATCCTTCATATTCCAAAATTTCGGCCGAAATACTCCGGCTTTTGGGACGAACCGAACCAACGTCGACCTTTGTTCGTTGTCATTGTCCTTCTAGTCACGTCAATTGGTATCCATTTCTCTGATTATAAAGAAATAGAGACACTTCAACGTCTTTATGCTCGTCAATGGGCTCGAGCAGCCCAAGCCTGGCTTTCGGACATTCGATGCAAAGATTTCGCCACCATATCTGGATTACAAGCTCATTGCTTGGTTGTACTTTCGCTCCACTTCAACGGTGGCAAGCCTGATAGATCATGGCTCGCTCACACAGGGGGTAGTGCAGCGCATAGCGAACTATATGGACTTGCATCGTGACCCAATTCACTTTCCAGAAATGCCTCTCCATCATGCGAGATGCGACGCCGATTGTGGAGCACCATTTTGGAGCTTGACGTCCAAATATCAATGGACCTTGGCATGTTACCAAACGCGATTGACTTCGATACTACGCCTCCTTCCAATCTGGACGACGGGGCATTTGATGAAACAACCACGGCCTGTCCTACACAGTCAACCCCGTTAACACCAAACCCAAAGTTCGTTGCAAACCCACTCATGACACTCTTTAGCAGCCTGTATGATGATAGCTCGACTGATGAACGATACATTCACTGAGCCGTCGTACGAGGATGTGTCGAGAGAGACTGATAATCTAGTAAGGACTATTACCGCTAGCGAAACAAGCTTGCATTCATATACTGCAGTCCACCGCAACCTAATAAACTTTCTCACGCGCCGTTTCCCGCTAGGCTTACGCAGGCCATTTGCAACTAAGGCTTGTCAGGACCCACGCTATTACTATTCCCCCAAGGTCTGCCTCGATAACGCCCTCCTTTTGCTTACACCTGAACCGGATTGGGACTTCGAGCAAATGCTGCTGGTTTCGATCACACTCTTTCACCATATCATGCACCACGCTGCGATTGTGCTCTGTGTCGAAATTGTGGGCCAAATTAAAGAAGATCAATCGAAGAAGCTCCTCCAGATTCGTCAGGACACCAGAGCACAACTCCTTACCACGATCAGGCAGGTTCTAGACATTACAGTCAAGCGTCTCCACTGGGGCTAAACGAACGTGAAGAGCCATGTCTTTTTACAATATGGCCATCGCGCAGATTGAAACCATGGAGCAAGGCATGGATGTTGCCGTCCATGTCTTGAAGACAGCTACAACAGGCGCACGAGAAGCCTTAGATATTTTGCAACAGCAGAGTGTTACTGGAGCGCAGGACGATGGCTACATATCCCGTTCTTTGGGGCCCGAGCTTGAAGCCATGCGTCAGGATGATGCCGTACCATTGACACTGCGCGAATTCAGCAATATGAGCGTGAACTTTGGTGATATGGCTTCTTAGATATTCTGGGACTCTATGGATGAATATTCGCTCTATCCAGTATATTATATGCAGGTGGACAACGCCTCCCCTCATTTACTTTGTGGGTGGCACTATACATAGTCCCCATCCGACCTATTTGTGAATTTCACATAGAGGTATAGGTAGATTATGCAAACTTAACAATAGGACTACTGTGGTCTGTCTATCCCACCTTTCGAATAGATATCTAGCGAGGAACCCAGTGTATCATTGATAGACCTGGTAGGAATAGAACAAAATCGTTTCCCTGAGGCGGCTTAGTCGCGTAGCCTTGTTGGAAGATATCACTGATGTCTTCGGAAATTGCCTAAAACTCATAGTTAATTAACAGCAGGATTTCACTCTCGTAGTTGAACATACAGTATGTGATCCATTATGAGTAGCATATACAACGACAATACTTAGGTATGGTCATGCGTATTACGCATTGTATATGAACCAGTTAAGAAAAGGGTCATGTGAAGTATTGAAAAGGTTAATGGTTTTTTTGTCTCTATTTGTTTAAGGAGCCCAAGAAGAACATTCGAAAAAAAAATGAAAAGAAAAGAAAAGAAAAACCGGTTGCATAACATACATAGCGCAATGACATATGATGCCCGAAATTGCGATATAGAGAAGAATAGTACATAGATACGTCTACCTAAACTCACTCGTACGGAGCTATTCAAACGATTGTATAGTCCTTTACAGGGATAGTGTCCTCGATGGTATTTGAGCGGGCAAATTGAAATTGTTCATTGGCGCTTTTCGAACTCTGGCGAGCTACCAGCCCTATGTTCCTAGTAACCAAGGTTATCGCCGCTCTTCGCCCGAAATGTCCGCACCGAGCGCCGCTGAGGCGAGACAGCATAAACAAGCTATAAAGTACTTCGAGATCTTCGAGCTCGGGATAGTTTGGGATTGATCATTACCTCAAAGATTGTGTCCTCAGTTTTCCTTTTGGTCCCGACTATTATCACCAGAATCAATTATCCAAGACGCTTTATCCACACGCCTTTTAGCATGTCCAACAATCCAAGCAACCAGCAGGAAGCCAAGTTGGCTTTGAGCATGGCCCCTGCTGCTTAGAAATCAGATTTTCCTGATGGAGGCCTACGAGCCTGGTCAGTCGCCGCAGGAGCTGCTGGACTGATGTTCTACGCCTTTGGATATGTCAATAGCTTTGGCGTATACCAGGAATATTACCAAGGCAACCAACTGTCGACGCGGCCGCCCAATGACATCTCATGATTAGGATCATTACAGGTGTTTTTTCTATTCTCAGGTACATTCATTGGTGGACCATTATTTGATCGGTATGGATCTGTAGTTGGTGCACCCCTTCCTTTCACCCCAATCTTCATCCCTCGTTCTACTGAACCCTGCGGAAGCATATGGATTTTCATACCTCATCAAATCGATGATTGGAATAGGTACTTTGGCCAAGTGCCTTTCTCTCTATATTTTCTGTCATGATGAACAGCCTCTGCAAAGAATATTACCAATTTCTGTTGACCCTGGGCATTGTGGGGGGAATCACATCCGGCATGATCATGGCACCTGGTCTGGCTGCTGTAAGCCACTACTTCTTCCACGATCGTGGCGCTGCCCTGGAAATTGTAGTCTCAAGCTCATCTCTGGGCGGGGTCATTTTCCCGATTGCGTTGATGAAAATGTTAAATACCCCAAGCCTAGGATTTGGCTGGAGCGTTCGCATCTGCGCATTCCTAATGCTTGGTATTCTACTTCCCTCATGTGCAGCTGTGCGGTCCCGTCTCCCACCACGCAAAAAAGCTATCGTTCTCTGGTCAGCCTTCCGAAATCCCCTACTTGCCAGTACAGTGCTCTGCAACTTCTTCCTGGTAATAGGACTCTTTATCCGAATGTATTATCTCCCCACCTACGCCGAGCGTGCACATGGCATGTCGCAGCAGCTTTGCCTCTATCTTGTCGCCATGCTATATGGTGGCTCATTATTTGGTCGCAGCATCTTGGGTATGGCCGGCTCAACGTTCTTGGTATCTCTGGCCTGGCAACTGGTATTATGTGCTTTTGTTGGACACGCGCTCACTCGGTTGAGGCGAGTATCGTATTTTCCGTGACCTATGGCTTTCCCTCAGGTGCGGTCGTCTCCATGCTGTCGGCTTGTTTCTTCCAGATTCCGAACGATCCGCGTGACATTGGAACGTATATTGGGATGGGCATGTTCTGTGCAGCTCTTGGGGCTTTAATCGGGACACCGATCAGCGGCGTCCGTGTGTCCCAGTCTGGTGGTTCCGAGACCGCGTGGATATTTAGTGGGGTCGTGACTATAGTCGGTAGCTTCATGGTCCTGGTTGTGAAGCTTTTGTCAGGCAAAGGGGTTTGGTGTAAATCTTAAGGTATGTACCGTGTTTATCAGCAGGCCAAGCCAACGCATATTACCGTGAACATCGAGAATATTATCCTTTTTCTCTTATATTGGTCGTCGTGGTGGTTGCAGTAAATCAAGTTTTGGATGCGGTCCTTCTGTTTCTCAGCAAGCGTTATTCGTAATGTAGTAAACGAGATTCTCCGGATAATACACCCCGACGAATAAGAAGTCGCGAGGATATCCATGAGATATCTATAAAGTAGATGGGGATTAACTGAGGACCTGTGGGGTTACTCGTATGTACGGAGACCATATACGAACTTCAAAAACTTTGTCTTTTTGTGGTTTTGGTTTAGTTTTCATCACTATTAGTTCGGGGTGCCACGCGTCCTACTGGGTCCTGTGAGGCCTGTGGCTAGGAGGGGGCAATAAACCGGCAGTCGACACTTAGAGAATGTGATTATTTTGTGCATGAGGCAACATAGAGCCTCCGCCCTGAAATAGAACACCTTCAGTGCGTGCGTCCACTAAGCGTTTCAAGATTTTACCAAGCTCCACCTCACTTCATTTGTCCTTACATAACACAAGAGCAAAATACAACGAGAGACCCATAGGCAAGGGACGGGCAGGAGCAGTACTTGTAATACGTCCCGTCTGATGAGACAAAAGTACTACTAGCCAACGCGATAGGATTCTCACTTCGTGAAGTAACCTTATGATTGGTCAGTACACTCACCGCCCTACTTCATGAATACACCCTGAACGGGGTGTTACAGTTTCAGCGTACCGGATAGTCAATGTGTGGTCCCCGCCAATAGTAGAGCACGACGCTGTGCAGGATGATCGGAAATGTGACCCATTGACTAGCCGCATTCTAGCGTTTCTAGCGTCTTGTATCCCCAATACAGATACCCAAGAATGGTAAAGAATCAACCAATGATCGGGCAACATACCTTATTTTCCGCGGTCAGGGAAATACGAACCTTATGCAAGTTTGTGGCTTATCACAGGGGGGCCCAAAGGAATACAATGTTGAACAGTAGTACTTAGTACGAATAACGGTCTATCGCATCTTCTCGCTTCAATATGCTGTGGCCTCCTTTACCTTGAAAAAATATAAATATGTCGTTGAAATTCACCTGGACAAGTGGAAATCCTCGCTGCCATGCCAGAGAGTCTTGCTGGCAACAAGCTTTCGGAGAGATATATCTCTCTTTTGGGTTTTCTTTCTTTTCGGTTTGTTACCACGATTATAGCTTTTTTCTCTGGACGGAATCCCTCCACCATGGCATGGTTTCCGTCAGATCCTAACTGGAATGACTTCTACCTCCCGGCTGGGACGGAACAAGAACTCAAAGACCTCGAAAGTATCTTCGGCGACATACAGCAACCCACAAACCAAACTCACGCTACGCCTCCTTACACCCGATCCGATCTCCCAGAGGTGGACTTCATGACCCCAAATCCACATAGCTCAATTGCCCCATTGGCCCAACACAACCTAGGTCTCGGCAATCAACTCATGATGAGCAGAGACAGCCCTCAGCCACAGAGCATGACTCCGGCTCCTCATGCTGAACCACCGTCCGAACAATCGGTGAACCCCAAGGTCACGCCCAAGGGTCGGAAACCCCGAGGCCATCGAAAGTCTGTTGAATTACAGTAAGTCTTTTGGCACAGGTATATACGGCAGATGGATTTTTATAATCTAACGAAATTTTGGACCCAGTAGCAGCAGTACCACTCGTCTCCGATGTGATTGGATAGACTGTCAGTATAATGGTACGTTCGGACGGAAGGCCGAGTTAATGCGACACATCGATATCTTGCATGTGTCTTCACAACAATCACAGCAATATGACTGCCCGGTCAGGGGATGTTGGAAGGTCTACAATCGAGAGGATAATCTGTTGAAACATATCCGCAGGATACATTAGATACATGGGCAACATAATGGGGCATATTGCTTCATTCTGCTTTTTAATGCTGTATACATGGCCGATTTTGCATGTCGGGAATCGAGCCATTGAAATATGTCTGAACAGCCGATGCCCATTTTCTCAGCGAGCGTGTTATCATACATTGAAAAGGTGTGATCCATAACACTCAATGAAGCATGTCCTGGCTCCTAGTTTAAGTGAAGTCAAATTAATTCTCGGGAATCTTATGTTCCTCCACATCAACCCCCGCATTCCAGCGATATTTGGCAGCCGGGTGGTCCTCTGGTGGCCCACTCTGCCCCGGCTTCCCGTAGAGGTTCTCCCGATAGGTCCCCTTGTGGACAGCATAGTCATCCCAAAACAGACCACGACGACGAAGTTCCGGAATCAGAAGTTCAATGATATCCTTGAACGAACCGGGCTTCACGGTGTATGCCTTTTGACATTTAGTATGGTGTACTTGAAACATTCATGTGGGAACCGGATGTGCTGCGAACTTACAAGATTGAATCCATCAACGTCGGCCTCCTGCACCCATCGCTCCATCTCGTCGGCTACTTGCTCGGCTGTACCAACTGGGGTTGCCCCTAAGCCGCCCACGGTGATATGCTGACCGACAGTGGATTTGGTCCACTTGTCGACGCCTGGCGTGGCCTTCGACCACCCTTCGACAGCAGAACTGCAGAAACAGTTAGCCATACAACTATCCGAAGACAATCGCCACGATCGTGTACATACCGAATAGCATTACTCTCCACATGCCGAAGCTCCTCATCATCCCCATACGTATCCAGATTAATCCCGGTCCACCCACCAAACAGAGCCAACGCCCCATCTATCGACCCCAAACTGCGATAATACTTAAATTTCTCCTGCGCTTCCTCCTTGGTACGACCCAGGACCGGACAAATAAGAGCCAAGAATTTGATACTCTGCGGATCGCGCCCGAACTGCGTTTTCGCCAGCTCGCGGATTTCCGCCACGTTCTTCGCTACAACCACGGGGCTATGTCCGGCGACAAAGATTGCTTCGGCGTGTTGGGCGGCGAAGGCCTTTCCTGATTTTGAGGTGCCGGCTTGGAGAATGACAGGTGTTCGCTGGGGACTGGGTTGGCAGATGTGTGGTCCTGGAACACTGAAGTATTTTCCGACGTGATTGATTTCTCGGACTCGGGATGGATCCGTGTAGATTCCCCGTTCTCGGTCGAGGACGACGGCGTCGGATCGCCAGGATGATTCCCAGAGTTTGTATGTTACTTTGATGTACTCCTCGGCGATTGCGTAGCGGTCGTCGTGCTAGTCATGGTTGGATTCAACTCAGCTTCTATTTAATGGGGACACAGCTGTGCTTACTTGTGGTTGTTGAGTATGACCTAGGTTTCGGGCAGCGGAGTCAAGGTACCCGGTGACGATCTAAGAGGTACTATACGTTAGACATCTCCCAACTCAACCGGTACAAGTACGACTCACATTCCAGCCGACACTATACAAGACCAAACAACGGGTTAGTCAAAGTCAACAATCAAAAAAAAAGTCGGTGGGAACTTACCGCCCCTTCGTCAAATGGTCAATCGTCGAAAGCCGTCTAGCCAAGTGATACGGCTGCTCATAAGTCGTGGTAACTGTCACCCCGAACCCAATATTCTTAGTAGCAGCCGCCATAGCAGGCACCACAGCCAAGGGCTCATTGACCGGCCACTGTGCTCCGGAGATAATCGCCGGCTCGAGGTTCTTGGGGCCTTTGTATACATCATATCCTCCTAAAGGGGGTTGAGTTCATTATTCTCCCTTCAGGGTCATAGCGACATACCGAGAACATCTGCTATAAAGATGCCGTGAAATTTAGCCGATTCGAGGAGTTTCGCTAATTCAATCCAGTGGTCGATATCATTGAAGCGATGGGATTCGTCTTCAGGGTGTCGCCATAGGCCTGGGGATTGGTGGCCGCTGCCTATACTCGTGGTTAGCGATATCTATGGTGTCAATTGATCATGGATATGATCCCTCTTACACATTTCAACGAAGGCATTAAGGATAAGTGACTTGCGTGGCCCATGGGGCGGGGAGGGGTCGTTAGTCACAGTCATGGTCAAAGAAGGGCAAAGTCTCCTAAACTCTCCAGTAAACTGAAATATTAGACAAGAAGTCCACGTGTAAGATAGGAGAGAGCGCAATATCAATTCAATTCTAGTCGCCCGTCTGTACGAAAGGCGAGGGAACAAAAAGAGACTAAGTTAATATGACCAAGCGTCACTTCATGAGTATTAATATCTGCTAACAGAATCTACCTGAACTTCCCCTCATTGCGTGTTTTCAGTGAGATGGAGGGGTGTTGCTCCTATGCTGCATAGCATCAAAGTGGGTCACGATGACACCATGCGGGATGTGAGGTCGGTCATGCGGAGTACATATTAACGATCACATCTTTTTAAACTCGGAGCACTATTTCCCTGTTTCTATTCTGCCTCACCTACAAGTAGGGTTATCGGGAAGGGAGGATCCAAAAGTTAGTCGCGGAGATTTTCTCTACCAAGAAGATCCGCCGCTGCTCGTCACCAAACACCAGCATCACGCAATTCAGTACCCGATCATATCCCGAATTAACAATAATGATCAAAATAAAGATGGAAAATATCGAAATAAAAAGGTACCATATGAGGTACTTACCATTGCAACCTACTAATCGCCCATTATTTGCTCCCAATGTCCTCAACGTGGTATATCACGCCAGCCACGTGGATGGAAGACGACTGTCATGTTTCTGCGCTCTATAACCATGTCGTAAGCAGAGGCCCAACCGGGATATGTTCAATTAGGATTATTTTAAGCTTTACCCATCTACCAGACTATCGGTTTCTTCGACCATATATTTGGTTTATCCACCTAGTCCGGAAGCCCATCTGATAAATGAATTGGCCAATCCCAAGACGCATAGAGCGAAATCACCTCATATAGTAACCATATCATATCATTCACCCTCTCATAGTCCATGGTATCTGCAAGGGCGTCGATCATGTACCGCCTTGAACTCCCACGAACACAGCTATTCGTGGGAATTGCAGCCGTCAAGGCATCGGTACAGAATATAGAAATATTTATTTCGCACAATACCCATTGAAGTAAACTTCTTCTTAACTAGAAACCGTCTGTCTAATTCTCACATTCATACAGTAGCGATTCCATAAGGGAGAGAAACAAGAGTTCTCTCTAGCACCTGATTGCTGGTTCCATTCAGCGACCATGGCAGAACTGACAGCCAGAAGTGACAAGGACTCTGTGCAACCACCTTTGTCGCAGGCGGTTGGATATATAGTCGTAGTGGTCATTGGCCTGATCATCGCGTTTCGTATGCGAATTCCGTACATTTGCGACTACGGGCAAATATGGCAGGCTCACTAACTTTGTCTTAGCGATGATGCTTATCACGAAAGTCCTCAAGAAGACAACGGGAGAGGACAATAAAAAGACAGAAATGTTGGGTTTCAGTGGATGTTGGTTTGACCAAGTTATGCTAATGGCTTAAAGGTTCATGACAGCGAATCGAACTGTTCGGACCGGCTTAACAGCATCAGCTGTGATATCCGTATGTCTCCTCCTATACGACTGATAGTCACGTCATGAAAAGCCTAACCAAAAGACACAGTCCTGGCTTTGGACAACAGCTATGCTGGGCTCATCCTTTGTCGGATATGACTATGGTGTAGCGGGCCCATTTTGGTTTGCTGCTGGATGCAGTCCGATGATTGTGTTCTTCGCCCTCATTGGAATATCCTGCAAGCGCAAAATCCCAGAGGCACATACTTCTCTTGAAGTGGTTAGGATCCGATACGGTATAATTTATTTACCGCTGTGGCTCCACGCTATGCTAACTTGATCAGGTCGGACCGCTCATATTGTATTCATGACACTCTGTCTGGTCAACAATATCTTCGCCTGTGCGAACATGCTCCTCGGAGCCGCTGCTGTCATATCTGCTGTGTGAGTAGCGTCTTTTTGGTAGTGCCCAGATCGTCTAACACCAGAACAAGAACCGGTATGCACATTATCGCTGCCACGTTTCTTCTGCCCGTTGGTGTGACTGTCTATACTTTTGTTGGTGGTATTAAGGCGACGTGAGTAGACCGTTAAATCCACTGGACAATGCAGACTTACACAGCGACGCAGCTTTCTCACCGACTACTTCCACACTGCGATCATTCTTATCATTGCCTGCTACTTTTCCATCAAAACGTTCACATTTGACGAGGTCGGTTCCATCGGCAAGTTATACGACCTCGTCCAAGCTGCCGCGCAAAGACACCCTGTCTCAGGGAATCATGATGGGACATACTTGACGATGACATCTAAAGGAGTAGGTCGTCCATATATCGCACTATCAGCCACGCTGACACAATCTCTAGGCGATGCTCTTCGGGATCCTGCACATTTGCTCCAATTTTGGCCTTGTTATTGTAGGTGCAACAACTCATGTATTGGACCGATAATACTAATACTCTGCCAGATGGATACAAGCTATTTCATCAAGGCGTTCTCCGCCGCCCCATCCTCGGTAGTCCCAGGATACACGATTGGAGGCATCGCATACTTCGCCATTCCCTGGGCACTAGGAACTATCATGAGCTCCGTAGCTATCGGCCTAGAAAACCAACCATCCTTCCCTACATATCCTAGAGTAGGTACTTCCCAACTGTACCGTCGTACCCAATCCTAACGACCATATACAGAGAATGACCACAAGGGAAGTCAGTGGAGGTCTCGTCCTACCATACGCCGCCATGACAATCGCAGGCAAAGGCGGAGCAGCAGCAATTCTTCTGATTACGTTCATGGCCGTGACATCGACACTTTCCGCACAAGTAATTGCAGTCAGCTCCATTCTCAGCTTCGACGTCTATCGCGAATACTTCAACCGAAATGCATCCGATCGCGACATCATTCGCTCCAGTCACTTCGGTGTGATTTTCTTCGCTGCGTTCTCGGCGGGATTTAGTACCATGCTTCACTATGTTGGGATCGATCTTGGTTGGACTTTATATATGCTCGGTAAGTCCTGAGAATCCACGATACACCCTATCCTGCCATGGTATAAAGCACGGGTACTGATTGACGCCCAGGCGTCGTAACATGTCCCGGCATCTTCCCAATGGCATTCACCATTCTCTGGCGTCGCCAAAGCACTGCCGCTGCTATTCTCTCCCCAGTCCTAGGAATGGCAACAGGGATCGGCGTCTGGCTTGGAACAGCCCAGCACTTCTACGGATCCGTTTCTGTTTCCGCGACGGGCCAGATACTGCCATGTGTGTATGGGACAGTTGCATCTGCATTCTCGCCTATTCTATATTCCGTCGTTATCACACTAGTTCGCCCACAGAACTACGATTGGAATGATTTCAAAAAGGAGAAACTTGCACTAGAACGGCTAGAAAGCGATTTGACAACCGTGCACAGCCACCAAAAGGGTGCCCGACAGGAGAGCACATTAGAAGAAGGTGGTCGGTATACCTCCGCGTTTGATCCGCAGGAATTGAAACGATGGGGTCGCATTGCGGCATTTTGGTCCATTGCGACGTTTCTCGGTCATTGGGTTATTTGGCCGTTGCCGATGTATGGGTCTAAGTATGTTTTTGGGAAGGGGGTATGTATCAATATCTTGATCTGGAGATTTCCTTCTGGCTTCTGAGCTGACTTTACTTTGTAGTTCTTTTCTGCGTGGGTTATTGTCGCTATTATCTGGCTTTGGTTGACTATGCTGGTGGCTATCTTGTATCCTATTTTTGATGGTGGTATACAGCAGATCAAACAGATTTATCGGGGTGTGAGATCTAGTAATGGGACAAAGGAAGCTATCGGACACGAAACCTCGTTGTCTCCTTCGATACGCGATACAGCAGAGGAGATAAAGAGAGAAGACCGAACTTAGTGCTCGCTCTCGGTGATATCCGTCTCCTGGTTCGTTTCGGGCAGCGAGTACGTCGTTACATGTTTTGTGATGCTATTGATGGTGATATCACCCATCCATAATCATATAATCATCTATTCTGTCCAAGTCCCACAATGCAATGTTACTGCAATCTACAGCAGAAAGCAAGAACCAAGATCACCCCCCAACACTGTGACTATCCCTCATATCCCCCCTAACCTTCACCAACCTCGCAACCTCCTTCGCCATATCAGTCCCCAACCTCTCGAACCCTTCAACGACACCCTCCCGATCCCCCCGTTTTCTCTCCTGACTCATCTTAACCTTTCCCTCAATCCTCTCAACCTCCACACTCAACCCCACAATATTCCTCTTCAACACCTTCAAATACCCCTCCGGCGCCTCATCCACTCTCCACGCCTCCTCCCTCCCATCCTCCCCAGTAAACCCCATAATATCCCTCTCACAATGATCCGACAAATCCCGCAACTGCTGATCCAGAAACTCCCCCGTCTCTTTGACCTCGGGATCAAAATACGCAGTCAAGGTACCATAAACCTGGACTGTACTGTAATTCCACGTCGGGGCTACTTTGCCCGTGACTGGTTTCGTCTCCGTGTAGAATTTGGGTGTCACGTAGTGGTGATGTGGGGAGGTGAAGAGGATCATGATTTCTTGAGATAGGGGGGAGCCGGAGTTGGAGTTGGACTCTTGAAGGGAGTCGATTATGGCCTTGGATTGCGGGTTTTGGCGGGCGATGTGGCCTCGGAGTCTTGCTTTTGTGGTTCCATTGGATTGGTTCGGAGAGTCGAGGATCCAGGGGATGTGGGTGGACTGGAGGAGGGGGTAGAGGGTTGAGGGGATTGCAGTTGTCAAAATGCCTAGGGGGTTGTTGCGGATGAATTGGTAGAGTGTTTCTGTGTTGTTCTCGGCATAGACAGGTTGGTTGTACATTTTGTAGGTCCTTCGGGTGTGTTGTAGTCCTGTTGAATTGGCCGTCTTTCTCTAGTGTTACTGTTGATGCGCTGGTTGATAACCGATAAGATGATCCGATAAGATAAGGTCATCCATTGCCTCGGTTGTGTCGGTTTAATGTCCGGTCAGGCCGATAGAAGTCTAGAACAAGGTTGAACAAATATGTTATGGCTGATCTGAGAGAAGATGTCACCATCGTATCCCTAATTGTACACTTGGAACTGACATTCTACTGTCATATTCATGATCATTCACGACTACGTGGTGGATGGTCGTACCAGCCCGCCTTCTCGTTACAAGTACATTGTCTGTCAATCAGAACCCATTGTAATTATAAGGGGCGTCTAGTGCATTTTCCAAAAGCATAATCGTGGAGAACACCAATAGAGGATCTTGCTATTTTGCTATATCTTGAGATTATGATAGCTCAATCAACAACGGTCTTGATCCAATGGATCTGCCGAGGAATGATGGATTTCTATCGGAACTTTCGTGGCATATAGATCATTTTGTACTATACAGTAAATAACTAATTTAATGACTGAATCTGTCTATAAAGCAGCTCGATGGATGGCTAAATGCTTAATGGGCATGCTTGGTCTATTAAGTATACCATATAGCACTGATCTGGGTACTTGAGTAAATTCCATAATGGTAAAATCTCAAACTAACATCATTTTGCTTACTTGGGGCATTCGTGCAAACAAGATTGGCTCTTTCAAGGCTCAATGCTAGGGTAATCACAAAATATCGTACATATAGTCAGAAATTGGAATTAGACTATCCCCACAAGCGAATTCATATTGCCGAGCTTGATGGCACCGGATATGGCAGCGCCAAATTAATCAACCTCTTGTAGGTCTCGACCTTCCAGTGTGGGTGAGGATGTTTTGGAAGCTGTGAGAAGGAGGTGGTTTCCAGTGAATAGACCTGCGGCTGATAGTCCCTGGGTGCGAAATAGGTTGAGGTGCTTTCCACGGGCTAGCTGAGAGGCCATTACAGCTGCCACAGACCCCGGTAAAATTTCTTGCAGACGTTGCGAGAGTTCTATGCCAATGGGGGCTGCTGGGGGTGTACGGCTTGAGGATGAACTATACTCATCCCTCCACTCGCAAATAACATTATCGAAGGCTCTGGTATGCGGGTTAGTAGGCCCTAATACCTTCCTGCACAACTCTAAACATTTTTCCATTTGAGACAATGCATCCTGAGGTTTCCCCTGAGATTTCCAGGTGTAGGCTAAGTCTGCCATGCTGGTTAGAGTATCGGGATGCTCTGTCCCTAAAGCTGCTCTTCTTCCCTCAATAACTTGGACGTCTAATTTCTCTGCTTCGTTCCACCGTCCCTGATTGTGGTAGATTGATGCTAGGTTCGACATGCCGGTAAGAGTATCAGGGTGCTCCAGCCCTAAGACTGCCGTTCTTTTCTCTATAACTTCGACCCCTAATTCCTCTGCTTCGTTCCATCGTCCCTGATTGTGGTAGATTGATGCTAGGTTCGACATGCTGGTTAGAGTATCAGGATGCTCTGTCCCTAAGACTGCCGTTCTTTTCTCTATAACTTGGACCACTAATTCCTCTGCTTTGTTCCATCGTCCCTGATTGTGGTAGATTAATGCTAAGTTCGACATGCGCGCAACAGTATCAGGGTACTCCGCCCCTAGGGCTGCCATTCCTGCCTCCATGGCTTGGATCTCTATTTTCTCTGCTTCATTCCATCGTCCCTGACTTTGGTAGATTAATGCTAAGTTCGACATGCTGGTTAGAGTACTGGGATGCTCAGCCCCTAGGGCTGCCGTTCTTGCCTCCACAACTTGGACCTCTATTTCCTCTGCTTTATTCCATCGTCCCTGATCCCTGTAGACTTTTGCTAGGGTTAACATGCTGGTGAGAGTATCAGGGTGTTTTTCCCCTAGAACTGCTTTGCTTCTGTCTATAACTTGGACACCCAATTCCTCTGCTTTATTCCATCGTCCCTGATCCCTGTAGACTTTTGCTAGGGTTAACATGCTGGTGAGAGTATCAGGGTGTTCTTCCCCTAGAACTGCTTTGCTTCTGTCTATAACTTGGACACCCAATTCCTCTGCTTCATTCCATCGTCCCTGACTCCTGTAGATCGATGATATGATCATCAAGGTGGTCAGAGTCACGTGCTCTGGAACATCTCTGTCTTGACAAATCCTCATCACCGTTCTATATAGTACCTCCGCTTCGTGATATCTTGCATCACTATCAAGGCAATTTGCAATCTTTACAATCAACTCGATATATTGTTCCTGTTGTACAATTAATTCACTATCATGCACCAGTGTCAATGCATGAGGGAGGTATTCTCGCCAAAGTGCTCGATTGGTATAGTCAGCATCTGGAAACATTGTTTGCATACGATCTGACACTCTTTGGATCCAGTACCCAAATCGTCCATTCTTTCTAAGCCAGTTCCGGGTTGCAATATGCACAAGTCTATGCATACTTATATTCAAGTCTTGGCTATTGGTGAATGAGTATGCATTTAGGAGTCCTAAGGCGTCAAGGGTTCGTTTCCTAGATTCTTGGGGAGGAAGAAGAGAGTGAGGAATATTTCGTGGATCGATACAGGACATGAAAGATAGATAATCAGCTGCCAGTTGATCTTGATCTTGAATCTGCTGAAACGATATTAACCAGGTGGTGATCACGGGGTTCCGGATATCCCTATAGCGCCCTGGGTCCCTAAAGTCTTCACTAAGGAGCTCGACAGAGTCTTGTTCCTTCTCTTGAAAAAGCATCAAGTATGCAGATAGACTTAGGCGCTTTTTGTTTATATATGCCGACGCTTGCGCGATTGCTAATGGAAGGAATGCCAGCTGTTCTAGGAGAGTACTTGTTGTAACAGGGTCATCGAGCAGGTCTTTTTGTAACAGTAAACTCTCCAGGATGTCCGATGCAGTTTCTTTATCCACATCGGGAAGAGTAATCATATTGGATGCTGTCAGGTCAACCGCAAGTTCTCCATTGCGGGTAGTGAATAAAATACGACCTTGGTCACTCTGAGGGAGGATATCCTCGAGAGCTGCGGTTGCATCATTATTTGCGAGCCACATCTCTCTATCATCCGCATTATCAAAAATTAGAAGCCATTTTCCTGCACGCTCAGAGCTGAGGTATATTTTAATCTTTTCTTTGACTTCTGCTGGCTTCACGTCATGAAATCCGAGTGTCTGTACAATATTCAGAAACGTCTGTTCAATCATCGCATGACTTGTACATGGAACCCAGAAAACCGAGCATTCCTTGTCTCGGTCCCGTATGCGGTGTGCCACCTCTAGGGCCACTTGTGTCTTTCCAATCCCTCCCAAGCCGGTGATTGCAATCCTCTTGGGCCCATTTGGCATTGTAATTAGCTCTTCTAGCTCGATGATTTCGGCCTGGCGACCAACAAATCTTGGATTCCTATCCAGCGAGACCACCCAGTGTCGTTCTTTATTGCTCTTCAGCGACTCAGATTCTATATAGTAAGCAGGTACGACAGACAAAAGCGATTTTGCATAGGCCGCTGCTGTCAAAGCTGCGTATCCTTGCCACTCTTTTTGCTTATGCGAGTCACAATAGTCGCAGATTCCTCGGATCACAAGCGTCGGAAGATCGTCCATGATGCCTGCGGCTTCCATCTCAAAACAGAGTATCCCATGTCGTTGAGCTAGACGATCCCGTGTTTCCGAGTCTTTCATTACCTGATCGCCCGACGCAATCAACCCGTAGTGGATGAATGGGGCCCTGGTATCTCGCCGTTGTTGTTTGACCAATTGCTCCTTGTCACACTTTTCACAGGTATCTCCTTGGTCGCCATGATGATAGGACGAATGAAAAAGAAAATCTGTCTCTTGTTCTGGAGTTGAAAATTTTCGATTCATCTCGGGATTCCGTTCCAAAACTTCCGACACTATCTTGGGAACGTCGTCCCTATCCCCAGTCATCTGCTTTGCCTCGAGTCGACTTATCTGTGTCAAAAGAGTCTGTGGTGGTTTGTTTAAGGAGCCTGTTGGCTCTAGCTGTCCACCTTGAACTGCCTTGCCATAATCATACTGTATCACCCCACTATATCTTCCAACCGGTTTACTGACCACCACATCGCCTAATCGAATATCATTGCCCCTACCCGGGACCCCGCCCCCAATTCCCACCATCAGTCCGAATTGAAGCTTTGGAAAGGTTGAACGCATGCGGGATACGACGTTTGCGGCAGACACCTTTCCGTATACGCCAGCTGGTAGGCAGGCGATGACGATAAAATGGCCGTTCAATTCGCCAAGTTCATAGGCATTTGGATCTGTGGAGGCTTTCGGCAGGGGAGTGTGAGCCTTGGTCAGCATAGCGCAAGCCGCTGCCATCTCCAACGGCAAGGCGCATATCCACGCGATTGTGTACTGATCATGCGTCAAGGATGCCATGGTATGTTCAAACTAGGATTAAGATAGCAAGTTCACGCCCATTTGTTCCAGAAAACCATAAACCTAGACGGAGGAATGGGTTTTTTTTTGCCCTCTTACGGGCAGGAGGCTGGGGACGGAGGGGTAAAAAGATAACCACGTGTTCCTGCAAGGCTGCGCACTTTTGTGTACTTTTGCTTAGTGGCCTCGGCATAGTGCATATACGGCATACTCAGGAGCGTATATCATAATTGGACAGGTATATCAATAATGATTCGATCTTATTTTGGCAAGCTTTTCTCCTGCCCATACTCCTGGAGATAACTCGCCAAGCCGGTGGTTAATTCGATGTCCAGGATATATTAGCACGGGGTTCCGACTCCTGCGAAGGAAGCCTTGTCGCGTCCCACGGGATCGGGATTCGCAACTCCTACAGCAAAACGCCGTGATGAGCAAGTAATCAAGCAAAACCAAACGAATTGCTTACAGTGGAACTCCAATACTGTTTATAGTGTATATTTGTTCATTTTTGTGCATACTAGTACTGGTGTGCGGCATTCAAATCAGAGTTTACCAGTGTGGAGAGGAAATATATATAGTGTTGTATAGACATGGTCTACAAGTATACAGATAGTAAAGCATGTAATCATTTAACTCTAACAGAAATATAGAATTAGTTACAAGAACCAGCTTCACACCCTCAAACTCCCTCGGATCGGGTGCTTAAGGGACTTTTATATGGTAATCCACGGCAGTTGGATTGCTTATGAGAGTGTTTTACTACAATTTAGAAGGATATTGCCATAATCAATACCCCAGGTATCGCCACAAACTATACCGACTGCCCGAGTAAAGCTCACATATCTTAAATCATACAAGGAATATACATCATAAATGTTTGCCTCAGAGTACTAGCACCTTCCGGCTGTTCCGTTAGCCGAAACAATGTCATCGGAGATCTTCTCGGCCAGCATGTCTGCGAATATAAGGTTAGCTCAAGCAACATGCCACGCGTCACGACTACTTACACACGACTGACTGCGGGTGTCCAGGAGGAAGAAGCGGAAATGCACTTGCATCGACAACACGCAAGCCATCAACCCCGAACACCCTTGCTTGAGGATCCACAACTGCCATTGTATCCTTTGCTGTCCCCATCTTACAAGTGCAAGCGGCATGCCAGATGGTCATCATGTTATCTTTAACAAACTCCAGGATTTCGGCATTAGACCGCACGCGGTTCCCTGGATAGTATTCGTGTCCAGTCAGTATAGGCGCCATGGCACGGCTCTCAAAGGCCTGCCGTGTTCGCTTGAATGTTGCAATTGCCACTTCCTGATCCGTTTCAGTAGAAAGCCAATTCGGGTTGATAGTTGGAAGGTCAGCGGTGTCTGCCGACCGGATCGTTACGTTGCCTCGGGATGTTGGAGCGACCAGCACGCCGACTATGGATGCGTAATCATAGCCATCCCTGGGTTGAACCAAGACAGGCTTGGAAACGTTACCGACATATGCCGCCGTGGATAGATACTGCATGAGCACGTTAGCGAAGTACCTTCCTCGCAATATGGATTGGGTCGTATAATAAAGGAAAGGACGGGTATTACATACCTCTGCCTCAGGCCAGTCACTGGGAAAGCGTGCTAGATCCTGCAAAGTTTGTTCGGAGAAGTTAGCCCGCAGGCTACTTGGGATCTTCTCCCATGCTAGGTAATCCGTGACCGGGCTGGTAAAGGGTCCTTGATGGAAGATAACAGCATTGGCCGCTTGAGTGAGCAAGTATGAAACACTCGTCACGACGGTCGACGCCGTTGGCATCCGAACCCGGTAGGACGGGGCGAACAGAGGATGGTCCCACATATTCTGGCCGACTCCAGGACGGTCAGCTAGAACAGGTATTCCATGATCTTGGAGTGTGCTTGCCGGGCCAATGCCGGACACCATCAGCAGCTGAGGTGATTGGAATGCACCCGCAGACACAATAACCTCTTTCTCGGCATGCAGCGTGAACTCACCGAGTTTACCTTTAGCTAAAACGCCGGTGGCACGTTTTTGAGAATCGAACAAGATCCTCTTTGCCTGTACATAAGTATATGTAGTTAGACGAAGAGGTTTCGTTTCATGAAATGAGCTTTCGGAACTGCTTCGTTTTTGGTCCTGCGGTCGGATAGTGCTTGTGCAATACTGTGCTCCCAGCAAAGCCCCCAGGTTGAACTCATCCCGGTCCTGGATTCCGATGGCGTTCATTGCGAGTCTCACCCAGGATGAGAACGCCATTGCGAAGTTGGAGTACGACGCGTGCAATGGCCCTCCTTGGGGATCGTAAGCGGCTGGATCGAACGATGGAGTTGAATTGGGAAACCGCGTTAGCTGGTTGGGGGGCGTAAAGTGGACACTCCTTTTGAAATAAGGCAGAACGCGGTCAAAGGTGTAGCTACAATCACCTACAGCAGTGGCCCATTGCTCCATGGCACCTCGTGTTGGTCTAAGTATCAGTGAACGGATTAGCCGATCTGGGCTCACATCGCCTCTTGTCACCACAAGTGAAAGGGAAGTATACCGTTGATAGATCATGAAATTCAGCGCTGACCTTCACCTCTGTTTAGTTATTCAGCAATGTAGGAAGTGTATCGGATGACGTACGATCCACCGAGACATTTTCCTCGGGCATAGTGGATAGCTCGATTGTTCGCCCCAGGCTGATTTTCGGTTACAAATCCCCAATCAATACTGAACCTGTTCCGCGGATCTGACCCAACAGGGATGATGTCTGCTAAGGGAATAGCAGCAAGGGATTGGTACTCGTAGAATCCACCAGCTTCGACCAGCGCAACGGTATAGGATTTCTGTGCTAGGCGAGTGGCCACGACGATACCCGCGGTACCGCCTCCAACGACAACATAGTCGAATCGTCCGTCACGGAGCAAGCTATCAGATACACCTGGCTGGCCGCTGGATGTGGGGGCAGCGATTGTATGAATCAGGCACCAATGCAGAGCAAGCAATACCAGGACTACTCGACGAAGCATGTTGATGGGTGGTATACTCGACGTATCAGTAAACAGAGGATTCGGTCACGAAGTTCAGGGTCTGGTGTCTCGGGTCATATAAGTGAAGAAGGACTAAGGTGAGGAGGCAGAGCACGTTGCGTGGTTGTTGTTGAAATCTTCTGTGCTTTCAGTAAAACGGCACTCATGCCTACTTCATATGTTTTCGCTTTAACCTATGATCCCGTCCTGGTAGCTTGGACGGTTATCCCTTTATTCCGCGAAAGGCAAGAGCATTTGACATGGAATAAGATATCTTCCACATCAGCAATAAATGCTGTCGTCTGTATTAGGCAACTTCGACTGGCCCTGCAGTTTTCAGCCTATAACCACGTGAACATACGCTCACATGCTCTGGCTGTTGTCCAGGTCTACACCATCTTCGGCGGTTCATTTTGTTGTTCGGAGACAATGTTGTTGATAAAACAAGGTGGAGTGAGGCAAAAGCTCCCTGTTATCATGGGGCGACTCAGGTAAGTATTATAGGAGTCGACGAAGGTGTATGGCGGACAAAATAAGCGAGTATATGCTATTCACTGCCCTGAATTCAAAGAGTGGAATGAGGACTAAGCTCAAGGCATAAGGGCTCACTGCGAGTGCGGTTTATACCATCAATTAGACAGGCATGGTTAAAATATAGGCATAGATGTGTCGTCTTAAATTACGCCTAGAATGATTGGCACAGTGTATCTTCCAGCTTGGAAACCAGTCTTAGACGGATATGATATCCATTTAATCATATAAACCCGGCATGACTAGATTATGGATACGTTAAAACTGATACAGTTGGCAAGAAACCTTGGCTACGTTAGCCCAGGCGAAATTCGACCACGCAGGTTAAGGGCAGAAAAAGAGACGTTTGAAAGTCACTGTAAAGAAGTTTTATAGACGAAGGAGGAGAAAAATAACTCTCGACGAGAATCGCGAGAAAAGTACTTTCACATAGGACAATGGTAGTGCTGCGGGGGAGGAGAGATCTGCCGCCCGTTGGGGATCCTCACTTGGTGGTATCATGTGTGCCTGCGCTGGTCGCCACGTTGGGATTGTATGTAAGCATTCATGTGCTTCCATATCTCCCAGGCAGTTGGATGGTAGATGTGATCATATCCAAACGTGGCCGAGGCTTCTGTGACATAACAGATCGACATATAGAAGCCAGTTATCGGCAACGACTCTATCTTCAGAGGCCATGTGAAGATAACACCTCATATGTGGCCAGTGAAAAGCTGGATACTCACCTCTAGAGCGTATTAATACCCATAATAGTGTCATCGTAGTGTCAGATGCACGGCAGCGACGTCGAGCCTTAGCCTATATTGACATTGTTCACTGATATCGGGTAGGACGGAAGTGTACGAAGAAGTCGAGAGCTACAAATAAAGAATAAGCGCTACGTGTGGCGGAATCGCCAGTATGTATTGATTCCTGTTGGAGATGCGCATATGGTAAGGTTTACGCATACTGGTCGACTGTCTCATGTGTCGAAACACAGCCAAATCCGTCTAGAAAGGTTACGCAACCTTAATCCATTTGAGTGTCTATTCTTTTTCTATACATATCACGCTTATTATTCAACATGACTCGTGGTAAAAACACGCACATCAGTAACATTTCTGCCTGGCATATACATATGATCAAATAAGATTGTGCCTTGTAATTCCGGTATATGTTCACGGTTATTAGATGTTATAGTGAAGCCTAATGAAAATGATGAGCATGGTATGACTGATGCAATGTATTATGATGAGGTTTAACCGAGAGTATATCAAATCGCAATGCTTACCCAAAATGGTTATCCAACCAGTTCGGGTATAGCGACACTTGGCCCACGGCGAAAAATGATTAGAAAACATAATAATGATAAAAATAATACTAAGAAGCGACTGGCATCATAGTCAGGGGCCAGGGCATTAGGCTAGCAAATTCGCAACTCTTACTCGTCTCGGCAACCAGCAGAGGTGGAGCGCGATCGTCGCCCGTTTCCCGGTTCGGGAAATTTGGTTCCAGTAGAATCAGGTCCACTTCGCCATACATTGACTGATGTCCAGATGACAAGCCCTCTCGCTGGTCCCAACTGTCAAGTCCTAGTTGCCCACAGGAACAGTCATGCCGGAGGTAAGCAGGATACATGATCCAGGTTGTATTTTCACTTCTGTGTCTGCCTATTGGACTGTTCCCCAACGGGTTTGTATCCCGATCCATGCGTTTCATGGGAAAGGCCCCACTAAAAAGTGCGGAACGGATAGGTAAAGAGTTAGACTGACGGTTACATGGCACCCAAATCTTGGACGCGGGGAATTCAATACAGTGTCTGCATGCGCCGTGGATCATCGCGCGATTCATGATAGACTACAGAGCTTTTGACAAGGGTCTAGTGTGTCTCAGAAGATGACTAGGCATGAACCAGAAGGACCTAATCGAAGATCGCAGCAGTCTAAAAGTCAAAGAATCAGGCCATTCTCAACACTTTGAACGTCCGAGGCACATTGATGCGGGGAATACTGAATAGCTAGTGACTGACATCATGTGGATAATGAACGGGCTCATGAAACAGGCACAGTAAAAGGTGTCCCATGGCGAACTGCTTTCCTTGTATAGCTTAGTCGCTCGCTAATCACGAACTAAAATCATTCAACACGTTACTGGGGCCAACTAGTGACCCCTTTTTGGGTTCGATCTGCAGTGGGTTCACGTCCCCCATTTCCTTGTCAACCCAAAGTACAACCTCATTCACATGCCGACTGTTGGGATCGACCGAAGATCTAGCGGCCAAGTCAGGAGCTATCTGATATTAAATAGCAAGACCCTACCCCCGTCCCCACGGGGTACAACGTTCTCTCCCACAGATCAAAACATCACGCAAACAGTCGTCATGAGCGGCCATCTGAACCCGAAGGACTCGATGAAGTCCACATGGCGTCAGCTAGATCACGCCGAATGGACCATCTTCCACTGGTTCTATGAGATACTTGGTATCCATCCGGTGACTTTGGACAAAGAGGTACCTGTTCACGATAAGCAAGAGAAGGTGCCCTACATGGCGGAATGGCATACACACCGCTGGGTGCTCATCCACTCGTTCATTCCGATCGCTATCCATCATGTGTATACGTCTTATACCGGTCACAACCTAAGCCCCCTGGCTGCCTTCGTCTTTTATAGTGCGGCTTTCAAGGCCATCGCCATTCATGAGATACACATCCTTCGTCGCTTGGGTCATGCTCTTGGATTCCTCGATGGCGACCAGCACGAGCGGGATGGGGTGCCGGATGTCGGTGTGCAGAAGGTCGTCCACTCACTGGTCTCGACCTCGACCTTTCGCCCTATGTTCACCGTGTTCCTCAGCTATCGCGCCAGCCAACCGCCGTCGACTATGAATTGGCTCTGGCTCCCCCTCGAAGCCGGACTTTACGGAATCATCCTCGACTTTTGGTTTTATTGGTATCACCGGTTGATGCACGAGGTCAACGGTCTCTGGAAATACCACCGGACCCACCACCTGACAAAGCACCCCAATCCACTCTTGACCCTGTACGCCGATACTGAACAGGAGTTCTTCGATATTGCCGGCATTCCGCTCATGACCTACTTCAGCATGAAGCTGATGGGCTTCCCTATGGGTTTCTACGAGTGGTGGATCTGCCACCAGTATGTTGTTTTTGCCGAGATCGCGGGGCACAGCGGCCTCCGTCTGCACACCGTACCACCCAATACCCTCTCCTGGCTCCTCCGGATCTTCAATGCCGAACTGATCATTGAAGACCATGACATCCACCACCGCCGGGGATGGAAGAAGAGTGCTAACTATGGCAAACAAACCCGTCTGTGGGATCGTGTATTCGGCACATGCGGAGATCGGGTTGAATGCTACAGGGACAACATCGACTACGATACCCAAATTTCTATGCCATTGATTTGATTGGACAAACTCAAAAGACGTGACATTTACGGAGAATATGAGACACGTGGGCGGAAGATATCAGAGATCAGGGGAACGGGGAGGGATCGACCCTGTGATTGGTTGACTCTATCCATGAAATGATGTATTGGTGCATATACCCATTTTGCTTTCATTTACTGTATGAATCCTATACAAGAGCCCAACGGGGCAGACAGACATCTATAATGATATTGACGAATTAGAGAACTCTATCCCAAGTTGTTACTGAGACCATTATGCCGCATACAAACCATACTACCGTAAGGATGGAACCATCCGTCGCCGCCAACTGTACCTTGCACTATATATAGCACGAGAGATAGGCTCTCGGTCTCCACGAGGCACTCCAAGAGCCGAGTATGAAGATCTGCTTCGGTCATCAGCCCTGGACCTGACTCGAGAAAACAATGTGAGCGCATTATGTGACCGGTCATGCCAGCAATGTCGATGATCATCATGATGGCCGAGCGAGGCTCTTGTTGGACCTATGAAATGAGATCATAATACGAGGTTGAAGTCTTGGCTCGCGAACACCGAGTGGGTGGAGTGAGTAGACAGTATCCCAGGCAATGTTTTTCTGCTTGAATTAATAGCTCTGGATTAGTTGCCAAGGTAGAAAAGATGTGACTATTTGGATAACACTGACAATTATATCGAAAGTTTGCCTTGTAACTTCATAGGTTGCCCAAGAGCGTTCCCTTTGGCAATATCCTATAACCCTCGAAGGTGGTCATGATTGGCCACATTGCCAACGCTCCACCATTCAAGTGTTTTCTTGGCAGCGCTCCGTGCAGCCAAAACGGGTAATCTCGACACCTTGGAGCCTGGGGCGGTGTCGACGTGTTTCGCCCGACGCCCAACTCAATGGATAAGGATTAAGGCTGAGCAAAGCTTCACAAGGTAGATACACCAGCTTCTGGTTGCCTTAATGCCATATAGAACACTGATTGGAAGAAGCTGGACTCAGCCCTGCCCGAAGTGGGTAAGATCGTGGTAGCCATGGAAGCTATCACTCTCTTGGCCCTAACTTACCCCAATGTGGCCGTATCCAGCGCTTTCAATCTGTATGATGTAGTCTGCTCGCGCAGTTACGGACTCAGCTATTTAAGAAAGTGAAATCCTGGTCCCAAAGATGTCTTCTACCACGATCAACAACAAACAACGAACAGTAACTTCCAACCTGAACGACAATGGCTTGGAAATCTACCTTTCTTCTAACCTCTTTCTTGGTTGGCTCTTATGCCACACCGCTTGCGATTCCGAAGCATGCCCGCTCCGAGAAGATCGCTTGGGGGGCGTGTCAAGACAAAGGAGTTACTGAGCCGGCTCAATGCGGCAACTTGACGGTGCCGTTGGACTATACCGAGCCCGATTCAGGCGAAACACTCCAGCTCCAACTCCTCAAAGTCCCAGCCATTCGCGAACCGAAGAAGGGAACCATTCTGTTCAACTTCGGTGGGCCGGGTCTGGAGGCAAGACTGTCTCTCTTTGGAGATGGTGATATCCTACAAGCGTAAGATCCCAGTGCCGCGATAACGGGATATCTAGGGCTCTAAAATGCTGACGGACATCCCAGTTTGACCGGAGGCCACTATGACCTGATTGCTCATGACCCTCGGTATGTTTGTCCAGGCTCCCTGTAACTCGCCTCGTGGAGAGACTAACGGAATACCGCAATGTAGTGGAACCGCGAAGACCCTCACCGCATACTGCTCTACAAACGTAACAGAGAAACTTGCAATTAGTACTGATGCTCGATTAAACGATTTCCCCAGGCCCTCCGACGAGATGGGAATAGGAAGGCAGTGGGCTGGCAGCGGGTTGTATGCCCAGTATTGTTCCGAGGGAGAGCTGAAGGAGAATGGCGCATATCTCAGCACAGCCTTCACTGCAAGGGATCTGATGCAGATAGTGGATGCAGTCACAGACGATGGTCTGCTGAAGTATTGGGGTAAGAGAATTCCCCGAGAGACGCATGACTAGGTCAAAGGCTGATAAACTCTAGGTTTCTCATATGGCACGGTGTTAGGATCTACTGTTGCTGCGATGTTCCCCGACCGGGTGGATAAACTCATCCTGGACGGTGTTATGAACCCGCACCAATACTTCAATGATTAGTATGATTCCATACTTTCTTGGCTCTGCACGGGCAATACTGACTGGGCTTCCTACCTGCAGTGACACCGAACTGTGGGCAGATTCAGACAAGGTCTTCTCTAGCTTTTTCGAGCAATGCTTCAAGACACCGGACCAATGTGCCCTCGCTAGCCGGAATGAGACCGCCAAACAGCTTGAGAAAAGGATCTACCAACTTCTGGATGATTTGAAACGTGAACCCATCATCTACGAACACTCCATCATTGACCACAGCTACCTTAAAACGTTCATTCGCTTCGCTCTCTACTCCCCTAGTTCCTATCCTAACCTGGCCGCTGCCTTCAACTTTTTATTGGACGAGAATGTGTCAAAGTTCATGGAGCTGGCCAACGCCCAGGTGGGTGCTTTATTATCGGGCTCGCTGACGGGCGACGACGCGGCATTCGCCATTCCCTGCTCTGAGAAGAGAACCGGAAAGCATACCTTGGACGAGATAAGGCCTGATCTCGAGATCTTATCGCAGACGAGCAATCTACTGGGTGAAGTCGGAAACGCTATTGCTATGATGTGCACTCAGTGGCAGATCGATGCCAAAGAACGCTACGAGGGCAATTTCGAGTCCAAGACCAAAAATCCCATTATGGTCATCGGCAACACATATGATTCTGCCACTCCACTTCGGTCGGCCCAGAATATCAGTGCCAGCTTCGAACGTAGTGTTCTGCTGGAGCATGGTGGCTGGGGTGTAAGTCTTTTCTTCACTATAGCTCTGTGGTGCGAGGACTAACATGTTATTATAGCACGCTACTTTGGCTCACGGGTCGTCATGCACGTCCAAGATTATCCGTGATTACTGGACCAATGGTACCCTTCCTGCTGCAGGGACAAAGTGCGAACCGGATTATCCCCCTTTCGAACCTGGATCATTGAAAGATGTTCTGGTTAATATCGGCTTCCTTGATAAGGAATAAGCGTTGTCACCGGTCAACACTGGCACATCAGTTTTACCATGAATTTTCACTGCTTGTATATCTCATAGTGTTCCTTTGATTATGTTTTTCTTGGAATATTGCGTTAGAAGCCTAAGTACATGTTTTAGACCAAATCCTTAGTTTTAAATACTATCTAGAATTATAATCTATACTTAGACAATGTTATTTTACCAGCCCATAACTCCAAGACTGCATTACAACGCTAGGTAACGGTAAATTTGGCACCGAAAACAGCTACACTTGAGCTGACAATCTGGGATGGTGTTATATTCCGTCTTTGCGATATGCGATTATAACTACCGATTGCAACATTGCAACATGGGAAAGGTCTTCTGTTAGGTGGTAGAACATCTTCAGTCGGCTTTTCTAATCCGTAAATAGGCCCTACACCCCCGTCAACATTTAGCTGCTGTTTAGTGCACTTCGCAAAGGCCGCCAAGGGCCTTGTCTCTTTTGGTCACTAGAGTTGAAAGGCCGATTGAGGAGACGTATTGAGAGTACCATATCCCAGCCTTTGCTATAGGAACATAAAAGATAGGAAGCAAACAGTGCAGCTATCTTTGGAGCAGTTTTAATATTGAAAAGGCCAAATGCGATCAAGTAGGCCAGGCAGCCTAGGCATTGGCGTAAGAGCGATCTGATTACTATATTCACTCGATGAGCCGCTCAGGGTGGTAGGAGTTTTAAGGTCAGTCCAATATCCTGTACATAATCCATTATCCGCGAAGATCTGTGCCGTTAGTGATCAATCACCTAGCTATTAGGCTGCCCAATGTTCACGATAGATAGCAAAGGAGAAACCTTCAACGCGAGGACCAGGGCAAAAGTAACTGAGTTATAAGAGAGTTACTAGTATTGAAGATAATTCAGCCTGGGACGGAAACCAAATATAAAACCAGATACCAATTAAAAACTACGACCCGAAGGGCTGGCCTCGAGTCCGGTCATTCATTATGATCCATTGACATATTTACTTTTAGAAGCATGACAAACGCGACAGATTCGGACGTTGGAAAGCTTCTTTATTACACCCGTGAAGTCGACACGTCTGTACATCTCATCGCAGCTCACGGACCTGCATCACGTTGACTAGGAAATCTGTCGTGTTGCTTGGGCCTGAGTATTCTCATCTACCACCTTTGCACCACAACAACACATCTTCAGGGATGTTATGTTGACAGCTAGCCACCTTTTACTCATTGCTCTGTGGTGAAATTGGATACAGAGAAGTATCCCATTTCTCATCACATTGCGCTAAATCTGAAAAATGACTGACAGAACAGGACCGGCACGAAAAGATTGAGGACAGAATCGTATGAGATGGGTGTCTAGGCCAGAAGCAATATCTCGAGGCGGGATCTTATTAATTTACCAGGAGTATTTCACCAACATCGTATGGCCGCGCATGTACTCTTCTCCTGGAGCTTGGACTTCGCACACGTTCTTTTTTCTCTTCCGACATGCGTCATTCAACAATATTTCCTGCGGAATACGTATGCTAGGACACTGATCTGTTCACGGGCTGTGCTACCTCTTTTATATTTCGGAACAGTGTATGTCGATCGTTTGGAGCTTATTGGATAAATCAGGGCCAATTATATCAAGGCTGCGGCCCAACCCCGCCGTAGTAGTAGTTATGATGGGTCCCATGTCTGTGAGGCATTCTGGCGAGAGGCCACTTGTGGGGATGATTAGAACCACTTATTGTCTAGAATACAGTTTGATTCGCCTGATAATCCCTGGCCAAAGCTCACCGATCCCAATAGTACGGTGATCTGCAGAAGAGGAACGTGGTTCCGTACGGAGTAGAGGGGATATGGTGGCCGATGATAGACGGTTAGACCCCCTAGTTCTAGTTCCGAATATACCTCCAGCAGCCCTGGAGGCGTGTCCCCCGTAGCTGTCGCAGAGGCCGCAAGCATTGTTTTCACAGCGATCAAACGGCGTGGATACTGAAGAAACCTATGTCTGATCAGCCTGGGGAACATCCTTCAGCAATTTGTTGCTGTGTGTGAATATGGGAAAGGCTGGGTACGCCATTCCGTTCGCCCCGCTTCGATTAGTGGTAAATAAAAGTTTAGGAAGATATTCTTCTCCACCTCAGCGCGAAATCCCACCCAGCTGAAGTGGGATTAAATGCTCAGCTGAACTGTGGATAAGCTGTTCCATTCGCTTCGCTTAGACCAGCAGTAAATAGAGTTTGGAAAGATATTCTTCTGCCCCTCAGCTCGAAACCCCACCCAGCTGGGGTGGCACTAAATGTTCAGCTGGACTGTGGATGCGTAGTACGACTATAGTTGACAGAATCTCTTCGCCTCGATGATATAAAATCCTGCAAATTCCCCTTCCATCACTAGCAGCCTAGCTTTCTTCCTCTCTGCTGCCCTCCTCTCTTACATTCCCTGACCACTTATCTCTATCACTTATCGCAGTCATGCAACCCGCAAGCGAGCGCCCATTTCAGGCTTCCAGGTTCGCATACCTGACCAACACGGATGGCCTTGCCGCATCCCACCCAGGCGCCCAGCAACAGGTTGAGAACGCGAAAAGTCATTACACAAGCGCCCTCAAAAATCTCGAATCGACGGATAAAGACGCCCGGGAAGCGTATCACGACGACAAGGCAAATGGTCTAACTACCGATACTTTTGGAAATTGGGCAATGCAGAATGTACGTTTACTATAATCCCCTTCCTTGGATACTGTTTCCCCGCTGAAGCTCTCCCTTTCTAATACTTGTTCGGTACTATAGTCTCCTGAGTGGGCTTCCGCGAAGGCGGAAGCGCAAGCAGCGGGTGCAGCTTTGAGTAGCGCTGCTATGAATGCCTTTGGGCCTGCTTATGAGCAGAGAATTCGAGAGAAACAGTCAGAAGTGGACCGGGCGGCCTACGAGGCGGGTTTCCAGCCTGAGATCTTCTGAGATATATCATGGGTTTCATCCGAATTTTAAGTATCGCAACCCAGAGTGAGATTATATGTATAACTATCAAGGCGGTAGTACAAATTCCATTTCACCGACTACCTATTTCAGATCCTTGTTGAGTCCTTCATTGAATAGTAGCACTGTCTTCATCGAGCTTATCATCCTTTAACCCTCGATGCAGCCAATTGCTGGATCAGTGACAAGTCCGCTTGAACGGGGACTCCAATGCAGCACTACGCCGGGACAACGGCCGATCACCATGTATTTAAAGATATATCTAGATTAGGTTTTTGATTGGCAAGCCCGTGCGAGAGAACAAACGTACAAGAAGTGTCCTAAACACTCATTCAAAATTCTAGATCCTCACTTTTTCCTCCCCGCCGAACCTCCAATTGAGCTATAGGGTCAACAATCGCATAAAACCCGAGCACCATCGGTTGCGAATCGTGCCCTTCCTTTTAACCGAAGGTCATATTTAAACAGAATGAGGGCCAAACATAACTTCAGCTCAGTAGGGGCAAAGAAGCGACCGAGGCATATATGTCTACCACCCCCGAATACATTATGCTCTCGGTTCGATTGCACAAATTGACTCGCGTTGTCTCCTGCACAACGTCGCTTCAAGAAACGATGCCCGTCGAATGCTTCAGGGTCCTCGTGAACCTCGGGATTCCACATGTCGGTTGAGTCGACCGCAATATGAGATCCCTTGGGCAGTCTCGTCCCGTCCGGTAGATATGTGTCACGGCTGCGAAATACTGACGCACATATACCGGTTGACTGTGGGATGACTTCCCCATTCTGTGATAGTTTCGTCCACAACAGGTTAATTAATATATTGTCGGGGGCGTGGAGGGTAGACTGAGCTTCGAACCCCGGGAATCCGCAAAGTATCCTTCCCTGGTCAACTCTTGGTGGTCGAGGTCCCTGTTTGTCTGGGCCCAATCGCTCAGGGCAGATGGAAGCACGATTTTCAGCCCGTGCAGCGTATGTAACGTGATAGGACCACCATGCTGGGCGAGACCCTCGACGATGAGCTTTTTCGCATTCTGGTTGTAGTCGCGATATGCTTTGCGACGGAAAAGGTCGCCCCAGTAATCATTCACAACGGGAAATATTGGTCGGTGTTTGGTCGCATAGAGATATCACATAGCGAAGATGGCGATGAGTGTCCAGGTGCAGCCACCCGAGAAGATTTGATACAGCATTCATTGGAGTCACTTATTGGGGAATGTATGAGACGCGGCATGGTTTATGACGGGCGAGAGTTCGACCTTTAACCGGCAAGTATTCAATCTGGAAAGCCAGGGGGCACTCAGTTCGGTAAGGAGTAGATCATGTTCTGCAGACACATTTATACTGATTTGGTGGGTACGGAAGTTAGGTGAAGTGGGGAATTTGGTCCACATTCATCATGAGCCACCGTGACCCATGTCGCGCTGCTCGGATTGGGTACGACGGATTAATCTAATCTAGGGCTTGTCATTACCTGAAGAATTCTCTCATGGCCTTAGTAGGAATAGAATATATAACGTACAGCACCTAAACTTGGTAGTGACAGTGGTAGTTAATCTACCCCAACCGCTCAAGCTAGCCGGAAGAATCCCTAAGTTTAGGACCTATGGTACTAGTTGGGAATCAAGTTATCGCGGGTATTTGACTGCTATGCTCGTTACATGAGTGTAGCCCTTTGGTCTATTTTACTCTTAGATATGATCATCGTTCATGACTGCCCTCTGTAATAGTGATTTCGTCGTTTCAACACTGAAAAACTGATCATTGAAAGGTCTTGTCTATTGTTGGGGATAGAGCGTACAAGGCACGGTTGAAAATGCCTTTGGTATTTAGCCCAGTGGGCATGCCTGCTGCGTATCACAAGTCATAACCTGACGGTATGCAAGTAGAACGTCGCTGCACATTTTGGGTCGAACCTCCATGAATGAGTCTACTCGACGTATTAAAGTAGGGGTGACCCTCTGTTGCCATAGTTGCTTTCACCCCGAAAGCCCAATCTTTATCTCCCCCGCCGGCGTTGGGCGTATGAAATTCGGGTAATACCCACTAGACAATGGCTGTACTCGAGTTTTAAAGCCAGAGGCTCAGCGAGCCTATTAATCCTTGTTGAACCTGTCCAATGGGTTAAGAGTGGTAGGTGACTCTGCCAAATCCTTGTGCATCGTGCATGATGTTCTGGACTGTTTAGCGGGGTTCTTGAAACCCCACGTCGTTCTCCTTTCCCACCCAAACTACCAGTATCCCTCACCTATACCTCGACCGTCACAGAGACTCGCCTGACATGAATGACCTAGTATACGAGTTAGATCCGAAAGGAGACATTTTCCTCGTCCTAGACAACGTATCCCATGAGCTGCCGGACAATCTACGGGATATGACAACGTCGTCGGAGTGGCCAAATGGACTGAGTAACCCCACACCTCCAGAAAGTGACCAGAGCAAAGGTGGGGAAAAGTCAGACGAAGGAGGTCAAGGCAATGAGGTCGACTCGACCAATATCCCTGAATGTGCCCCGCGGCGCCGTCTACAGATCCGTGCGTCGTCCAAACATCTGATATTGGCATCCCCACAGTTCGAACGATCGTTGCAAGATGGCTTTCAGGAGGGTACCACGCTGAAGGCCACAGGTTGTCTAGAATTCCCTGTGCGGGATTGGGAGGCCATACCATTTTTAATCCTGATGTTGATTATCCACCATCGAACACGAATGGTGCCTCGACAGGTGTCTTTGCAGAGGCTGATGCAGATCGCACGGTTGGTCGATTACTATGAATGTTATGAGGCAGTAGAACCGTTCTCAGATTTATGGCTTGTCGAGTTGAACATCAAGTCAGGGACCCCCACATCAGTCGATTCGGCCAAGTGCTGTCTTTGTATCTCTTGGGTGTTTGATGAGGCCGGGGCGTTCAAACTTGCCTCTAAGTACCTCGAGTCTAAAAGCACATGCCTGATTAGCTTCGATCAACATCCTGTCCCCCGCTCGATACAAGGTAAGTTTGATCTAATATCTCAGCTATCACATCAACTAACAATTCCTTATCGACTTCAGATGCGATCAACAGTTCTCGACGAGCGCTGATTTTAGGAGTCATTGAGTCTATGCGAAATATTTTCACAAAGCTACGGGATGGCCCTGACCAATGCTCTGAGGAATGTAGCTGTGCGTTACTTGGCGCTCTGACAAGAGCAATGCATCGAATTGGAATTCCGGTAACAAGACCGCTTTTCAGCTATAAGGGGATCAGCTTTAGTCAATTGGCGCAAAACTGTCGCAACATCAAAACCCCGGAGAATGTATGTAGAAAGAGAGGATATTATGACAGGTGTGACATATATAGAAAGGTTGATCCTCTCTTAAGAAATATCGAGAAGCTTAACGTGGGATTGGACATTTCGAAATTCGCCGAACTTCGCTCTCCCCATACCTAGCTAAAATCTCGGAGTCATCATCATCAATCAATACAACTTCAACTGCCTGCTCAAGCCCAATTTCATCTTCTCTCTTTCAACTCTAAAGCTACAAGGCTGAGGAAGGCCACATGGTCCAATCGGTTTATCCGAATGAGATGCTTGACTTGGATCTGGACCGAGTAACCCTGAATTAGCCATGCACACGATAAAGGGAACTGTTCGATAATTTTATTCTGCTTGTTCAAAGAGCGCGATGAAATCAACACTTTCGTAGAATAGGAGATAATAGGCTAACTGGCATTTTCAGCCATATTGACAATGATCAGATAGCTAGCTACAAAATATTTAAGAAAGAATCTTCAAATTGTTGTGGGATCCATTAATGAGGCCTAAATTAAAGTGCCACCCCACCCACCCCCCCTCTCCCCCAAATTCCCAAATCACTAATATTCCTGAGTGACTTGGACAAAGAACAATTGAAGCTTCCCATTATAGTCCAGGTCTGTCTCTTAGGGGCCAGAGGCTCAGTTTCTTGGGCTTGTTCAAGCTGCTCCGCCTCTGTTTTCAAGTCGCGGAGTACATTCATCCAGCGTGGTTTCGAAGTCCCGTAGGGTGTGATCAAGTGCCTTGTCAGACACCGCTGTCTTCAAGCAACACTCGAGACGGTCTTTTCTCGTTTCATTGTTGCGAGTTACAATGTATTTGATTGAATCGCACTGATGAGACTAGTCGCATTCCTCGAACCATGCCACAAAATACATTTCCGCCCTTCGTACTTCGAAGATGTCGTTCTTCTGGCACATGTGGATAGAAAGAGAAGTTGTCGTGTAGTCTGGTCTGGCTTACGAACAGGAAGTAAAGGCGCTCGCCGGAGACGAACTACTAACTCAGAGTAAATATCTATTATGCTACCAGACGGCGGAACATCTTTGGGGCATCATATACCTTCGTGGTGGCGGCTAAGTGCCGGGATATACTCCTCAACTTTAGTTTAATCAGAGCTGGTCCTTTTTCCAATAATCTCTAACGCCTTCCATAGGTAATCTCCTGTGAACATGTACCCACAAATTCAAAGTCGAGAGACGTCAACTAAGGGTTATTACGAGGGTGAAACAGCCCCAAGAATCTAGCTTTCAACCTCCGATGCGTTGCGGGGATTTGCTCCTACTCTAGTGGGTTTCCTCTTCGAACTATTGTTCCATCGTTGTCTTAACTACGGAGTATGGCCTATTTGACGAGAAGATTAACATGTATGAGGTACTTCCGGTTAGCCGGTTATTCTCTCAGGAAAGCTGCCGCTTAACTGGGTCTGACTTTGCCCCAAGTAGCATACCATACTACATGGTTGTCCCATCCGACCCAGTTCAAGATGACTGATATCGACTGGCGTAATCAGCTTAGGAGAGACCTTCACGCCAAGAAAGTCTAGCTTACCACCCAATTGTCCAGTATTAGTAAATTATGCTTCACTCTATCATATATTAAATATAGCTAAGATACTCTTAATCAGCCGCCTGTCCCATAATCGCACTTGCTGCTACACAGTAAATTCTGACTAGGCAGGTAGGGTATACTATAGTTAAGAAAAGGGTTTCATCTGGACGGCGTGGATTCGCGTACTCCTCCTGCGTGACTTGAAATAATAACCAGTATTAACAGATGGAATTTCCCACGTTTGTTTCAACCTTATGATTATACGGTCTTCATACACTGATAAGACATCGAACTGGCGAATTGTTGGCTTACACTGTAGAGCTGCTCCAAACTGCCTTCCATATTGCTGTAGAAACCGTGTCTACGAACCCTATTCATGTCAACCATGGATGATTTATAAACCACTGGCTTGTAGCACCAACTTCTATGGAAGGGCAGACTTGACTAACACGTTATCACGTGCCAGCGCATTTCTTGAGCAGTGCCCAACGATTAAATAAACACCAAACCCCACCACGTCAGCAGTACCAACCACCTAGGACCTCATCTCTAATCGATCACTACAGTATTGGATTCTCTAAGCTTCACATTCATGCCATGGACCAACCAACCCATATTTTCGATCCAGACGGCGAAGTGATTATAACTCTGCAAGGTCCAGCCCATACATTTGCACCCTGGAATGCTGATGGCAAGACACCTGCCAAAGAAGGATCTGTGGAAGGAGCACCGGTCGAAGAAGCGCCTGCTGGTGTTATACTCGACGACCAACACGAAGAGGTACTTAATTAGATCACCATTGGTAATAAATAATGTTTCAACGCTGCAAGCTTACCATACTCATCGTTAAACCTAAGGAACATGTGAAAGAGCAAAGTTATCGCATCCAAGCGTCCGCAAAACACTTGATATTTGCGTCGCCCGTATTTAAGAAAGCCCTTACTGGACGTTGGAATGAAGGATTCCAATTGTTCAAGACTGGTGTAGTACAGATCACTACCAGTGGTTGGGACCTTGACGCTTACTTGATTTTAATGAACATTATCCACTCTCAACTCCATGAACTACCGCGAGAATTAAGTTTGGACTTGCTTGCGAAAGTCGCTGTTTTAGCAGACTACTATGAGTGTCAAACTTTGGTTCAATACTTCGCAGAAAGGTGGATTGAACATTTGAAAGTTAATCTGCCCACGACATATTCCCGCGATACAGTGCTCTGGATATGGGTATCATGGATCTTCCGCCAATCAACTGAGTTTCAGAAAACTACGTTTATCGCAATTTCGCAAGGTAGCGATACTATAACAAACCTTGGGCTGCCAATTCCAGAAACAGTATTGTGTAAGGCCTCCAGTATTTCTTGTGCGAGGGACGATATGTTAATATCATTTAGATAAGGTGAACAGCCACCGAACCAATGCAATCTTAACTATAATCTCCACACTCAACAAACTACGCGATGACCTCTTAAATGGAATTCACGGGTGTTCCTTTGAGTGTAGTTCGATCATGCTTGGAGCCCTGACGAAGCACATGCATGCAAATGCTCTACTCTCCCCAGAGCCTCGGTATCCTTATAAAGGTCTGAATTACAATGGGTTGCTGGAGACAGTGCGTAACTTTAAGTCACCGTTGTTGTATACCATCCAAGGCTATTCAGGTTACGGTAATCAACACAAGTGTCGGGCTTCATCCTTTTCTTCTCTCATCATCATACAAGAAGATACAGTGCAAGCATTGAGTTTGTCTTCAGTGACCTTACCACCACCACTACCTAACGATTGCAAAAGTCACACTGATCGAGCTGGAAGTCCAGTCAAGGGGCCGTTGGGGGCGTGGCTTTCCCCTCAGCGTTTGGAACGCATTGAAACTTTAAGGCGAGAGGGTAGATGCCTTACCTGCCGGGGAAAGATGCCGAAAACTTCGGAAAGGCCTTAATAGACTCAGCACTAGCCCTGTATCCTAGGTATCAAATGCTGAATGGTATGAAATAACTCACTAGCATGCGCTTCAGCTATCGCCGTAAATATTTGTAGTATAATAATAAAGTAGAACTGAGAAGTGGTACCCTGGTCATATGTCGGACCATGGTTGAGGTTCACAAATGCGGGTCTGTGAGACACCATAATAACCATCGAATGTCTCTCAGACTTGGCCAAACTGACTTTATCCAACACTTTCAGCTCACTGTAGCTCATTCAGCGACAATAGGTTCTCTAGGCGATCACGCGCTGGGCTTGGGTCCTCGTCAGATTGAAATATAAACGAGAAACTAGCTGCTGAATGTTACCACTTATAATTGAAGCTCAGGTGTGGAGATACATATTATGGAGTTAGTTTGTACAAATCTGAGCTTCCCCTGATGCATCAGAGGCGGCCATTAAATCTAGGCTCCTGCTACGACTACTCTGAGTGTCATTCAAAAAGACTGCAGATGGTCACGCTGACATCTGTGGTTGCTACGCCTGACGTATATGTATGTTGATTCCCCCCGACCCCTTTTGAATGACCGGTCACCTTGCCTGCAAGTTGCAACAATCGCTGATAGTTTGTGATAACGGCAGGCGCGAAAGATATTAGATCTCGGCATCAGGCGGCATTTCAGGGATGATGACCTCATGCAGCGGTCGGAACTGGTGAGAGGAACTGAATGGTGATTCCGTGCTACACTAGGAAGATTGTTGAATATGAACCGTAGAGCTACTTACTTCAACAACTAATACTATGCAATATCTAGTTCATCCTTTCATGTATACGCAGCCGCCCATTGAGGAATGGCTGAGAAGAGCAACCACGAAATGAGAGCGATAGTAGTATCCCCCGAAGCACGCACGTCTTTTTTCATTAGTCTCTATTCCTCCTACCTCCCCCTTGGCAAACTTATAGTAAACTTCCGCCAGGCAAGATAGGCCTTTAAGACATATTGCTACAAACTGACGGTCCCCGATGGTATTACCTCCAGCATGTTACAACATCTTAATAGGCATTTGCTGAATATCAATCCATGCATGGGCATCTGAATAACTGCAAGTTTCTTGGAATACCAATACTGATCAGATCGATCTATGACTGTGCATATATAGCGGATAATGTCTAGAGTGGTACGGGTTCCCCTTCATTTCGTGTTGATACATTTACATTTATCTTTCACCCTTTAGGGTACCGTGGAACCATCAAGGCCTGAAATAGCATATATTCATTCACCTAAAGGTATCTAGCTCTTAAACCACCCATGGTTCCACGGACCAACGATGGGGCTCTTACCAATTGCGGAGTTGACATCCTTTTACTTTCAGTATTAAGGCTTTGACCACCCGGGATATCCGCAGCCGCTCTTGCGTCTTAGTACGTCTCTAACCAGAAGTTGGACCTCACGTAAGACTAAGGCCTCCAGCTCGTCCGTTTGAATACCGAATGGGTTCATAGGTAGCTAATCAGGTTGTGGCGGAGATCTCCGAATAGATTGTTTCTAAGAGCCTGGTATAAATGGAATCCCGCTTCAGCTTTCGTATTTTACATCAGGCCTAGCCTATGCTCTAGACATCTCAGCCGCTTCAGGCTGGGATTATGGTCCTCCCTGGGGCGTAGCCAAGCTGAAGCTGGCCGAGGCTGACCTGGTATAAGACATGAAATTCCTAAAAGATGATGTCAGGTCATATGGATACCATGGGTCTTGTGCGTTGTGACACGGGGTCGCCGTGTTGGTCATCAGCAATTGCTATATAATGACCGGTTAATTCCAACAAGAATGAGTCCAAGAAGAATTGTTTTATTAGAATCACTCGAGGAAAAGTCCCACATTCACCACGCTTCAACTGCATTATATATCGTTATACATTATGGCAGAGACACATAGCAAGAACAGAACGATGCGGTCGGTTGTTTTTGATGGCCAGCCGTTCGAGGTTTATGTCCGTGATGTTCCGAAGGCAAAGGTTATCAAGCGAACGGATGCCGTGGTTCAGGTCACTTCAGCAGCGATCTGCGGCTCCGACCTGCACAACTACCACGGCGTCTTTGGTAGCGACCAGGTGCCATATTCTATTGGGCATGAGGCCATGGGTATCGTCGAGGAAGTTGGAGCAGATGTTGTTTCCGTGAAGGTTGGGGATCGCGTCATTATCCCGGACTTCCCTGATGGCGTCGCGCTGGATTTCGAACCAACGATTAACCCTGCAGTTGCCTTGTATGGAGAAGGCCATCAATTTGGTGATTTGGGAGGTTGCCAAGGTACGGTTGAGCACTGCCGAATCATCCTTTAGTATCTCTTGAGAAGCGAGACATCGGTCATTATTGAAAAACAAGACCTATTTCTAACTGGCAAACGTCATTTTCAACAGCCGAATATGTGCGTGTCCCACTCGCGGACAAATCCTTGATTGTTCTCGGTCAGGAATATGATGGCATCAAGGATGAAGATCTAGTTGTTCTTTCAGACATCTTCCCTACTGCCTGGGCGGGGGTCACTTGGTCAGGCTTCGAGGCAGGAGATACGATCGCTATCTTTGGGGCAGGCCCAGTCGGACTACTAGCGGCGTATTCGGCAATTCTCCGTGGAGCCTCTCGAGTGTATTCCATCGACTCAGTTGAAGATCGACTGGAACTCGCGGCTTCTATTGGAGCTATTCCGATCAACTTCACCAAGGGCGAACCGTCGGCGCAGATTCTGGTCCGGGAACCAGGTGGCGTTCAGCGCACTGTAGACTGTGTTGGGGAGGAATGCGTCAACGAGAACTTGAAGCCCGATCAGTCCTTTGTTACCACACAGGCAATCAAGTGTACTAGTGTGGGTGGTGGCTTAGCGGTTATTGGGGTACACTTTGCTCAACCGAATTCCCAAGGAGTTCAACGAGGAAGCACCATTTCCCCATCGATTACCTTTCCCATGACGCTCTTCTGGGAAAAGAATATGACGATTCGAGGTGGAGCAGTGGACAGCAAATCATACGTTGAGCCACTGCTGGAACTGGTGAAAAGTGGCAGAGCTAAACCGGGCTTCGTCTTCTCCCGCATTATCGATATCGAAGAGGCGCCAAAGGCCTATCGACGGTTTTCTGATCATCTGGAGACGAAAGTCATGATCAGGTTCTCCTAGAACAATAACCCCTAGTACCTGCGGGATGAAGGGTATACACGATAGTATAAATTGCACGCCTATCCACAAAGTTTACACCTAGTTAATCCAAGTAGTAAGGGTCTCGATGTCATCAGAAACCACCGTTTCATTGTAGATGCCCTGGGGCATTGGAAACTCCCCGGGAAGGATTTTCCTGGAACCACCACTTGCATATTCAGAATCGTTCATGAGTAGCAATGTATTGTGCCCAACTTCAATGTATCTAACATGGACCTGCCTACGTCTGCTTCCGCGACCGATGACCACCATACGGTCTCTATCGCGAGATCTAGTATCTTAGAATACTGATACCTGAAATGTCGAGATAATCCCTCTGTGGTGTAACCAAACGGTCTTGCTTTGACAACGTCCATTCTAGTATTTACTCAGAGAACCTGATGTCAATCGCCACTTATTCGAGCGGCGGCAGACAGGGCAGATGGACATGATTCTGTGTCTATGGACCGAGTAATGCGCATTGATATTAGGCGTTCCACCAACCCCTCTTCATGCAGCTAAGGTGAGGGGCAAATCAAACCTCGCTCTATAAAGCCCGAGCACCGTGTCATCCTCACAATTAACACCAATTTAATCCCAGACTCCCTGAACGAACACTCCCTCTCTCGCCAATCAATCATTTCCCAAGATCGAACACAATGACCATCCAAACCTGGCACCAAAAAGCCCTCACAAAACAGACCACCGCATTATCCAAAATCCCCCAAGCATGGCGTCTCCCAACCTCAATCCAGTCCCTCCTCACCTCCGACCCAAATCTAAACTGCCTTGAGATCCCAGAAAAAAGCGGGCTCCTCACACCCCGTGAACTCGAAATCACAACCACAGAAGACGCAACGGCTCTGCTCGCCAAGATCTCGAACCGAGAATACACTTCAGTAGAAGTAACAACGGCCTTCAGCAAACGCGCAGCAATCGCCCAACAACTCACCAATTGTCTGACGGAGACATTCTTCGATGGGGCCCTCACCCGCGCCAAACAATTAGATGAGCATCTCGCCACGACCGGCAAACCAATCGGACCTCTACACGGTCTACCCATCAGTCTGAAAGATTCGTTTAATGTAGCCGGCATCCCGTCCACACTGGGCTTCATTTCCTTTCTCGATAACCCAGTCCCAACCAGCAATTCTGCTCTTGTCGAGATCCTCCTCGCAGCTGGGGCAGTGATATACGTCAAGACCAATATCCCACAGACATTAATGACTGCCGAGTCCCATAATAATATCTTCGGTCGAGTACTGAACCCCCACCGGATCAATCTAGCAGCCGGAGGCAGTTCCGGTGGCGAAGGTGCATTGGTAGCCCTCCGGGGATCACTGTTAGGTGTTGGGACGGATGTCGGAGGTTCGATCCGTATCCCTGCCTTTTGCTGTGGGGTTTTTGGGTTCAAACCCAGTGGAGGAAGAGTCCCTTATGCGGGACAGACGAGTCCAGCTAGACCGGGACTCACTGGGATCGCACCTGTGGCTGGTCCGTTGTGTCATTCTGCCCGCGACGCGGACTTGTTTTTCAGGGTTGTTGCTGATGCACATCCGGAGGATGTGGATGACCAAGTGATTGGTCTTCCGTGGTCGAGCCCTATTGAGCAGAAGCCTTCGTTGACAATAGGACTTCTTCCCGAGGACCCGACGAGGCCGTATCATCCTAACATGCTGCGGACAATTTCGACCGCGGTGAAAAAGCTCGCCGCGGCGGGTCATCAGATCATCGATTTAACCGGGAAATGTCCCCCAGTCCACGAGTTCAGCAATATCGCGTTTCAATTCTTCCAAATGGATCCCGATAGAACACCCCTTGGTCACCTCGCTGCAAGCGAAGAACCCTGGGTTCCATCCTTGAAATATACGTATAACCCCAATGGGCCAGCGCCTGAGCCGACGCTGCGACAACTGTACGATCTGAATGTGCAGCAGGCTGATGCTTCCGTCGCGATGAGAAAGGTCTTCCTAGATAATAAGCTTGATGTGATTCTGGGACCGGGACATCAGACTTGTGCGCCGGTGCATGATACGTTTGGGTTGCCGATTTATACGATGTTGGCGAATTTGGTTGATGTATGTCTTTCCTCTCTCCTCCTTTGTTCTTCTTTTCTCTCCGTCTGTTGGGGACATTTGGTTCTAATGACTCACAGTATCCGGCTTGTGTGATTCCCGTTGGCACTGCGGATGAGGCAGCTGATGCTGATTTCGTTCGTGATGTTGAATATATTCCTGAGTGTAAGCGACCTATCGGCTTCACGTATCTAGAGGAATTATGCTAATCAAATATAGATACCCCTAAAGAGGTCGAAGGCGCGCCATGCCATGTGCAACTTATCGGAAGACGCTTAAAAGATGAGCTCTTGATGCAGCACACTCAGATTATCGAGAGCGTCCTGAAGGGTAAGTGAGTGGTGCCGATGTTAAGATAGAATGCAGCAATCTTGCAATGGCCCATTTCAATACAGGACTAGGATGGGGCAGCGCGAAACAATTTAATTTGTATATAGTTGACATGTAGCTACTTAGATCTATCGATATGAGTACTTTAGCTCAGGTGGCGACATCTGAACACCAGACAGATAATAGCCAAACAAGTCAAGCAAGCTTGCATCTATCTTCAACCATAATAGATCATAGTCTAGCTCCGTCCAATTTCCCTCTCCTCCACATTCGCCCCAGTCAATGTAGCTACCCACTTCTTCCCTTCAAACTCCACCGTCAATGTGAGCTTTTCATTCGGGAAAAGAGTAACATAATTATCAGACCAGTATACCGGCGCCAGCTCGTGTTGTTTCTCATCGCTAACCGTCAAATGCATAAAGAAAGCAGGCACATCGGATGTGTTCTCCAGCGTCACCTCGGCAAATGTGGATCCATGTTCCGACACGGTCGTCTTCATGCTTGTCGACACGGATGCAGCGCGCATGTTGTTTAATGCAGTGAGATCGGTGTATTGGGTGACAGGTGTCGTGTAGAAGGTAGAATTATCCCAGTCTAGGCTCTCTGTGTTAGGTGGGAGCCAATAGACATTGCGGCTGAGAGTGGTGCCCTTTTGCGAGTCCTTGAGGGTCAATCTAAGGAAGCCGACATCCTTAATTTTCTTTATCTCGCGTACTTCTGCCACCTGCTTGGATGTTGTTGGAGTGGTGTATGTAGCGATACTTTCATAGTGCATCGATCTGCCGTCGAGATCAACTAAATCCACAGTAACAGTCCGCCTCCCGAATTTGTCCAGAGAATGATTGATGATATGAACTGTATGCGCTTCGTAGTCGTAAGCGACGTGCTCCAAGCGGGCACCCACCTTAGTCCCAAAATACGATCCTGCCGGTCGTAAGTAATAATCAAACAGCTGCCAATGCAGACTAGGCCAGGCGCCGTTCAACATCCAGTAAACCACGCCAGTGGCCGGGCGACTGGCGTTTTGGCGTATGGCGAATGCTTCAAATTCAGCCCGAGTCGCTTCGTAATCCGCCATCTGCGATTTGCGAAGATAGTCATCCAGCCCGGCGGGCGGCCCGTACCGCGCAAAAAGTCCCTCGTTGTACAGGGAGCGGTCCGCAAAGGGCGAGTCATTTTTACTCATGTGCCATTGCGGCTCGTCTGGCTTCATCCACAGATTATCCAAGTCTTGGGGAGACATAAACTGCTTTAGACTGCCGAGCTCGGGCGTTCCGACACCAGCCCCTTGTTCGGAGCCGAAACCAAATGCTGCCCCCAGCTTGTCGTGGTACCAGTAGTTGGGCGGTACCCAATCGTAAGGCCCGTCCATCTTCATGCCAGACGGACCCAGGAGCTTGGGATAGCCGCGCTTACTTGCTGATGCAATGATCGGGTTGGGCCAGTCCATACGATGCAGAGCGTTGACATACACATTTGTGGCCTTCTCGTTGGGCCAGAAGTCCGATCCAATCAGGAATGCCAGCATTGATGGATGAGCCTGCATCATTTCTGCTTCATGGAGCATAATAGCTTCAGCAACTGGGTAGTCCTTCTCTGTCCACTTGACTCCGTTTGCTTCGTCGTTGTACTACACGAGTTAGCCACTGCAGTTCATATAGGCAAAGGGTCCCAAAAGTACCTCCCACCCTTCCCATTTATCACAGCACTCCCATCCTGATATTACCATCAATCCCATACGATCAGCAAGATCGTACAATTCTGGATGTTCCTGTTTTCCTTCCAAGCGCACCGTATTCAGACCCATATCCAACATGTAACGGAAGATCTTGCGCAGATGCTCAAGGTCAAACCGGAGGAACATGTCCGGACTATAACCACCTCCCTTCACATGGAACGGGTATCCATTGACGCTAAATCCAGTGTCATTATACGAGTTAAGCTTTGACGTAACGTGTCGAATACCGAATTGCGTTGGTGGCGCGATATCCGAGACCTCATTGTGACTAAGAGTGGTCTTAGCCTGAACCGTGTACAGTGGCTGCTCACCCCAGGCCGCGGGCCACCAGATTCTGGGGTTCTTCAGCAAAACATCCATCGAAACTGTCGCGCTTTTGTGTGGTTCTAATTTGAATTGCTTGGAAAACGCGACCGTCTGGGATGCATGACCCTGCGCCTGGACGGTACCGTGCACAACACCACTGGCCACGCGATTCTCGTGGTTCTTAATGTCTACCTTGATAGTGGCGGTGACATTCTCAGTATGTACACCAATGAAGTCTGTTAAGATCCGCGGCGATGACATGGACACCGGTCCTGTCTGCTTGAGTTCTACGTCCCGCCAGACTCCCGTTCCATTATCAGGCGGGTACGGGTTCCAGTCCACAAAGCCCTGGGCAAAGTCCCGGAGGTAATTTGTCGGATGAGCCTGGATCAGCAAGACATTTTTTCCAGTCCGGACAAAGGGCGTGATGTCATAGCGATGGCCACCGTACGATCCCTGTTGAGTGGAATTGGATGCAATTTGTTTTCCGTTAAAGTAAATATCCGCCTTGGAAGTTATACCGTGAGTGACGAGGAACATATGTTGTCCCTTGGGAGGTGTGGTAAGGCTGAGCTCCTCGCGATACAGCCACGGGGCGCGGAAGATGGTCTGGTCGACGGTTGCAAGATTATTGGAGTAGAGTAAGTGCGTGTCATTGTAAGCGCCATTTTGAATCAGCCCTGCCATGACAGTAGCCCGAGAGCCGATCCGATACCAGGAGCCCACATTGTGAGCCGTCGGAAGGGATAGCTCAGTCAGATTACTAGGTGCGTGAAGGGCAGACTGCAGATGCCATCCAGGAATCACAGCCGTGTCACCAGGGGAGGCGACAGAGGCTACGACGAATGGGAGCACAGCGAGTGCTGAGAGGAAACCTCGATGATGCATATTCCCTCAGGAGCCCCATGTGCTGTCTGTAGGTTGGGCGAAGATCGTGGGAAGCTGGAAGGTTGGGAGCGAGGAAATATATGCAAGGGCTAAAGTTACATGAAGGTTCAAGACACCCTTGTCGAGCAAATCTCCGAGCTTCGAAAACGACCACGATCCCCTGGAATGTAGGTGCACTGCATGGTTACATCGTGTTCGGGTCATCCCGAGAGATCGTCGGCAACGCGACATAGAGCATGTCACGATGCCGATAGAGCAATGGAACCGTGGATGAAGGCTCGGCCTCCTCCCGATAGTACCCGCGTGCCTGGACGCAATTCTGTCGCAATAGACAACGCCATTCTCTTCCTGTCAAAGTATCGTGGGGTAGTATTAGCCAAGACAAGCCAACGGAAATAAATATCTGGTGCAACGCTGCAGGTCCACAACTGTTCGTCACGGTCTCTCGGAGTTCAATGAATTGTGGGGTAATGATGGTGTATCTGATGCCTCAGCCAACCCTACCCCATCGTGAACGGTCCCTGTTTTATAACTGGGCTCACCCCCTCATCGTAGTGTTTTTTGTGCTCATGCCAGACTCCAGGCCACGATTGAGTTAGTCTCGACCAAGAGCTAAGTCGCCGCTAGTGAATTAGTCTAGCCCCAGGAGCCGTCTGGCGCCCGTGCAGGTCAGACGGATTCATGAAATGCCACCATTGGGGTTCTACGACAAATCGGCCACGAGTCACTGGTGGGGACCAACGTCTCCCAACGCAGAAAGGACTTGATCTTGCTTATCTGATTGGGTCCTTCGTTTGTAAATACTAGCATCTGACAGCGAGGCAACCAATTTTCGAGCATGTCTGGTGCCGGTTATAAAATAGCCCATGTTGCCCAGAGACCCGTCCGCCAGCTTTGGAATTGCCGCTCGATCTCGGTTGCTAATACAGTGGGCGCCCCTCCACCATGAACATCACCGAACAGTCGTACGACTATATCATCGTCGGCGCAGGAATTGGCGGTCTAGTATTGGCCTCCCGTCTCAGCGAAAATGCCAATACCAATGTTCTCCTCGTCGAAGCCGGGCCTAATCACATGGGAGACCCGCGCGTCGAAACCCCAGGCTTGCTGGGCGCCATGGTCGAAAATCCGGATTTCGACTGGGACTACTTGACCGAGCCACAGGTCAGTCAGGTTGGACATTGTCCAGACCATGGTGGTTGCTGACAAGCGCTCCAACCAGGTACATGCAAACAATCGTCAATTTGGCCAGCCACGGGGCCGGATGGTTGGTGGCTCCTCGGCCTTGAATTTCTCAGTGGTTATGTACCCATCACGCGCAAATTTCGAGGCGTGGGAATCCCTGGGCAACGATGGGTGGGGCCCAGATGTCATGGCTCCATATCTGCGTAAATTTCATACATACACGCCCCCGAGCGAGACCACCAGGGCATTCCTCTCTGTAGACAGGTACATGAAGCCAGAGAACCAGGGAAGTCAAGGGCCGGTTCCAATCTCTCACCTTGATATCTATACTCCGTTCAATCAGGCCTGGAATGAGACATTTGCCCGCTTGGGTTGGAACACTCATGCAGACCCAATCGCAGGCCGCAAAGTAGGACCCTTTACGCCGCCACTGTCCGTTGACGGGAAGACCGGCCAACGGGGATATGCTGGCGCTTACTACACCCAGGATGTCGCCGAGCGCAGAAACCTGCATCTGCTCGCTGAGACAATGGTAGAGCGAGTGATCTTGAAGAAATCTGACAATGGCCAGGTGGCCGCTACGGGAATTCAGATTCGGACCAAAGATGGTCAGCAACTCAAAATTTCTGCCACGCGTGAAATCATTATCAGTGCTGGAAGTCTGAATTCCCCACAACTCCTTGAGCTATCCGGTATTGGCGCAGCGGATCTGTTGCAGAAACACAATATCCCTGTAGTGCTCAACCTGCCTGCAGTCGGGGAAAATCTCCAGGATCATTGCATGGCAACCATCAACTTCGAAGTGGCAGACGGACAGACGTCCGCAGACATCGCGCGGGATCCAACGGTGGTCCAGGCTCTGATGGAGCTCTATGAAAAGACACGTACTGGTCCTATGACTGGCATCCCCGTTAGTGCGGCCTATTTACCCATGGTTGACCACGATGGACAAGTTCCCCGCGAGCAGATAGATAGTTTGTTGGCTCAGTATCTGGACGGCCCGCAGGCTGAACGAGTCTCGCCCGGGCGGCAGCAGCAATACAACATCCTGCGACAGATGCTTCGGGATGACCGGACAGGCTCCGCACAATACATGTTCCTCGGAGCACAACTCAATGCGAAGGAGGGGGTGAACACAATGAGCTATGTGCTGTCGAAGGACTTGCCCGAGAACTACATCAACATGTTGGTTCTACATAACCATCCCTTCTCACGGGGATCCATACATATCCAATCGCCAAACGCGGGCGATAAGCCTGTCTACGACCCCCAGTATCTATCTCATCCTTTAGATTTAGAGATCCTCGCCCGACACACTCAGTTCCTGGACAAGATTGTCAGTACTGAGCCGTTCAGCTCGTTACTCAAACCCGGCGCTCGGATACCTCAAGCGGCGATCGATCTGGCAGATCTGGGGAAGGTTAAGGAGGTAGTTAAAGATCGTCTATTCCACTGCTTCCATCCAGTGGGCACATGCGCGATGATGCCTGCAGAGTTAGACGGAGTAGTTGACAGCCAGCTAAAGGTTCATGGCACACACAATTTACGAGTGGTCGATGCCAGCATCTTTCCCCTGGAACCGTCGGGTAATATTCAAGCGACGACATATGCAGTCGCCGAGCGCGCGGCGGACCTTATCCGTGCCGCTGCGGAGCACTAGAACGAAGATCGGCGCCTGTGGCGTGGGGTTCATGGTTGTTTTGTTTCAAAGTCTCACTGGAATGTAGCCTTGCCCTATTTGTCAATCGATGTTTTACGTCGACAAACGCTTGGAGAGAACCACTTGTGCTCATTAAGCGGGGATGACATATAAATTGACCAAAAAGTCGTAAGCTTTGGGTAAATTGCTTTCAATGATCATTACGTCTGATACAGTGGGCTCAGCTCCATCATGCCTCGCATCGGCATCTGACGGCTGTTTCCACGCAACCACTGCATTCCTGTCACTGGAATGTCGGTTAAAACATTATAATAAGATCGACGGGCTCAAGGGACTCTTTCAGTGATTATGCCCTGCAGCTCTGTTGTCTGAAAATCAACTCACAATGCGAACACCATGGTGTGCCATCCTGGCGCTGCTTGCCGGCGTCCAGGCCATCGATATGAAAGTAGAGGATCCTGGTGAGATGCGCCAAAACCAGTGGGACTGGAGCACTGCTAACACAGGACAGAATCGGTGAAACAGGCCAGTTATGCGGTCGCTAATAACATGCTCTCTCACTACACTGGCATGAATCCAGGTACAGTGAATCTACGTTGCTATACGGTACGGGGTGTCCCAGACTGACAAGAAGCGGCGGGCTTCGACCCGTGTTTGCTACATGTACAGGCGGCACGCCCGGAGTCTTACCTCCTCCGTATTATTGGTGGGAGGCCGGTGCCATGTTCAATGCTCTGATTGATTACTGGTATTACACGGGCGACGACCGGTGGAACGACATGATCATGCAGGCTATGATCTGGCAAGCAGGTGGCGATGGGACATTTATGCCTCCCAATCAGACACACGCCGAGGGCAACGATGACCAGGCCTTCTGGGCCTTTGCTGCCATGTCGGCCGCTGAACGAAACTTTCCCAATCCGCCAGAAGGGCAACCAGGGTGGTTGGCCATGGCTCAGGGGGTGTTCAACACCCAAGCCCCGCGATGGAACACTGAGACCTGCGGTGGAGGTTTGAGGTGGCAAATTTTTAGCTTCAATAACGGATACCATTACAAAAACACCATCGCCAACGGTTGCTTTTTCAATCTAGCCGCGCGCTTGGCAAGATACACGGGGAATCAGACATACGCCGACTGGGCCGTTCGAGTATGGGACTGGACGGAATCGGTCGGCTTCATAACCGAAGATTATCTGTTCTTGGATGGGGCGGACGAACTCAAAAACTGTACAGAGTTCAACTACCTCCAGTGGACGTACAACTCCGGGGTGTATCTGTTTGGTGCCGCGAGCATGTATAACCTGGTAAGGGTGCCTCTTGGCGATATCGCGAGAAATCGGGCTAACTAGTCAGACTGATGGCGACCCCATCTGGAAAGAACGAACGCAGCGCATCCTTGACGCCACGAAGGTGTACTTCAAAAACGACGTGCTGTACGAACGAGCCTGTGAGCCCATAAATACTTGCGGGGTGGATCAGCGGTCGTTCAAGGGGTACCTGGCCCGGTGGATGGCAGCATCCGCTCAAGTCGCCCCGTTTATCCTTGACCAAGTGATGCCCAAGCTACGCACCTCAGCAAGTGCAGCCGCTCGAACGTGCACCGGGGGATCCGATCACGCCACGTGCGGTATGAAATGGACCTCAGGGCAATGGGACCAGAGTGACGACGTGGGCGTCCAGATGTCCGTACTGGAGGTGATGCAAGCGACCCTCGTGGGGGGCGTGGCTCCTCCGGTAACAGAGGACAACGGGGGTACCAGCAAGGGGAATCCTAGTGCCGGAGCCGAGGCAACAGGCCCGCAACCCCATAGCCGCCGAATGAGTACCAGCACGGCCAATCGGGCTGGCGCAGGCATTCTCACGATACTGCTGTCGATGCTGATCTTCTATACGGTTTGGTGGGGAATATACGAGTAGTACCTCACTGACTGCGCCGACTGTGAATATTTTCATGAGCCTGTCTGATGTTGACCATTCCCCTAAAACGGTTTAAATATGAGTGCAATCTTTACACCCCACCAAGCGTCGTAGTTACCGATCCACATCCGCGTAGCGACACCATTGGAGGAAAGGGTTGAAACTAAACGCGACTTGGCATGAACATTCGACTATGATTCGTAGCACTCGGAAATCCGGATATATGCTCAGCACAGCCTTGTTCTGCAGCTTATGCCAGACTCCACCTCACTGTGCGGGGAAGCTGAGGCACAATCGGACATTGCGGCGATATTCCGCTATTGCCATGCAGCATATATGGTCCCAGCACTCGCAAATGCTGCCGTATGTTGTCATTAAACGGTATCAGACCATCGTAATCCAATCGAATATTGTTCGGACAACACTCTGGTGATCATCACCATCCACAGCAAGAATGTCTGCCGAGGTGTCCTCTCATGATTTCCAGATTCCCTCCCACTGTAAGGCAGGCGTGGTCGTCAATGAAGGTCCAAACTTCGAGGTTAAGGTCGAGATGGTACCGGTCCCGGAGCCCGGTAAGCCGTATGCAACGCAAAAGGAAAATCAATAATAACCGCCTGTATTCCAGGTCCCGATGACATCCTGATCCGGTTGAACGTCACAGGTATCTGCTCCTCAGACCTCCATATGATGCAAGGCGACCTAGGCACTCCACCGATGTCAACGTTTGGCGTTCGCTCTCCAGGTCACGAGGGTGCCGGGATTGTAGTGAAAGTTGGCGCCAATGTGAAGAACTTCAAACTAGGCGATCGGGCGGGCATTAAACCACTTCTCGATACGTGCGGTGCGTGCGAGTTGTGCTGGGGAGATAAGGAGACGTATTGTCGCACCGCTATCCACGCTGGCTTGATGGCACCTGGTAGACCACCACCCTCCCTTTGCTAATAGCCTTATTCCATTGTTTCGCGAGGTCGGTCACTAACGGAATAGGGACCTATCAACAATATATTGTCTCTCCCGCCCGATATGCTACGCCCATCCCCGATGGGATTCCGGATGAGATTGCAGCCCCTATTATGTGCAGCGCATCCACCATCTATCGCTCTTTGACGGAATCCGCGCTGAAGCCGGGAAACTGGGCCGTGTTTCCTGGCGGTGGTGGTGGGGTGGGTATTCAGGGCGTGCAGCTCGCTAAGGCGATGGGTATGCGTCCAGTTGTCGTGGACGCAGGTGAATCGAAGAGGGCATTGGCTTTGGAGATGGGCGCAGAAGTCTTCGTCGATTTCATCGAAACGTCTGATCCTGCTGCGGCTGTGATTAAGGCAACCGATGGTGTAGGGGCGCATGGAGTATTCGTCACAGCTCCTGCGGCCTACCGAACAGCGTTATCATACGTGGGTAATCGTATTGGAGCGGTTGTCATGTGTATTGGACTAGGTCCGACGGGCGCAATGACGATCGGGGATGATCCCAATGCTTTTATCTTCAAGAATCTGACAGTCAAGGGGACCTTGGTAGGCAGTCGACAGGATACGGTAGCGGCATTAGACTTTGCTCGGCGGGGCAAGCTTCGGCAAATTTGCGAAGTCTATCCGATTGACCGATTGCCTGAAGCAGTAGAGAAGCTGCGAAAGGGGCAGGCCACGGGACGAATGGCGGTTGACTTCAACAAGTAGATCGCCTAGATGGAAACAATCCATGGGGAGAGATACGGAGGCGGTCAGAGTATTGCCGTCAACCTCATAACAATGGCCTCAGGCAGAGAGATATTCCCACTGCCACACAACTCGTGACTAGTTCATTATTGCTCATCTTGCGACGTATATTTATGAATAAAGCAATTATCTACTTGTTGGTTCAATTGTCTGGGTGGTCAATTTAGCAGGGACCGTTCATTTCTTTTTCATAGTAGTGAGTATTTAATTGAAATTGTCATTAGTACTATTCTGTTGCTGCTATATATATTTAGTCCGGTGTATTATCTTAACCGACACAGCCTACATACATCGTCCTTGTAGTAGCTCCACATTATCTTTACTACATAAACTCATCTTATTAAGAATATAACCGAGAGCCGGTACTGACAGGTCTGAGGACCCCCTTATTCTCGAGCCCCGCGACCAAAGAAGCCAGAGCATGGTCACATCCTCGCGCCATCTGCAACGCAACACTCACCGGTAAATACTCGGTCTGCAAAGAAATAGTACTATTGTATGGAGACTCTCCCACGGGTACAACAACCTCAGGTGTGCCACCAAATACTGCGATGCGCCCGATAGAGAATCCTAGTGGCGGTGTAGTGGGCGCATCATAGTATTGGTTACGATAGTCGGTCGTGCCGACCGAGTACACGCTGACGAAGAGCGACTTGGAGCAAGAGGCTTCATCGGACTGACCATATCCGGACTGTTCCCACCAGTTTCGGAAAGTAGTCATGTTGCGCAGGGCTACCTCATATGAGGCGTTTCCGCCATTGTCCTGGCCCCACTGCCAACGTGCTAATGGGCCAGGGTTGATGAAAGGCTGGCGACCACGGTGATGTGCTTTATAGTCTGCAAAGAGAGGGACGGCTAGGTGGTTGAACTGGCCCACGGAAGTAAGTGTGGCATAGGTCAAATTGAGCATCTCTTCCAGGCTGGGTGTGGCAGATGGCTGTGTGTCAAGCCATCGCTGCGACACGTCGACTTTGGTATGGTTGGTTCCGAGGAATACCTCAAGGCCACGTATGAAGGTAGTAAGACTTCGATGGGCTTCGGGAGTGATGCCTTTACCATCCCATCCACCGCCGGCCACGAGCAGCTGCCGGGGGTAGGACGTAACATTGTGCCGGAGATGAGGATACCAAGATTGCACAGTATGGGCCCATAGAGAGCCATTTCGGGCGAAGACGCCTGCTGTATCCAGCGGCGGGGAGAGAGGCAAGACATGATCCAGAGAGATAACACCGGTGGATGGCCTGTTGCCATAAACACCTTGCACGGCAGCTGGAGAACGCATTGAACCGCCAGTGTCACTACCCACAGTAAGGTCCAACCAGTCATACGCTGCAATAGCCGCACCGGAGCCGGAGGAGGAGCCGCTAGGTGCCTGATACCCATCTCCACGAGGATTGAAGGGACAGTGGAAGTCCACCCAGTCGGCAGTGGGCCGATCACCGTTCGCAAACTGAACAGTGCCAGTTTTACCGACGAAAACCGCGCCTAAGTCTAACAGTCTCTGAATAGATGGTGCCGTGTCATTTTGAGTTCCGTAGAGATAATAATAGGAGCGACTTCCGCCACTCGTCTTGAGACCCTTAACATGGAAGATATCCTTGACACCCAATCTCAAACCGGCCAATGGCTTCTCTTGAGTTGGTGTATAATAGAGACGTGAAGGCACGGCGACGTCCTTGGTCATCGCATTTTCTGTCACGGCTGGTAGGGGAAGCACGCCTCCCTTCTCGTCACTGATGGCGGCTTGGATGAAAGCTAGGTTGTCGTCAGGATACAGCCGGTACGCCCTAAACACATGTCCGGTATACAAGGAGACAAAATAGGGCCCATTCGGCAGCTCCTCCGTCAGCTGGGCGGTGATTGTGGAATTCGACGAAGCAGTGTGTATATTCGAATTCACCAGCAGCAATTCAGTGCCTGAAGGCTTGAGGATTGACGCATAATTACTCAGTTGGGAGTCAACGATTTCAGCAGTGGAGGCTGTGAGATAGACTGCACGCAGAAAAGTAGTCTGGAAGACATCATCACGCTCAACATAGTCCGATAGCAGCGACTCCAAGTTCGTGTCAGGAGTTACATGAATGACAGTTAATGGCACCAAATCTATGCCCTCTGTCAAAGAGGAGGCATTCGCAGAGGCATTGTACCCTTGCAAAGTCGAGACAGGAATACCGCTCACATAATAAGGAATTTCATTGAGAGACAGCGTCTGGCCATTGGGGACAGCAGCGCCGGTAACGACCGCCGCCAGCGAGAGAAGTGTACCAAGAAACATGAAGAATTAAGTCTGTCATCTTCATTTCGAATGGTGCCGATCTTCCTTTTTATATCATACTGAAGGTTTGGCATTAGTCACAAGCACGATGCTCGAGATAGGCAACTCTTAATAGTCCGATAACACTCTTATCGTGGCTGTGATAGCCCGACGCCAAGTAGGATCTAATCGTCTTGGCCGACTCCATCCATGATTTAGTGTCGGCATATCGCTCAATCATATTGATTGGGATATCCTAATGTTCCCGCGGGGTCCCTGTTACCCTTGTTATCGTCCGCTGTTCTCTCGGCAGACATAGCCGTTAGTTGATTTCAAATCGAGGCCGCGTCCTCCGGTCTTCGGATATTCCCCATGGGAAGTCTGCCCTCTTGTTGCTTCTTCCATGACATTTCGTTGTTCCGGTGAGTTGTCAAGTATAGGAAGACAAGAACATAATAGGGGGTGCTGAAGGAATCATTATAGGGAGTGGAGTGTTTTTTGACTCGTTCGGAGACATGAGCTTGTGAAAGGTGCGACCGATCTTTGACCCATGCTGGCTTAGATGATGTAACTCTCCAGTGCAACATCATTGGAGCGTTCTTTTCCCTTCCGTAAGCATAAAATGACTGTGGTAGTCAATTCTGAAAGGACGGGACTCAGCCATCCATCATGGGGCTAAGAGGTGTTTACAATATATCCGTCATCGAGAGACACAACAAGAAGAATACCTGGGCCTCTTTCAGGCTAGAAAGAGGATATTCCGCCGACCCTCCAGCTCACTTGAGTATGTTGACTGACTCCTGTGCGACATTGAGAAAGACCAACACCTGTGTTGAAAGAATATGTCCCTTGGAAGTTATGAGTATCACCCTATCCCAGAACATCCGAGTGAGGCTTTTCTGCTTAACTACACGTCAGGTAGTTTGTGCCATGGCTCAGTGTCCACGCATAGCTCTGTTATGGTTGAGCCACATGGAATCCACTTCAAATATACTGAGGTATAGCTAGAAACTGTTCAATAGTTTGGCATACCACATTTGAAATCGACAGAACTTTGACGTTAATCGAGTATCGTCAATTACGTCGAGACCGCATGCAAGGAACTGACACCTAGTTTTAGTTCTGGTCTGGACGCTTTGTTTAACTCGAAATAAGCTGAATGAATAAACTTAGCATCGTAACCGCGTCAGCCCCCTAAGATAGTGTACTATACTGTGAAGAATCTTGGATTGTAGGAGTGTTGAGAGGAGAATATGAAGCGTGCCAGCCAGCGCCTGGCGAAGGGCGGAACATACTTCCAGCCCAAAGCAGCGAGAGACCAGTCGACATGAAATATTCAAGAACCAAAGATCCAACATCAGAATTATCTTTCTCGAGCAACTGTCGACCTCCACACCTAATCCATCCCCTCTTAAGCAGGCTGCATCAACGACTTAGTCATATCAAGCTTAGAGACAGACACAATACCGTCCTCAACCAATTTCCCAAGAACACGCACCGTCCACCCCTGGCAATTCTCCTTCACTGCTCGGCGATTTACTGCATATGGCGGAATTTCCTGATCGGCAATAGTCTTCACCACCATAGCCTGCGCCTCAGTCACAGAAGCGAGCTGATATAAGGTCAGAAACAACTCAGAGCTAGTGATATCGACTTCCCCATCTGAGGGCTCGGAAATCATGTGTTCTGCATCACCGGTAACTTGATATAACCAGCCTGGTTCATTTTCGCGGGCTACGAAGAGGGACCAGCGGAGAGGCTCATCTGGACCTTGTCTTTCGTGGACAAGTGAGAGATATAGAGGTTGTGGTGGTAGAGGTGGTAGAGAAGTAGTACATTGTGATATTGGCTTGACAAAAAATAAAATAAACTCCAACCCTGATAAGGTTATGGAGAATTCATGGCACACTAATCGCTCAATTTCAGACCACCCTTTCAACCTCGCACATCAATCCCAATGGACTTTTGTTCTTCCTTAATCGAATCCATGATAATGTCGATATTTTTCTCGGTGGATTCCCATTCCTTCTCTATAAGACTGCGAGCATTCTCATTGCGCGGTTCAAATACTGCTTCAAACGGGGCGGGCGCGGATACGAATGCCGAACCAAAATCCATATCATCCACAGTTTTAGATTTACCGTCCGGTCCAACTGGTGGCTGTACATCAAAACCCCATAGAATGCGTGCCACAAGCACGAATAGGGAGTTGCGCGCAATATGCCTCCCAGTGCAGATCCGCCGCCCGTATCCGAAGAAGTTGGTGAATCGATCATTATCGGACCCTGCTAGCCATCGCTCTGGGCGGAACTCCGGCGGATTATCAAACTGGTGTTCATCAAGACTCATAGACCAATGTAAGGGGACTATCGTTGCGTCCTTAGGGATCCGGTAGCCGATATACGTGTCCTCCTTCCTAGCAGCATGCGGTACTCCCCCGGGCACAATGGACCGCCAACGGAGAGTCTCTTCCACTACCGCACAGATGTATGGCAGATCGTCTTTGTCTGATAATGTTGGAAGACGGTCAGAACCGACTACACGATCGATCTCACGTTGGGCTACGGCGATAAAGCGCGGATACGCCTGAGTAGCAAGGACGAAGACCTTCATGACAGTCGAGGTCGTCTCGAGACCGGCCTCTGTCAGGATGCCAAGATCGTACGCAAGCTCCAATGGTGGCATCAGCTGCCCTTGTTTCGAAACAGAAAATTCCTTAGACCAGTTCCATGCGGGGCTCTTCAGACCTTTATTCATGTTCCGCATATGGAGGCTCGACTCAATCTGGAACAATTCTTCACCAATCCGCTTCCACGGTGCCAAGAACATTGGCAAGGAATTAAGCATAGGTATCGCATCCACAGCCCAGGTTCCAACACGAGATGCATATGTGAAGTTATGTAAGATGCGACGCGCATCTTCCACATCTTGTTCATTCCCTGTCTTGACGCGAAATCCATATGTCAAGGAGTAAAGCAGACTGATGCTATATCGCTCCAGATGAAGAGAGAAGTCATTGGACGAGAGAAGCTCGTGCAAAAGCTGCTTACTCTCCAAATCCTGAATAGGATAATAGGTGGAAGACGCCCGCGGACTAAGCACGGGGGCCTCCATTCGCTGATGTAATCGGAAACGGTCGTCGTACTGCCGCAGCAGAATATGCATACCCTTCACGAGGTTATCGTCTGCCATGACCAGCTTGGGCCGATTGCTGTACAGGCTGCCTCGCTTATCGAGCAGCTCTCGGGCAATCGTGGTGTCTGCGATCAATATAATGGTCTGTCGCCCGAACTGTGCGCTCATGATTGGACCATATTTCTTGCTCCATTGATGGAAGGTGCGCCATGGCAATACTTGTGGTACCTGGTGGATATTGCCAATGAAGGGTAGACGTCTTGGGCCAGGAGGGAGGCGACGGTCGCGATAATATTCATATAAGAGGCGAAGGGCCAATAACGCAAGAAAGCTGTTCAGTATGCCAAACTCCATTATAGTGGCTTGGATAAGCTTCTCCCGGGTAAAAATATTGTGAACGAAAACATTTCGAACTCTGCACTGGAGCAGCTGAGAAGACTGATTTATGGCTTCGCTTTCGCTTCCACCAGTGAAGAAGGATGTTATCGTAAGCCATATCGTTGGTGCATTCCTAGGTTGCCCCTCAAGATCTACAGTGTGAAGAGCGCTTTGGCCTTTTATGAATTGAAGCTGTTATCCAAACAGCGACGACCGATCGGCAATTGTCACCATCGCTTAACCGACCTCACGGCACTTGCTGCATCTAGAGCTAATGAAATGCGACTATCTTACATCCACACTGAAAGCTGCATAACCGTCAAGGCGATTTGAGTGGTCTATCGTGAAGAACTGAGGGCTGGGGCAAATTTAGTTCGTTTAGACTTGCATTAGTTCCTCTGTGGCGGGCTGAAGGTTGACGTATGAGGGTACTATATGGGAAGGCGACACGACTATAGCTGCCTCTTCACGACGAGTACAGGGAGGCATTACCGAAAGTACGCCATTATCAGTATAACATTAGCTGACCCTCACGGTGGTATTGCTACGACTAGAATAATGCATCTCGTGATACAATAGGTCATAGGATTATCATACCACACCCCATAGGACTGATTTCTACGGATTTACCAAGAGCTTTCTAACAAGCAACCAGCCAAGTTCTTTAAACGACCCTTATTATCTCGTGGATCGGGCTGTAAGTAGAACCCTCCTATTGAAAGTATGACATTCCCCTCTGGACTAGTCAAAAGACTAAAGAGTGGACATATACTCCCAGGGAAGCCACTTATAACCTCGTATGGCTTAGTCATGATAGCGAAGCACATGGCCTGCTGTTCTATCTAACATCTGCTGACCGTTAAACCCTAGGGGCGTCGTAGTCAAGTCATTCATTGTTCTAATCTATATAGGTATCCTTTACTAAACAATATATATCCTGAATCACACATCTACAGAGTCAAGCGCAAGGATCTAAATAAATCGGAGCCGTTTTGCAGTGATCAAACCCAGAAAGATCAAACCCAAAATCACACCTAAGATACCATACCACCAATTGACGGGTGGGGAGTCCACATCCTCCGGAGTGTTGCCCGGGACAGTTACATTCATACCAAAGAGACCGATGAGAAACTGCATTGGCACAATGATCCCGCCAATGACCGTCAGCCGGCTAAGAGTCGCCGCAATGTCATTTCGCATGCGCGTCGAATCGAACGCCAGCTGACTCAGATATTTCTCCTGTGCCCGTGACAGCATCTGCTCCGCATTGTACAGATCGGCCATCATGGAAAGCACGTGGTCACGGATGTCACCGAGATAGAGAGTGACGTCCATGGTGGAGGGACCAAACGAGCCGCAGTGGCGATCGAAGCAGCGGATGACGTCGGTCTTGTCGTTCATCAGTTGGCGAATTTGCAAGACTTCTCTACGATATCGATGAATCCGTTGAAGTGCTAGACCGATGTCATCCGGTCGGGTTATGGAAACATCATCTTCGATCAATTCAACGCCGGCTTGGACGCGATTGATAAAAGGCGCGAAGCCGTCAACGATGTCATCGCTGGGGGAGATTAGCATGTTAAGCCAGAAGTTTGAGTCACAATTCGGTGCACATACATGAGGGCATAGGAGATCCAGTCACTGGTCAGTGCTAGATGGCTCCGGTGCTCCTTGACCCGATTTCGGACATGACCCCCGTGGGGACTGTTGCCGAAATTGAAGCTGAGGACACCCTCACGGAAAACGATAGCGTACACATTGGGAGAAGAAGATCGAGTGCCATCGACCGCCTCAACTTGCCGGGCCGGCTGCAGGGAAAGAAAGTAATACCGGCCGAACAGTTCGATCTTCTCTCGCGACTCTCGCATTTTGATGTCCTCGGTCGTGAGCGGATGGATGTCAAAGATCTGCGAGAGTGTTTCGATATCATCATCGGAAGGGCAGGTTACATCGAGCCACCATAGCCCAGAATGTTCCGTGGTGTCTAGCAGCGTTTCAAAGGGCTTATAGAACGACCGCAAGGACTGGATCGTGGACGAATGGATAACAGAATCCAGCTGCGATGTAAAGAAGCTGAACTGTGTCGCAGGAGCAGCCCCTCTATCATCATAGAAAGACATCTTGCGGTCCTTGAATTCATCAACTTCATCAGGACCACTGCCGTCGGGGCCCGAGACTGTAGGGTCATCTATACATGGGCTGACATCTGGGCGCTCACCAGGAGCGCCGTCCAGGTGGATGTCCGCCACCACACCCATGTTTACTCAAGAGGCAGCAAAGCTTGTACAGGGGAGCATGTGAGCTGTAAATTCACCGATAGGCCGTACACCATCCTGACGTGTCTTGCAATGGGTGGTTGGAAACCCAAAAATGTTGGACCAAACGGGGCAGAATATGAGGGATAAAAACGTTATGTAGGGGATGAGCTAATCGGTCACCGCTGATGTGTGTCCTTCTGCCGGCAGAACACAAGCCTGAGCTAAGCCTGCAGATGCAGGGCATTGGACGGACTTTCAGTGGTTGATTGTGTCTGGCGGTGAGGATTACGGGGGCTGTGTTGATGCCAAGAGCATGACGTGAAAAGTTTTCGCTATAACCAGACGATCATTGGGTCAAAGAAAATGCTTCTAGTGGAGTTACATCGCCCATTGTGACATTATCATCTTGCGACCCATTCGAGTCTATTGAACCTAGCATCTTTTGAGTTCAATCCTTCAACTTTCAAGGGCTTGTCGTAACCCGTGACACCCATGTGCCCCTCCTGGCATGCAGCCTGAGGCACCTACCAACTTCCACCAGAAGCGGTCTAGCTCCTTCGGACGTTCACCAATCAACTTCGTTATCAAAAAAAGAACTGCTCTGAATCGACATCATTTCCAACGGAATGAGATAGCGATCGGACCCTGCATATCCGCGGGGTGATCCTTCTCATTTCTACCCTGGTCAAGTATGTGGGGAATTAAAGACCCAGAAAGGAAGCTAGTGGTGAAGATTGACTTCTTCATTCTATCGTTCTGCTGCGTGACATATTTCTTCAACTACTTAGACCGCTCCAATCTATCCAATGCCTATGTCTCGGGCATGAAAGAGGAGTTGTCCTTCCATGGCAACCAACTCAATGTGATCAATACCGTCTTTACGGTGGGATACATCATAGGCCAGGTCCCATCCAACTTGGCCTTGACATACTTCCGCCCGCGGATCTTCTTTCCCGCCATGGTCCTGTTTTGGGGTGCTTTGACTATGGTGACGGCAGCAGTACATAATCCCCAGGGAATCATGGCCATTCGATTCTTCCTTGGACTGGCCGAAGCGAGCACCTTCTCGGGAACTCATTATATTCTCGGTTCATGGTATACTGAGCGGGAACTCGGCAAACGCAGCGGCATCTTTACAGCCTCGGGGCTGGCAGGAACAATGTTCGGTGGGTTTATTCAAACCGGCATTCATTCCTCCCTGGATGGTGTCAGGGGCCTATCCGGGTGGCGATGGCTCTTTATCGTAAGTACTGTGGCTTGCACCTCATGATACGGAAAGCATGTTAACATCAACCAGATAGATGGCTTAATCACCCTGCCCATAGCCATCTATGGCCTACTATTATTCCCCGATACGCCCACCACCACAACAGCTCCCTACCTAACAGCAGCAGAAAAGGAGCTGGCAGTGTCACGTCTGCCCACAGTCAATGCCAACCGTGCACCCGTGAACCGTGCCTTCCTCAAACGACTCTTCACCACATGGTACTGGTGGGGATTCGTCATCCTATGGGTCATCGCCGGAGAGACGGAATCCTTCTCCTCGAACTCTCTCTTAGCTTTGTATATGAAAGCCCACCCTACCATCCACTATTCGGTGTCCCAGTTAAACAATTACCCGACGGGTGTCCCAGCCGTCGGCATCGTCTCGACTCTCTTCTGGGCGACACTCACAGATATCCTCCAAGGAAAGCGATACCTAGTGAGCTACTTCATCGGCATCACCGGTGTAGTTACTTCTGTCTTGATCCTGACCCGCTTCGACTCAACAGCAACCGTGTTTGGGGCGTACTACTGGGCCGGAGCCGTGTATGCATGCCAGGCTACGTTCTTCGCCTGGTGTAATGATGCGATGCGATCGCAAGATGCACGACAGCGGTCCGTGGTGATCGCCAGCATGAATATGGGCAATAATGCTGTCAATGCCTGGTGGAGTATTATTTTCTATTCGGCGAATCTAGCGCCACGGTTCACGCGGGGAATGTGGGCGATGATCGGGTGCTCGATTGCGTTGGTTCTCTGGACGACGGGGATTGTATGGAGGACAGCCAAGGAGGAGAGACAAGCGGTTAGGATAGAAGAGCCAGAGAGGGTGGGCATTAAGGACAATTGAAGACCCAATTGTTTCACTCAATATAAGATACCGTTCATCGTGCGAACATAAATCTACGACGTATCTAATGTCTCTTTGAAGGATCTACAAAGTCTATCTGTACCACTGTATCTATGCAGTTTCGCCAGAACCACTGTTAGATGCAGCCCACTTCGCCCTCTGAATAACATCCTCCCAAATTGGTGGCCTCTCACGCAAGTCTGCCCCGAGCTCCTCGGCCTCCAATCCCCACTGCAACAACTGTTCTTCGCTACCCCATTCTCCATTCCCCATTAGCCCCACCGGAATCGTTCCCTCGTTGCTATGTTTACCCTCCGGATCGGCATATCCCGCCGGAACACTAATCGCAGGAATACCAGTAAAGTTTGCCAGCCAGACGTACTCCATGGCCTTCAGCGTGCGGTCGCCATCACTAAGTCCCCATTTTAACTCCGACTTGGAGACAATGGGCCAACCCGCACATGCAGTAGTAGGAGTCACGATGATCATGCCAGGGAATTCTTCCCAGAGGGCGGCAAGATGCTCCATCAGAAGGCGACGAAGTTTCTGCGCGAGAAGATAGTCAGTAGCGGGTGTCGTACGGCCTAGAGTCAGGAGAATGCGATTGGGAGCAGTGATGTTGGTGGTATCCGGGAGAAGAGCCGCAGCATCAGTTAAGATGGTCATGGCGTGGGCTGTCTGGCCCTCGATGAGGAAGGGGATGTCGATTGGCACAACGGAGTAATCTTTCTCAGTGACAAGCTTGTCCAGCAGGGAGCGGCATAGACGTTGGACGTCCGGGGTCGCTCGGGAGAACCACATTTCTGGGACACCGAGGATCTTCTTTCCTCTGGTCGACGGATACAATGAGAGCGGGCCTGGAGCTGGGAATGGTGTATCTGGACCTGGCTTGGCGAAAACGTGATACGCTTCAGCGAGAGAGCGGATGTCTGCAGCGAGGGGCCCAATCACACTGGTGGTACTGGCGTAGTTGACGCTTGGATAATGCGAAAGTCGGTTATGAGTCGGCTTTAGCCCCACGACGGAGCAGAACGACGATGGGATACGGACACTTCCTCCACCATCTGTACCTAGAGCGATGGGGACTAGGCCTGTGCTAACGGCGTATGCACAGCCGGAGGAACTTCCGCCGGTGTAGTAGTCCGGGTGATATGGGTTTGGCGGAGTGCCGTAGTGAATATTGTTTCCAGTTGTATCTGATCCGGTGTTAGTATACAACGACGATGAGGTGCCAAATTCATACCAAGCCCGAACTCATGCATCGAGACCTTTCCCACTACGATCGCTCCAGCTTTCTCCAGCTGTCTAATACACCAATTGGTAATGGACGGATCGCCCGATTTTGGGTCAAGCGTGTAATCATTCAGCGAGCCAATATTAGTACGGTACCCATCGAGGTCGAATTCATCTTTCACTGCGGCAGGAACACCATCGAACAAGCCGAGCGGTCGCCCTTCTCTGTAACGACGGGTAGACGCCTCGGCTGCAGCAAGAACAAAGTCGACTCGACTGTCAATAAATGCAATGGAATGTTTACCAGGCGTGGACAAATCGCGACGGATTAACGGGAGGAGTCCCTTGACGACCGCAGTAGGTGTCAAGTCTCCCGATTTGTAAAGCTCATGGTAATCCGCGACCGAGTAATACTTAGTAGGATATGTCACTGCAGGTGCCGATACCGTGTTCACGACAGAACCATCGGTATTTTCTTCACTACCACCCTTCACAGGGACAACAGTTGGGTCATAACGAGGCTCAATGTAATCCAGGTGGGACCGGATCGCCCGGAGAGACCCAAATCCCGCGTTCGACCAGATTATCTGTGGTAGGAACCACAACCAGTCCAGCCTATTGATGATTAGTTCCTATGCTACGGTGGGTACAGGGGCACTGCCTCTGTTCGATGTAACATACAACCACGCCCCAACATTTAGAATGACGCCGCGGAGTGCCGGGTTGGGCTTCCGGTCATAAGTGGGTGGAAGATCAGGCCTGACGAGGAGTACGGTTAATATTCCAGTCCATTGCCAAGAGAAGGCTAGAAGGTGCGCTCACCCCTTTCTGGGCTCCGGATAATCTTTGAATTGGTGTTGTTTGGAGCCAGCCATGGTACTGTGTTGAATGCTTTGATCGCGCAAGGAGTGAAAGACAATGAATCACAGGAAAACAATCGGCGTAGGTGACATTCCTCGGATGATCATCACCCGGTGGGCCTGGTATACCCATCGAAATACCGTAATTTAACCCGCTTTTGCTCCATAATTAGTGGAAATTAACCTGATTATTACCGACCCTGAACACTGTATTGAGCTTTGTTCCCAATCACAAGGAGGGCAAGGGTACGCAAGGGTGTACCCTAACTGGTTACAACTGGAATTCATGAAGTGCCATTTCTATCCTAACCAATTCCCAATATACAACCCGCATCATAGCTTCATCAATCTTAATTCATTGTTCGAATCTCTGTAAATGCCATTTCGATCTTGGAACTGTAAAGCGGCCGGGGAATCTCCAATATGACCACTATTTAGAGAAATCAACCGTGCCTTTGTACATTAGACAATGCCTTCTCTTCTAAAGCAAAAACCGGAAGCCCCGGTTGACGACCAACTCAGACACATCATGTCCTCCACTACTAGTAGGACCGGCAGACGGGGGCAAATCAGCACCCTCCTCTTGATCGAGCTTCTTGTTCAATCTCCCGAGATAAATGCGAAGGATAGTCGAAAATATGATCGTCATACTGCACATCCCGATATTGACACTGAAAGCGGTAATATATCGAGGCGCGGCCGAATCTTTGCATATGGCGGTTAGCAATCGCCTACATATGATTGTCCTTTCTGACTAGGGATCCTACCAGGGTAAAGGTAAGGCGTGTAGATTTGGGCCACGTTACTGAGACAGTTGATAAAGGCCAAAGCAGCTGCACGTTTGGAGGCGGGGCGCGGCAGAACTAATTTCGTTATTATTAGTTCAGTCAATTGCAAGATCGCAAAAGGATGCTCGTACTGTTTGAAATGTATCCGAGGGCAACAACGTAGCTGGCATAAATACTACCTAGCATGATGCACATTGCGCTTTAGGCCTCTGTTAATAGCTGCTCAAGTAATTCACAAATTATGCGGACTTACACATAACGAGCGGCAAAGTTGTTTCCTGCCATATATAGGATGAAGGATACAATAGCAAAAATTGGTGGAAGGCAAAGATGAAGGTATCGTTCTCCTGTACGGTCTGCATTCCAAGCATGGATCAACACAATAATTGTGCCTATGAGATACGGTGGGGTCATCAGGAGTAGAGTATCAATGTTGTTCTTGCCAAGTCCAGACATCACACTTGAGGAAGTAAGTTTCAATGTTCATACCAAGAGTTATAGAGCTATTCAAGAGAGGATCTTTTACCTTGGGAAGAAAGTGGTTACAGCACCAGATGATGTACAACCGTAGATGACGCCAAGCAGTAGCCAGGTTTTTGGGTCCCTGAATAAACAGAGTTAGTCTAATAGCGAAGCTCCAGGATAAGCGATTGATCTTACAAGATAGCAATTTTTGCACCGTGGAATATGCTTTGATGCTCACTATCCACCCAGTCATCTTCGCCGATATCTTCTTCTAGTCTCCAGGCCGCAAGCACTTTCTCATCTTCACTTAACCAGGGTGTAGTCCTGGGAAGATCTGGAACGATAAAGAAAGCGAATAAAGCCACAAAAATCTAATAAAATTAGTACTAATATTGGCTCCACTAACGTAGCGGCACATACCGTCAGTGAGCCCTCTATAATAAAAAGCCATCTCCATGCTGCGATACCTCGGGCGCCATTCAAGCCGCTTGTAATACCAGCGGAGATTAAGCCTGAGAATGCGCCTGAAATCAATGATCCGGCGTATAGTAGGGCGGTCCGTTTAACCAATTCCTTCCTTGTATACCACGCTGATAGGAGATAGAGACAGCCGGGCTGGTGTATATTAGCAATGTAGGGCGACCCGTAAGCGGGAGCCAGTGTTTTCTCACAAAATAAGCTGCCTCAACAAACCCAAGGAAGAATCGGACCGCTAGCAAGCCCCCGAAGTCCTTCGTGACTGCAGTCAAACACGAGATGACACCCCATACAACCATGCAGCCTGGCAGGTAAATCGAAGGTTTGCCGAATTTGTTGAGAATCATGTTCGAAGGCACTACTGTAATTAGCCCTTGTTATTCCCGACAAGGTCGCAAAACTTAAGATTTACCTTGCATCAGGAGATATCCGACAAACAAGATACTAACGCAGACCTTTGAGTTGCGGTCAGTTGTTGAGGTGAATTTCAGTCCTTGTTCCGCTAAAATTGTCTTACCTGGTATTGTTCCCCTTTGAGGTTTAGGTCATCTTGCAGTCCAGCCAACTTTGCCGCTGCAATGTTGTTGCGATCCAAGTAGTTGAGGATATACATAACCAACATGATTATCAATAGTCGGGTGTCAATTTTCCTGACCAGTGTTTTTTCCCGTTGCCTTCTCTCTTCTGGAGACCAATCAATCAAGGCCGTCGGTATTGACCCCTGGTTTTGGTCCTTGGGGTTGTCCACGACATATTGCTCGATGTGATGGGTTCCGGAGTCCTTGGTACCATCCATAACTTAGGATTATAATTTTTGGTTCAAGTCAGGATATACAAAAGGAAGAGAGAGAGAGAGCCAAGAGACTTCAACTTCCGAGGGAATTGGCGGGGTGGGAAATCCACAAACAGCAGACCAAAGCGACCCATTTAAAGTTGCTGGGCATGGCCAAGCTTTGTGCTTCAAATCTCTGGGGTAAGCAAAGATTCCCCATGGGGTAAGCGATTGGCTCAAAGAAAGACAAGACCAGTAGTTTTCCAAGGATTGAAAGTCTATACTGCATATCCGAGTAGATGCCCCGCAGAGGACGGAAAAGTCCATGGATCCGATATGACCGCGCTAGGAAAAAGAGGTGCCAATCAATTCATCTGCGGCATCAATCACTTACTCACCTGGGAAATAGGGTGAAGTTTGTTTGTCCAAATTTCCCACATCTGCTTGCTGGAGGGTTTTATCCGCTATGGCTAGAAACCTCAAACCCCCGCATACACTAAATCAATTGTTAACTAGCCCTAGACCTCATTAAGTGGACATGTCATATTGGCGACCTCAACACGAGTTTTGGTAACCCCCTTGCATTCTGCATATCGGTTCAAGCTACATTTCTGGAAGAGTTAATCTAACAATATGAACAACTTCTATGACAAATCCTAAATATCATAATTTTGATGAGAAGCAGAGAAGAGACTCTATGTTGGTGTATATGCCCATTGGGTCCACGTTGAAAAGGAAAAAAGGCACGATTTCAAGGGCTGGCAAGCTTCTTCTGCTCCGCAGCCCAGGCCAGTGCACTTTCACGAGCGCTGGCCTCACCCACTTCGCCAAAGATATCAACGCCTAGTCTCGCGGGGAAGTTCATGCGTTGGTGCTTCTCCAGGCTCTGTATAGCTTCGAAAGCGTCCTCGGGGAGTATGAAGTCTGATGCAGATGGCGTATTAGCTCAGGTTATGGAGATATTCGGGAAGACTGAGCAATTTGATGTGTGAGATCTTACCATCGAAGTTGCTCCGGATTCTCTCGGGCGTAATGGACTTGGGAAGAACCACCGTCCCGCGTTGAACCGCCCAGCTGATCAACACTTGCGCCGGTGTTTTACCCAGTTGACGGGCAACTTCAATTACCAAGTCATCGTCAACAGCACTACAACAATTATATGAGCAAATGAGCACCTTTTGTCTTCATGTACGTGTGCCGACGCACCGAGGAATATTGTAAATATTGTTTCCAAGAGGAGAATAACCTGTAATGACGATTTGCTGCAACAAACATCAGGATCAGGACCGGCGTCACAGTTACGTCCGAATGTGTCATGTTCAGAGGGGGCAACGTACATTGTCCTTAGACCACTGAAGCAATTCTCGTTGCTGAAGGTAAGGATGGGCTTCAATTTGGTTCACAGCAGGCCGAATTCTGGCACTAGAATCAGGTCAGCTTCCGGAAGAGTGCTTCAGTCTGGACAATGCCACATGCGTCTTGAACAATTCCTCTATCTTCGCCTGGGTGAAGTTGCTAACCCCGATTGTCCGAATCTTTCCTTGCTCCACAAGTCGTTCCATCGCTGCCCACGTGTCCTTGATAGGTACATCAATAACGTCGATGAGGCCTGTCTTGGCATCCACCGGCTGAATGGTTTCATTGGAGTGTCGGAACGCTACCGGCCAGTGAATCTGCATCACACGGTTGATCGAATCAGTAACAATTTCGAGGAGAAACAGAGCACAATGTAACTTGCCAGGTATAGATCAAGGTAATCAGTTTGCAGATCAGCGAGTGATTTATTCACTGCTTCCTCGACATGTTCAGGTTCGTGGTGGGTGTTCCATAGCTTGCTGGTTAACTACACAGTCGAATCCGATGGTTCAGTATGCTGTATGGGATACTTCTAGGAGAAAAAGTGTACAACTGTGGGCATCCATACGAATATTTCACTACGCGGGACTCCCGACGTCTTGATGCCGTCTCCAACTTGCTTTTCGTTGCCGTACACAGCAGCCGCGTCGATGTGTCGGTAGCCTGCTTCCAGAGCTGTCTTCACCGCTTGACAGACCTCATCATTCTTCGATTGCTGGAGAGATCCCAATGTAAGCCATGGTTAGAAGGAAATACTCTCCTGCGTCTTGTACATACCCATGTACCCAGGCCAACGACGGGCATGCTGTACCCGCTACTCAACTTGAAGCTCCGACCTGACGCCATTGTTGCACAAAACGATGATTCGATAATGAAAGGGTAGGCTTAGGAAGTATTTGTGTATCTGGCTAGAGGAAATATTCAAAACATCAAAGTCTCTAAGTATGAATGCGTCAAGAGATCGATTTCCTTGATCACAAATTGAACCAGCCTCGACTCGGATAAGTGACCGGAAACCGAAAGTATGGAAATGTTTCCTGAGATGGTAATCCGAAAATATCTTATGATGTTGACTGACAATCTAGACATTTCTAGATTTCGTCTTATATTTACACATATAACTACTAAGAATACCAATTCAATGAAAAAAAAAATTGATAGAGATATAACACTTTAAGATGTACCGAATACTAGATCCTCTATGCCTAAGGCACCACTCGGCTTACCCGGGAGGCCGAAATCAGGGTAGGTTCAGGTCGGGTGCAAGTCAGCCTGTCAACAACCCTAATAGCTTCCTAGTATATTTCCATGAAGATCCCACTTTTCCGGTATTACGACAATTGTGACAGTTCGCAACTTGTCAGAAGTGACATTCGAAGCTCTTTTCCGAAATGCGATCGCGTCCGCAAGTACTGGCTGTGACGGAAAATATTCCAGGCCACTTGCGTTCGTATGGTCTTCACTTTATTGAAGTGGCCGAGTGTTGCCATCAGAGGATGGGCTTTTGATTCCCCATTTAACTTAGCGAAAACCCGAGGTCAAGTTTGGTGGTTCCCTAGTCAATTTTACATGCGGATGAGAACCCTCAATTCCTAACGCTCCTCAACTATTCGTAAGGAAGGCAACAACACAATGGCTCCAATCAAGCAAATCGAATATTTTAGAGTGCCTCCGCGATGGCTTTTTGTCAAAATCACAGACTCCGAGGGCAATTTCGGCTGGGGTGAAGCTTCGCTAGAGGGTCATACAGAAGCAGTTGAAGGCTGTCTCGATGCCTTTGTCGAGCGATTTGTGGGCTTGGATGCCAAGTATGAACCATTTGCGATTCTCTTTTCCCTCTCCTTGAATGTGTACTGAAGTCATGCTTCAGTGACATTGAGCATATATGGCAGAATGGCTATCGTATGGGCTTCTACCGTGGCGGCCCAATCCTAATGAGTGCTCTATCTGGCATCGATATCGCATTATGGGATTTGAAGGGTGAGTCTGAGCAAACAGCTATAAACCGGTATGGTGGGTTGATTTCCGCTCATTCTTTTTCCAGCTTCACGTTTTGGTGTGCCGATATATGAGCTACTTGGTGGGAAAGTCCGTGACAAGCTGCGGGTTTATGCTTGGATAGGCGGGGATCGCCCGGGAGATGTCGAGGAACAAGCGTAGGACATGACACTCCAATTGCCCTTTGTAATTTCATGTGAACTGATAATTCTTTCGCGTGCCAGTCGCGGTCGCATAGCGCAGGGATTCAAGGCCGTTAAAATGAACGCGACAGAAGATCTTGGTTGGCTGGACTCGCCCGCCGCGCTCAACGCATCAGTAGAGCGTCTAAAGACTGTCAAGTCTCTCGGATTAGATGCTGGGGTGGACTTCCACGGCCGGCTGCACAAGGCAATGGCCATTCAGCTTGCACATAAGCTCGCTTCGCACGAGCCGTTGTTTATTGAGGAGCCCCTGCTCTCCGAGCATCCAGAGTCTGTGGCTGCTTTGTCCAAATTGGTCCCCATTCCTATTGCCCTTGGAGAGCGTCTACACTCGCGTTGGGATGTCAAGCCATTTTTAGAATCGGCATCGGTCAGTATTCTTCAACCGGATATTAGTCACGTTGGAGGTATTTCCGAGCTGCGTCGTATTGCCGTCATGGGTGAAGCATACGATGTGGCTTTGGCACCGCATTGCCCTCTCGGCCCGATTGCCCTCGCTGCGAATATTCAGGTGGATGCCGTGTCGGCTAATTTTGCGATTCAAGAAATGAGCTTGGGCATCCACTATAATCATGGCTCGGCAGATATCGGCACCTATATCAAGAACCCCAACGTTTGGACGGTAAACGACGGCATGCTGGATCTTATGCGGGGCCCCGGGCTAGGCATAGAGATTGACGAGGAAAAGGTTAGAGCTGCAGCAGTCGACGCCAAAGCCTGGAGAAGCCCCTACTTCGAAGGTCCAGGTGGGGAGTGGAGAGAGTGGTAAGATGTATCTTCTAGTCACGTAGAGTGTTGATTTTTAGATGTCTACTACTTAAAGTCCTAAGATCATGATATAGAATTTTTGCATATTTCTATATATCTAGAATTATATATCAATAGAACAGTGATTCGATATAGCTAAGGCTGTATCTAAAGCTATACGTTCCACAAGACCAAAAGATCACGTAAACCTGTATCTATGATCCGGATTGCCCTGGGTTGCACCTTTGCACTGCTTACCGTCGTTACAATATACATAGCTATATGTATAGCATGTTATGTGTACGAAGGTAGATCTTTGCAAGGCTTTATTTCGTATGGCTAATTCTACACATTCAATTTACATTATTATGTATTCTTTGCCATCATAGATTTATATGTGCGATTGATTCAACCTCCTGCCCAGGCTCTCAATTCGGGGGATATTACCACATACTTCTCAATAGTGCAGGATAGATTTATTGTGTCTGGCAAATCTGGGTTCCCAGACTAGGAACCTGTCGATTCCTCGGCTGTTGTAGTGCTGGGGGAATCTGATCTCTCATAGTTGGAGCATTAGATGATTGTTTAGAGCCATGGAACCTTATTTGTATTCTATAGTACTGACCTCCGTGGCTAAACTGAACGACAGCTAAAGGTTCTTTAATGTTTTGTTATGCTTGCGGAACTCATTGTGGATTCCCATACCCACTTCGACCTGATCCACATTGTCTGTCGATTCTATTGTCGGCTTCCCCGCAATGTGAACATGGTCCAATGGAGCCCCGATAGTGACAAGATTATTCAGTAAGTCTTCACCGACTTTGCAGAGTAGCTGATATTCATCTTGTCCTGTTTTGCCAGGGATCCGAGGACCTTCTCAACGAGGACAGCACCTGCAAGACCTCGTCTTCCGACTCTGCCGCTCTTGCGTCGACCAACCAACACATCATCCCCGACGACTAGCACGGCAGTATCGAAGCCAGCAAGGTGGGACTTTTCAGCTGCCAGGTGAAAGTACAGTATATCGCCTGTGTAATTCATGGTCACCAGCAGGGCGCCGGCAGAGTCGCCCACTCGAGATTTTGTGGTTTGAATTTGGTGCACACTCGGAGACGCAGAAATAGACCCTGACACTCCGGCACTGAGAAGGCCATCGCCGACTAGGCCTACAAAAGAGTGTTGATGGCCAGCTCAACCACCCGAGATGATTGTCAGTCACACTCTTGTTCCCGTCATGGCGCGGATTTATGATAGCTTTGGCCATTAGCATACCGCGTGTATGAGTATACGGCATGAGAGAAGAGCACACGAAGTGTTCTTGGTCTTGTTCTTACCTTTGATACCCTCGTCATATCGCAAGAAAGGGTTAGACAGGATCAGTCTATGCAAACTATCTTGGACGAGTGTTGTTCCATAGTTGATGGAATGCTTCGTAGTCATTTTTACTTCCTAGTGCAGTCAAAGCAATCGTGCGTTGTAAGAATCTCTTCCCCTTCGGAGGTCAGACTATTTTATATGATCCTGAGCGTCGCGTATTACTTTATTGTTCCTAGCATAACGATTACTACTTTCTCATACTATGCCTGGTCTAGCCACTACATTGAGATCTCAACGTCTCCAACGAACGCATGTCCCCACATCTTTACCTCCAGTGTCTGTAGTGTATTTTACTTCTCCCGGTGCTTAGTACCATGCCTTTCCGTCACGACTTGTTATTTTTAATTTCCCTTTCCTGGGGTTCGCAAAGACCATGGGTCCGAAGTTCCCTATAGCCGAATTTGTGGGGTACGGAAATGACAGTATGGCCCCGGAAAAGCATCTTGCGGCCAAAGCTTCCATTTAATGTTATCCGATTGGTTCACTGGCTACTCTGGCTGGTACTGTAAAGGCTCATGGGCAACTATTTGACTGGCTTAGTACTTAAGCATCCTACTAGAAATTATGATCGGACACATTGTGTTCAATTGGCAGTTGCATAACAAAGACCACATCCATCATGTTATATTCAAATACACTAGAATCTCTGGGTGAGGTCAGCCCAAAGGCTGGATTCGCCCACAAACTGCCCCCAAGTCCACCAGCCGACGGATCTCAGCCTCCTTGTATAATCGATGATATTCTACAGAACTTGGTGCGGGATGCGCCAGATGAGCCCCTGGTTGGCTATCCAAAGAGTGTGCATGGTGTTACCGATTATGAATATTATACCCCGCGGGACCTGCACAGGTTCGCCAACGGCGCTATCAGGGCATTTAAGTTAGCGGGTCTTCCAGAGGTAAATATTGAGTCCAGGTCAGAGGAACGGACATCTTGATTGTTAATTATTGGCTTTAGTTCTCTCATCCCACTGAGAACCGTGTGGTCTCCATCCTCGGCCCGTCCAATCTCGAATACATCGTGTCGCTCTTCGCATTGTCTCGAATGGGATACTCTATTCTGCTACTTTCCACCCGCCTTAGCACTGAGGCATATTCCAACCTACTCACTCTGACCAAATGCAACCACGTTGTATACGCACCGTCCAACAAAAAGATGGTCGAAAAAGTGGTGGAGCATTCAGCTGTGTCCACTTTTTTAGTCCCGGAATTTGCAGACTACTCGAAAGAGCCATCGAGTGCACCCTCACAGCCCTGTTGGACACCGCAAGCTTCTCAAAAATGGGCTTTCATTGTCCATTCTTCTGGCTCCACTGGTCTTCCCAAGCCGATCTTTCAAACCCATGGGGCTTGTATCTCCAACTACAGTACGAGCAAGGGCTACCGAGCACTACTCACTCTCCCACTTTTCCACAACCATGGTCTCTCTACTTTCTTCCGCTCACTCTTCAAAAGAAAGCGGATTGCAATTTACAACGCCAACCTTCCGCTGACTGGGAAGAATGTGTTGGAAACGATGAAAGTCGCTGCCCCAGAGAGCTTTCACGGCGTGCCGTACGTCTTAAAACTCCTGAGTGAAACAGACGAGGGCGTCAGTGAACTAGCAAAATGTGAACAAGTACTCTTCGGAGGCAGCAGTTGTCCTGATGCTCTTGGTGATCTGCTAGTAAATGCTGGCGTCCGGCTAATCAGCCACTACGGAGCCACCGAGCTAGGACAATTGATGACATCCGCACGACCCCCAGAAGACAAAGCTTGGAATTATGTTCGACCACTGGAAAAGGTGAAGCCTTTCCTACAATTCAAGCCTCTTGAAGACGGATCCTATGAGTGTATTGTTCTCGATGGACTACAATCCAAAGTCGCTTCCAACTCAGACGACCCTCCAAACTCTTTCCACACCCGCGACACTTTTCTCAGGCACCCCTCTATCCCCGATGCTTGGAAATACTTGGGCCGCATTGACGATCGGGTTACTTTAGTCAATGGAGAGAAAGTTCTTCCTGTGCCGATCGAACATCGTATCCGACAAAACATTTTCGTCAAGGATAACCTCGTGTTCGGTGTGTCAAAGCCACTCCCTGGATTGATTGTGGTGCCTAGCGTCGAGGCTGAGGGACTATCATCCGATGAAATCCTGGATCAAATCTGGCCTGATATTGCGACAGCCAACCGTAATGCTGAAGCGTTCAGTCAGATATCACGCAATATGGTCATTATTCTGGACCATTCTTGCTCTTACCCAATGACCGATAAGGGAACTATGATCCGGAACAAGTGTTATATGGAATTCGACGACCTGATTCAAGCTGCGTATGCGCGTCTAGAAAATGGCGATGGTAATGAAGGGCCCCGTCGTGTTTTAGAGTTGCCGGACTTGACAGGATTTGTGCTGGATACGTTCCGCAACGATCTTGGCTTCAGCGATATCTCAGCTGACACCGATCTGTTTGAGGCCGGTGTCGACAGCTTACAGGCAATCAAGGTTCGTGGTATTCTTCAGTCACAAATTGACATTGGAGGTGCCTCTCTCGCGCACAATGTTGTCTTTGACTGCGGCACCGTTGAAAAGCTGGCCAAGCATCTGAATGCGCTACGCACAGGAGAAGAATGCGTTACCGAGAACGAGGTGGAAGCGATGTCACAAATGGTCTCACAATATTCGACCTTTCACAATCGGCCATCGAATGATCAAGTTGTGGTAAGTAGCCGGATCATCTGAAATTCCTCACATAAACGTCCTAATGATCCTTCCATCTAGATTCTCACGGGTACTACCGGGTCATTGGGTGTATATATACTCTCTCAATTATTACACAATCCTTCAGTTAAGAAGATCTTCTGTCTTGTGCGTGCAACTTCCGAGCACAACGCGCTAGATCGCGTGCTTTCGAGTCTATCTTCAAGGTCTCTACCTATCACGAACGCGTATAAGATTGCCGCATTCCCTGCGTCCCTCGGGAAAGAAGACCTCGGTCTTCCAGCCGCAGTCATCGATGAATTGCATAATTCTTTGACTCATGTAATTCATGCAGCTTGGGCTGTCAACTTCACCTTGGGTGTTCGCAGTTTTGAGCAACAACATATCAGAGGCGTTCAGAACATGATCAACCTTTGTCTCTCCAGTCGCCGGTCTTCTCCCGCTGAGTTTTACTTCTGTTCTTCCATCTCTGCAGCTGCTGCTACACCTCTCCCAGCCATCATCGCTGAAGGCCCGATCCCTGAACTTGCACATGCCCAGCATATGGGTTACGCTCGGTCTAAACTTGTGGCGGAGCGGATTGTTCATGCAGCCGCCCGTACTACTGGAATGGTAGCCAAGGTTCTCAGAATTGGACAAATTGTTGGAGACACCGCTACTGGGTATTGGAACCCAACTGAGGCAATTCCACTCATGCTCCAGACCGCAAAAGCATTGGGAGCATTGCCGGCGTTAGATGAGACTCCGGCATGGCTTCCCGTTGATGTAGTTGCGAGATCCATCTTAGAACTAAGTGGGATCGTCCCCAACGACAAAGCCAAGGTTCTTGCTCACGACCCCAGCGTAGTATATCATGTGCAGAATTCCAAAACTTTCCGGTGGACGGAGGATCTCTTGCCCGCTCTCCAGCAGGCAGGCTTGAAGTTTGATGTCCTTCCCAAGAGAGAATGGGTGCAACGTCTACGTGAATCAGAGCAGGATCCGCAGAAAAACCCAACGATCAAATTACTGGGCTTCTTCGCCGAAAAATACGATAACGACGCCCCTGGTCGTTCGGGACTCGCATTTGCCATGGAGAAGACGGAAAGCGCGAGCCCTTCTCTTAAAGGTGGTGTGGAATTGATTGATACTGGCTTAATCAAGAGGTTTGTGGCTGCCTGGACACCGCGGTGGTGATCATTTGCTTTCAAAATCTGTCGTAAATTCTGCCTTGTTCACTTAGTTAGATGACAGCCTTCTGCAGTACAGATTGAGGCCACTTCGGCATTCACGTTTTATCCTTCTCTCTTACGCGGTTCTTTGTGTCGAGATTTTCTCGTATTTTGAGAAGCCATTTCTAGTCTCTAGATGCCTAGCAGATATACGGCTCAATTTCAGCCCTGCTACAAAAGCAGCCTTGTGAACCTTATTGTCAAAGGTTTAAGAATATTGGGCAAGCTCTCACGTTTCCGAGGAGCTTTATTCGACAATACATTCCCTGGGTTGCCAACTTCCCCCACTCCGTTACCCCAGTCCATCAAGACATTTGATTAGATTAATATTGGGGTCACATCAAATACGGGGTATGGCTATGTTTCGGGGGAATAGCTTGTATCTCCAAACTCAATCATTACGTCCAACACATAGCCTGCCTTTGGAGCACACCAATGTTGAATGGGGATACTGCCGAAGGCTTTACCCGGTGTGTTTTCCGAAGCTTAGCATGTTTTCCGAATAGTTCTTCTAAACTGGCCTTCCATGTCCAGACGTCTTCGATTCGTACGTATGACTCTTTTGCCTTGCTTCTATCTCGTAGGATTTTGTAAAGTATATCAGTGCAGCTTGAGCCTTCCGTGCTATCTTTTCTTCTACATATACTTCAGGTTGGCGTCACGATATCTTTCCCCTTTCATCCGTAGCGGGACAGTTTTCCGCGCTGCTAAGGTCTATCAACCCTAGCTCAGTGCATCACGCTAAATATTTCTTCCTAACCAAGTCTTCGTCTTTGAATACAACGCACCGTTCCGTCAATAAAGTGCATGCCTGCATTTATTTTCATCATGACTACTGATGTTGCATATAAACAGAACGTGAACCATATCGAGAATGTGTCCCACGCAGAGGATGCTTTATTTGAATATGATGAGATTCAAGATCCTACTAGTATCACAGATGAGGAGAAGCGCCTCGTACGCAAGATAGATTGGATCATTCTACCTTGTCTATCCGTGTGTTACATCTTCTTCTATGTGAGTTATCAACTATTCTGAGAGACATGATACAAATGTCAAGCACGAGGTGCTTTTCTGGGTATTCTCGGTTAACTATTTCCTACCTGGCGGATTAGATTGACAAAACCACACTATCCTACGCAGCAATCTTTGGAATTCAAGACAGTCTACATCTTACCGGCAATGAATATAGCTGGCTGTCCTCGATTTTCTATTTTGGCTTCTTGGCTTGGCAATTACCGACAAATCTTCTGATGCAACGACTTCCCACCGCGACGTACTTGAGCATGAACATCATTGCATGGGGCGTTCTCCTTGCCCTACAAGCTGTTTCACCAAACTTCGCGACACTCGCCGTGCTCCGGGGGCTTAGTGGTGCTGCAGAGGCCTGTGCAGATCCTTCTTTCATGATCGTCACCAGCATGTGGTATAAAAGAAGCGAGCAACCTATCCGAATTGGAATCTGGTACTCGGCCCTAGGATTAGGCATTGCAGGTGGCGGTGTGCTTGGTTATGGAATTGGCCAGATCAAAGGCTCCCTACCCAGTTGGAAGTATGAGTTCATTATTATTGGGGCTTTGTGTATTGCATGGGGCATCGTCATGCTCGCGGTGCTTCCCAACTCACCGATCAGCACTCGCTATCTTACGCCAGGACAACGAACAATCATGATCAACCGGCTGCGAGAGAATCAGACCGGAATCGAGAACCGACAATTCAAGATGCATCAGTTCCTTGAAGCCATTACAGACGTCAAAGTGTTCCTATTCTTTTTGATTGCCTTCTTCCAGGCTGTTGTCAATGGGGGCGTCACCAACTTTGGCACCATCATTATTCAAGGATTTGGCTTCTCAACTCGTAAGGATTCCAGTCCAGGCTTCCAGAATATTGCATAAAAGGGTTATTTGCTAACCTGCGTCAGTCGGCACCACATTGCTCCAAATCCCATACGGAATCTTTATCTCTGTCGTCATTCTAGTCTGTGTCTGGATCAATGCAAAAATGCCCCCAAATAGTAGATGCCTCATGCTCCTGATCTTTCTGGCACCTAATATTGCTGCGGCTTTTGGCCTTTGCTTCGTGCCTCAGAGTGCTAAAGTTGGCCGTCTCATATGTTACTATGTAAGGAGCACCTGTAGTTAACTGCACTTTCCTTCCCTTTTCCGGGACTATACCGGTTTCTGACATCTCTACAGCTGACAGGTTCCTATAACGCGTCGTTTGTGATGCTAATATCGTTGACCACGACCAATATAGCAGGGCATACGAAAAAGGTGACTTCCAGTGGTATCCTCTTTATTGGTTATTGCGCAGGAAACATTGCCGGTCCCTTCTTCTACAAAGAAAGTCAGAAGCCCAATTACTCCCTTGGAATATGGAGCATAGTTGTTTCGCACATTTTGGAGGTTATTTGTGTGGTCTTACTATGGGTTTATTTGAGGAGGGAGAACAAAAAGAGAGATGCGAGCCAAAGAATAAACGAAGAAGCTTCCAACCCGAAGCATCTGCCGGGAACATTGGAAGACATCACTGACAAAGAGAACTCGAATTTCCGTTACGTGTTTTAGAGGCTCTTTCGTTCACGAGAGATGAGCAAATGTCAAATAATGGCGCAATCCTGAGAACATCATTTTCGCGAAACTTCAAAAGGAATACATTGAGTACTTCCCTCAATGATTTGGCTACGACAATTATTCTTAGAGAGCCCTTGAGCGTTCTGTCCTTCAAATGTTGTATATACTTTACTACGCAACAATCGAAGCCCAAAAAACTATATTGATATCAGCATTGAACACCAGTGAATATAATATCCCATCCTTCAGCGAGGAGTAAGGAATTTTCCAGCTTGTAGGGCTACTGCTGTAGTTATTTATGTCTTATTTGGTTTCTAGTATCCTCGGAAGGCTCTCCAAATCTTGGTTTCCTTTTCCGAGGGCTCACAAATTTGAGTGCTACCAGAAAGTAGAGATATAGTTGGGTTTGGTCGTTTATGTTAGAGCAGATACTTTAGGGGTATCAGGAACAACGATAACAAAAGATGTTTTCTCCACATTCTACATAAATTCAAGCCGACATCTACCAATATTACATGGCCAACGAACATCTTTTGTCTAAATCCCTCAATAATTCAACGCATTACATATACATGTGGCTCGAGAGCTTCAGTCAAGCTGCATTCTTTTTATTATAAACTAGATCGCAGATAAATGTAGTGTGTCCGGGTAATGTAACCAATACTACTAGGAAGATCTCGAGAGCTGTCAGCGATGCAGACCTAAACCTAATGGCCCAAAGAAGACAAAGATTCAAGGACAGCTGTTCTGGGAAATACGCCATGCTCATGTTGTAGATTCATGCATGTAGATGCTAGGTTCGCTTTCAAAGGAACGGACGGATCAACGAATGAAACTTTTTAATGCGCTATAAATCCTGTGAAGTGGTTGTTTTATCTATCTGTAAAATACCGTGTTCTCATGTAGGCTTAAGCCCATATAATTTGATTTCGGTCGTAGCTAAAAATGCGAAAAGATTAACATTGGGAACATTCCTATCCTTGAACCTCTAATTAGCCGCTATAATCATGATACTTCTGTTCTGTTCAGAGGAGAACACCCTTTTATCGGTACATCCCATGACTCAATCATTCGCTGTAACGCCAGCTATGAACGACACTTTGTGTAGAGCCGGTAATATCCAAATAGCTACTGTTAGAGATGTGACACTTCTGTTCCCATGTCTTCGGTCAGTCCCGGAAAGCTGTGTATATATTGGAGCTACATCTCTCCCTAGCTTTAAACAGTATCAATCCATCACGTTCCAGTGCCACAATTCCAAGATGGAGACCCGCAAACTTGACAAGATGGCGCCAAAGACCTCGATGAACTGGGTCGAGAAGCGCAAACTCTCTTCAGACCCTTATATCGTAGACACACTCAAGCATAACGGCATCCCCTGCTATGTATCCCACGCAGACATACTGAGCTGTCACTACCTTGCACCAATGTCTCAGGTGAGCAGGCCATGCATTCATACTATATACTACTAGTATTAGTCACTAACATTAGACAGAATTCGGAGGTAGTGGTCCCTGACAATAAACTGCATGATGCATTCAAAGCCCTTCGAGACGCCAGGTTTTTGAATTGCAAGAGTAAAAGAGCTTGTCAAGCGGAGCTCTCGAATGGGAGCAGACCTAAGCCCGACGCCCACCTGCACTACAGAGGGGGTGTAGGTCGCGTCGACCTTTACAAGCATACGACCCATTTCAAGTTCCTACCCGAACCAGTTCTTGGAGATCTAGATCCCGGAGATAGAAACTACATGCTCTTGTCAGACAGGAAGGTGCCTTTATTGAAGCCGGAGGATGGTTTTCAATTCGCGCCTCTCGTTCAAACGCTGCCACAATTTAAGGATTCGCTGGGTCCATTGTGTGGTCGTCGAGTTAACTTTTATGCAGTGCCTACTCCACTGCTCGTTCGATCGATCTCATCCTGGTTCTACCAGTTTTACCACGCTGTCAAGTACATTTATAAGCTTGATAAAGCTATCTCCCGCGCCAAAGACGATGGGATCAGGCGGAACCTTGATTCGAAACGTGATGCCTCTATCGATGACGCTTGGCTTTGGTTTGTATACCTAAACGCCATCGTCTGGCTGTATCGTCACCATCAGAACGAGGACAAACGGGGACATAAATTATCTTGGAATCAGATAATGAGGGGTGTCGATCAAGATCTGGTACTTTGGCTTAACGATTGGAAGCATAAGTACCTGGTTACCGACAGCCGAGACAAGGAAGGCAACAAGGCCAGGTTCGAGAAGTGCCTGACGGACGTGACGAAATCTTTGAGTGAGAAAAAAAAAGCAAATAAGAAATAAGTTCGTCTTCTGATTTACGTTGGTATGGAATATTCAATTAAGCTGAGGCGAGTTGACGCCCTAATTACGTGGGAAAGAGGTTCGGCTTGCTTTTGACATTTAACTTCTTGTTTTTAGAATATGCTTTAATATCTTACCTTATTATGACTTTCTTCTACATTACAAATGCACTTCATAAATGGTTCACTTTCAGCTAAATGTTAGTATATCCTACAATTTACATCATGGGAAGCTATGCTTCCTGTCCTGTTATTAGAAACAGAATGCTTAAATGGACACTTAACTTTATTCTAAGCACTTTACTAGTGTGTCGTGGCAGTGGCCAGATTATTCACGAACCCTTTATAAAGTACCAAAATTTGTCCTAAAATAGTATGACTACAGTTTGTAGGACTAAGCGGGTTTTCATTTTATTCGTGACTTGTCTAACTTGTACACATCTGGTGATTAGCCCCTGCTTTCAAGTGAACCATCGATTTAAGCCCCCCCCCCCCAGACCAGCCTGTTTCGTGCCGGTTTGCCCGTGAGTTTCCAGGTCAGAAAAAGGAGCTCTCCCACTTGTCTTTGTAGACCCACTGGCATCTCCGTGCGTCCAGACTGAAAGACGGTACCAGCCATAAAGAACGCATACAGCATGTTGGCTAACGTTGCCTTTGGCCTACTTTACGCGGGAAAGTCCACGGTTCATATTCAGTCATACAGGCAGTATACGTAGATTAAACAGGACAAAGAAACCCCCCTACTCGCTTTGGTGAACCCCGGGGCTTAGGACATGTAACCATAGCCGCTGGCAATTTCCACAAAGATGACTGACACATTGCTAAATGCCTTATTCATTTTCCTACAAATACGAAACATGATAGTCTATGAAAGAGCCTACACTCAGGACAAAATTACTACTTAAAGTCATTCAATCAACTATGACTTCAAACGAAACCAGTTATTTCCTACCTGCGAGCCGGTCTGTCAACACAGTTCATAACCAATTGTCCAAGATGGACACGCGCGAAATCGCTGAGGATATTGCCAGCCATCTCGATGGCATTGACATCCCCAACCTGTTATGGGGTCAAACAGCCCATCTTTACCATCTAGGGCTCCGCTCCTCACCTGTAAGTGGCCAAGGTCATCCAAATAGAAAGGGTGTTCTCAGTATTAACCGTTGATAGTGCAGCGAACAAGGAGTTGTGGAGATAGCGGTTTCCGAACATAAGATAAGTGATGCATGCAAGCACATCTGCACGAAATATTCAGTGCCCCAGTGTGACAACGCAGGGTGCTATTCAGAGCCTCCGCCTGACCACCATTTTCACGTTAAAAAACACGGGCCTGAGTTTGGATGGACAATGATCAGTCTTAACAAATTACAACGGTTCTTATGGACTTGCCTACTCAAATACCGAATAATCCAAAGCTTGGTGACCGTAACTACATACTTGTGACTGACCCACGTCTGCCGAAGTGTTCCGATGATGGCTCTTCTGGTAATCACCAAAGAGCCCTCTGTGTGAGCAACGTAAAGCGTACGGCAAAGGTCCTCACGTTAGCACGGCATATTGAGTCCTTGATTCTTCGGTTGTGTCTCAATCTCGATACCGACAATGCCCCAACTTTCTTTAAGGCTATCGAAGAGATCGTGGGTCACTATGGAGAGAATGCCCAGAATACAGATATTTGGAAACAGTTACTGTGTGATCTAGATAATAAGAACAATAAGTACGGAGAGTACCTGCAGAAACAGAAGAATGAATGGAAGCACGAGCGTCCAAATCCCCAGACGTGGGAAGACTGCCCAATTCGAAACCTAAGGAGATCAGCAGAGCGCCAAAGATATACGAAACAGCTTCGCGTGAAACTGGTCTATGATGGCAAACTCCCCTCCAAGAGGAACTGAGATAGTCTTACTTGGGGGCGCTTGCCTAACGTCGGATAACAGGGACACGGGTGAGATTCAGTCTATTTCAGTGCGTCTTTGATGCAGTTCCAGCCAGCGTTTCCAATGAGAACAGATCTCTTTATCATATCCAATCCGATTCCTATTGTCATGTTTCAACCGCCAGAGGTCGTGAGTCTCAAACGCCCAACACTTTCTTCGTCTCTGTGCCCAAACCTATTGGCGGATTGCAGGGCTTTGTCCCACTTTACCACTTATTTGCTTTTATCCGTTGGTTGTCTGTGTAATTCCTTCTTCCTTGTGTCGTTTGCTGGGCTGTTTCGTACGTGAGACGGAAGTTTAAATTTGAATTGCCCTCTATCTTACATCCAACATAATTAGAGATAAACCAGTAGTTGATAACCTTACGAAAGCCTCTAATCCTGCAATTTCAAAACATGTCTCCCTTACCAACAATCTAAAAGAACAAGAATCACCCCCCACCACACATATATCAATTTACAGAAGGCAACATACCCACTATTAACCGCGAGAGCAACCCCCACAACCAAACCCTAACTCTTCCAAAACACCCTCCCCTCCATCAATCTTCTCGCCGTCCTAAAAACAGTCGCATGGCTCAAACTCCCATCCGCCCCAAACTCAGCCCCAACAACCAACTTCCCACTAGCATGACCCAGCGTAATCCCCGCCGGATCAACCAACTTTCCAGTCGTCACCCCCGCCACAACACTCCCCGACACTCTAGCAGCAGCAGCCAATGCCAACGCAACAGTAATAGGCACCGCCTTATGCGGCTGACCCACCGACAGCGCCCGAACCAGCAGATCCACATCGGCCTCAGTCTGGCCTTGTTCTGACGCCCGCGCATTCGACGCCGGAGAAGCAACAAGCCCGATCTTAGGTACACTTCCCGGCACAGATTCAGCTGTCTCAGCAAGACCCATGGCAACACCAGCCTGTCTGCGGATGGAATCCAATCGACCCAAAAGCGTGGGATGTGCGTCGATTTCCTCAGGTGTGATATTCCCCTCCACACCTAGCTCGGATGCAAGAACGAAGCAACAAGGGTTACTCACGTCAATACATGTCGTGCGTACACCGTCAAATTCATCAACTAGCTTCCCCGTAGGGAATAACTTCCCTGTCTTCGACCCGGCGGGATCCAGGAAATCTAACTGGATCTTTGATGCCGTCCCGGCAACACCGTCGATGGCGAAATCGCCTGATGCGGCGGCTTCGCCTCCTACCACGGGGAATCGGGATCGGATGACTTTCCCTGTGTTGGTGTTCAATATTCGTAGTTCGACCTCCTCATGTCCATGAGAGTGAACAGGGAATAGTCTCGAATCAACCGCAAAAGGCCCAATTGCACTAATCATGTTTCCACAATTACTGGAGTAGTCGACGTGCGTGTTCTTGACGCCTAGAGAGACGAATGTATAGTCGATGTCGACATCCGGGGTCGTGGATTTGCCTACTACGCATATCTTGGATAAGCTTGATATGCCGCCGCCGAGCCCGTCAAGTTGTCGGCCATTGGGGTCCGGACTGCCGATTACGCGGCGGAAAATCTCATCCCATGCCGAGCGGTCGGTTGGGAGGTCTTCTTTTTTGAAGATCACAGCTCGGGAAGTTCCGCCGCGGTAGTAGGCCGCAGGGACAGATTTTTGAGGATTGGTGCGGGTTGAGAGGTTGGCTCTATGTGGTAGAGTTTGAGTGAGAGGTCTCAAATGTGTGTGTCGGAGGAGCATTTCGTATGTTGGCCTTTATGTTGTGGAGTGTTGGGAGTAAGTATGTATGATTGTATGATGCTTACTACTAGGGTGACGTTGGACGCGTCGATGCTTAACCTCGGATATTAGAGCGGGCCAATCATTTTCCACCAAATGCAATATGGAATTTAAGGGTAATTTCGTAGACCGAAGTGTTAGGTCTTTGCTTTCGGACATTCCTATATTTTATGATACTTTCTGGTTTAAATAACGTTCGAGCAGTATCCTCACATCTACACAAGCTTATAGTTTAAAGGGAGGGCCTAATAACAGTATCCCTTCAAGTTATCCTGGCCAACTATTTGCGCCAGAGGACAAGCCACAATATATACCCAACATCGTCTAAAAGCACGATAGAAGCAGAGGGCATATAGCTCATCCATGTTCCTCTTTCAGGGTTAGAAAGAGACACGTGCCTTACAAAATCTCCAGGTTGGGCCATGGAATACCCAATAGAATAAACACCAGATATCAAGAAAAAACCCCATCTCTCTACCAAGAATCAAGATAAATAAAAACGATTATCCGATATCATATCAGTTAAATTCCCCGCATACTAATTTATCATATCATTACACTCAACCCCACACTCCCCTCTCCAGAGAACCACCAAAAAACAACAACCTCATCCCCAACACAATCCACACACCAAAGAGAACAGCCAAACCATCAACCAAACCCGAAAATGCAAACACCGACACTCAAAGCACTCCTAACCCAAGACCCGGGCCTCCCCAAACCCAACCCGACGTCTTCATACTGGCAAACCCCACCCCACACCCTCAGTAATACGCAATCCCCTTCTCTGCCCCTCAAAACCGATGTCGCCATCATCGGCTCTGGAATAACTGGTCTCTCGGTACTACTTACTCTCCTAGACGATCATCCTGATCTTACTATTACGGTTCTAGAAGCGAGGGCTTTGTGTTCGGGTGCGACGGGCCGGAATGGAGGGCAATTGGCTGCAAATGCCGGGGAGGAGTATTTGCATCTGGTGGAGGAGTTTGGGAGGGAGAGTGCGGGGGAGATTGTGCGGTTTACGTTTGAGAATTTGCGGAGGATGAGGGAGTTGGCGCGAAGGTTTGAGGTGGAGGAGAGTGAGGTGCAGGAGGTGGCTAAGGTGAGGGTTTTTCTAGAGGAGGATGGGTTTGAGAGGTTCAAGAGGAGTGTGGAAGCTTTGGAGGGGGATTTACCGGATCTTAAGGGGGTATATACGGTTCTTGATAGGGAAGTGCTGAAGGTATGTGCTTTGACTGGATTGAGTATTGGTATAGTTTTCATTGTGGCTAATATGTCTAGAGGGAGTATCGTCTGGACGGCGCTGGGGGTGCTCTGCTTCCTGCCGGGACCATCTGGCCTTACCGGCTCGTGACCAAGACTTTTGCCTGTCTCCTGGAGAAATACGGGCATAGGTTGAATATCGAAACGCAGACCCCCGTTACTTCTATCGCTTCCGATGCGACGAACCCTTCCCACCCCTATACCCTGCATACACCCCGAGGAAGCCTACGCGCAACTCAGATCGCGCACTGTACCAATGGACATGCAGGACATTTGCTCCCAGGACTCCGCGGTCCAATCTATCCCTTCAAGGGAACGATGACGGTGCAAGACGCAGGCAGTATCATGCCCAACCGCGGTGAGGATCTTTCATGGGGTTTCCATTACCCAGTTATCTATGATAAACAGTCCAATCGGTATGCTGCGGGCTTGTACTATCTCATGCAGAACACGAAGACGGGGTATTTCTTTTTCGGCGGAGAGGACACGCAAATCGACCATTGTTTATCAGCGGACGACAGTCAGGTCGAGGGAGACTCCATCAAGCATCTACAAGAGAAGCTGCCACATTTCCTTGGCTACGACGGACCGGAACAATGGAGGCTAGCCAGTGGGTGGAGTGGGATTATGGGCTTCTCCGCAGACGGACTTCCCGTTGTCGGACGTGCGGAAACCGCAATGATAGGGCGACAGGGCGATGGGGAATACGTTGCGGCTGCATTCAACGGCTATGGCATGGCCAACTGCTTGCTGGCCGGAGAAGCGTTGGCAAGGATAATGATGGGGAAAGACGTGAGCGCGTGGCTGCCAAAGGCGTACGGGATCCATGAGACACGTTTGAAAGGGCCACTGACGGTGGGTCATGCAATTGAATCCTTCGAATTGGATCCTTGATGCGGTTACCTATGGCAGCGACAGTCCAAGCCACCAAATGCATATCACCTTGAAATAGAGGTGCTGAAGCAGCTTTTTATATATTAGTATACCAGCCAATTGTCTGTAGTTAGCCCATGCGATTGATCGAACTTGGTTCAGCCGTTTGGAGAGGTATCCGACAGTTTCATCCTCCCTAACTAGAGTCAAGTGGTATTCTCGCATTACTCCTTGGATACTTCAGCAATAAAGTCCATCAGGCTAGGCTGGCCGGGAGTGCCATCGGACTTCCATGTCTGCGAGCGCATGGCCGGTGTTTTATCAGCAGCCGGCTGACCAAACCCATCAATTCCCCTGACGGAGTGTGTCCGCACATTTAGCTCATGGCGCGATAAGCTCACTTTCATTTTCTTGCTTTGTCCGGTGCTGGAGAGGGCGAGTAACTCGCCAGTATGCGGATACGCTGCTTGCCATGTTAATAGGCGGCCAGTCTCTTGCTTGATACCATTTGCGGGTGAGCCTTTGGCGTGTGTGATGGCCGTAAGGATGTCCAGCAGCACAAAATGCGTGAGCACAGAGGCTGCCTCATCCTGCAAGCCGATGCGGTTTGGCGGACGGACATCGGGATATTGAGGCATGTTGAGTGAGACCTCATAGTTAGTGCCGAGTGGTGGGGATGTGACATTGGTGCGAACCTTGACCCGAAACGAGCTTTGAGGGGTGACCAATTGCGCAGAAAAGGTCGACTCGTAGGGTAACAAAAACTCTTGGACCAAAGCTTCTACCTTTGGAACCCCATTGATGGTGCGCTGAAGACTGAGAGACGAGAAGGGAGTCGCTGTAAAATCACAGGTGATCCCAGCAGACTTCAAAATTTGGTTAATATCATTCAACAACGACTCAAGCCATCGCACATGTGAGCTATGCTGCAGGTAGGCCATCACCGGTCGGAGGAGCTGGTATTCTGTGGTTTGGCGGCGCTTTGGGGTTAGTGGCGGTGGGAGCTGTGTCCTTCGGCGCAGATTTTGGCGATGAGCGTAGGCGAGCAAGATACGGATTGCATGGGCAAGGGCGTCTGCCACCACAGCGTGCTCGTTGGAGGACACTGCTTCATCTTCAGGCGACATCTGATCGCCGTCGACGAGATCTAATAAGACCTCTTGCTCCTCCGACACTGGGAACTGAACTAGGTTCTGGCGTGTCGTGACACCCTGGCTACCTAATATTCTTGCCTCACGTACCAGCTCATGAAACAGTTCCTCTTCGTATACCGTATCACGCGCCTGCAGGATACGACTCTCGATTGACTCGGTGTTATCCGACGCCAGTCGGTTCTTCGAGCACCCAGTGATTTGACCACGGCTCCTCACACGCACGCGTACTGTTCGCGCCTTGAGTGGAATTAAACCTTTGTCTAGTATCAAACTTCCGTCGTTGGTCCGTCGTAAAGCCGCCAAGCCCCGGTCGCGGAAGATTGGTGTAGCTACGGCTGTCAGTGTACGGACTATACTGAAACGAATCGATCTCACCTTCTAAAAAGCCATACTGTACCCCAAGGGCCTGTCTTTCCCTGGGCAGCCTAGACACCTTCCAACCTTTTTCCTTCACCGCCAGCACCTCATCCCAATACTTGGTCTCCGAGGCGACTTCAGATTCGAGTCTAGTCGCGGAGTCGAGTAGTTTACTCGCCGCGGAGTTAAAGTTTTGCAGCCTCCATCCACGCGAAACGTTCTTGGTGTCTCGAGCCGCTGACTCGGGCTTCGGCGGCGGATTGACAATTTCCGAGTTTAGCGATCCGAGGGGCGCAACTTGTTTCAGGTATGCGGACATGGACATTTCGGCCTGACGAGGAGTATGCTTCGAAAGCAGAAGGGAGACAAAGTCGAGGGCGAACATGGCTTCCATATGGGCCTGGCTGCAAGCGATTAGCGCACGAGATATCCTCCGTATGGGTCGAGCTTACAGGGCGAATTGGGTAATGGCCGCCCGACGCTTATACAGTTGATCTAGACGCTCTGTAGTATCCTCGTCGGCAGATGCGTTGTCGTTTGCTTCTTCGTCGGACCATGGGTCTTTGGTTTTGTCGGCTTCAATCTTGGCCCGTAGGCTGTCCTCGGTGACATCGCGAAAGGACTCATACTGAGCATTAATCTGGGCGATCTCCACGGGAAGCGGATCTGGACGTTCGCGCTTCTCTATCAAGGGACGAAGAGGGAGATTGAAGGAATCGGACATGACGTCGGTTGTCACCCTGCTGCAGCAGAGCTTGGATCAAGAAAGATGGGAGTACTGAAGATTGACGTTGGGGAAGCTGGTGTTGATTGGATTGCCGCAACGCGGTGAGTCGGCACGTGATCCTGTTTGGTCCACGCAGTGTAGTTCCTTGAAATAGCAATTCTAGGAATCCTATACCCTTTCTTTTAACAATTGAAACATCTTGTCTATCAGGCAATCGAGCTAATATTATGATATTATGTGTCACCCTCTTATGGTGGAAGTAAGCTGCTACTGACCTTAGCTATCCCCGTTTCCGTATAGGAGAATATATAAATGCACGGTTTTGGCAGCATACTAATAGTACATCGTGTTGAACAGCATGTGTGAAATTTACAATTACACTAGCTCAGCCACGAACTACTTTATCTCACTGAGAATCCCCAGTAATCTTTACTTAACTTAGTTTACCGGTGTATTCAAACCTTTTTTCCTTCCCAGGTGGCATAAGAGCATGTTTACTCAGTAGTGTTTACTGTGCAAAAGGATGACCCAAAGAGGCATAGTGATGAAGTGGAGCTCCTGACCGGTAGGAAAAAACAGCTCCAGAACTATGGGGCACCCGGAGCATTATATTGGATCGCTTGAGGGTCAAGTACTAATGCATATCGAAACTGGTATATTGGATGGACTCACATTACGGGAACTTATATGCTATATATACCGTATATCACTGATCACCTTTCCAGTTTAAGAACGAAAGGCGTTGATTGTTGTCTCTCACAATGGACGGAGGAAAGCTCTGTCGAGCCAGATGGTAAGACAAGGGATATCCTGACCCCTGTGGCCTGATATCATAAAACTGGAGCTATTGGAGCCGCTCGCCGGGTCAAGTTCGAAGTAGTAATTGAAGAGTGGAAAACTGTAGCCAACCAGAGACCGCAGAACATAAGATGTCCGGTTCTCCGATGATGCTTCGAGGGCTCCATGCTGACCGTTAGATGGCGTCACTCTCCGCCACGGAGAGCTGTCCGCCGTTGCACGTGCTGACACAAGCCCTGCCCTAGAGGGGTTCTCACGTGATAGCTCCGGACGCTTGCTCCGAATGGGCAATGTCAGTGACATCAGCGACGATAGCCTTTTTTCTTCACCTGCAGTTCAAGACTTTCTCAATGCCTCAGCAGCCGGCAGGAATTGCTTAAGTTGACGGGAAACACGCGGAGATCAACAATCCAGGCACACTGTCTGACGGTTTTACTTGTAGGGGGATCCTGCATTCGGTGATATAACACTCGAATCATTACTGAATCGACTCTCGGGTTTAGTTTCACTTTCTTATCAAGTTCCAGTCAGTGACGTACCGTTGCCCACTCCCGCTTTTTCTCACCGGAATTCTTCCCCCCCCCCACCGTCACACAAGTTATCTAAACCTCACCTGTTCCACTATCCATTCAGGACCCCTTTGTTTGTCACTCCTTAGATCTAATCATTGATTTGACTTCTCATTGTTTTCCCATAGTTCTCTAATACATTGTCATCGGCATGATGGCTACGACACACGCCCCCGCGGAGCCTGCCAAGCGCCGCCGTATCGGTGTCTTGACCTCTGGTGGTGATGCTCCTGGTATGAACGGCGCCGTCCGGGCTGTCGTTCGCATGACTATCTACTCCGGATGTGAAGCCTATGCTGTCTACGAAGGTTACGAAGGTTTGGTCCATGGCGGAGATATGATCCGTCAGCTACACTGGGAAGATGTCCGTGGCTGGCTCTCCCGGGGTGGTACCCTCATCGGTTCAGCTCGTAGCATGGCTTTCCGGGAACGTGCCGGTCGTCTGAAGGCCGCTAAGAACATGATTGTCCGGGGTATTGATGCTCTGGTGGTTTGCGGTGGTGATGGAAGTTTGACTGGTGCTGACCTCTTCCGTTCCGAATGGCCTGGTTTGCTGGAAGAACTGGTCAAGACGGGCGAATTGACCGAGGAACAGATTGTTCCTTACAAGGTGTTGAACATCGTTGGTCTGGTGGGCTCGATTGATAACGACATGTCCGGCACAGACGCTACCATCGGCTGCTATTCCTCCCTCACCCGCATCTGTGATGCGGTCGACGACGTTTTCGACACCGCTTATTCCCACCAGAGAGGCTTCGTTATTGAAGTCATGGGACGCCATTGTGGCTGGCTGGCCTTGATGTCGGCTATCAGTACTGGCGCCGACTGGCTCTTTATCCCCGAGATGCCACCCCGTGAGGGCTGGGAGGATGACATGTGCTCTATCATCACCAAGGTAAGCGATCGCGGAATCATGAAATTAGCCGGTTCATCTGCGTGCTAATGTTCATATCCTGCAGAACCGTCAGGAGCGAGGCAAGCGGAGGACGATTGTCATTGTGGCCGAGGGCGCTCATGACCGTCAACTCAACAAGATCACGAGCAGCAAGATTAAGGACATTCTGACCAACCGACTTGATCTGGATACTAGGGTGACCGTCCTGGGTCATACTCAACGAGGAGGAGCAGCATGTGCCTATGACCGTACCCTCTCGACCCTACAGGGCGTGGAAGCCGTTCGTGCCGTTTTGGATATGACACCCGAATCTCCGTCCCCGGTTATCACCGTCCGCGAGAACAAGTTGCTGCGCACGCCGTTGATGGATGCAGTGAAGGCCACCAAGGAAGTCGCCGACCTCATTCATGAGCGCAAATTCGACGAGGCTATGCATCTGCGCGACTCCGAATTCAAGGAGTACCATTTCGCCTACAAGAATACTGCTACCCCCGACCACCCCAAGTTGATCCTCCCAGAAAACAAGGTATGCCGTGCTCTATGGCTGTGCGAAAACAAAGCTAACGTTCTGCAGCGGATGCGCATTGCCATTATCCATGTCGGTGCACCTGCCGGAGGTATGAACCAGGCCACCCGTGCTGCCGTCGCCTACTGCCAGACTCGTGGACACACGGCCCTCGCCGTTCACAACGGTTTCCCCGGCCTCTGTCGGCACCATGCAGACAGCCCTGTTAGCTCTGTGCGCGAGGTCAGTTGGGAGGAGCAGGACACCTGGGTCAACGAAGGTGGTTCAGACATCGGAACCAACCGAAGTCTGCCGTCCGAGGACTTTGAGACCACTGCCAAGTGTTTTGAGAAGTTCAAGTTCGATGGTCTGTTTGTCGTTGGTGGTTTCGAGGCTTTCACTGCTGTTAGCCAATTGCGCCAGGCCCGCGAGAAATACCCAGCCTTCAAGATCCCCATGGTCGTCTTGCCGGCCACCATTTCAAACAATGTTCCGGGTACCGAATACTCCCTGGGCAGCGACACCTGCCTAAACACTTTGATCGACTTCTGTGACGCTATCCGTCAATCAGCCTCGTCCTCCCGCCGCCGTGTCTTCGTCGTCGAAACCCAGGGTGGTAAGTCCGGTTACGTCGCCACGACCGCGGGTCTTGCGGTTGGTGCCTCGGCCGTTTACATCCCAGAGGAAGGCATCGATATCAAGATGCTGGCACGCGATATCGATTTCCTGCGCAACAACTTCGCTCACGACAAGGGAGCCAACCGCGCCGGAAAGATCATTCTGCGCAATGAGACCGCTTCCAGCACCTACACCACACAGGTCATCGCCGACATGATCAAGGAGGAAGCCAAGGGCCGCTTTGAGTCGCGTGCGGCAGTTCCCGGTCACTTCCAGCAGGGTGGCAAGCCCTCTCCGATGGACCGAATCCGCGCCCTGCGCATGGCCATCCGATGCATGCAGCACATCGAAGGCTTCTCTGGCAAGTCCGCCGACGAGATTGCCGCCGACGAGCTCTCTGCGACCGTCATCGGTGTCAAGGGATCCCAGGTACTCTTCTCCCCGATGGGCGGCGCCAACGGTTTGGAGGCGACCGAGACCGACTGGCCACGCCGTCGCCCCAAGAACGAATTCTGGCTCGACTTGCAGAGCACCGTCAACATTTTGTCCGGTCGCGCCAGCTTCGGCGAAGGCAAGACGAGCTGGTCTTGCTACGAAAACTGTTAAACGTTAGCATCAGAACAAGAACTTGCACTGTTAAAAGGCGTTAATGAGCTGGGTGGTTAGAATCTCGTGGCCGGTGGGAAGACTGGTCGTCTTCCCTTTTACATACATACCTGGCCGGAAAGAATAAAAACGAAACTTGAGATGCAGTGATGGCTGCTACGTATGTATCATGACAGACAGGAATTATTGAATGAAAATTATGATCTCCCTTATACAAATCGCTCTTCATACCTGTATGCATTATTAAACATCGTCTCTGACCCTTTATGACGTATCTCATGTAATGCATATTCACCAAATCATGCCGAGACACTCCCTAGACAAAACTCACACTCGCTCAAAGCACCCGAACCCAACCAACAACGACAACAAAACTAGTAAATCGTAATAGTTATAAGGCAAACTCCATAGAGAAAGAGAAGAGAAAACGAAAACTTATGTAATGAATAAAGGCAAATTATTTCTCAATAATTGCCAACTCATCCAAAAGCTGCACCGTTTCAGCCGGATTCGCGATCCAGGCCGTTGTCGAAGCCAGGCGTGCCTAAGTTTCACATATGAGTATAAATACATTGTATTGTAGCCGGTAATAGAAATGAAGGAGAGGCTGTTAACAAACCTTAAAATCATTGGCACCAGCGGACAAGAACTGGTCACCGATGTGGAGAGTGCGGGAACGGTCGATGCCGCCGAAATACTGTTGACAAGCGCGCACACCCCAGGATTTATCGCCAATGTCGACGAAGACGTCATTTCCACCTTTACGATTGATGTTAGCCAGGTCTGAAGTGTAAGAAGCCGAGACCCGGGGGTGTAGGGCGTAGACGCGGAAAATACCATTGAATGCACAAAAGGGCAATCGAGTGCCGACGACTGATCGCTCAACAGTGTTTTGGACAACCAAGACCGTCTCCTCCCATTGTTCTCGAGTAACCCTTGTCCGGTCGAGGGGATAAACGCCGACGGCACGATCCTTTCTCAATACCGCGACGGGGAGATTCAGATTCTTGGCGCAAGCGCGGAGGGACGATTCGGCGATGTCCAGAAGCTGTGTGATATCCGCGTCTTGCCAGGCGTGCATCTCATCGAGAAGCCATTGTTCACGGGGGACGTAGGTAAGCTTATGCGGAGAGGCGTGGTCGTAGCGGAAGAGGAAGTTGCTTTCACCGCCCATGACCACGAGACCGTCGCGGTTGGCCGGGGTGAGGACGTCGGAGTTGTGGACAGCGTCGAGAAGACCCTTTAGACGTTCGTAATACTTGGGTGCTTCGGTGTAGCCGGCGGCGGTGACGATGCCGATTTTGCGGCCTTGCTGGAGGATACGGATGAGGCGGGGTATAACGGGATTGTCGTCGGTGAGGCAAGCGCCGTCATCGTAGAGGGTGACGTCTCCGTCGAAGGTCACCAGGTCGACGCCGGAGGTGCGAAAGAGACCCAGGAGCTGAGCCGAGTTGAGGATGAGGCGGATGTCATTGAAGGACGGGGCAACGAAGCGACGTCGGCTGATGAACCGCTGGCTGTCCTGGTATTTGAAGGCGTCTTCGAGGGGCAGGGGCGTAAAGAAGGAGCCTACAGTTGGCACGAGGAGATTGAGCTTTGATTTACCGGGGGCTCCTGTTTGTTGGTGGTGAACTAGATTGTTACATGTCAGTACTGGCCACTGTGGCAGATACGGTGATGTGAGTCAGGGGCAGGAGAGGAGTACTATGATCGCGCATGAGGTTCTCAACATCCCGGAAGATCTCCGCATAACGTTGGTGGGTATCCGCCGCAATGGCGACCAGATTCTCGCCGTGCTCTTGGTAGACAGCCGTAGGTTGTGAATGCAGGACAAATGGAACAGCCAAAAGGCCTTTGATCCATTCTATCAACTGGTCGCGACGATGCGACTGGCCGAGTTAGCGCTACGGACCGCGGAGCTAGCATGCGTCATACCTTAAGAGCATCAGTAGGATTCGTCAGCGAAGAGTTAACAAATTAGGACGGGGGTTCAAGTCGGAACTCACATTCAACGCGGTAACGAGTCGTCATAATTATCAGGGTGTTATAGGAGCGATAGAGAGTGAATAGAGAGCTGTTGGTTGAGTGTTGAGAGATGGAGGATGAGGTTGAGGTCAAGACTCAAGGGAGCTTTGTTTGCTCTTCCCCACATCTGGCTTAGCTTCGGTATTTATACTTTCGGTCATGTGGCCAGATTCGTCGTGATGCGGAGATAAGATCTGTCAAATCAGATCCCTCAATGGCACTCCCTTCATTCTTTCTATTCTTTGAGAAATGGGGTCAACTGTCGGTGTGACAGGAATGACATGTCAGAGTCCCTCGCTGGTAAGGTTTTTAAACGAGTCTATACGACGAACAGGGTGGAATAGATCTCACTGGTCAGGGACGTGACCTCCGGTCGTATATACGTGGCACATGAATAAAACCAGAACCTTTCGGGGTCTTGTCCACTCTTGATTGTCAAAATTTGTCTCTCGATACAACCGTCGGTGGTAAAAGCACACAGCTTTATCGAATCTTTTGAGACGTGTCCGGTCATGCAAGGGGATCGGAGACGACTATAATGGCCTGTCCGGATCCAGTCTCCATCCGCGGCAGATCTGGTGGACCCTCCGAGATATATGTGGACCATAAGACCGTGTCGGCCATACAGATGCATATTAGTTATGGCCATGGCCTATTGCTGGGAAGGCATTGGTCAAAACCAGAAGCACCACTTGAGGTAGTGGTTTTTGTTGCGGGTGACTATTCATCTCCGCTAAGGGCATTGAACTAAGGCATCGCTTCGTTGTAAAAGTCTATTCCATCGGATAGGTCCAAAGAAGTTTTCAGTCAAAGCGGAGGTGAAGTCAAGAGTATATCACAAGCCCAAGGAAATGCGAGTCCAAATCCTCCTTGCATAGCTACTCGAGCCCAAGCAACAGAAGAATATTAATTTTCGAACTAGGGGGTATTTACCGGAAACTGCACTGCTCTGCTTTAGTCACTTGCCCACCTATCGAAGGTGAATTGTGAATGTTAGCTAGGAGTAGTTTTTAGTTAAGTAGATCCCACCAGAGTGATCTGCTTGCGTGCTCATTGCTGGTTGGCCTTTCTTGGGCCAGGTACAATCATATGATCTCTTGCTGTTTTGACTTTCTAACTCGTCGACAGTCATACGATAACGATTCCTGTCCAAGCTGCTCATGGGTAATGAATTGAGCCATCTTGGGTGTAGCCTGAGGTCTAACAATATGTTACTATTAGTATGGCCACGGGCCATAATGAAATGAAATGGGTTCTTTGTATTTATTAGAGGCTGGCACACATTCCGGGTTTGGAGTCGGGGTATGTAGGCCCTTGGGGAATGGCCTCACGAGCTCCGAGAGGAACGGGCGGTGGTTACGTGCGACGACCTCGCAAAGAACAAGGATGGGGTCCGAACTGTGCGCGAAGCGGGGCTCGCAAAGCTGCCCGCCGAGCGGCCTTTGTCGATGATGACTCTGGCGCAGTATGCGTACGACATGAGTCGGTCGTACGGCAGTCTAACGACGGCGTGGCATTGGAGCGACCATGAGTCGAATCCAACCCTCACTTTGTCACCTGTCGAAGAGACCTATTTCGATTTAGCGCTTTGTTTCATCCACACAGCGGAATTTGCCGGGGAGATTTCCCATTCTATCGCCTCATGGCTGAGTTCATGCGGCACCAGCCCGCTACAAAGGCAGGGCCACGGCCAAGGAAGTGTTACCTCACAAGTCTGAACAAGGCGCCATTAATTCGGGACCCGAGCCCTACCCGAACGTCACGGCCAAGCCGCGGAGGTCCAGGAGGAGGGCAACACAAAGGTCAAAGAATGGAACCAGTATTATGGGTGGCAATATCGATAGGTCGGCATCGTTCCACTACTCAGGGCCGTGAACAAGAGTCATAATACTCGTATAATAGTCTAGGCTCTCTTTACTAAGAATTCCCGAGAGTATATTTACTTCTAGCAACCTTGATCCTCCTTTATGCTACCGGATCTGTTCGTGCCTCCACCCGCTACTGAAAGCTGGTAGGTGACGTCTGTATGGTCCCAGACTTGGGGGTGAGCGTAAAACCTTGCCCATACCGCTCCCTGAAATCTTCCACCGAGGCAGCATCGCCATGACGATCACGAATCGTATTGGTATAATCTCGCACCGTCTGGCCGTCGGCTTCGATTATGCGAAAGTTGATATTTGTCATATCGCGTGATAACTGTTGGACGGAGGCATCGCTGAGGTGGCCTCCAACCTGCCTTGACCTCCACCCCAGACCTCGGTTTGTACCATTGATGGTCTTCCCGTTGGTCGAAACCATGAATTGCAAGGCATCCCCGGTGCCATAGTTATGAATGTTGCTGATATTTTCCTTTAGCCGGGTATCGGCCTTGGAGCAGATGTCCATGCACTGGTGGGCGGTTTGCCACTCATCCTGCAGCCTTTTCAGCTCCATGATATCTTTCTCAGACGTCATCGCTGCTTTCGACTTCACCAGTAATCGGTCCGTCAGGTCTTGCATATGCTTTTCCAATTGAGTGATCGTGCCGGCCAGTTTATTTTTACAGTCCTGCAAGCTCTCATCGGTGACTCGTTCTGGGTAAGCATCTGAGCCAGGTGGTCCTGCGGCACTGTCACTGCTCTTGGTTGAGAGCTGAATCTGATCAATGTGGTCGGATAACTGGGCGCATATTTGAAGACATTTCTCTGTGCTCATGCGCTCTTCCTTGATTCGCCGCAGCTCCAAGGCATCTGCGTCCTCTGTGGTCACGGTTTGCCCAACGATACGCTGCAACTTTTCGTCGATGGTTTCCAGGTGGGATTCAAGATCTGCCTTGGTAGTCTCTATGAGATCTTTGTAGCTTTCAATGGCCTCGGCATTGACGGAACTTTTGCGGCTGGGGGTCCGGTTAGCTACGGGAGGGTGGCCAAGGGAATTGGTCATAGTGATTCTACACACGATCAGAGAGACTCACAGGCTCGCATCGGTAAGGGCAATATTGATCGTCAATTTATATCCGGACAGCATTCGTCTGAAACCATCGATATCATCCCCCAGGTACCTTAACTTGGCCCAGTCTCGGAAGCTGGTTCGGTTAGCGGACCGTGACGAGCATTTGATTATTTCCTGCTCGAACTCGCTGCACGCATTGCCGCAGCTTCGTAATGGCAGTTCGAGTGCAGAAAGATTCTCATCCGTGGTGGTATCTAACAGCTCCTGGAGCGGGGCGAGAACACCGCTCAAAGCCTCCAGCTCCTCAATCAGGTCGCGTACACGTTTTGTGTGAGACCGGAAGCTATTGACTGTCTCGTAAAGCGATAGGCTCGACTTGAAAGCAAAAGTTGCCAACGCCAGTAGGCCAGAGGCTATACCTATCGGTTCTGCCATTCCTTTTCTTTTCTTTTCTGTTGTTTGGGTGGTGGGGGCTGAGGGGGGCTGGTTTGATTCTTCCCAGAGTAAAAGATAGATAACCGAGAATCTTGACCTGGGATTGTTGCCGGGACGAAGCACAGAGAAGGAAGCGGAGTTTTAATACGTTTTGTCTACAGTGGGGCTTAGTGATCACCGGCAAGTGATCATGACATGTTCGATGTACGCGCGCTCATCTGTAGGTGGGTGTGCCAGGCTCGTATTGAGTTTGATAGCGAGGCTGTTGTGAGGGAAATCACTCTTTGGCCAGCGATCTAAAATGGCGCTGCGGGAAGGACCCACGTGGATTCGCCGACTTTTTGCCAGCAGTTGCGGTTCGGCCAGGGTTTTAGGAGCGAAGAGAATAGAGGGCCAGATGAGGACCAGACGAGGAGTAAACGTCAAACGTCCCCTCGTGTCGGATCATCATCGGAGTTGTCTGTATGATAGGTCATTGGCCGGTTAAGCGCCCATCCCATGTGGGGGCATCCCACCTTTTCCTATTGGTTGGGCTGATTCTAAAAGGTTCAATACAATTTATAAATATCGTCCGTGGTGAGGATCAGGTGCGTGTCCTGCGGGAGTCTGAGACGTAGTATCACGAATGGTAGACCAGTTATGGTTTATCCTATAAATCAAGTAGCAATTCTCTTTTCCCCCACACTGAGGTCAAACACTAGAGAAGTACCGTCATGTGAGGACATATTTCTACTGGCACCTGGAGCAGAACCATGATGCTGTTTGGCTCAAAGACAACCGCTCGGTCAATGGTGGCTAATGCTGTTCCATGTACAGCGTATGCGTACCCGATCCTCTGCTGATCTCGCCGAAAAGAACCTTTTAGCTGCGACGAGGCCCCTCACCAGGGCGCCTACCACTTTAGGGACTAAGCGCAAGGCTGAAGACATCAGCAACACAGTATCTGGCTTGAATCCACTGCCACATGACCCAATAAAGACAACCGCTGTTGGGAGGCTCAGAATTTCAAGAGGAGTGGTCGAGCCTCCAAACGCCTTGCCATCTGTTCCCCCACTATTAGCATCGTAGGCGCCCTGTTTGGAGTGTGAAAGGGAGATCGCTTTCTCATTCGCAATTTAATCTCGCACGGTATCCCCGCGCGGACCAAGGCGGATTGGAGCAATCATCCTAATGTCGTTGGCCGCGAGCACAGTAGCCCTAGACGCGTGTACGTTTGAGACTAGCTATCCACAAAATCCAATGTACACCCAAATCTCTGACGCAGGGTCTTGTAGCCTTGAAGATGACGGGATTAGAGGAGAAGATATAGCTTCCCGGGTCAAAGCTGCCCTCACGGTAGTGTCTGTCGGTAGAGTTATACGGGTGTCACACTGGACCTAGAGCCGAACCCGACCCGCCGATCACTCTAACTGACTCGCCCAGCGTGTTGCCGATACCTGGAAGCAGAGTGGTTGCACCGGGAGCTAAGTTCTTGGACCAAAGAAATTGAGTGGAATAGGGAGAGTACCGATCAGCTAACAGCAAAACGATGTCGGAAACAATACTACAGAGGATAGAAAACTCAAAAAAGTAGTCCGCAGGACTGAGCGTTGTGACCATCAACGGGAGTACCAGATACATATTCGTACAGAACTAGTAATCAAATATAGTTGAAATCTCTATAAAAGGTCGTATGCTGCCCAGCAAAATATTTCACTTGGATACACTCGGAGATGGTAGGTTTTCTGCATGAATCACCCCGTCCAATAACAAGACCCCGAACTACAAAGCGCCCTGATAACCAAAAACTGCCGCCAAACCACCCTATCGCCCAAAACAAAACACGAACAATTATTGCTGCCTGAGTCATTCTGAGCACAGATGACATCCACCTCGGCCCTGCCCCAAACAGCCAAATAAATTAAAAACTCCCGCAGATCCCTGACTCACCCACAACGCTCCATTAAAGTAAACCATTCAAATCACCGCCTAGTTCGATCCTGATGAGGTCATAGGCCGTTCTAGAACGACCGGAACAGGGGGCCCGGGCTCAGCCGCGTTGTCAAAGATCAACTAAGCTTCATGATTGCCTATTCGGGGGACAGATTGGGGATAGACAAATTGCCAGTATGGGATGAGATTGTGACTACGTCGTATTGGAGTTGTGAGCGATATCATGGATGCCTGGGGGACATTGTGCGTCATCGTTTGTGATTTTAGTGATTTTCCTTTTCTTCTGGGGGTATATATTTGGTGGATTGGGGAGGGGGTTTTGTGGGATTATCTGGGATAATTGTGTTTAATTCTATATTCTCCTGCTGGACGGTGCTGTATAGAAGGAAGAATAATTACTTCTATCATATACTTTACTTCGGTATATTCCCATAGACCAACAAAGCTCCTCAAAATGGACCCTACAGCATCATCACCATCACCACCACCCTATACCCCAACCGACACCACCTCCGAAACCGCATCTCGTACACCATCTCAATAACCCCCCAAAACCTCGCCCCGGAAACCCTCCTCACTCGCGGGTTACAAATCCCCTCGAAATCCGCCTACCCAACTTCCGGCTTCCCTTACCCACCCCTCCTCACCCAATACAACATCACCCCCACCGACTGGGAAAACTTCACCTCCGAGGTGATGACCACGGCCCGAATGAGCCGCAAACAATGGACCACAGCCATTGGAAAGGGTCTCGGGGTGATGGCTATCGGGGGGCTCATGGTCGGGTTTCTAGGCGCTATACCGGGGTATTATGTGGCGAGGCGGACGCAGCGGAATCGGGAGGAGAGGAATATGATTCTTGGGAGTGGAGAGTTGCGGGCGGTGATTGAGAAATGGAATGGGGGGTTTTTTGAGCCCAGGGGGGTGTTGATTAGGGTGGATTTGCCGTTTGAGGAGGTGGAGGAGATGGAGATGATGGATGTTTTGGAGAAGAGACGGGGGTTTGGGTTGGGAAGGGAAGGGGGTGAGGAGAGGGTGAGGGAGGACGCCGCGAGGAAGGCGAGGATTGTGATTATCCCTTTGCCTGGGAAGATGGGGTAGAAGGATCTTGGGTGTTGGGATGCTCGAGTTACGTTTTGTATGTGAAGTGTGATGTGAGGATGGGTGTTCTAGGTAATGGTAATGAATAAAAGATTCTTATTCGTATAGTTTAGATTTATATTTATATTCTTAGCTTCGTAAGTAAGCTTCGTAAAGTTCGTGGACTTCAGGAATTATATCCGTTCGACGGATCTTGGGCTCATCTCAACGTACATACAGACATACAACAGAAAAGAGAAATACCATAGTAACTGCTCAATCTAGACCCGAGTCGTGTTGTCCCTGCTGCCGACGTTCTCGACGTGGCTGGACTGTTCTGCGATCTGCGCCTTATCCGACATCACCATGTCGCGCTGCTCGGCATCCCGAGCACCGTACAGACCGATCTTGTACCAGGGCAGCTCGAACAGTCGGTCAATGGTCTCTAGACTCCGGCCGGCCGTCTCGGGGACGGTGAACAGCACCCAGAACCAGCCGATGACGGTCACCGCGGAGAAGAACCAGAAGGTACCCATGGGGGTAATACCGCCGTGGTCCGTGCCGAGAAGCATGTTAGGCACCGCACGCGAGTTGCCGTATTGGTTGACGAAGTGCAGAGTCATCGCCAGCGACGTCGCGAGGGCACGGATCCGGAGCGGGAACAGCTCAGCCGTGAGGAGATACTGCATGGAGTTCCAGCCGAGGGCCCAGCCGAATCCGGAAATGTAGATCATCGCGATAGCGCCTCGGCTGGGGCCCACTTTGTCTGCGGGGAGCACGAAATCGTCCACAGTGCCCATCTCCGGGACACTGGTGAGGAAGCCGGCAACATAGATCATGGAGATCGCCTGGAATGTGATACCGATCAGCAACGAGCGCTTGCGGCCAATCACGTCGACCAGGAACAGGGCGCAAATAATAGCAGCGACCAATTTGACAATACCGAAGATACCGGTGATCAGGAGCGATTCGTTCGACCCGGTAATGCCGAGCAGGGCGAACAGGTCGGGGGCATACAAGGTGATTGAACCGGCCCCGGACCACTGGGAGAGGAGTTGAGCCATCAGGGCGAGGTACAGACGGTACAGGTTGCTGGGAACCAGGAAGGCCTCCTTGATCACCCCCATAGGACCGGATCCCATCGTAGCTTCCATCTCGGCCTCGTGCGAATTCCGGATGGCGGTGATTTCCTCGACAACATACTCATGGTCCTCGGGGAGATGTCGGACACGCGACAAGTTCTTCAAGGCCTCCTCATACTTTCCTTTCTTGACGAGGTAGCGAGGGGACTCATACTGGGTGAAGGAAAGGAGGAAGATGAGTCCGGCAAAGATGACATGCAGACTGGTGGGTACTTCCTATGGAAACGTTAGGAAACCTAGCGACCACTGTTAAGGATGTAATGTACTGACCCAACGCTTGTGAGTGTTGTCTCCGAGGTTGACTTGGCAGCCATAGTTGGTGAAGTAGGCAAGCACGATACCGAGGTAGACAAAGCCAGTGAAGACACAGGTACAGAGACCACGGACCGATGCGGGGGCCTGCGATGGTGAGTCGACGATCTCTTTACAGAATAAGGGGTGCTGCACGTACGATTTCCGCCAGGTACACAGGACCAACCACAACTGTCTGACCGACACCCAAACCAGCAACGAAACGGCCAGCATAGATAGCACCCAGGTTGCCGTTGGCTCCCATGAAGATAGCAATACCGATGATCCATAGGACACAGAGCTGACGGGTAGCCCAGAGGCGGCCGATGCGATCGCAAACTAAGAAGGCACTGAGAAACAAAAGGGTTAGTTGTCGGGACATGGAGGACATCGCCACGGATAGGATTGTCCTTACAAAAGAGCACCGCCGACAGAACCAATCTGGACCATGGCAGAGACATTGGCCTTGATGTTGGTCTGCTCGACCTTACTGTACGAATCGTAGTTGATGGTCCTTTGAAAATCCTTGGAGTTGAAGGCACCGGAGATCAAGCCCTCATCGACACCTCGAGCAGCACCCATGAGCCCGAAAGAGACGACAGCGAGCCATAGTCTCCAGTTGTAAACCTGTTTGGGATCGCCCAGGTTTTTGAGCTGAAAGATATTGACGGGTTTCTTTGCGCCCGCCATTGTGGGAGAGGGGGAAAGACTTGCGCTGACTTCGGTGCCGTTCTGGCGTAAGAGTCAAGTAAGGAGAGGACGCAAGTGGTAAAAGGGAAGAGGGGTCACAACGCAATGGTGACACGGACAGGGAGGCCGGATAGCGAGGATATTATATACCCCAGACGATCCCACCGACTGGGGATTCTTTCGCACATGGTGGTGACATAGAACAATGCGGGGGATGATACAAAGCGTGGGGAGACACATCGGAATAACCGACCATTACCCAAAAGTAAAATTCAACATACACCCCCAACCCTAGAGCTAGAACAACGAAGGTCGATGTTGTCACCCCAATAGGAAACTCTGCCCGGTGGGCCTGCGTTGGCCAAGAGCCGGATGTCGCCAAGGGTGCTTAAAGACGGTGGTACATGTAGGGCGCGAGCCTTGGGTGTGTTCCTCCCGTCGGCCAGGTTCCGAAGCCTCGCGAAGAGCTTATTAGCTCTAAACTCATGCTCGGCGTTGTTCTCATTGTGTAGCAGTCCTACTGTTCCGGCCGAAATATACACGAAAGGAAACAACATTGAAACAAAGAAAGCGTAGAAAAATTCTGAACAAGGGGCCACCTGTCTAATGCATCATCCTCGTCCGAGTCGTTGCATTTTCCTACATATCCCTGCCATGCACAACTAATCACATGGACCCAGTTGTTTTACGGCCGAAAAAAAAAAAAAAATTTGGAGCTTTCCCCGGCATCGGATCTGGATCACATCTAGTCTGATCGAGCAGGAGCAATGTCGGTAATACTTAGGGCATGGGACGATTTCGGTCAACGTCCGAAAGGCATCTGGCGTCACCAAGGCCAAAACGCGAGAAAATTCTCCGGCCGGACCGCTTGGCAGACCTGGGGAAATGGAGGGCATCACGAGTTTTACTGGACTGTCACGAGGAATGCGGGATGTAGCGTAGCAGGTGGGGATCTGGAGCAGCCATGTTCGACCTTCTTGACTGGTGACCGGGGGCGTTGAAAGCAAACGGATTGAGTGGCTCTCCAGCACGGACTCGCTCTGCCGATCCACATGTGGTGGCCAAGATTTCTTTGGCTCTTTCTGGGGAAAGTGGACCTCAAAAACCCTAACTTAAGAAGCTAATTAGGAGAAATGTAACGTATCTGGCAAATAAATGGGAAAAAATTAGTAATTCTTCCCCACCTTGATTTTAAAAAAGGGAATTAAAGGTCTCACGATTGTGCGGACTAGTCCAGTCCATACTCATAAGAAATGGATGTTCGCCCCCAGGTCCATCCCCGCGAAGGATTCATGGCCCTTGCTAGTCCTTCCTCGGTCCATCCAGTCATTTCCCACTCGCCTCAGCGCTAGTCATCTGGTCCGGACTCACACCGACGCGGCCGAATACGGCATGATTGCCCCCGGGTAATTAGCCCAAGGAGACACTGGCTAACCCACTGGAACAAAAACCCCGACGGATCGGTGAGATCCGAAGACGTGATGGGGAAGCCGTGGCACTGATAGGCAATTGACAGGAGGTCAAAGAGTGTGAGAAATTTGTCATCGGTTGGTAGAGAGGCGCTGGATGGAGTGGCCTCAGAGTAGGGTTTCGGCGAGACCGTGACCGGTGGTGTTACGATGCATGCGCAACTACCAGGAGTAGTAAACACACATTAGCACCTATGGCTATTCTCACCCACCCACAAGGATCATCTTTATTGTCCGTCCGCTCGGCCGTCGTCGTTTAATTGGTGTATCTTACGGCTACTCGGCAAGTTCCTGCGTGGACGTTTCCCGTGTGTGCTTCAGATAAAGCTGTGATCGACGGCAACAAGTTAAAAATGGCCAATATTCTTGATTTAAATTTACATACGAATGAATCAATACATGCAATGCGTCCCTCTCCTGATATCATGCAGGCTATGACCGGTCTATGCATGCTCCGATACATAAATACCACCCGGCTCCCATATTAGACACAAGCGAAATAGCCCAAGCAAAAACCCCCCTGTCTGCGGCTGGCTCTATGTCCGCCAGCGGAAGGCCGGGTTGCGCCAGTCTAGATCCTGGATCTGTTTCTGGGACATGCCCCGCAGAGCCTGGTCAATGTCCACCTTCTCCCGCTTTTTGTTATCCCATTTCATCCACATCCAAAGACAGGCCCCGAGGATCATAGTTAATGATGACGTGGCCAGGTTGAGGCCGTTCCCAATATGATAATTTGGCGCATCGAATGGTAAGAATGACCAGGTGGAAACCAGCCCGCCCAAGTTGCCGAACATCACGGTCGTTCCAATCGCCGACGACCGCGCCGTATCCGATACTACGTTGTTCGAAACATGAGCATTGCAAAGGGCGCCAAATGCGAACGCGCCGCTCGCAATCAGGAAGGTCGCACCATAGCGCACCATGGGCTCGGTGCTGGCCAAAAACATGATATAACCGATGATCATGAGGGGCGGTGCGACTACAAAGTACACCATGCGGTTGTCCCAGCGCCAGCTGAGAAAGGGGAACAGAACGGTGAAGAACGCGCCGACCACGTAGGGAGGCACAGTGTGCAACTGTTGTGAAACAACGCTGGCATTCGGATAGATTGTTCGGACAATGGTCGGGGCGAAGAATGCCAATCCCTGGACGGTGATGTTATTGAGCAAAAAGATAAACGACGTTGACAATGTGACCGGATTAAAGATGCCGAGCATCATCTTGGTACGATCCATCTTGTCGAGGACTTCGGTGGTCGAGACACGCTCCGCCTTCAATCGGGTAATGGCAAGGTCTTTCTCCTCTTGTGTCAGCCAGCGTGCCGTCTCCGGTCGGTCAGTTAGGGTGACAAAGGCTATGAGGCCGAGGCCAATTGTGATGATGCCCTCGATCGCGAAGATCATGCGCCAGGTGCGCAGGCTGCCGAAATGGTCGAGCGTTAAGATTGCCGATGCTAGGAGGCCACCAAAAGCACCGGCAAGTGGTGCCATGACGATATATAGCGCTAGGCGGAATGCAAGCTCACTGCGCCGATACCAGCGCGAAAGGTAGTAGGCAATTCCGGGTAACATGCCTGCTTCGAATATCCCAAGGAGGAATCGGACTCCTGATGCCGCATGGATATCCTGCACGAAAGCCGTTCCAAGGGAACAAACCCCGAACAACACAGTGGTCGTAGGAAGAAACCAACCGGGTCCCATCCATTTGCAAGCGATATTGCATGGAATCTCGAAGATGATGTATGAAATGTAAAATATAGACAAGATGGTATTATAATCGTTGCCCGTAAGGCCCAAATCTTTCTCCAGCCCGGCGAGTTTGGCGTTCCCTGCAGTGTAGTCTTGGTTAGTGCCCGGCTACACTAGTGACATGATATGTATTATGAGACAGCTTTGGGTCGCATGTCAGTCCGCAATGCAGGTGACCTACCGATATTCGCGCGGTCAATGAAACAAAAGAGATAGAGCAGCGCCACGGTGGGGACGATGCACAGATCGATCTTTAGTCGTAGGCGACGTTCTGCAGCACGATCGAACTCAATCAATACGCGACCATACTGATCAGTCGCAGCATGGCCGTGTTCAGCCGCATCGATGACCTTGTTAGCCTCAGTATCGCCGGCCTTCTCATCCGCGACACCATCCAAGGCACCCTTTTCGGTCGCCATGCTCGCTTAACTTTATATCACAGTGAGCTCAAGAACCAGTAGCCAGGTGGACAGTTGCCGATCTTGCTACCTTTGCATCCTCGGTAGACATGCAAGGGGGGATGCGGGGTGAATTTATACACAATGTGAAAAAGAAATCCCCCGATGACTGTCGGATGCAAGAGACAGATCGGATTTGCCGAAAGTCAGTGCGGGAATGAGGTTCGGATGACTGCAAAGGTGCAGGATTCTGGGGTTGAGCAGATTTTCGCTGTCAGGGTCTGGGCATTGGACACCTGGGAGCCTCGAATTTCAGGCCAGTAACCACATGGCCCAGAAACGCGGCACGTTCACTGGTCCTCTTCAACGAGTTGGCTCAAATTCACGGTAGTTAAACCGGGGAGCTCAGTAGTTCTCCACAAGGTAGAAGCAGGGCCATGTCATTCATGGAATTGCCGAGCTGCATGGTAATTGCTTTCATTCGTTAAGCCGGGGTTGATAGGCGAGCCGCGGCACCTGGGCATATTGGGAAGAGATCCCAGTTAGGTTAACAATCCCTTTTGTCGGAGCTGCCAGAGTTTCGTGGCGCTCTTGGCCGTTGGCGGAATATTCATGTTTGATGCTGACTGCGGAAGATTTGGCCTATCGCCGGTAGGCTAACGTCAAAGCTCTTCGTGAGCCAAGTCGCCAAGAAGCGCTCCGCTGAAGGGGAAGGCGCTGCGAGACACGAGATTCGTCAACATAAAGATCATGAGCGTTGCCAACCGTGGATAGTCGAAGTATGCCATGTGTCCAAACCAATGAACTTATGCGGGGAACTTATTAGACCTCGTCTATATCCAGTCACCTGGGTGCGATGAATCAAGGGGAAACGAAAAGACTGAACTGGGATAGGAGTTGAGTGAATAAAGATAGACAAGAAAGAGACGGGGGTATTACATAGCAAAGGTATCAGCTATAAGCTTGTCTTTGGTGAGCGCAGCTTGTAGTTATTGTGGTGAATAGGTGTTGATAGACAAAAATTAAAATGCTGATGGACGGTGAGAAAAAGTCTTGGCGAGGTTTTCCCCCGGATCCCAGAAACTTCCCCGCATTCTGGCCGATCAGCACCCAACTCATTTTTGTGCTATTATAAGCGAGAGTCTTGGTACGCCCAATGCTTTCGGCATATAGACATGCCCGGCACGGTAAATACATCTTCCTTACTTTATGAGTGTGAAAGTATGACGATTGGATTGGCCATATGCATTTCTTCCTTTGGCATGCCCCTTGCAGAGTAGGGTAGGCTAATCACCTGATCAGACCTTGCCACGAGGCGGGCAAACCATAACCATGTCTACCTTGGGCGGAACGGGCAAGATGGTTGAACGTAATCACTATCTGCTCGATCAGTCCCAACGGTCAGCCTATCAGATACACTGAATTGCGTTCGTTGCAGACGCTTCACTATGAATTGGTGTCTTTATCCATACTAGAATACTTGGTCATGTATTCATGGTCCTGGATTGCCTGGCCTGTCTTGTCATAGCATCCGATGAGTTACTCATATTATATTGAATTGCCGTACAGTAATTCCTGAAAGTAGACGCCAGCAAATTAGCATCTTCGTTGCCCTCATTCACAGGGCTGAAATGGAGTCGTACCTATAGCAATATTCAACAATTTGGTCTGTAGAAACCTCATATACGTTCGATTCCTATCGGCTAAGTCGATACGGTAGTTATACTCCCAATCTAACAGAGTACCCCTTTTTTGGATCCCCACAACTCTGAAGATCTGATAGACCCTTTCATAGACTCTCCTGCAGGTCTAGGGATTTGAAAATTCTGTTGAATTAATTGATCTGGTTAGGCAAGCTAAGAATCGAGTACTCACAGATGTGTTACGAGGAGTAATATCATATTCATCGCACCTGGGGTTGTCAAGCTGTTCGGGCCTTGGCATAGTACTACTTTCTGCCTTAGTAGGCGATATACCCAGAGAGTCAGACAGACCTACTGCAATGAGATGAATATGTGAGCTACACGTCTCCAAGCTTAATGGTGGAGGAGTGTCAAAATGGATATTGCCCATCTGAGGATACCATATAGAGACGCCTATGGTGTCTGGACATTTTTAGGTAGTCGAATATGCTGATTTTTCATTCCACAATTACAACCCCGGCGATCGTAAAAGGCGACCTTGCTTGTAGCCTGCAGGATCGTCTACAATATTGTCTACAGAATAACAGTGGCGACTACATGGGCTACGACGGACACAATACGACCTGCCAAATCATTTTTAGCTGCAGTTGACGTATGCGAACGTGGATAAGGAACGTGATAATCTCGTACTAATGTATCAATGATCGACAAAAGCCCAGTTGGGCCCACATTTTAATTCAATGGTTCAGTAGTTTTCTTCCAAGTTTTGGCTGTCTTTCGGTAAGTATCGATTAGTTCTAGCCTTCACTCGCCGCACCAAAAGAATAAATAAATAAATAAAAATGAAGATAACCATTAATTAAGTTAAAAAAAAAGGAAAAGAGAAGAAAAAAAAAGGAAAAGGGGAAGAATCACCCCAACTACCCAGAAGGTTTTGCCTGAATAAAAAAAGTACTTTAGGCACGCCATCCTCGACGCTGAGCCTGCAGCTTCTCCATTTTATACATCAACTGCACAGTCATCACGTACTACCTTCTCAGGGCGAGGTGGACAGGTTAGCCGCGAACGCAAAATGAATAAGAGCCTCCCTCGAATCGCCTGCTTCCACGGTGGTGGATCTTCTGCAGCGATTTATGAGATTCAGTACTCGTTCCTCACTGCGCTTCTTACACATGGATTTCAGTTCAAGTTCTTCGAAGATCCCTTTGACAGTATCGCTGGCCCTGGCATTCTCCCAACATTCGGTAGATTTGAGCCATATAAATCTTGGTTTTCCAAAGGTGAAAGCAATGGGCACGATTGGACTGAACAGGATAGCCTGGAATGGGTGTCGACTATGATGGAAGAGCGACGGGCCGGACTGGGAGGGGAGTGGGTGGGCGTGATGGGATTTAGCGAGGGAACTCGAATAGCGAGTGGACGGCTTTTGGACCAACAACGTCGAAAAGAGCTCGGTCTACGACTAGCAGTTCCTTCTATTCAGCTGCGGTTTGGCGTGCTGTGTATGGGTGAGGGACCGCCGATGGCGGGCAGCAAAAGCTATTCGGCTTGGGGCGAGCAATCTTACGTCGTATCATAAGGGATCGAGCTACACCAGATACCATGAGCCAATCGGGAGCTAATCCAAAAGCAAAAATATTGAGAGAGAGAGAGAGAGAGAGAGAGATGTGCATTATACTCCAATACAGCTCCTTTTTTGGGGCTCTTCTCGGGTCGCCGACGGCCAGTTGGCCAGCCGGTGGGACTAACTTAGGTATATACAGTGCTATTCTAGCTAGATAGTGGAAGGCTCGCTGCCTTCGTGTGGTGTCAAGATATTTTAGTTCCCTTCCCCTGCACCGGCTCCCTTGTCAGTCCCTCCAGCTCAACCAAGTAGCTCGCATTGACAAAGCAAAAATATTAGTGTATAGCTGATGAGGAAGAATCGGCCAGTTGCTTGAGGGTTTTCCAATATAAGATTATGTACACAGTACTCAAACCCTTTAACGACATATATCCTCAATTCATCCTAGATGCAATATGAGAGGAAACAGTAAAATGATAATGTCCTTCAGCCCAAAGTATACAAAGCATAGCGAATTGAACTGAACAGACCGAGGTTCTATCGGCTGAGATCTGCCTTAACTTGACTTCCTTTCATAAACCGAATCCGTATTAGTCTACTGAGATCTATATCTATCTATATATGCCGCTGAATATATATCTATAACAATAATTCAATGCGATATGTGCAATTCCACGTCTAATGCCGTCCATGCAAGGCGGAACAGATTACTCTGACCTCGCACTCTTAGTCTTCTTACTCCTCAACTTCATCATCAAGAACACCAGTCCGTAAGAACTGATGCAGAAGAGTGCAGTGATACCAGTCTGGATCCAGAGTCAGTATAGTCTCAGGTTTATCCAATGAGGGAGGGGGGGGCGACTTACATCTCTCCAAGAATAGTACTTCTCCTTCAAGTTGAACGTCTTGGCATAGTCCGCTCCAGTGGAGTACTGACAGAACGAGCAGCTAGCAGTCGAGTTCGGGTCAAGAAGATAGCCCGCCTGCTCGCTAAGGAAGTCGGCCATGTACTGGCCGCACGTCTGACCGGATGGCGCACTGAAATGCACAAGTTCGGACGCCTTACACTCCACCTGCACGTCCCAGAGGACCTCACCTAGGAGCCCCCCGACTAGGTACGTGAATGGATCCAGGTAGTACATCCAGTAGCGCCAGAAGGGCTGCAGCGCTGAGTAGGGAACGACGACACCGCAGAAGGAGACCAGGCCAGCACCGAGGAGAATCGGGTTCATGATGGCGGCAAAGTATTCATTTGGAGCATATGCGGCAATGGCTTGGCCGATCGATGTGTAGAGGAATTCGTAAACTGTGTTGGGTTAGTTCAACTTCCTCATGAATTGTAGCGGTAGTACTAACAGATCATCTGTAAGTAGACGTGGCCGGAGATGCTAGCCTCGACAGGGAAGCCTGCAGTGAAGTACCAGCATGCGAAGTAAAGAGTTGCGCAGATAATGAGATATGGAATTTCTGAGACGGCTTGAGCGCCGATAAAGGCGAGCCAATGGTATGTTTTGGACTAGCCTTTGTTAGTAAACGTTGTCTATAGAATTAAGATCGCGAATGCGAAGTGACCAACCTTCTTTTCGCGGGTCTCAAAAATATCGCGATTGTGTAAGAAGAATGGTTGCATTTGGTTGATACATCCTGGAGCGACAAAAACGAAGTTGAAGATAGCGAAGAGACGAAGTTGGAGGTCAAACGTGCCGTTACCCATTTTCCAAAAGGTAAAACCGCTGAACAGAGCTGCGAAGACATGGAGAATGATCTTGCTCCAGATATAGTCCTTGATAATGTTCAGTATTCATTGTATGACAATGATCAAAGAGCAATAACTCACCGGTGACCGCCACAATTGAATCATGAGACGGCGCAAGACCATCTTGAATTGGAACCAATGAGAAGTTGCAAAGTCAGATTGATCTTCCTCCTCCTGTGTGTTCTGCTTCCGCTCGTTGTTCAAAGCTTCTAATTCGGCCATGGCTCGCTGACGCTCCTCAGATTGGTTCCAGACTTCAACCCAGTCAACCTTCTTCTCAGTGTTGCCCTGAATAACCTCCACAATATGTTCGGCTGGGTTGACATCGGGTTCGCAGGGAGCGCCGTTTCTTGCAAAATAGTCCAGTACCTTGGTGGAGTCCTGGCCAGCTGTACTCTATTAGACCCATTATATCGTACCATAAGGGGGTGAGAGGACTTACTCTCGCCAAAATATGTCATTTTACCGCCCTTAGCAAGGAGAAGCAGCGAATCAAAGGCATCAAATAATACAGCAGAGGGTTGGTGAATGGTGCACTGTGGCTTGTTAGCTGCTATGATTATCTCGCAGTTGTGAAAAGACCTACCAAGACTGCTTGACCACCATCCACTAGCTTTCTCAAGAATCGAATAATGTTGTACGCCGACTGACCATCTAGACCCGACGTAGGCTCATCGAGGAACAGCAGAGTCGGCTTTGCCACCAGTTCAACACCTAGTGTGACTCTCTTCCGCTGCTCGATACTGAGGCCGGCTCCGGGGACTATAGGAGTTAGTAAAATGTTAAGTATTCAAGCCCTGTGGACGATAACGTACTGCCAATCAGAGCGTCACTGATGTCGCTCAGCTCCAGTAGATCAATAATGTGATTTACGTACGCCAGTTTTTCTTCTCGAGAAACTGATGCAGGCTGACGGAGAAGAGCAGAAAATTCTAATGCTTCCCGGACCGTCGCACTTGCTTCGTGCACATCCATCTGTTCACAATAACCTGTGGTTCGCTGAAAGCTCACCCCTTGAGGCCGGCCGTCAATTAGGATGGACCCATAAATCTCGCCACTATCTTTCCGTTGAGCCAAAACATCAAGCAACCTGAACGATATGTCAGTCTAGGCCAAGAGAGTTTATGAATCAGAACACGTACGTTGTTTTACCAGCACCAGAGCAACCCATGAGTGCGACAAGGTTACCAGGCTTTACATAACCAAACACCTGGTCCAGAAGCTGCTTTTTCTGACCATGGAAGGGGACATGATAGTCAAGATTGTTCCACGTAAATGTTGACTGTTTGGCGGTATTTGAAAGAGCACCAGCGTTTGCTGTTGGCTGGGACGTAACCTGCTGACCCTTTTCCATATCCGAAGTGCGCTGCTTCTGACTTCCACGTTTATAGAGGAGCACGGATGACCCCCCTTGACTGTTGAGTTTTTCGAAGCCCACAGCGGTAAGGAAAATGAAAAATGCCCACATGCCAATGATGACACCGAAGCTGCGCCAGATATGGCCGACTGAGTAGTGGTACTGCTCCCGAATATATGCGGCCCCATCAATGAGTCCATTTTCATCACTGCCCAGCACAGAGCAGCCACGGTAGGCAGATGACGAGTCTGGATATCCTGCCCCATAAGGAATATAGTCAGGTGAGACGCAGTCAAGCTTCAACCCAGAAAATTCATTTGCCATGAGTGCCTCAAATGCATATGCACCAGGGTTGAGGTAGAAGATCCAGCGGAACCAAACGTGCATTTTCTCGAATGGGATAAGATAACCTGTGGCAGTCAGTAGCGTTCTCAGCTTGTGAACTGATGGCACATACCCCCGTAAACGAAGAAGATGGTCGACAGCAATCCCGATATCATCGATGCAACTCCAAACTTCCTGCATAACGCACCAACAGCCCGGAAGAGCTGCATGAAACACAGAGTTAGAGCGATAAGCATAATCCAGTAGGTAAAGAATCTGCCGGCATCCATCTGCAACGCAGACATGAAGTACAGGATCAATGAAAAGCATGAAATTTGCACGATCACGACGGGTATATCCGTGATAGCATTGGCAATGCAGAATGCTGTTGGACGGTAGAAGCCAAAACGCTTTTGGCGGGAGAGAATAGGGCGACCCATGAATGCACCCGTTGTCTCTGACAAACCCTCCAAGAGGAAGTAGAGACATGGAAAGAAGAGTGTACCAGGGCGAAGGAAAATAGAGGAACTATCCAGTTTCAGGTTATAGAAAATACTGCCACAGACTAGCGCCTGCAGAATGGCTGAGACGATCTTGATGGCAAGGGAAAGTTTATCTCCCGCCATAATTTGGAATTGCCTTATCCAAGTTAGCTATGTGCTTCCATAATTCTCCAAAATACCTCATGGACACGGCTTACCGAACTGTGCAAGCACGGATCTGGTCCCAGAGGCTCGTTGTGTATACACTCTGAGGCCGGGGAAGATGTTTCTTTTTCTTTTCGTTAGCCACTGCCATGACCAGATCGTCCTTCTCGTGTGTAAGTTTCTCTGGTGGCTCAATAGCTTCCAGCATCTGCGCATTGATGTCGCTTGCAAGAAATCGAGACTCGAATTCCTCAGGAGTACTGGGAACCTTCTCCTCCAACCCTGGTTGGACAATACGTTCGGTAATCACCGTGACTGAAGTTAGGAAATCGGCAATGTTGGCACCTTTTGGAACAACAAATCCCATATCTTCAAAGTACGCTCGTGCCATAGTCCTGGGACCATAGTAAATGACCCTCCCTTCTGCAAGAACCAAGATCTTGTCAAATTCATCGTAGATACCATTTCCTGCCTGGTACATGGTGGCCACCATGGTTTTGTCGTTCTGGTCCGCTTCACGGCGCAGGAGACGTGCAAATTCGACCGCAGTCTTTGAATCAAGGCCGCGCGTGGGGTTATCCCAAAACTGGACGGGACTCTGTAATAATATGTCAGATTCGCTTTGTTCTCCGCTTATCTTACTGAGTTGAGTGAGTCTCACCTGGCCAGCCATTACTTCAGCCAAAGATACACGCTTTCTTTCTCCGCCAGACACGCCACGAATGAACTCATTTCCCACTAATGTCTTCTTGGTATGTGCGATTCCCAGAGATTCTAGGATACCGTCCCTTGTACCCTGTATATATTCATTTTTCTCCTGTAGATGTTCGGGACGCTCTCGAGGGACCTTGTTTCTCAAAGCAAACTTCATAGTTCGGTTGACCGTCAATGTCGGAAAGTGGATGTCGTCTTCATTGTTGAACATGATCTGCTGTCGGAATTTCTTTGCTTCTTTATGGTCCATACTTCCGTACCAAGTCTCACCACTCACTTCGTCGAACGAATCTCGGTCATTTGAAAGAACTCGAAGGAAAGAAGTGCATCCGGCACCAGGCCGACCTAATACTAGCAGCTATCATTGTATCAGCTTAGCTGTCCTGTACAATTCACTCTGTCGCCTTACCATCTCGCCTGGTTTGACTTGTCCATTAATATCCTTGAGGATAGTCTAATTTTCTGTCAGCTGCTGGTTCAATATTAGTGTATAACAATCCAGTGCCTACCCTTTTGTTCTGTCGACTACTCCGAAAGACATCTAGGAGTTGTCGTGGGTCGGCATAGGACAGTAGTGTATCGCCTAGGGCTGCATCGGGAGCCGTGACTCGGACATTTAAGTTTCGAAAGGTCAGGGTTAAACGTTTGCGAATCGCACCGCCACCGTGCTCTAGGTCAACAGTGCCGGAGGATGGAGTATCCATGGTGGAAAACGCTATTACTGGCGCACCCTACCTTGGCGATTCTTAGTACTCTGAGAGTCGATCTATGATGGGGTCCATGTCATACCAATTGCTCAGACTGGAATATCCACAGCTCATACAACACCGATAGTGACGTATTGATAGAAGGACTCTGTAGTATCCTAACAGCTTTACCACCAAGTTCTATTATAATTTTCCCCTGGGAGTTAATTCTTATAAGTATGGTTCCTGGTGCCTGACAAAATGATCGCCGTAACTCCGTAATACCGACACCTGCACAAAATTACATCCGCATTTCCGTCATCCGGACCAATCCCGTCGATTTTACAGCCCTTCAGACCCACGGATTTGCAATAAAATCGGATATAGATACAAGATAAGATGCGATCTGAAAAATTTCGCTGTGCTCCATATTCCAGCTGCGATGAGCTGCAAGAGCTCTATTCCACGTCACAGTGCCCACATTTCCGACTCATTTTGAACCAGTCCTCTCCCGGATATCTTCAGCTTCATGTAAATTATGCTAGACATGGAACCCAACCGTTATGGGAGGTTCCTCCAGGCATGCATTGATGGGCTCTATTTTGCTCATTATCCAAGCAGTTGCCGGGTTAAAAGTTCAGTCCATTGCTTTTACTCATCCAAAAATGAAGCTCATCTAGAAGCGCATGCACCTTAAAAACGATGACCACTTGAAACTGCGTCATTGGCCATGTTTAGGCGCAAAACGGATTAAGGGGAGTGTGGGACTAGCAACTTGATTCTAGAAGCAGTTGCTTACTCCGTAGAGTTGAGGCGGGGGAACCGGTTGGACCGTGCTTTCGGATATACACAAAAGCTATCTATTGAGATTATTGGGTTGTCAGCTTACTAGTAGATGTCTACGTTAGGGTCAGTATGTTCCTTCACCAAGTTGACCAAACATAGTATTAGTAAGAAAGATAACGAAACATGATCTCACACCACACTTTTTCTGGAAGACAAACAGTGCAAGTTCAGTTATAGACTAGGATCTCTGGAGATATCTCGCGCATAAATACGTCACCCGGCATGCTATGAGGTGCATGTGAGCGAGGATATAGACAGGATAACAGATTTTATCCACGGCAATGAAGGATTCAATAAACATGTGAGTCACCATCTTAGACAACAGAAGCATGACATAGTACGTGACAAAGCCCCAGCTCTCTATTCCTACCTAGAATGGCAGGACCCTGATGATCCCGTATAAAAGCAGTTTGAAGGGTTCGGGCCCACTTTCCATCGCGGCGCAGGGTTTGTCTAGCCTGATATGTTTCATGCGTCAATCATTGTGAAGCCGACGAAATACGAACTTCCGGTCCGAGTTATTTTTTCAATTTTAGCTGCATCCTAAACGTGCAGTAAAATATACCAGTATCTCAACGGGGGTGTTGTGAACATGTCATAGCTTGGCATTCGGGAGACATGACTCGCTCAATCTCCACTTTCATTGTCTAGACGCAATTGTGTACATCATAGATTATCTGAAAAGTCTCCACAGAAAATTGCTAATACTGATGGAAGTTAACATCATGATTAGTCGTTGAGGTAAGGTGAAAAGCCGTGTTTCGACATGTTGAAAGAACCCAGGAGGTTAGGGCTTCGAATGTATATGGGTAGGAGTCTGAAGTCCCCGTATGTTCTTGGAGCAACATAGAAAGACCCGCTTGCTTTTCTGAGATAAGCACGTGGGACGTTGTGTTTGGTAGTTTACCGTAAGGGAGATTTTTTATGTGCTTGTGATTGTTATGATTCAGGATCTAGAGACCGCAGCCACTGTGGCCTGACCAGGTCGAGGCTTTGCTGATGGGATGCCATGAGTAGGCGTATATAATAGTACTGTGTGCGATAGTATTACGATTCTCTGATTCTATTCCTCTCACTCTTGTTTCCTGTGACACATTCTAACTCCTTACAGGCGAGAAAAACCCCGATGCCCGCCAAAATACAGATGTGGGTCAAGAGTAGTATCATAAATATCCTAGCAAAGGTTATGCTACAGATGCGTTAATTATTGTTGCAGCATGACCATTGCTTGAGGCTTAATATTCAAATCTTGCAAAAATTTTCAACCCTTCGATTACTCCTCGGCAGTGACTTTCTGATTGCTTTGAATTGTCTGGCTTGCACATTGTAATGATATGCACAGCGTAGGCAGAACTCCGATCCGTCTTACTTAAGCTCGTAAAGATAAATGGTAGATATGACCTTGCTGTTGTATAAATACAAACTCCCAACCCAGATATTATACACGAAGCGCTATACAGACAGGCAAAACTAAAGAAAATAGACATGATATATCTACTAGATTGATATAACAGGTAATAAGAACAACCTCTCATTTTGTCAATAATCAGATTACTCCATTGATGAGGTGCAAACAGCAGTAGGACCTATAGTAGGGAACTATGCAAGTTCTACTTATCTAGCCAATCCATACATTCTGATGTAGTAACATTGCATTCATACACATTTTCTATCTGTAGGATTCCTTAGTGGCAAGTACTGGCAAAAATGGCTCGATATGTACCATTGTTTCTATTGTGGGAAACTCGCCCGTTTATCGTGGCCGTTAGGCCCTTTCATAAAGATGATCACTTGGTATATATACCTTCAAATATGTGAGGAAATTAGATTGTTTGAGGTCTGTAAAATATATTCTCACGCAATTCAGTATATTTCCTTCATGGGTTTTACCTTGTCCTACAGTGCAGGCCCTAATTTCAGTTGTGATATTGCGAGGATATATATGTTTAGTACGGAACCCTTGAGATTCGCGGTTAGAAGATGTAAAAAATTCAACCCGAAAATAGGATGGACCGGAAAATATTTTTGGAGAGATATTTAGTCTGTGCAGTGTGCACATACTAGACTAGCGCACAGCTCTTCTAATATTGCCTTTTCTTCTCTTTTTTGAAAATTACGATGCCTAGTAGTCTTAGTGTGAAAAGGTGGAATATGCGTCGGACAACACACAAATCACTCAAGGTATGTCGGGAAATAGTGGGGGATTTTATGAGTCTAGCCCATTGCGAAGACAAGTTAATCTTATCTATAAATTTCTAATCTTGGATTATTTGTGAAAAAACATTGCATGATATCACATCTTCAGTTCTTTTTTTCTTCAGTGTCCCTACAAGCCAATCAGAGCTCGAATAGAGGTGTGGTTTAGATAATCACGGGACCCAGAATGCAACATCCTGTGACTACTCGACACCTCAGGCACTTAAAGTCATGTCCGAATGCGGAAGGAGGTTACTGCAAGCCCTGATAAAGAGATCGAGAATGTAACTTTGCGGTGGATTCTACTGTTTCTCTGCCTCTCATCCCTGATGGAGTACAGATCCATCCCAAGGTATCGTCGGTCAATTAACTAAAAGCGAAACCAGTCGAAGCAAATAAGAAAGCAGTTTGTTGCCCTTACACCCTCGCTTAGTATAGCACACCTGATATATGCCTCGGCGACCCAGTAGGCATTGTATGAGGGCTCGGAGCCGAGAAACCTGCGATTAAGACCTGCTACTTAGGGCTGATCGGCCGGAAGTTTTGCAGCGAGTTAGCGAGTGGCGACCACGGTCGAGTGGTAGGCTAGTCCATAAGTTGTCACCCGGACCAAGGGTCCAGAACTGTCTATGATCCTCTTATCTGGGGAGCCACTTCTTCAACCGTAGGCCCCCAGCGAAAGCACAAATGGGGCTCTTCTCAAGTGACCAACGGCCTAGACCACTCTCAGGGCAGTCGGCTACTCGGAAGGGCTGCGAAGGTTTCCAGGCCGGGCTCTGGACTTAACTTTCTTACCCTGCCCAACGTGGAAAAAATCACGACTACAAGAGAATATATAACATCAACCCTTAATCGGTGGACGGCCAAGAAACCCCCTCCCTTGACCCTCCTTCAACGTTCGCCGAGTACTGGCTATGCGATAAGCTCTCTCATGGCATTACTGGATTCGACAGCGTCCCATCACGCACATCCGGTACCTGCCGGGCAACGAATGCTCGCGGAGCTATCAAGGTAGGAATCGCTGCTGCGGGACCCCTTCTTGATCCTCCGGTCTCGTCCTCGTCGAGTCTCGCGGTATGCATTCCATACTGAGTAGACTTTACCGCCCCGAAAGCTCGATTGGCACGGACGGCTCAAGAGACGAACCGGCCGCGTCACCCACATACTTGCGAAAGCCCCCATCAACCCAGAATGCCGCTGGGGATACAATCTTGACAGGGCTTGCCGAGCTAGGAGCTTATCGAGTAGACTGTCATCAAGCCTTCGTTACACTGCTGGAGAACAACGAGCCGTATGTGATCGCGGAGGCAATAATCCCTCATATCGCCAAGAAAGATGAAAACGGGAAGAGCTCATTGCTCGGCTTAAAGACCTTGGGATTGACGGCTGATGGAAGCTATCCTACAAACGGATTCAAAGGGATACCGAATGACGGATGTCGTATTGTCCCGGACATATGCTCAGACCATACTATTGGTGGCCATCCATTTGTCACTCAATGCTCTGATATGCGCTTCTACGCGGAGGTCCCCCTCCGCAGCTCTGCAGGTGATATCTTTGGAACATACTGTGTTACTGACAGTACTCCACGCCCGTCATTTGCCGACGGTGAAGTTGATAATTTAAAGCAAGTCGCAAGTTCCATCGCCGGACATCTCGAAAATATTTGGACACTACATAAACGCTGTAAGTCTGAGCGGCTTCTCGGCGCGCTCACGGAATTTGCTAAAGGCCAACCTTCGGGGGACAACGAGCGAAACTCCCACAGCAGCAGGGGCTCTTTGGATCAAATCTCACATCGGTCATCAGAGCTTCCTGATATCGATCGCATTTCGTTGTCAACGGACACTACGCATGATAAATCTGGATCGGAAAGACCGAAACAAAAGGACAGGGCACATTCACCATCGTTCTTCAAACGCAGTGATGTTCCCATGAAGGCGCCCCCCTCACCTGAAAAACACCAACAACATGTCAGGAGATTCTCAGACGTGTCTAGTAACTTGATCGCTGTTTCAGAAGGTGTGACATCATCTGGAACATCCGCTCTGTTTTCTCAGGCTAGCCTGTTGCTGCGAGAGTGTATGAAGTTAGATGGTGTGGTGTTTTTGGATGCGTCGCGCACTAACTCTCGGAGGTAGGAGTCGTGTCCTTCTTATCTCGAAATTTGGTAACGCTGACTTTCCTTTTAGTTTTTCAACGGCCAGCGTCAGTGACTGGGAGGATCTCAGCAAAGATACCGATACCTCAGCACCTCTTCAGTCTCCTGGGCTGTCATCACAAGGCCCATGGTCCGAGAAACAATGTGACATGCTAGGTTGCGCCTTATCTGAAAACCTACTGGGTAACAATGGCTACTCGACCTTTTTTGGCTTGACAGAAGGCTTGCTACATGAATTGTTCGCGGCGTTCCCACATGGCGAAGTGTTCTACCCTCCAGGCATAACACGACGTTTTTCAGTGCAATCCACCAGTAGTCGTGGCCATAGCCGACAAGGTAGTGATGGCGGCCGATCCATGCACTATTCTATCACTATTCGATTAGGGCATGACTTCCCCGAAAGCAAATCCCTCATATTCCTTCCATTGTGGAACTGGGACAAGTCTCGATGGCTTGCAGGTGCGGTCGTGTGGATGAACGATAAGCAACGGCCATTAGGAGCGGATGATCTTTGGTATTTAAGAGCATTCGGTGATTCCATAGTTGCCAAATTCTCCCAGCTTGGATGGAGTGCTACGGAAAAATCAAAATCGGATCTGCTTTCATCTGTTAGCCATGAACTACGCTCACCCTTGCATGGAATGCTTGCCAGCGCTGAACTGCTGCAGACAACGAGCTTAGAGCCTGCCCAACGAGATATGCTTACAATGGTTGAAACTTGCGGTCTGACATTGTTAGACACGATGAACTACCTGTAAGACTGAATTAATCCCTCAATGTGCACCCCTGCAGCTAACGTTTTGACTCCGCAGCCTGGACTTCACAAAGGTCAACAACCTAACACATATACATAAGGCGGGGGAGGCTAGTGGTTCGGCCTATGACAACCTGACTACCGACTTTGACCTCGGTACGCTGATTGAAGACGTCTCTGAGACCTTGTATGCTGGCCACCGGTCTCTTATCAACGCTGCTAAAATAGCCGGTCGGTATCTGCCCAGCGGCGCCGGTGTCGGTAACAGATCTATTGGTACCGAAATCAAACAATTAGACAATCCTGATGATCTGTCTGTCGTCGTCCGCATTGAAGAGCAAAAGTCGTGGTCGATTCATTCTGTCTCGGGAGGGTGGCGGAGAATTGTGATGAATATACTTGGGAATTCGTTTAAGTTTACTCGCTCAGGTCTCATTGAGGTTTCCTTGTCTAAAGAGGTGGAGGGAGTTGGCAACCAGAAGACAACTCTTGCCCACCTGTCGGTCAAAGATACAGGATGCGGAATTGAATCAGAATTCCTTGAACATCAGCTTTACAAGCCTTTTGCACAGGAAGACGTGTTAACCGAAGGATGTGGACTAGGCTTGCCTATTGTGCAGCAAATCGTGACCAACCTAGGTGGCTACGTTGAGGTGCATAGCCAGGTTGGTGTCGGAACACAGGTTGATGTGCACGTTCCCATTGAATATGCCGTCCAAATACCACCACCTTCGGCCCCTCTTAAACAGACAGAGCGTCCAGGATCGCGGATCATGACGCGGGTTTGCCTGGTCGGTCTGAATCCGTATGCCGAACTTAAGGGAGCCCGGAAGGGAGTTATCACGACCGAGGCGAAGCGGAAGCTGTCAATTCGCGGAGCGCTCAGCAATGTGCTTCTCAGCCAGCCTGGGTGGATGGTATCCTTCGCTGATTCGCTTGATAAAGGCTCCGGTGACATTGGTGTCGTCGAGGAGTCTAGCCTAAAGAAGATCGCTGAAGCTGGTCCGATCGATACCCAGTTCACCACGATAATCGTGCTCGGTGAACATGGGGTATCTCTTCCAGGAAACTTTGCCATTAAAAACGCGGATATAATATATGTGTCCCAGCCGTACGTACTTACTGCCGTATCTTGTCCAATATTTTACTAATAATTGGTAGACTTGGTCCTCGCAAACTTAATGATGCACTGCAACGGTTCATCGACGCCCATCGCGAAGAAAGCCCGTTGTCAGAGAGCCCGGTTGCAGGCCCATTCTCTGGATTTCCTGGCCGTGGGCGCTCCTTATCCGCAGCATTTGCTGCCGCGAAGGGATCGGAATCACCTCCTATGGTCAGGGAAAATGTCGCGGAGCTTTCACCGTTTCCCACTCCTCAGGCCCTGAACCAGAAGAACATCCATGTTCTCATCGTGGATGACAATGACGTAAATATAAAGGCAAGCAAAAGATCCCTTCTTGTGGGGCAATATTCTCTAACCAGAAAATAGATTCTGGCTACTTTTATGCGCAAGATAGGTTGTAGTTACGAGACCGCGACCAACGGACTCGCCGCACTAGAAAAGTACAAAGCATGTGCGGGACAATTCGACTACGTCCTAATGGGTACGAATTCACCTGCTCTTCAACATAACATAGACAGGACTAAACTAACAGCGACAGATATCTCCATGCCCATCATGGATGGAATAGTATCCACAAGCAAGATCCGGGAGTATGAAGAACAAAATTCTCTGCCACGATGCACTATTATGGCAGTTACTGGAGTGGCATCGAGCTCAGTGCAACAACAGGCTTTCGCGGCTGGCGTTGACGATTATCTGGTTAAGCCCCTTTCTCTTCACGACTTGAAACGAATTATGAGTGTTGAATGAGTTTTGGTGTTTCTTTTTAGAGGAGGTGGGTGCTTGGAGTATGGTGTTTACGAAAGCGAATACCAATATGTTTTTATGTTTCTAAGTGCTCAACTAGGGCTTGATAAAATTATATGAATTTTGTTCAGCCTTTGCTGTTTAGCTTCTGTGTTTGATGGGACTGTTACAACATGGGCTGGACTATTCTAGTACGGTCTGCGTGCAGGCGTGTAGGTATCTATAAATGACCTTAAGTGATACTATTGCCAACGATTTGAGAGTCCCGGAGCCATTGATGTGTAGGTGGCACTGTCGTTCTCTAGAGCTGTCAAGTGAATATGCTTCATAACTCAGTAATTAGACTATACTGCTAGCATCCACTATGTCTTAAGACAAACGAGCCGTCAGAGCAATATACTATCAAATTTTCGTCCGTAAACTACTCAACCTCATCCGACTTCCCTTTCATAGCAATTTCCGCGCCCTCGGCATCCTGCATAGCATGGGGAACAAGCTGATCGCCAAAGAGCTCATCCATCTGCTCCAAAGTCCGACCCTTCGTCTCGGGAAAGAAGAAAATATAACAAGCCAAAGCGACCAGATTAAAGACAAAAAACACATAGAAATACCGAAACTCAATCGCCGTCAAAGCCTGCGGCGTGAACTGCGCGAAGATAAGATTCACAGTCCAGTTCGTGAACGTCGTGATCGCATTACCCAGAGCACGGACTTCGACGGGGAAGATCTCAGCCGGATATACCCAACTAATGATGCCGAGTGGTGTGTAGAAGAAACTGAAAAGGAAATTCATGGCTACCATGCTGCGCATCTGGTTCGCGTTCTCTGGGTTGAAGTATTGGCCCTGTACGGCGTTGATGAGGAGTGCCGTTGCTGTGCCTGCTGCTGAGGCCATGAGGGGCTTAATTCGTCCCACGCGGTCGAGGAGACCTAGCCCGATTGTGCAGTAGACTATGGCTAACGCGCCATTTATCCCGATAATTAAGAGAGACTCCCGTGTCGTTATCCCTAGGATCTCGTAGATCCGGGGCCCGTAGTAGTTGATTACGTTTATGCCCGAGAGAGGTCCGAATGCTTGCACTCCGCAGCCTAGGAGGAGACGCTTGCGCCAGGTTGGTTTCATTATTATGGATTTCCAGGTGATGTCTCCAAGGGTGCGGTCGGCGAGAATCACGTCCCGAATTTCGCGGTATTCGAGGTCGATGACGGTTTCGGGGAGGCCACTTCGGAGTCTGTTGAGGACTTGACGAGCTTCCTCATGGCGATCCTTTTCCATCAGCCACCGCGGGGATTCGTGGAGGAAAAATATGCCGACAAGGAGGACAAGACCGGGGACCGTTTGGAAAGCAAGCGGGAATCGCCCTAGGATCTCAGTAGTTAGCAAGAGTTCTGGTGTTGGGGCATGGCGACTGACAGGAGAATACAGTCGTGGAGAATGAGCAGCCGTATCCCAGCCACTGGGCGACTAAGAAACCCCAACTCAACATCCACTGGAGTAGACCAGACAAGGCACCTCTGTACTTCGCCTCGGATATTTCTGAGGCGTACATGGGGACTGTGGCTGTAAGCTGGCCCACGGCAACACCACCAATGAAGCGTCCGATGATTAACATAGCCATGTTCACGGCGCCGGCTTGTAATGCACATCCTAAGCACGAGATTACGGATGCCATGAATATAGTCCTACGACGTCCCAAGGAATTTGCGAAGAGCATGTTGATGATGGTCCCTAGAATGGCACCGCCTTGAAAAGCGGATACGATGCCACCTGTGACTGTATCGGATGGATCATTGAAATACTCAACGAAGGTGGGCAAAGCAATTGTGGATGTAATGATACCGGAATCATAGCCGAACAGAAATCCTCCTGTTGATAGGAGGATAGACGAGAAGATTGTTATCGCGCGACCCATGATGCTTGCAGGGTATTGCTATTCACGCGAACGTGGGTGGGAGCTCAAGAAGCAAGGATGTACTGTGTGGGAAAGCGCCTATATATAAGAACATCGCGCCATTAGGTTTGAGATCAACATAGGAACAGACCCCATGGGGAAATCATCCCCCGCAATGCGTGTTGTGGGCAATCATATGGCTAGTAGGGTGGCCTTGGAGACAGTGAGTTCGGGCTAAATCCTTCCGACCTTCACACCGGATGGCTTCATGCCAAGTCTATCGGGTTTTCCGAGTAGCAATGAGAGTGGGCGAAACACATGACAGAGATGGAAAAGCCATGGACTTTCCTTGACAAGTCTACGGACTCGTATGAGATGCGTCTACATTCAAAAGTAACAGGCACAATTTCTGAGCGTGTACGAACCCAATGCCGGTGGAAGCGATATCGGGATAAATGAAAACAAAAGTTTCAACTTGTACTGCACACGGTGTATCCTTGAATGAGAGGATTTACCATGTTATCTTAACATTGTCCACGAGGCCCGTTAATCCTAGATAGGGTTGTTCTGGTAGCACATGCTCTCCTGCTTTGATTTTACCATATTTTACCTGCAGGTCCAGGGTACATCGGATTCCAGTGTATGTCTTACCCAAGTTCATCTCACCGGGCTTCGACCCAACTCAGTCGTAGACTATTGAGGCCCACATTGACAACAACTGCTTCTTTCTCCGTTCGCACTAGGTCTCCGTAAACTCGTCTCCTTCGTATGGCAACTAACACACCCGCCTTTGTGCCCTACATTGCTCTCAATATGAATCGCTTATGACGTAAACTTGTCTAGGGCAGTTAAATAAAACACTGGAAGCTATCCAGCATATGAGTGCTGTCCAAATCACGAGTCCAGGGCCATGTAGTCGGTTGCCGAGCCCCCAAGCTCATGGTAAGGGTTCTCCTTCAACCAAGGCATTAGGTTCCTGCTACCTAGTACCACATCGCCAGCCCAACAACCACACCAACCACGCTGCCAAACGCGACTTTAACACCAAGGTTGAGGCCAAGATGCGAGGCCGAATTCCTTACGGTACAAGTCAATTGATAGTCCGACCTATTTGTCGCTGTCATGATTGTCTCCTTCAAGGATTTGCAGTCGAGCGAGGCATCCGTGTTTACTAGGAGCTCGTCGACAGACTTTAGGTTAGGGAGTTGGACACTATAAAGACGGTATTAGTATAGTTTCTAACCATATAATTGCTGTGAATATCAATATACCTCGAGATATTGCCCCTCAATACAATCGTCCCTGCCTCCTCGAAAGGCAGGTTAATGTCAAGCCGGTCGTAGGCGTTCACGTTCAGCAGAACGTTGAGATTACGTGTGCCGGGCATCGATAAACTGAAGCTTTGTAAATCTCCAGTCCAGAGTTTGGAAATTGAATTGCAAAATACCTTGCAATATTACCCTCCAGGGACATGTCCGCGTCTTCTTTGATGTGTTTTAACTCAGGGAAAGAGACGTTAATCGGCGGTCCTCCCACTGTGAGGAGTTTGATGCCGTAATAACCTGGTCCAGCCCCAGTGATATTGTTGAGCATTGGTGTGTCCAAACTATATCATTCTTCATTAGTATGTACTTCAAGTTCAGTATTGGAACATCGTCATACCTCGAAAATCTCCCCTCCAAGTGGAGATGGCCGACATCATGAAGTGCAGGTAGGGAAACATCCAAAGAGTCGTGGGGCGATGCCTCTGGGCTGCACTTTTCCTTGTTACATATTAATATCAGTTGACGAACTTGTCGCAAGGAGTCGAGGCGTAAGCTACATCATCCACCTCAGCGTTAACCATGCATTTGTGCCAACTATCGCTGGTCCGAATTTACCCACCTGGAAACATTCCCCCTGACACTTAAATACTCCGATTCAGCCAATGATCGTAAATCCACCTCTTCAGCATAATCAATGTCCGCATTCCAACCCACGGTTTTCAGCTTCGGTGCAGTAAAACTCTTCAAAGCCGGAAGGCTGTTAAAATACAGACTGTGACCTAGGAACTCGAGATCGGGTAGACTAATAGACGTCGGTTCCGGGTAAACGCCGATATATTCGGGGTATTGAAACCACTTGAAGCTACCTGTTATGTTTCGTATGTTGGGCAGATGGAAGGCGCCAGTGTAATTATATGACATCGCGATGCTCCCGTTGACAATCGTACACTTCGCTGAAATCTCATCCAGATCCGACTGGTTATTAATAATGTAACTGTACGCTTCGTATCCATACTCTGGGGTACAAATTTGGGCCATAGCTAATTGCGTATATTGGGTCAGTTAGTCGTAAGTTGAATTCAAAGGTTAAAAAGAATTCTCACCAGTCCCGACTACCACGACAAGTAGCAACATCCATGACAAGCGATAACTCATATTAACGAACATATCGACATACGGTCGAGGCGAAAGGAGTCAAAACGGGGCTCAATTTCTGGGATACCACCGGCATAACGCTCTTCTTGTACTCCCCAGCAGATGTTTGTTATTAGGGTAAGTTCCTACGCCCGATGCATATTGGCACGAACAGGTAATGTCACGGACTAGGCGAATCCCCTTTCTAGGGTTGTATTGAAGTCGGAGATTAGTCTCGCTAGTCCCTACTGGGCGCGTACTAGGCTGTCACTACTGCAGAGTGGACCAGTATCATCTCTCGCACTCGGCACTTTCATTTCGCCCCCAATTTCCTTACCCCACAGAGCCAGAGCCAACAAACCCGTGGGTTCAGATTGGCCGGAGATCTATCCTGATATATCATCAATATCTGTTGCCCTCTTGGCAGCTTGGCGAGGGTCAAGAACCTCGGTAAAGTTGGATCAGAACGACGAGCTTGGTAGCATAAGATTTTTCAACCTTTCTTGACGGTATTTCAAAAGTCCGACAATACAAAATCCCTGTCTACTAAATTATATATCTTGGCATGTTTGTTAAAGACGCCCGAGATCAGCTTGTATATACTATTGACTATATTGTTTACAATTCCAATTATACTGTGAATGGCATTGTTACCTGTATTCTATGTAGTATTAATTGGATTCTATACTATCGATAAGATCTCTAGATTAGACCCTGGTACTATATATAGCTAAGGGATTGTCAAGGCCATCATTGTAGAGATAAAGTTAGTCGGGTTTTCCGAGTCTCCCGCACGGACACGAAGTAAAATAGCACCAATGACAGAGACTCTGGGACAAGCTATTGCTCTAAAACGGGCGGAGATCGCGTACAACACTGGACAGAGATGGTTGTGGGGAGGTTCGTGAACTAGTGATGCACATAATGTGGACCTCTCGGAAACAACCGTGTTTCTCATTGTCCCATAAACCGCCTATGTAGGGCCTAGCCTCCTGCCATGTCAACGGGGTTCTCGGGTTGATATGGAAAGTGTCATTTACATTCAGGCATGGTCACCAGTGGATCAAAAACAGACCTTAGCAGAGTCCGGTAGAGTACCCTAGTACTTCGTAGCGTTTGGTCTATATTCGGCGAGTGTAAATATGTATATCGAGGGTATATTCCCGCTCTCATGGTGCCAGCCAAGCTAGTCTAACATATGACTGCTAGGGAAACAGTTTATAATAACCACCGCAGTCTTTGGTTATATTGAACCTCTTGTATACAGGTGAACAGGATTAGATCTAGCGATAAACGTGGCATATTACCTCTTGTGACCTATCACTTGTAGGTAACGAATAGCAAAGTGTTTCGTCAGAAGGGATATCATGATCTAAGACCTGTAGCTTCAATTATCTACATCATGACATTAAACGTCACCATCCGCCACCGAAGCCCGTAGCTGCTCCCTCTCCTCAACAGTCAGGTCACTCTCCGCCTTCCCAATCTTAATAAACAACAAGAAAACCAAAGCAACACCCGCACAAGCCACCCCAAACCAAAAGGCAGCCTTGTAACTACCCTTCAAACCAAGGTACGCAGTCTCAGACACCGTCAGATCAGCCACTCCCAGAAAAAGACTGATACCGACGAAAACCGTGGTGTTGATCACAGCACCAGCCACCCCCTGTCTATCCTTGGGCAAGTTGGTAGTAATGAAGATATTGCTGACGCTGTATGTAATGTCGCAGCCGATGGTTGTCCCGAGCATGGCGGGGAAGATGTAGGCCCAGTAATTGGGATTTTCAGGTATGAGGGCGAATAGCAGCATGGCTACAAGATATCCACACCCTGATATCACGAGGAGGAGCTTTCCTGGAAGGAAGTGTAGCGTGAATCCACCGGCTGTGGCTAGGATGAGGCCGCCGGCAGCCATTGGTGCGAACCATGCTGTGGTTATTAGTGTGTCTTTGCCGAGGATTGTTTGGATGCTATAGAGACAGTTAGTGAGTACTTGGTGGGCTGAATGGAAATAACTGGGGGCTTACTAGAAATTCGCATAGAATAAATAGACACCGAACACACCGTATTGAAAAAGAAGTGATGTGAACAGCGGTGTCATATACTTCACTTTGAATATATCGAATGGAAGTAATGGCGATGAAGCGACCCAGCCCTCTACGTAGAAAGCGGCACAGAGAAACAGGATGCCGAGAATAAATGTGACAAGTATGTAGGGGGTCCGCCAACCATCTGGGGCGTGGGTACTATCGGTGATAGCATACACTAGCAACAGTAGCCCCGGAATGATGGTTGCGCATCCCCACCAATCCATTTTCGAATGACTTGACGACTTAACTGATGGCAGAGAGAGCAATGAGATGATTGACACAATAAAGAGCATTATGGCACCTATCCAAAAGTACCACCGCCATGAGAGGTAGTGTCCAGAAAGCCCGCTAACGGCTATACCCGAGTAAAATCCTATCGGCGAGAAGGCTCCATACAGACTAAAGACAAGGTTTTTGCGAGGGCCAGGCCGATAGATTGTTCCAATCAGCATAATACCAGCTGGTAAATATGCCGCGGGTCCTAATCCTTGTAGCGCACGACAAAATATCATCATCATGTAGTTTTTACTGCAGCCGCCGATCAAGGACCATGCAAAGTACCAAATCAATCCGGAATTGAAGACAATATGGGCACCGAATATATCAGCAAGGCGAGCGGCGGGTAATAGAAAAGCACCAGTGACCAAGGAGAAAACGCTTGCTGGCCAAGTCTTTGCTTCTTCCGGTATGTCAAGTGCATCGGTCAAGACCGGTAGGATTGTGTTAAAACCACTAATAAAGTACTCCTGTTTAAATTAGACAAGCCATTCAATAGTACCCGACAGGCTTCTTACCCCTAGAAGCATGGAGGCCAGCAGTGAGAAACAAAATCCGATTTCTATCACATTGTTGGCAAATATTGCTGGCCGCTGCCGTCCAAGCTGCTCGAGCTGGACTGTGTCGGGTGTGCATTGCTGATCATACTTTGTTTGACTGCCTTGGCCAGTTACACTGTCTGCACGAATCTCCATGGCGATAGAACAGTCCCATGAGCCACGTTATGAATGGTTTCAACGAGTCTGGTGACCTGAGAAAGTCGAAGAGAGATCGTCCGGAACGAAAAATCGGCAAGGGAGAAGGCCAGAGGCGATTCGATCACCCGTCGATCCGTAAAAGCTTTCAATTTCATAATTCGGACGATAACAGATAATTTTCTAGGCATATATATGCAGGTATCAATTGTTGGGAGTGGGATGTGAACGAGGTAGGGTACAGGCCCACTCCGACGAGTCAGAATCCAAGCTGAGCTGTCTCCCAGCCAATGTCATTGTCGCGATTTATGACAAGCTTCCTAAGTGGACCTCGTGTACTAAAAGAGTAGCCAAGACGCAACTTTTGCGTTTCCTTCCATCGGCTTACAACTCCGCTTCTACACTCTTCAACCCTGCGGGTTATGCGTGACTCCGAACATTTGATATCGCCACCACGGCAACCCTCAACACCTTTGAATCATAGACAGCTAATCCATAGCCTCTCGTCCCCATTTTCCACCCTGATATCTTCCTGTGGGTCTCTCTTGGCAGTTTGTTCTGTGCGGCTAGATTCCATCAATGCAAGAAAACCCCGAATCAAAACCGTGTCACAACTGCCGGAGAAAGCGATGGAGGTGCGACCGTTCTGTCCCGGTGTGTCATAAATGTATGAAAACTGGGCAGGAATGTCTGGGCTACGGCAAGCTGTTCATCTGGAACCAGGGTGTGGCCAGTAGGGGCAAGATGATGGGCAAGACCTATGCAATGCCAGATCACCGGCCACTTACCACGACGATCGAAGGAGAAGGAAATAGTAGGGCTTGGACTTTCTCATGTGATCGAAAGCCCAGAATTCTCAACCCTAATGATCTCTGGGCACCGCTGTATATGTCTCCGGTTGACCCACTTTTCCAAGACATGAATAATCCCTCTAGACGTTACCTATGCCATTGTGAGTTCTGCTCAGAAATTCACGCCTAGATCCTGATCGTACTAATCAATGTTACAGTTGCTACGATTCTCTGCGAAGACCTTGTGATATCTGATGTTCCCAACGAAAACCCATTCCGCAGCCTGATTCCCACCTGTAGGGACCATCCTATCTTGCTCCAAATCATAGTTGCCAATGCTGCGATGCATATCTCGAGCATGGGCCGTCCACGCTTTGACCTACACAATGGCAGCGTACAAGGATCACTCTTAGATGGTACGCCCGTGAATACCGTGAGTCTTACAAGATATTCGACAGACTCCCCGGCCGGTGCAACCCTAGATGCCCTGTCAGCAAAGCACAAAGCAATCCACCTTCTCACGGCAGCTTTAGAGAATTTACCATCCACAGATGTCGACCTCATAGTGACAGTTATACTCCTCTTTATCAACCTGGAGCTCATCGACTCCGGCAAAAATGCATGGAGAGCGCATGTTGAAGGCGCAATAGCACTGATCATCTCTCTCAAGCCGTTCCAGAAAGACCAAATATCTCCAATAGCATTAATTCGCGATCGCATCACCTCTGATTGCTTAACGTACGCTACCAGTCCAAAAACAAAACAAATAGCATGAAAGAACCCATCCTAATGTGACAATACAACAGGTATCATGTCCTGGGCTCAACCCTCACAAACTCCCCCACCTTCTTGGATCCATTCGCTCTTCCCATCGATATCCTCAGACGATCCGAAGCAAACAGCTATCTGTCCTTCCCAACAACCCTCCTGCAGATCCTCTTCCGCGCATGTGAACTATCTAATATGGCCTTGACTCTTCCTGCCAGCGAAACCCCTGCTCTAATCAACGAAGCGTCTTCCTTACTAAGTGCCGCGCAATCCTTCAATGTGACCGCCTGGGCCAACACCGTCGAAGGCGCCCCGACACACCGGACCCCAAACCGCATCCACACAGCCCTTGCCCACCAAAATGCAGTATGCATCTACATATACCGAAGTATCACCCATCCTCCCCCCGATATGAACTCAGATGCCCTAGTTACGGAGATAATCTATCACCTCTCATTCATCGATCCCAAGGATCCTCTGTCGAAAGCCACCTCGTGGCCGACTTTCATTGCGGGCGCGGAGACTGATAATCCCGTCTATCGGCAGTGGGCTCTAGATCGTTTAAGTTTATTATGGAATGTTCTACCGTGGGGGTATGTGCAAACTGCAGTGGAGGTTATGCAGATGGCTTGGAGATTGAGGGATAAGTCTGGCCCTGATTCTACGGGAGTAGGTGGTTGGGTTCAGCAGTTGAAGGTGTCGGGGAATCATTGGTTGATTGCCTGATGGGGTGTCATTTCTTGTTAGGTGACATAAATGGGTCTTGAATTTCTTGTTTCTCAGCGATTAGCATTATGACTTTTATGAGAGGTCATATAGTTCAGATCATGAAGCTCTGTGTTGATAATGGGGTTGTAATTATCATTATTGTCCGCGTCACCAACACACAGCGTAAGGTGCAATCTATCTCACTGTTGGTCACGCAGTCGGAGTCTCCACATTTGGATAAATCGAAAAGAAAGTCTCCAGGTCCATGGTGGAGAAATCAAAGTCCCATCCCACATCAGACAGTGTAAGATCCAAAAGATCCTCGCCGCTACCAAGGCTCCCGCTTGGCGGGTTGAGCGCAGCCTGTAGCGAATTATTCTGAAACTCTGATAGAATGGGTAAACCGTTGCTGGTTTGTAAAGGCTGTAGCGGTATTCCCGGCAAGGACGGTTCGGGTATACTCTGAGATTGGGGATTTGGAATATCACTAGAGTATGGCTGTGACGTGGTGGATTGCTGACCCATAGTATTATTGTATGCCTTTGGAGGGACCCACTCGTAAGCAGGATTCAGTTTCCTCAGGACAGTTTGAATAGCCGTTATTGTGCTTTTGATAGGATCACCTTCTCGCATAGTCGACAGACTCTGAAGGGCAGCGTAAATCCATGGAAGGTGTGTGGGAGCAAGGTCTTTCCCATGCATTAGGTCGTAGATCATGGCGAAAGAGGCACTTCCTAGGAAGTATCCGTGATAGCGGAGTTCCTAGTACATGATTAGAAGACTTATTGAAAAATCTAACAGTCCCTTTTGGAGTAACTCACTCGGACAAACTCGTTAGCCGCAGCTGCTTCACTTAGAAACTGAATGGTTCTACAGGAGGCTCCCAGGGCTTTATTGCAAGCCTCATTAAGCCATGCGGGGGCTTCTGTTGGACGATTGCTGCCATGCTGGGAAGAGTCGTTCATATCTTGCTGCCACCGGCCCCGGAAGATCAGAAACGGACGAAAGGTCAAGAGAACCGTGTGGTAGTAGACTACGTCGTCAGTTATTAGTTGAGTTATAGCTGTGTAACCACTTACTGGTTGTTAGTACCGTCTGCTGCACGCCGAGGGAGCCCTGTTGAGGACATGTATCCAAGTTGACACCAATGGCCTGTTGCATCTGCATCTCATATGGTCGATAATCGTCTGTGATAGATCTGGCAAGTCTCCACATCTGTAACAGCGAGTCATGGTGATGACCGAACATCTCGTCCGCCAATCGAGCGATAATTTTACAGACATAAGTCAAGGTACACAGGAAAGGGTTCTCTGGCAGTTCGATACCGACGTCCCTTAACGAGAGTGAAGAGGGTCGTCCCAGATGGAAACAGAACCAACTACGGCACGGTTAGATTGGTCAGGTGTGATCAAGCAAATGAGACGAACGTTTCGTAGAAATATAGAGACCAGAAGGTTAACCGCCTCTCTTGTGTACTGTCTGTGGACTCTCCGCCTTGGCTTGGGGCTTCCTTATGCAGCCCAGCTGACAGCGCCTTTCGCGACGCAGCACCCAAGTGAAGGAAGGATGAGTTCGGTCTCCCCTGCTCACTCTGGTAATGGGCGTGCTAGGAAAGTCAGGCTCCTGGTACCTTTGCAATTAGAGAAAAGAGCACTTATCATGAGCAGCGATACTTGGACTGTCTCCAAGTTCACAATGTCATCTAACGAATTGCAAGTTGCTTTCACACGATCGTACAACACATCACCCCAGCGATAATGCTCTGTGCCGAGAGCTCCTATAGCCAGCGCTAACAGAAGCATACATTGGCCCCAGGTTTCAGAGCGAGCTCCAGGGGTGGGGTTGTAGAGATGCTCCAATTGCTGCTCAAAGGAATCTTTAGAGCGAAACGGAACCAAGGTATATAATGTTGACAGGAAGCGCCGCAGAAATAGATTCGCTACCTCACGAGGCAGGAACATAACCGGCATGTCCATTGCCTTGCAGGCTTTTATCGGCTCCTTGGGATCATCCGGTGTTCCAAAGAAGATTCGACGGAAATTGAACATATCAAGACTGGCTCTAGCTTCTTCGACCTCACCATGAGGCTTTTCCAATCCCGGCGTCTGGTTGGACACTAGATCCCGATATATTTCATGCATGAGAGCAAAGTGGGACGTGGAACCATAGTACAGCTGAACCTTGCACGACGGAGATTCCCCATGAGTCGCTGAGACACTGTTGTTAATGGTATAATTATTGGATGGGTTGCGCCGCGGCGGTAGGCCAGGCGATCGCGGGCCCGCCCCATTTCCAGAGCGCATTGTCACTTCTGACTCAAAGGAATCGCTATCACGATTCGTTTGGTTTTTTCTCTTGCGCTGTCTGATCACATCACGATAGACGCAAGGAGTATTTCGTAGCTGACAGGTTTTGCATGGATTGCTGCCATTGCACTTGATCTTCCTCTTCCTGCATTCTTGGCAAGCTTTGGATATCCGCCAGCCTGTTTGCAGGGAGGTAGGGGTATCGGCCATTGGAGCAACCCGGGTGTAAGGGCTACTTTATATGCGTCTAGGCTGTTCGGTTAATTCACAGCTGTTGCTAATATTACAATTGACTGAATCATTACGAACATGGCGAAAGAGATCGGATTTACTCCACGTGATTTAATCCGTATTTCCGAGCCTGTGGGGTCAAATCAACCAATGAAAGCCCAGCAGGTTCACGCTTTATCTACTATCTCCAAAGTCTATCTCGAGTACTGGGTTTGTCTCCACCACAACTGCAGTATAATGTACGCTCAAACCACGAACCTGACAAATCCCACACAATCCAGGATCCTGGATGAAGGAGGTATATTTATCTGGTTCCTGATAAATAGTGCCATACCTCAGCGAAATTCACCCGAATTATTGCAAGTCCACTAGGCCCACGCGCCAACCAGGCTCATGCAGAAGGCACCCATGAAGAGAATAATGCAAGCATAAACTCTCTTCTTGCCACGAAGCACACGCCAGCTCTCATCGCTGAGGAAGTCCTCTGACATCAACTCCACCAATGACGCAAAGATAAGAAGTCCAGCGGAGATGGCGTTCATGACACCGACGAGGAGAAGGCCGACTTCGGAGTCGGGGCTATAGAGAGTATGGGTTGCGAGACCAATAGCCTGACCGATTGGTGTTCTGCATACATCAGCTACTTCGGCTCTTCATAACCAAGAAAGAGAAGATCGAATAAAGGAAGACTTACGTGCATCCATAAGCCAGGGACATGAGCCAAGGCTGCATGGCTTTCTCGGGCCAGTCGAGAGCAGCGATACGAGAGCCTAAAGCAAGACCTTCGAATGTTTCTGTGTCCACGTATGAGCAAAGTATGAACCAGTGTAAGTATCAGGACCGGGGGACAAACGGTGAAAGACGATGGCAATCAATAGAATCACAAACTCGCTGCCGACCGAAACACTGAGTGACATGCCGATGAAAACACTATGAAACAGGATTCCCATCTCCAGCAAGACGACTTGCATGACATCTTTGCGATGCTTTTGCTCCGGAGTCATGACATGACCATCATCGCTGCGCTCCACATCTTCATGGACCGGCTCGATCTTCGGTTCTTGCCGATATTGAGGAACCTCTGGAGCGGAGGAAATGCGGCAAATACGCTCGGGGTCTTCACCCATTTGGTTGATTGCACGGCTTATGCTAGAAGACCTACCGATCAAAGGGCCCATATCGCGCAGGTGGGGAAGAGGCTCTACGCCGGCCGGTCGTTCTCTCTCGTTGCAAACAGTCGAATCAACTACGTGGGCCCTCTTTATGGGGGTTTCCTTCTCAGTTGGTCGAGCAAGATAGGGTGGCGGGTCCGACAGGCTCGTTCCTCCACGACAGCAATGTCTGGCGGGACTAAAGACCATCTCAATCACCGTCACGAGGAACACTCCCGCGAGGGCAATGGCTCCTGGCATTTCGGGGTAATCGGTGGTCCAAAATTTCGACAGACATGGATCGTTGAGTGACTGGAACGCCGTGGGGAGCAAGTGCACGAATGCAGTGGCGATCAAAACACCGGTACCAAAATGACTGACGAAGAATAGACATGACGACGGAATGCGGAGACGCGGAAACCATATGGCAAGGACCGGGAAGGCGCAGGCCAGTGTTGAAACTGATAAGATGATGAACAGCCCGCCAACATGCAACGGAAGGTTGTAGTCGCTACCCCCAACACCGCCCTGCGCACACGTCCCTCGTTTCTCGAAAGGAAGGTCTCTTTCAATTGGTTCAAACCCTTGACCCGATTAGTTTCGGAGTCGTATGAAACTCAGTCGCAGGATGATTCGCCTTACCTGACGAGGGGATGGGGGACACCTCCGAGCCATGCAGATATCGCCCAATACTACTATGGGACATCAATGCTGACGTGAACAGAACCGACAGAAGCCACGAGGCCCAGCTCTTGAATGTCTGAAGGAAAGATTGAGAATTATTTTGACCACGACCACTCTGGTGACCAGCATTAAGGCTGGCCATTGGGTCAATGGGACGTCCTGGAGGTGCTCATCAGCGTCGGTGCCGCCAGCCGGGTACTCACAGACCAGGTAAACACAAAGGAAAGTAAAGAAAATAAGGAGTCATACCTGACTTCGAGGTCAGTGACGCCCCATTCTCCCAAATTCTATTCTTTTCTGGGTCAATGGGCGGCGCATTCATCCTCGCTTTCTCACTGAGGCACGCCAACGATTGTCCAGAGCCACTACCATTCCCATCTCCCTCCTTATTCTCACGGGCGTTCGAGATACCATTCAAGTCTTGGCGAGTCGTCAGATCCGGCGCCAGAAAGGGCGGATTCTGATTCCACTCGACATGCAAGAGCGTATCATCAGTGCGCGACGGACAATTCATTGTGGGCAACGTTGCTGATCTCACTGGGATGGAGTTTACAGGAGTATTAACTGCGACAGATTGTCCGCAATTTCATCGTTGCAGAACCCGATGGCAGACTGTGGCCAACTAAGGGCTTGGCAATGTCTTGGTTCCGGAAACGATCGCTCTGGCACGTTCTTGGCGTTGGTCATGGAAAACCGTCATCGACATATACGTTCTCACCCATAATTGGGGAAGCTGCATGTTTCCTGCTGTCCAAATCACCTTGCAGCATGGTTGTTATGCTTGAACTACATTTCTATATCCCATGATCTCGTCCTCTAGGTTTGGGATAGAGAACGGAACGTTTGTGTCCAATTTTAGGTGCGCAAGATTTTCGGGCCGATGATCGGGGCATTCCGCAACCGTCGGCCCGGAGCAGATTCTTCGATTCTTCGAGGGTCGACACCATGTTGCAACATGGAAGAGAAAAGGAACAGAAACAATAATATGGAATATCAATCCAGGGGTAAAACAATGGCGCGGCCGTTCCCGTTTTCCATCGTGCGCCCTATAAGGTAGTCCTTATCCACGGGACCTGTCAACCCCACAGTCCATGTTCGGAGAATATCAACAGGGTTTCTCATTAACCACTAGCAGTTTGATTGATCACATATTGGGCAAAGACGCTTAGCTCCCGAGCTATAGTCTGAACCACGTTATGCCTTGTTTTACTAGGATCAAGTCCCTACCCTACACTCAGGGGTCCTAACAAGGGGGGTGCATAACCCCCCTTTACTTGGATCTATGCCGGGAGAAATCGGATGGCCTTACCTAACAAGCGGGTAGCCAGACTGCCTTTCTGAATTACTTTGGTATCGAGGATTCCAGAAATAGCGTACGCTCTCAGAAAAGCCTTGGCCCGGTGATTCTCGTACACGATCGGAATAAAGGGGGGAGATCGGCGGAATCCGACCTGGCAACAGAAACTACCTGTCGATATTCTGCTTCTGTTGTCACAAAAGTGATGGATACTACCATGCCTCAGTATGCCCAACACGTTGGGATTGAACGTCGAAAGTAAAATTAAAATCCAGAACTCAAACCAGCCACATGGCGTGTGAAAAATTAAGACCAAGCCAAGGCAAATCACCCAGGCTATTAACGATCCGGACTATTGAGAACGAAATGAAGGATGCGTCTCGTGTCAGGCACACACGCAGTTTGATCTATCGAATGCCACATTCAGGAAAGCTATTGGTCACGTGACTGTACGGAGATTAGAGATAGCGTTATCGATGGCTAGCCCCGCGGTGATATCATTGCTCCCTTGATTCATACGGACAACCAGCATAGTATAGGAAGAATGATATGGCACTGAGGTCTGTTACCTTCCCAATTCGCTGAATACACCTAGCATTCGACATAGCCAGTTGGAGAATCCATTCACCCTAATAACATTGCAAACCTGGACGGGCCGAGATATATATCGCCTACATTCTGTCGTAACCCTTGCGGTCCATACCTTGATGCCAATCACCAGCCAGATAACCATACACACCAAACTCCGCAATACCGTATAGCCCAAGCAGTCAGATCATGGCTAGCTATTTGATCACCGGCTCCTCACGAGGACTCGGCCTCGCCCTCGTATCCCAATTGCTCTCCCTCCCCGCATCTCAAGTCGCGTCCATCTTCGCGACCTCGCGATCAGCCCAACCCAGCCCCAACCTCAAAGAACTCATCGACCAGTCCTCCGGACGCGCATCCTACGTCCAACTCGACGTAACCGACACAATCAGCATCAGAACAGCCGCACGGCAAATCGAGCGCCAGCTCCAGGGGCGCGGTCTAGATGTTCTAATCAACAATGCGGGGATCCAACCTGTGACCAAGGGAGGTGCAGAATACATGTACTAATACAACACACATCCCTCCACCGAAGAAAAATCCAATTAACCATGACCGAACAGGGACAACCTCAGCGATGCATTCAACATCAACGTAAACGCACCCCACGAAGTAACCCGTACATTCCTACCGCTTCTTCGCAAAGGAGAAAGGAAAGTCATTACTAACATGTAGGGCCCTATCTTTTATATTTTTCATAAATAGAAAGATAGCTGACGAAGATAGATCCACAACATTGGGTTCCATAAGCAAGGCCTCGCCATTCATGGCGCAATCCACTCCAGCGTATAATATCACCAAGGCTGCATTGAATATGCTCACCGTTCAATATGCCCTTAGTCTTGAGTCTGAGGGATTTACTGTTTTCTGTGTTAGTCCGGGGGTATGTGCTAGTATCGCCTTTTAATTGGAAACTCAAAAGTTATAGGAACCATGCTAATTAGACTCTAGTGGTTAAAAACCGATCTCGGTGGACCCAGAGCAGATCTACCGGTCCAGACTGGCGCCGAAGCCGTACTGAAGATCATCCTTGAGGCCAACCATAAGGACACAAATGGGAAGTTCCTCAACATCCATGTGCCCGGGTGGGAACAGACACAGGGATTTAATCAATACGACGGGGCAGAGATTCCCTGGTAGTTCAGTAATCATGATTAGAAAATCAAAGTTTTGTAAGCAAGATGAGTAAACGATCCGAATACATAATCAAAAATCATGAAACCTTGCCCCTGCGACCCAAACCGGGAATGGGAGGGAGGGAGTGAGTGGTGATGTAGTTGTGGATCCACGTCGAGGATGCAACCCTTATTCGCCGCTTTCGGTAGATGGTATGTTGCTAGTTATCATGACATCATGCAGTCGACCAGCTATATAACTCCAGAGGACAGGAAACGTCTTCAAGGTCCTTACAGAGTCTAATTCTGAATACATCGAGCAATACCATCCAGCGAATAAACCACGAACTAGTCCAATCCACCACGATCGAAACCCCCCACCCATACAGCCAGCCCACCAACCAAAAACCTCAACCATGGGCTACGACTTCACCATTTACAAAGGGTCCAAAGATGGCTCCATCCAAAAATCCACGACCCACCGCGATGGCCTCCAAAAAGACCAAGTGTACGTCCGCGTAACCCACTCCGGGGTCTGTTTCACAGACGTTCACTACCGACACGCGGACATGGCCCTCGGCCACGAAGGCGCCGGCGTAGTGGAAGAAACCGGCCCGGAAGTACAAGACCTGAAAAAGGGCGACCGAGTCGGCTGGGGCTACGAACATGACTGCTGCGGCCGGTGTTCCCGATGTCTAACGGGGTGGGAGACCTTCTGTCCGGACCGGAAGATGTACGCCGCCGCCGATCTGGATCAGGGGTCGTTTGCCTCGCATGCGATATGGCGGGAATCATTTCTCTTCAAGATTCCGGATGGGATCAAGAATGAAGACGCGGCGCCGTTGATGTGTGGTGGCTCGACTGTCTTCAATGCCCTGCATGTGGCTGGAGTGAAACCCACGGCGCGTGTGGGGATCATCGGAGTCGGGGGATTAGGTCATTTGGCTATTCAATTTGCGGCTAAGATGGGGTGTCAAGTGGTGGTGTTCTCGGGCAGTGATAATAAGAAAGATGAAGCGAAGAAACTCGGCGCTATGGAGTTTTATGCGACCAAGGGTGTCAAGGAATTGGCCGTTGAGAAGAAACTCGACAATCTCATCGTCACGACTAGTAGTCAGCCGGATTGGAATCAGTATGTCAATATTCTGAATCCGGGGGCTACTATCTCGCCGTTGTCGGTCGACCTGGAGGATTTCAAGTTCCCGTATATGCCGCTTTTGGGGAATGGGTTTAAGGTCTTGGGGTCGATTGTCTCGGCCAGACAGGTTCATCGGGATATGTTGGATTTCGCGGCTTTTCATGGGATTAAACCGATTAATATGACTTATCCGATGAGTAAGGAGGGCATTGAGGAGTGTTTGAAGACGTTGGAGGAGGGGAAGATGAGGTATCGGGGTTTGCTGGTGGCTCAATAGAGTTGACTTGGGGGTGTCGTATTAGAGCGTTGAGTATGTATTATGTGTGTATATATGTTAGAGGAATGGAGCCTGTGAATTTACCTTGACAATCGGCGATTGCCCCTGTATATTGGAGACCTTTGGTAGGGTCTCGTACTCTTGAGATTGAATATTCTTCCGTGGAGCGTATGAATTTCGACGAAGTGGACATGTTGCCCCGTGCACGGATCTGTCGATTGGCTTTTTATATGTCGTGATAGAATTCAAGCACTGACCTAGTAGAAATATAAGTTTTCACGATGTACTACGAGAGTGTAGTCTTCATAGCAAACAAAAGAACAATTAACACATCCCTGCATTGGCTATATTTGACCTAGTATAGAAGAGGTGGAGAAATAATTCTTTACCATTGGCATTGATGGATATAAACTGAGCGTAGTAAAGACGAGTGGAATATAAAACTGCTACAGATACCTATGCCTGGCTTTCTTCTCCATGTATTCCAGACCCAGCGTGAAGTTCAGCTCGATGGAATTATGTGATATTGATTCGTGAGTATTATGGTAATATACATCCAGTCATTATTGGCACGTCTATGTGCCCCGGCCTGCCCTAGGACAACATCTCAGTCTTCATCAGTACTTATCTCTCCATTCTCTCTCCGCAGATGCTTGTCAAACAGCGCCCGCAATGCCTTCGCCCTCATCGGTCTCCGCCTCAACATACTTTCAGCCAGTGTGTCCGCTAATATATTTCGCACAAGCTGCCGTCTCGAAACGCCCTGCCAAATGCGCTGGTCATACGTCATCAAATAAGCAATCTCCGCCCTGTCCGGCGTCTTCATGAACGCAATCCGCCTCTTCGGCGTAATATTCTTCATTCCCAGGACCCATTGTACATTCGACAGAAAGAACTGATCCAGCTCCAGCTCCATCAACCCATCACACAACCACAACAACCGCCAGCACTGCTGCACGTATTTCCGATCCAGATTCATACCGACCTCATTCGGATCAATCATAAACGAGATCTTGGTGATCAACGACCGAGTCTGCGGCCGGATACATGACAGAAAATCAATCAGAATCGTCGGGTTCTCAAATGCAAACCAGTTCTCCGTCCAGAATACATGCGACGCCTCTTCATAAAACCGTTTGTTAATGAGGAAAATATGAAGATTCTGGCGTCGCGCACAGAGACACTTGAGATTCCGCAGTGTGGGATGTGGTTCTCGTTTGGCCCGGATATTCTCCGAATAGCAGTTATCGCACATGTACTCGTTCGTCATCGGGGGTGACCATTGGCTGCGCGCGGGAGAAACAAAGACGGGGAGTCGCCGGCCCCAAGCATACCATCGACAGTCGGCGCAGGCGAAGTTCATGTTACTTTCTGGACCAGTGGCGGTATGGGCTGGACCCGGGTATTCGTATGAGAATCGCTTGCATTGGAAGGTGTGATTGAAGCTGAACTTGCATGGTTGTACTAACAGTAGACGGTAGACATGACTTCGGACTTCTGAAGGGAGCGCGAAGAATCTGAGCTGGTTAGGTTTTCGGTCTGCGTATGGGATATGAGGGCTTCACGCACCGATCTATGAGATCGGGCTCGGTCTTTTGCTCGATTGCTGCTTGGTGTCTCGCTTCTGCTTCTGCTGCGGCTTGCTGCTCGATTATAGTGCGATGCTTGAGCCTCGCTCGTTGCACACCCTTCGGTTTGGATTTGCCCCGTAGTCGCACCGCTGGATCTCGCGCAAAGGGATGGCGTGTTATGAGTCGGGGTTCCTCGATGGCGGCCGCCATAGCTGGCGATCCCCACCGTTAAAGTGGATTCAGGATGAATTAATTATGTTCTTATCCTTGTTCCTCTTTTGTAACCTCCACAAGGGAGTAAAGATGGTTTTATACCCCGCATTTCTTGGTGCCACATTGTCACCGTCTATTATTAGGTTGTATCTTTCAGGTACTTGCTTTGACAATGGTTAGATAATGTTGAGTCACGTTCGTATAATAACGAGCCTCATGTTTGGTGGCTTTGACTCATGTCTCAGCCACTCACCACTGCAGGTCCAAACAAGTTGATGACAACTGCAAGGGACAAAATTTTTAGTTTTTGCAAAGCACAGTTGGTCTTCTCCAAACCCTAAGTCCATCAATAATCAAACTGACAGAAAAGAGAAAAGACCCCGAAAAGCAGTGCAGGGATCGGCGTGGTTCATGTCTGCCTTGAAGCAGCGCACGATGGACAAAAAAGAACGGTCCGGACCGTGTCCGTGCACCGCGTAAGAAGTCAAGATAAAGAGAAGGAAACAAAAAAAAAAACGACGAAACCCCCCACAAGACCCACCGCGGGCCATTCAAGACCATCCAATAATCCGACAGGCCACATAACCATCCCAGGGAGGGAAACGCGAACTTCCATCAATCAATCCAAGTCCACGTCAGCCGCGCGACCGATCAGGGGTCCCCTGGTTCCCCACGACCAACAAAAAATGCTGGTCCTGAGTCGTTGCCCGCACCGTGCCTCTTATGCTTAAAAGTCGCGACATGGCCTCCCTCGCCCGCGGCTGCTGCTGCTGCTGCTGCTGCTGCTGCTGCTGCTGCTGTCACCTCGGCGCCGATCCCTCTGCTCCATGACGGCCTTTCGTCCTGCTCGTCACCCGCCTCGCAGCCGGATTACCTGGATCAGCCCGATCCTAGGTCTCCTGGTCATCCTATTCATATACATCAATCACCAAAACGCATTGCTCCCACTCGCATTTCCCCATGGAGAGAAAAATGCCGACACAGCCTGTCCCCACCTCCCCGGCCTGGAGGACATCTTTGTCGTCCTCAAAACCGGCGTCACCGAGGCCCGCGACAAAGTCCCCATCCACCTCCAAACCACCCTCCGCTGCATCCCAAACTACATAATCTTCTCCGATTACGCCGAACAGATCAACAATGTCCAACTCCACGACGTCCTCGAAAATGTCGCAGAGGACATCAAACAATCAAACCCAGACTTCAGCATCTACAACCGCGTCCGCGCCGCCGGGCGCACAGCCCTCACAACCTCCGACATGAACCCGGACACCAACTCCGCCTTCGGGAAACCGAACAACCCAGGCTGGAAACTGGACAAGTGGAAATTCCTCCCCATGATCGAGGAGACGTTGAAGGCGCGCGACGACGCAAAGTGGTACGTCTTCATGGAGGCCGATACGTATTTCTTCTGGCCGAATTTGGTATCCTGGTTGGGACAGCTGGAGCCCCAGCAGCCGCATTATCTGGGCAATCAGATGCAGATCGCCGATGTGGTGTTTGCGCATGGCGGGTCGGGGTTTGTGCTTTCTCGTCCGGCGATGCGCGCGGCGGTCACCCTGAGGAGGGAGAATGTGGATGTGTGGGATCGGGTGACGAACGATCATTGGGCCGGCGATTGTGTGTTGGGGAAGTTGATGGCGGATGCGGGCGTGGGGATGCTGTGGGCGTGGCCGGTTTTGATCTCCGGGCAGCCCAGTGAGCTGGACTTCTTCTCGGAGGGGTATCACAAGAAGCCGTGGTGTTATGCGCCGGTTGCGTATCATCATTTGGGGCCTGAGCAAATTCGAGAACTCTGGGAGTTTGAGCGGCAATGGGACCGCGATGGGAATCGTACCCCGGTCTTGTATCGGGATGTGTTTCGACATATTGTCCGGCCGAAGTTGGGGGGCACGGTCGCCGGGTGGGATAATCGGATTGGGGAACCGCCGGGGCAGTCGAGTCTGAGCTTGGTGGAGTGCCGGGTGCTCTGCTATCGTGATGACAAATGTGTACAGTATAGCTATACGGATGGGAAGTGTTGGACCTCCCATGTGCCTGTCTGGGGCGCGCAGAAGAACAGGGTCGCCTCCGGCTGGATTACGGAGAGAATCGATGCCCTGGTGGATGAGATGGGCTCCTGTCCTCGTGCGAAGTGGATTGTCAGCTAGAGGCTATACCGATACTTTTGCAGTTGCCCGAGTGTATAATTCATGTATTATGAGGATATCATCTACAATTACTCGCATAGAGACAGCCGTATGGGTTCTTCTCCTCTCATCATCCTCCATCGATTGGTCGACGCAATTAACTCCTCGCACCCCTCCATAGCCCAAGCCCATTTCCGTAGGAATCCCGGCGTCACTTCCCAACTTTCCACTCTGTGCGGCTCTCCCCACAAGATAAGGCCCTGTCTTGAGGCAGTGACATCGTCGTCGCCCCCGTCCGTGAGTGCCAACCTACTGGCAATGGGGGGCTTGGTAGACCATACAGAACCAAACATATACTCGACGATTTTGTCCCCAAGTAAATCTCTGACAAATTCCGCATGATCAAAACTGGACTCCTTGGCGATCAGATTATCCCGCATCTTCGGGATTGGTAAGAAGTTAATCCATGTCGAGTGTACAATATCCATCTGCAACGACGTCGGAACCAGACTCTCTGGGAGACCGGGCCTCGTCGCGAAAAATATGGAACTACCCAGGAACCAAACGTGGCCGGGGCGGATCTCATCCTTCTCAATGCCTGGGATGATGAACGCGGATGACCCGGCCAGGATATACTTGGCATGGTGGACTCCTCGCAACACGTTATACTGAATCAGATGGAGCAAGTGGTCAGCGGGTAGAGAAAGCCCCGACTTGGACAACCGAGCCGAAACCGTCTGTACTTGGTTGGAGCTTGATATTGGTTCAGCAAAGGGGTGAGGATTCTGGACGGGACCACGGTTCAGATGCTTGTCTGACGTGGTGTGACTTCCATCCTCAAGTCGCCAACGATGGACTCGGAATGGACGTAGGTTGTTGGTTACATCGGCCTGAACCGTTTCTCGAAGACGAAGTCCTGGGTCTACATGAGTCCATTGGACCGAGAGAAGCTCCTAGGGCTCGATGTAGGCAGCCACACTCACTGCGTGCTCTTTGGTTCAACCGGTTCTGTATTTTCTTTCGTTGTCGCTTCTCATCTGCGGCCACAGCGCTGTGACCCACCGGTTCCACTGCACTACACTCGGACACCGCGCACTGTGAATTATTCGCCATCTGCAACGGTATTCCATGGAAGGTACGGAGGAAGGGAGTGTGAGAAGAGACGATCATCTTAACTCCGTTGGGGGCCAAACATGTTTACTCTCCAAACACGGTAAAAACTGTCAGCCACCGTCTTTGTTCCACATCACCCGCTATTCCCAATCTGGAAATAATGGTCAGCCAGTTCCAGGCCACATCTATGCCTTCTTAGAAATCAAAACACATTGAGTACCGCCAGAAGGAACATAAAAGCCTGGTGATTTCCTACGGAGCATACCCATCATCAGCAACATCTTAAGAATATCCTCTTCTACTCATCATAACTCACCGTACCAATCAACACAATCTTGAGATAAACCACCATGTCTCGTTACGCCGAAGCTCACGCAAACCCGCAGGGCCCCGGCGACGCCCGCCCAACAGCACTGCAAATTGTCCAAGACGCCGAGATGGAAGGCCAACTCGTCGGCAAGTCAGCCGTAATCACCGGCGTCTCATCCGGCATCGGTCTCGAAACGGTCCGAGCCATCGCAGCAACCGGCGCAACCCTTTATCTCACAGCCCGGGATTTGACCAAAGCGAAAACCACTCTGGGCGACATCTTCAAGCCTGAGCAGATGGAACTTGTCCACATGGACCAGTCCTCCCTTGAGAGTGTGCGCAACGCTGCGAAGATCATCCTCTCCAAGACCGACAAAGTCATCCTCCTAATCAACAACGCCGGAATCATGTCGGTGCCGGAGCTCCGCCTATCGAAGGATGGCTATGAGCTGCAGTTCGCAACAAACCACCTTTCCCATTTCTTGCTCTTCAACCTACTCAAACCTGCCATGCTTGCCGCCACCACGCCTGAATTCCAGTCTCGCGTCGTGAACGTATCTTCCGATTCGCACAGACATGGCGGGATCAACGCGTCGGATAACTATAGCTTCCAGAACGGTGGATACGATCCGTGGAAAGCATACTCCCAGTCCAAGACCGCGGGTATTTACATGGCCAATGAGCTCGACCGTCGCTATGGTTCTCGTGGACTGCACGCGTCCAGCGTTCACCCCGGGATCATTGCCACTAATCTGGGGCAATACCTTAGCACGGAGCAGATTGACCAGTTGCTCCAGAATACGAAATGGAATTCTCTATGGAAGAGCTTAGAGCAAGGTGCGGCGACAACGGTATGGGCTGCGGTTGGAAGGGAATTGGAGGGTAAAGGCGGAAAATTCCTTGCTGGGTGCGCCGAGGCTGTACAGGGACCGGAAGGTACTGAGGATTATGTGGGGACCTTTGTCAATCATACGTACAAGCCGGAGGATGAGACTCGGCTCTGGAAGGATTCGTTGAAGATGGTTGGATTGTCGGAGGATGAGTGATGTAATCTTGGGAGGTTGAATTGTGTACTGTTATGATGGTGGCCAGTCCTTAGCTTAAGTGTTAGTACTTGTATGCAATATAGTATCTATTGCACTCCCCGATATGCCGGACATTTATCAAGATGTACCTATTGTCCAAAAGTGGCAAGCCAAAACAAACCCTCTCCCTATCAGAACTCTAACGTATACGGCAATCAAAGCGAAAGATGGAGGATCACGATTTCCATGAGCAGAAGCATCTGTAATTGGTGGACCGTCTAAGTTAGCCACAGAAAGTCGAAGGCCAACTAATGAACGAGTCGATTCTAGAAGAGGTGAAATAGTGTCCCGCAGCACGTGTTGGTGATGCATAGATGATATAGTGAGTCCATCATTTGTACCTCATTAGGGGTTTTCTGTTATCATAATGACCACTTCTTACCATCTACCTCGAGCATTTAACACATCTTTCCTTCCACACAGACACAGACACAAAAGTCAGACAAGACCTATATTCGTACAGCTCACATTAAGAATAATAAAACTACTGTGGAGACATTACCTGCAAACCTTAGTCATGGCGTATCTCAGACCAGGGATCAAGTCAGATGCCACTTGTATCATCGTTCGCAACCGCGTCAATCCCGAACGAAATGCCATATTCAAGCTCTACTCGTTCATTACTATTTGGGGAGCCGGCACGATGTATGGATCGATCAACTACTCTAGCTGGAAAGGAGCCCTCACGAGCCAGTGCGGCTTCTCGTCCTGGTGCCACCGTATAAGATGTAGACTCTCGCTTGGTAAAGGCACCCAGGAGTTTGTCTATATTTGCTCGGAGAAGCAGTTTGCCGCTGCTATTGATCTCATGTCGAAAGACGGAGCTGATCTTGAATTCGAGATTGTTCACAAATACAGTGAGGATACCCTGTTCCTATATGAATCTGATGGAAATTGTGCGCTTATCTTTCCTAGAATGGCTTCGTGTGAAGAAATATGGAAGGGATGGTGCTAGTCATAAGTATGCATCTGATTTCTATGATGCTGTTGAGAACCAGGAATGCTTTGAGAGATGCGATCTAGATTGATTCGTAAAGATTGCTCCAACCTCGTTCTATTCAGACAGACAGTTTTAGGATTTGTGTCATGGCTTCTATGTTTTTGCGGTATCTTGGGGTGCACTTTGAAGCTTCTATTTTCATAAAGGGATGGAATACGTTGACGAACGATGTTTAATCAGATTTTCTGGCTGTGTCAAAGCTTATCTCATAATGTGTGGACTACTTTGGGTGCGGAATTGCGAATTTGTTTGATCGCATCATCAGTAAGATATTCCAATACCTAGAAAATCTTCCCATCCATAATTAATCTCCAAGTTTATCATAAGTTGCAATATGCCTAAGGCACAATACATTAAAGCAAGTCACTAACAAGCTCCACCAACAAATCCGGGACACGCGTTTGGTATTCTTCAATCGGAAAGGTACATGTACTGATTATCAACCCAAGCCAAGAAATCCTCCCGGCTGATCGTTTCATTCAGAGTTCCGTCATGGTTAGTCTCAAGATACCCTAAGAACATTAGCAGACCATTTCATCTCAAACTATCCATGCTGGACCCGGGTACATACCATCCTGGGGAACAATTTCAAAGTCCAGACCACGCTCCAGGTTCATTCTGATGGCATAGTGCCAGTGGGCTTCGCAGAGGATATTTCCAGTGACGTCGAGACCATCATAGTAAACGGTGTATCTGGCGAAGTGGGTGTCTGGTTCGAAACCACACTTTTCAATCAACCCGGTGATCCACTTGCCATAGTCCAGGTCTCGGATATACAAGGTTTGACCATCCCAGACACGAGCAAAGTCCCATGCCATGAACATGCCGCTTTTAGTTGGGTCCATGCGGTTGTGAACCTTGAAGGCCGCGTCCCAGGCAATCTCACGGGGCATCGTACTTGTGAGCTAGAAATATGGCTTAGTATGTTTACTACCTTAAGCGGGGGTGAACTTTGTACGCCCGACTCAAATATCAAGGGGAAAGAGGAAGTCTCACCTTTGAATGTCAAAGTGAGAGTTATATGACAATAGATTTCCAGAGTAAGGGTAATCGGGAGACGGTGGTTGAAACAATCAGACAGAAGCAGGAAGACAAGAGGCTGGAGATAAATGACAGAAGCGCGTAGTCAGGGACTAGTTCCATTTGATTCACTCAGTCAGGCTCCATCAGCTTCTAGCAAAGTTACCCAATTGACCAAACCAGTCAGATTTGTTAGCACGTCAATGCCTGCTAGCTTTCTGTTACACGCTTATACAATACAGCCTATTGATTGGTTGCATATTTCTCTTCTGATTTACTGGGCATCCAAGGGCTTTTCGACTCTTTACAATCACCTGCTTCTTAAAACATAATCTACTACGCTCATACCCGTTGAGACATTGCAAAAAACGAGAATAGATGAGGATACTCCCATCGAAATCCTCAACCGCGTGGATGTCAGGCATTCCGCCTTTCTCAGCGCTTGGTGCGTTTGGCAAAATGGAGATACTAAAGACACTCTCTCCATCTGGAATCTTGACTATGGCCGCTGGGTGGAAGTACTGGTCGAACAGTACGATTTTCACCCGGACAAGCAGCTGATAGGATTCTCCTTTGAACGGGATGGATGCATTCTCAATGGATATGTGTTCTGTCGCACGCAGTGGCTCTGTGCCATCCAAGCGATGCTGGCATCTGATCAAACAGTTAGGTTTGATATTATTGCCAAAACAGGTAGGTTATTCTGTACATGGTCATGAAATTACTTGATTACAAAATGGTGACTTATTTCTACTAAAGACTACGAAGCGTAACCCGGCCTAACTGTGGAGCATTAGTGAATTTTTGAATATTTTGGGATATCGTCAATTGCACTGGGACCGCCTGGAAGTGGACAGTGATCAGAGGAGGACGCGGATCACAAAGCTTTGGAGGGACTTGAGATGTCTTATGGAAATAATACTAGGAATCACATAATGAAGTACATGGTGTTCCCTCACGTGCTCTCCTGTAACCCTACCGCCATATCAGTATCATCTTTAAGATCACAACATGCCTATTAACAATGCTATGCTCATTTTACCAAACTTGTAATGTTACATGGACAGCGTTACCCCAGAATTGTATGGAAGGATGATAATATTCACTGGTGGGATCACCTTTGTTAGTTAGGCAACGATCAACGCACATTTTACCCAACAAAGCGTTTCTTCTGCCTACGTCTATCTTCCTTTCTCCATCTTCGTCCATCCATCGTACCATATCTTTCATCGTTGAAGAGAATCCGCGTCTCGAGGTCTCAATGATTCCTTGACTCCAAATAGACATCCCCAAATGAATCAGGCCCTGACTGCTCGTATATGGGGTATTTTACGGAAATCCATCGGCACCAGCAACACTAGCTCCCTGCACCTGGCTGCGATAGATTTGGATTCAGTCTATACGGAATACGCGACCAGACCCCGACCTGTGAGCCGTCACTAATTCATTCAGCATGTCTGGGATACATTCATGCGTCTTGCAGGGCAGTTAGATCGCAATGGTGATGGACACCGAGAGCTATCTAGCATAACCCGATGGCTAGGAGAGCTCCCTTACAGGCCAATCCCAGGAAAGAAACGAGCGGGGTGAGCCATACATCCCACTGAACTTCCAAGGTTAGTTTATCATTCAGCTATTCGTTTGCAAATGGAAGATCTGCCATGAATATAGCAGTACGAACCTCCCCAGGGCTCTCGAGTGGTGATGCGGAATTCCAACGATACCTAAATGTACACACGTTCGCTGCGCTACTCACCAAGCTTCGTCGCATACGTTCTCCCGCAGCAGGCTAGATTGGCTATAACAGGTTCGAAAGGAGTGATGTTTCAAAAAGAGGACGGCGGACCAGAATTTGCCTCTAATAATCCTCTTGATATTGAGCACCTTGACATGACATGAAGACTGCAACTGTAGCCATCTAGATTACGTACGCATGTAATAACATAACGTAGTGAGTTATTCGGAAATGAGCGGGTCACGAACCGAGCGGGTCAGCCCAAGAGTCAATTTTAATCAAAGGGTCCCATGTGGGGCTGCTGACTGGATAACTTCAACGACTTTGGCAAGTTCAGAGCCGTTTGTCATATCGACCTAGTCCATAATAAATAAAGATAGTATTGCAATGTACTCTCATTCAACGACAGTTATCACTAAGTCGACCTCGGCTTCGGTTGCGGAGAATGCCTGTGCTGCTTGCAGAGAGCAGAAGAGGGGATGTGACAAGATTTTGCCATCATGCGGCCGGTGCACCAGGTAATGCAATGCACCTTTGACTACAGATCTTTTTGTCTTGCGACGCCACTGAGATTGGGAACAAGGCAGAATCGTTCATGCAATTATCTCTGGCATACCGCCTCTGACGTATCTCCGTCCGAAGGGCTGACCTTTTTGTTGCGGTTGGAGTTGGACAATCCCAAAGCGCCTAGTCTTAATATCGATCTATTGTATGTTAATATGCTGCACCAAGCCCAGGAAGAACACAGTTCAATTTTTACTCGGGTTCTGGACGAATACTTTTCCCACATCCAGCCATGGTTACCGGTTGTCATGGAGCGGCCGTTTATGGAAAGTCTTGAGAAGCTAGGCCATCAACCTCGTGCAGAGACTGCCCTGCTTGCTCTCGCCATACTCCTTGTCGTGCAGGGAGGCTTACCTGATAGAGCTACAAATCCATCACATCGAAATTACACCCTGTGCAAGGAACTTTACGCCGTCCTTCAGCTAAGGCGCGCGCCTTCGTTACAACTGGTCCAGAGTGGTCTTCTAGTAGCCTTATATGAGACTGGGCAATCATCCCCTGGAGCGGCCTCATTGACTATCGCAAGCTGTGCGAGGTTAGGCTACTTAATGAAACTCAATATAGATGATGGGAGTAACCACGAAGATTACCTGTCCTGGGAAGCTGCTGAGGAACGAAGACGGGTGTGGACTGGGATCTATATGCTGGACCGGTATCAGTGTCTCACGAGTAACTGCAATCTTCGAAGGGGCTGACTCTTATCTTTGATACAGCGTCATATACCAGGTAGTAACCGAATTCAAAGCGCCTCATGTATCAGAAGACTTGGCGGATCACTTCCGACTGCCTGTAGGTGATGCATGTTTGAGAACAGACAAAAGTGAAGCAACCCAGGCTCCCTCCCACCAGCCGATGTCCGTGCCAGTCGATGTTCCCCTTTGCTACTATGCCCGGGAGATCCAGGCCGTCCGTCTTCTCGGTGAAGTACAGCTACTACAAAGACACGTCGACGTCAATTCGCTGCCGGAGAAATTCCAATCTTTGGATCACCGACTAATGCAGTTCGCGGAAAGGTTGTTTGAGCAGACGCCTCAGGGGTGGGCAACCTTATGCGGAGCTAATGCGATCACCTTAACGTGAGATACCTACCCGTACCAATCTAGGACCAATAGTAATGAACGATAGGGCTGCGCTGACCCTTCATCGAATTCGAATTGATTGTGCGGAGAAGTTCCAAACCTTTGGGACATCTGATGATGCAAAAGCGTCGCTCCTCGCCTTGACGTCGTTTATTAACATGGTCCGCGATATATGCAATAAGTTTAATATGCTTAGTGCACCGGAGAAAATTCCATCTGCACCGCTGCCTGCTGTTATGTGCACGGGGGAAGCTGTCCTTGCTGGGATTAGGATGAAAGAACTACTCGGGGAGCAGTTTCAGCTAGACTATGAGCCATTCCGACTGACACTGCTTTACGCGAGGAAATCGTGGAAATTGGCTGGTATGTGTAGCACCTTGTCTACCATACATTCTGGATGCTAACTCCCTCAGATCAATATCTGCAGCGAGTGGGATAACGGTTTAATTTTGCTCGTGGCTCAAATACCTGTGCTCGTATCTCTCGTAGCCAATGGCTCTGTAGGGGATGTTAAAATTGATTAACAATACCAATAACAATACCTGTCCTCAATCTTCCTCAAATTGTCTCACTAAAAGCATTGTTCATCTGTGCCACTATTGATCGGACTTCCGATCGAGCATCATTCAGAAGTTGCTTAACAGTCGTCACCTCCTTGATGGACCCGATTCCAGTGCCTCTATTTGCCTTGTGAGTAGAGCTCCAGATATTTGTGGATAAAGACACTCACGCCCATATAATGGTTCTATCATCTTCTCCCTTTTCCATAGCCTCGCTATGTCGTTTGAGGATTTCTTCATCTGTAACGCCGCTCTGAAAGTCCTCGTAGCTGCGACCGATGATGGCCCTGCCATCATATTGCCTAGGCCAGAAGTCGGTCGAATTGAACACATCATGCTTCCGTGATTTAATTGTCGTTGAGGTTCCGTCAGTAGTGGAAATGATCTTTTGTTTTGCGACATCCGGACCTGCGCATTCAACGGTAGCAATAAACTGAGAGGGCGAATGTGTTAGTATCCAGACAGCCTAGGAAGTGAAGACCACGAATTACTCTCGTTCCCATAACGATTCCATCCGCACCTTGCGTAAACGAACATCATTAGCACGCCCCATATGCTTGCTATATATCATAACCCCAACCCCCCAACCCCCCCCCCGCGCGAAGACAAATGAAGCTCACCTAACGCCATAGCCGCAACCATCCCCCTCGCATCAACAATACCACCCGCAGCCAACAAACGAACCTCCTCCGTCTTATCCAACTCGTGAAGTAGCCCCTTCACCTCCGGAATGAGCGAAATCAGACTCGCCCCCTGCGCCCACTGATGCCCACCCGCATCCGACCCCTGAACGACCAGTACATCCGCCCCATAGTTGATCGCCTCCCTCGCAGCCTGGACCGTCCCAACCTGCACGAACACTTTCACATCCCAGTTCTCCTTCTCTCGGAGCTGATGAACAGCCGTGATGATAGGCTCATGGTCGGATCCATTCTTCGGAAACGAAAGCCAGATCCCAGTTACCCGAGCGGCGCATAGAATCGGAAGTACATTGTCGACTAGGCCTTCTAGCTAGAGCAGGAGACAACCTACACCTATGGGGAGCTTTTCATCGGGGCTTGCGATCCTAAGAAGTGATCGAGCTGTGCTGAGCTCCGCTTGCAGTTGTTCGAGCTGTGGAGACCCCGTTCTGAAATCGGTGCCGCCAGCTATGAACCCTATACTCGAGTTTGTGAGTTCCTGGTCTTGCTCAACTAAAGGAATGGGGTTTTTATAGGGTTATATGTACCATAGCCCCCGGCAGATGAAACGGCGCTTGCTAGACGGCTGTACGCATAGCCGTGCATGGGCCCGTTGGCGATGTATGGGGATTTCGTGTTTGGGAAGATTTGTTGCATGCTTGTCGTCTATCTTCTCGATTGATTTATGTTTGTGTGAAAATAGCGAAGTAAGAAGAGGGGCAAGCAGGTGTGGCCGGGTTTAATACTACTTACTTACTGTCTCTGGCGCTTACAGATACTCTTGTTTTGGCTGGAAATGGTTTCTGTATTGTCTGCCAATCAAATCTCGTGGTAGAAGTTGCGGCCGCTAGTGTGTGACCGGATATAACCAAAATTACCGTCTACCGATTCATAGCGTCAAGCCTCAGTCAAGGATCGGCCGCTAGGGCGAAGCCTCCCAAGGATCCTGACACACGAAGATTCATTCCCATTCGTCCACCTAAAAATGTCCGGACACCATAGACGTGTCTATACGGTAATTTATAGGTGAAACTTCAGGTTGACAAATCCAAAATCTTTCGTATCCATGGGGCCGTCGGCCGCTAGCGTCTTGTTCAGCTGCTGATGGCTAAGAATTCAATTGATAAGAATGTAGATTTTACCTACGAAGTATAAAAGAGGACCAAAGAATGAGTTTTCATTTCACAATACCAACCACCTCCTACCTAATAAGAACGTCTACCTCTCTTTTTTGCTTTTGCTTCTCCTTCTTAATATATCTATCCCATACATTCATCATGGATCCAGTCTCTGCAAGAACACTCTTGTTGATAGGCTCTGGTCCTGGAATAGGTGTGGCTGTGGCATCCTTGTTTGCCCAAAAGCACTTTGATCATATTGCCCTCTTTGCCCGGAACCCATCTCAGTTGGAAGCAGATCAAGAGACGATTCTATCTTCTGCTGCAGAGGTTGGTCGTCAAGTCCATGTTCGGACATGGAAAGTGGACATCAGCGATCTGGAACAACTCAAGGCGGCTTTAACAGAAGTCCAATCCTTTGGGACACTGGAATGTGTCTATTTCAACGCGGCTCGCGTTGGTGGAAGCAAGCTCTTTGATTTCCCTGTTGAAGAGATTGAGCTTGATCTGAAGGTAAGTTTGGATATATGTTCATAATAGGGGTATTCTCCAATGATTGATTTGATCTGCTCTCTAGGTCTCGGTGACTGCCCTCTATGTTGCTGTTCAATGGGCAATGCCAATCCTGGCTAATACAATGCAAACGAACCCGGGAATCGGCATCAAGCCGACGATTCTAGTGACAAATAGTCTTTTACCTGTGGATCCAATCCCTGAATTATTTTCTTTGTCGGTGGCCAAGGCTGCACAGGCAAATTTGGTCAAGTCGTTGCAGAAGTCTCTTTCGAAGGGAGGTATTCGTGTAGGAATGGTTATTGTGGGAGGGATTGTATCACCGGACTCGAATTTCTTAAATCCTACCACAATTGCTGGACAAGCTTGGGAACTGTTCAACCAAGATGGAGCCGATTGGAAAGATCAAGTGAGTATCCTAGAGGATCGAGTTGATTGGTGTCCATGCCTGTGAATATACCATCCTATACTTCCTAGGATTCATGGTGCATTTTGGAGGAATCATAGTGAAATTTGAGAAGAAATACAGAATCATTAATGCATATCGTACAAGCCATACAAGCACATAAATATCTAATCTGACCTCGTCAGCACAGTCGCAAGTAATCGTAACCATATAGACACATTCCGTTAGCCCATGCAGTAAGACGAGATTACCAGCCGCCTCCATGATGTCCTCCCCCTCCGTGATGTCCACCGCTGTGATGCCCACCAAAGCCTCCACCATGATGATGTCCTCCATGGTGTCCTCCGCCCAAGCCACCAAACCCCCCTCCATGATGCCCACCTCCAAACCCAGATCCCATGCCCCCATGATGACCATGATGGCCATGACCACCCATTCCCATACCAAGTCCACCACCACCATGATGATGATTATGATGATGATGGTGATGATGTCCTCCTCCACCAAATCCTCCAGGCCCCGTGCCAAAGCCTCCTCCCATTCCAGTGCCAGGACCGAACTCGTGTTTTCGCGGGGGTGGATATCCGCCTGCGCCCATTCCCGTGCCGGGGTTCATATGATGACGGCGATTACTACCGCCGTGAGAGGAGAAGCAGGAGCCCATGTTGTTCTTGAGTTATGTTTTCTTTGGTCTGTTTGGTATGAGGTGCTAATGTCGGGCAGTGGTTCATAAACGTGTTTCAATGAACGTAGATTGTATGTCAAAGTATATCAATCTATCGATTTATAAATATAAGGCTGAAATTAGTGCACATCCATATAAATATATCCTCCGGTACCTTTTCCACCCTTCCTCTCTAAAAGAAAATCTCATGTATACGTACGCCATGACGTCATGCACCCATCCACCAATGAAGAATACGTACAACCCTCACTCCCAAGAGAATATCCAAGGAAAAAAGTCTAGAGAAAAAATAAAAGTAAAAAGGATTTTATGAATGACATAATCCATTTACAAGATTCCCCTGAACCACTGGAACAGGAATTACTAGTAATGATACTTGAACTCCACTTCCGCGTCACCTGTCCTGACTCTCCGCGTATCCTCTTTCCCGTCGATGATCCTCTCCTTCTCTGCGTTCTCTCTCTTCAGGTACATCGCATGCACAAAGACCACAATCTGGGCTACGCATAGAGACCCTAAGGAAAATGAGTTACCCAAGACATAGGGTGATTTGCGGTAGATTTGTCCGGCGACGATTCCGGCGCAGTTTCCGATGGTCTGTTGGACGCCGACTGCTAGGGCTCGACGGTATTGGGGGGCGAAGTTGACGTTCAGCCAGGCCACATTCAGTCCAACGCCCGTGTAGCAGGCAATTGCGCAGAGATAGGTGGCGAAATATTTGACCGGGTCGTTGGATACGGCTAGGAGGAGGATGTAGCCGATTATACCAAAGATGTTGGCGACTAGAATGTACTGTTTTCGCATGTTAGTATGTTCTTCAGCACGTTTGCCACCAGGTTGTTGGTCTAGAGAGGGAGGAAGAAGGACAAGACTTACAGAGGCAAAGCGCGAAAACCGATCTGCACAATACGCAACCGCAATAAATACCATTGCGGCCCAGATATACACCGGCACGGTCAACACATTGCTCATCAATGAGTTATACCCGATACCCTGCAGGATTGTTGGCAGGAAGGTGCTGAATCCGTAGAGCAGAATGTCCTGACAGAACTGCGTGACTGCGCTGAACGCCAATTTGGGATCGCGCAGTGCGGTCCACATCTCCTCCCAGCTGAACTTGTCGCTGCCCATGTATTTGCGGCGTTGTTCGTTACGCACGCGCATCATCCATTTCTCTTCCGCAGTCAGGAAGTACGACTCTGCTGGGTCGTTGGGGAGGCCGAACCAGATGAGGACGGCGCAGACCATGCTGAAGAGGCCTTCGATGATGTAGACCCATCTAGTTCATGTCTTAGTTAATTATCCGATGTAAAAGGAAAGGGGACAACTACCTCCATCCGGCTTTTCCTCCTAGCCCGTCCATATGAAGCAGTGCGTATGCCAGTAAACCTCCCACGGCACCAGAAATGGCTGCACAGCTGAAAAGGTAGGAGACGCGCTTCGCCTGCTCTTCCCGTCGGTAGACCATTGTCAGGTACAGATTCAGACACGGGAAAAGACCCGCCTCGCAGGCACCTAAAATCAACCGTGTCGCGTACAGCGCAGCAACGTTCTGTACGAACCCCGTAAAAATTGTCGCCAGAGACCAGACGATGCATAGTCCGGTTAGGATATTCCGAGGCGTAAGTTTCTTCATCAACACCGCCCATGGTGATTCTAGCAGCACATATGTCACGTAGAAAATGGACACGGCGGTCGAAAACTGAGTCTCGGAGGCCCCGATATCCTCAGGCATTCCTGCCACCTTGACATTGCCTGTGGCGAAGGTTAGCTCCCATTTCAAATCCCCAATGGAACATACGACATACCGATATTTGTACGATCTAAGAAGCACGACAAATATGTCACCATAATAATGGGAACGAACGCAATATCCAGCTTCATGAGAAGTTTCTTCTCCTTCTTCGGATCGAGCACGACGTCGTCCACATCGCCGAGGCCCGGCTCCTCTACGGAGGTTTTGCGATCATTTTTGCTCTCAACCGATATATCCTTTTGGTTTGTCGACATGGAAGGCGTCCAAATGAGCGGATCGTGTGAGTACTAAAACTGTTTCGTTCTCGAGTTGCTGCGGGAAATGGATGTAACTGCACTTCCACCCCAAAACCTCCAAAACCGAGTCGACAGGGAAGGGGAAAATCTGGGGTTAAAAAGAAACCCCGTGGATCTCGCTGATCCCTCCGTCACGATTACCTATCAAGATAGCGGCTGCATATCTTTTCCCTGAAGATACATAGTGTTTGGCTGGATGGCAGTCCCGTTATCTGAATAAGGTATCACTTGAGTAACAGAAATTCGGTCCAAGCCCGCGTCTCCGCTCGTAGAAACAGCCCGTTCGGGCCGAAGGGTCAAGATAAGTGGTGGACAGGGGTTTATCAGTTGGTTCCCCTACTAAAATCTCATTCGCTCATTGGGTGGTCCGCCTGATAAAACCCCAGATATCGGTGAGTGGGCCCCGAGGGTGGATATGGGGAAAACGAGTGGGTTGACTCGGTGTATACAGAGTAGGAAATACTACAGTACCTAGGGCTTGGCTCCTTGCTTGATAGTCATTAACACTCCGTCATGGCGGAAAATAAGCTATTCTCATTCCGCGGGGAAAGTCATATAACTCTAATGTAGAACACCAAGTACTCAAAACAAGACAACCATAATACTATGGTAGCGATGGACCCCACGCTATGCCAAACAGCCCACCAAGTCCGCCTCCTCGGCCGCCAAAACCATATAACCAACACCTCGGGCCTAGCCCCAGGATACCTACAAGCGAACCTTCTCGTTCTTCCCTCGCGACACGCCGAGGATTTCCACAATCTGTGTCTCCGCAACCCGGTCTCCTGTCCCTTACTTGGGCTCACCCAGAAGGGCAACCCCCACATCATTTACCCGTCAACCTGCATCAAAGACAAGGACTTCGATCTTCGTACCGACTGTCCCAAATACCGCGTTTATAAAGATGGCAAGTATATTGAAAGCCGTACCGATCTCATGAATCTTTGGACAGACGATTATGTCGGCTTTCTAATCGGATGCTCTTTTTCCTTTGAAGATGCCTTGTCTGACGCGGGGCTCAGACCAAGACACCAAGCCACGGGAACCATTGTTCCCATGTATAAAACACGGATTCCATTGTTAGCATCCGGGGTCTTCAAGAATGGAACCTGCATTGTTTCTATGAGACCCTATCGGATGGAAGATGTAGAGAGGGTTAGGGAGATCACAAGACCCTTCCTAGCCACGCATGGGGAGCCGGTTGACTGGGGATGGGATGCCCTCGAGCGGTTGGGGATTAGCGATATTGAGAAGCCGGATTTCGGGGAGAGACAGGTTTTTGAGGACGGGGAGGTTCCAGTTTTTTGGGTGGGTTTTTCCTTTCCAACTTTTACTCTATTATTCAGAGATTGACTTTGTTGATTGTTCATTAGGCCTGTGGTGTCACACCACAGATGGCAGTTGAGTCGGCAGGAGACCGAATCGAAGGTCTTGTATTCGCGCATGAGCCAGCCCATATGCTGATTACGGATTTTACTGTCAAAGACTTGGAGACATTGGGGAAGCCCCTTTATAACTGATCCGATAAACGTTTCATTCCCTTGTCCCTTCGTCTCCCTGTGTAACAGGCCTTCGGTATTACCAAGGCCAACAAGTGCTCCTAGATATGTTGGAATAAAACTGGAAAGCGTGAGCGGATACCGATATCAATGGGTGTTTCAGTAAAGGATAGATGAAATCATGATTAATAACGGTACCTTCAGACACAATGCGCTGTATTTCCGATATTCTGCCACAGCAGCGATGGAAAACTCCAGTTAACCTTGAAGTATATCCAGTACCAAGGCTGACGAGAAACGTATATAAGCACCTTTCGTCTCAACCGTCGGAGATTCTTCTCTTCTTATTCAGAGATACGGCCTAGCTAACACATACTGGATTTCAATCTCTCCATCTCGATCCTTCGAATATTTGCCCTCGTCTTCCTCATCCTACAAGATCCGGTCATCTCTAGCCAATCCCTAGCCATCAGCCATTCTAGGACGAGGTACAGTGGTCTTTCCGCTTCTCCATTTGCTGTACATCATGTCTGTACCTTCTTCTGAGGACACCAAAATCGCAAGGGGTGATTCGATTACCGTCGATAATGCTATAGATCCAGTCCGAAATGGTCGTACCGAGGCTGGTTATTTCTTTATGAATTATCAAGTAATGGACCCTAGCATTCCCATCCGGTCGCTGTCCTGGGACACGTGGACTACATTTCTGACCGGGCAATGCGCGTATTCCCCCACGGAGCATCTCCTAAAATGCACCATCGATGGGGAAGATCCCATTTATATTTTCCATGACATACAATGGAAATCTACTCTGTCGCGTCTGAAGAAACTTGGGAAAAAAGTCTTTTTCGAGATAGTCTCCAAGAAAGGTGAGAAATTTCATATTTCAGTTAATGCAAGCGGTTGGTTGTCGCGGATTGAGCTAATTACATTGATAGATACATACGCCGAGATGGGAATTGAACTCCCTGAGCCTGAACCGGCCGTGATCTCACCTCGCTCGCCTGTCTTCGGTGAACCTCATCACTGGCGACAACGGTTGAGCGGTATCTAGTTCCACGTTCATTGCATGGTCAACTTGCATTCAAGCTAGATATCTGGTGGGGATATTGCAGGCCAAGGTAACATGTTAGAAGTATCAAGGTCGTGGTGCTTTGTTAGTAATTCAGTGAGTATTTACTATGATTCAGATGTAACTATAAATTGAATTTCAGCCGATCGGTTTATCGTCCTGTATTGTATGATAGAAGACTAAATCAGAGAATCGACTCTCTATAGTATCTCTTCGTATAGACCCGTCTATATGAATTTCTCTATTTACCTTACAAGTCCATCCTTTATGAAATCATTTCTTATTCAAAATATCAAATAATGTCACACTTCACAAAATGAAACCAACAATGATGTTCATCATCCGTCTAGTGACAACATGCTATGAGAAGACCACACAGATCACGCTTAATTCTCGCAATAGTTAAGGCTTTTTATACACATCCTCAAAGGCAGGATGGCTAGAGCGATGACCAGGAGAGCAATATTTTTCTGTCTAAAACTACGGGAATCTATGATTTTAGATGAGAAAAATATTAGTCTGATGACTTAGGGTCAGAGTTATCCTCTTTTAATAGGTCATGTTGATTATATGGAATATGCTAGTAGCGAAGGTCTAACATGATGTATTTCAGATAAGATGCATTGGTTCGTTGGGTTCTGGGGCTTTTCGTAGGTTATTTCTGGGAAGCAGTGCTAGTATGATGTGGTTTTGTCGATTTCCTTTTGACAGAGCTGGAGGGTTCATTGTAGTCCACTACGGATAGACTTTGGTGGACTGATTATGTGGAAATAACTTTAGTTGTCTGTTTGATTATTGCCCGTATCACAGTAACTGATGGTATTAAAACGGGGTAAATAACCCCCCCTGTCAATTGCTATACTGACATCAAAAGCAATCCTTCATCAAGCTCGACAGCTCACCTCCAAAGTCAAATGTGTAACCATTCCCCATGCGAGCCCCATACTGCCACGGTTCCTCATACGTCTGCATACCTGTCCCCACTGACATGATCTGGTCTTCAATGTTGCCCACTGCTTCGAACCATTCCATCAGCTCCCGCGTCATCTGGGCTCCGTCCGGTGTTGTATGACTATGCGTACTAGGTGCCGGCACCTGCTCCATTGTGTCTACCATTGCACTACCACCGGCTGGCTCAATTGCGGACCGAGCTGTCTCGTCGGGCTGTTGGTGGGTTTGCAGCCCAAGTTGAGGTCCCAGTTTTCGAAGGCCCTTGATTGACTTCCACAACCGCCGGGATACATATGATCGCGGCGAGAAGCCTTTGACTAACTCCAAGGCCATGTAGAACTCCACTTTAGAGTGAGCACTGAATTGGGCGGGTGTCTGCGATACGGCGAGGAACAGAACGGCAAGGGCTGACACGAGAAACCAGTTGAATGTGACCTGCTGGAGGCGGTATATATCTGACGTTTCGTTGAGTTTCGTGATAAACTGGATAGTGTCTTTGGCAAGGTCAACGACTATTTGTGATTCTGCTGGATAACGCATTATATGAGTCGCGGAGTGTAGTACTGGTCGATAAATCAGCATCCGCAGCTGATTGGCGCGTAGGTAAAGCAAAGACCGTAGCCGACGAATACTCCGTGGATCTTGTTGCGCTTGATCGAATGGCTGGTCAAGACGCAAGGATTCAGGTATTGCCGCAGCCCATCGCATAACCTGCCAGTCTAAATAGTTCATCTCGTCCTTCTTGATTTCATTGGTGTTGTTGAAAGCTGATATAAACTTCCAGACCTTCGCCGCAATGCGACTATACCGAATCATCACCCGCAAGTAGGGGGTCTTTTCCTCGGGCTCTGGAAGCCATGGGTCAATATCTGTGTCTTCCAAGGCGAAAGGCATGCCTGTGCCGAAGCTCCAGCGCATATCCAGAACATATATGGACCAGAATAATCGTAGAATACGCTCCCTCCCTTCAGCTAGGATAGCCGGTTGTTGCAATGTTTCCCGTCGGTGAAGGCCTTTCTCCAGACACATACGTTCCACGATGCCGATCGTCCTCCAGGCAAGGGCTTCCTCATCCATTTGAAAATAGAATATCGACTATGTGATTATGTCAGGTTACGCAAGGAACAATAGTAAAGCAGGACTTACCACCAACGTCAGGAACATGATACCTCTAATGTCTGGAGGCCCCCATACACAATTGTCTGCCACCTCCTGTACATCCTCGAACAGCCTCATCGCGAGATCGCTGTTTCCGCTTGCCTCGGCCGTTATTGCACATGCAAGAACCAATCTGAGAATATGGACGTCGTAATTCTCCAGCTTCGTGTGACCGTGATGCTGTACAGAAGCTTCTGACCAGGCTTCTATTCCCACCTGACCATAAAGAATCTCGACCTGGTTGAGGAGCTGCTGCAGGTCCAAGACAGGGTACATAATACCCATCTCCTCCTCATACACCCTACACAATCGAAGAGCTTCGTCTTTTCCAATAGACCACAACGGGTCACCCCGTCGTGCATGCGACACCTGAGTCGGTGAGGGCGGTGATGGCATAGGCGACGGTTCCTGGGTCAGATCCCCATCCTCACCAGCATCATTGCGCTCGACGATCCCACGCCGCTGAAGACTCGATTTCGCAAGATCAAAACTAAACGCAGATGTCGTAGGACCTTGGAAGGTCAGCTCCCTCGCCGATGAGACCCGCCGAAACGGTCTCTGCGAGGAAATAGATGAACAGGTCTGGTCCGGTCGCGATAATGACGTCGGAACAGCCGCGCCGTGAGTCAGCGTATGAACGGCAGCCGTCAAAGCCGTAATCTGTTCCTGCATGGCTTTCATCTGCTCGCACAATTGATCGAACCCGCTAGTTTCCGTCAGCGTACCTTCTCTCCGCCCCACCGACCTGCTCTTACTTTTCATTTCCGCTAATTTCTTGTCGTTGTGCTTCAGCGTACACACATCCAACCCGCTGTCTTCCACATCTTTGGCATGGTGTCTCTCCATTACACTTGATTTTTCGACGCTTGCACTCGTTACTGTGGTTCGCGATTTCAGCAAGACCTTCAGCTGTTCACAACCCCGGCAAGGATTAACGTGACCCACCATGCTTTTGCGATGTATTTCCGTCTTTTCCGCGGACGAGGGTCGTTTGACTCCGCTTCGTTGTCTATCGTACGGCTATGCCCGTTGTCTACGATGTGGATTGTGTCATGATCCTCCGGGGCAGACATCTTGAACAAGACCTGGTAAGAACGGTGAGAAAAGAAAAACGCCGGTGGTTGTTTTTGTTGTTGGGCCCAAGTCGCTAATGCGGGGGTTCGGCAGCCGAGGTTGGACTAAAGCCCGAGGCGGTTAGGCGGCGACGATCCACTCGGCAGTTATCCACTTCCTTGAATGGTTCGTCGTCCCGCTAAAATCTTAGCTTGTAATTCATGTCTGCTCTCGGTCTGTATTGGATATGTTATTCATTTGATTCATTTGATTCATTTGAGGGTGCCTGCACATTCATACTCCTATGTATATTTTCATTCTAAGCATGCAAATATCATTGCCAACGCAATGCTAATTCTAAACGGGCAGAAATAGAAAAATAGAAGACTACAGATCCTTCGTCCGTTCATCGCTCTCCACGATCCATTGTTGAAGCTTGGGAGCATCCCGCGGCTTGAAACCAACCTTGAATGGTTTTGGCTCTGTGGTCAGGGCCGTGGGAATCGCATTGCACTCGATCGCATCCAGGATCGGGCGATCTGCCGGGTTCTGCGCTGGATGCATTGTGAAAGCAGTGATCAGTCGGACGTATGCCGTGAAAAGCTCGCGATTAGCAAGGTGGGATCCCGCACACATCCGTGAGCCGGCCCCATATCCGTAGTGTGGGGTACCAGAGCCTTCAGAGACTTCGAGATATCGCTCAGGGATGAATTTTTCCGGCATCTTGAAATGGTCCTCGTCGTAGTCGGCAGCCCAGGCGTTCTGTACATCAATGAGTATGGTTCCTGGAGCACAGGCCAGAGAGAAGGAAGTATCTTACCATGAAGAAGGTCGTGCCAGCCGGAATCTTTGCCCCGTTAAACTCTATTTCCTTGATGTTTACGCGTGGCAGGCAAATCGGGATGACAGTCCAGAATCGCAGAGTTTCCTTAACCAAGGCCGACACATATGGAACCTTCTCCTCAACCAAGCACTTTTCCCATGCATCGCCATCCGGGTAGACTTTCATGATCTCGTCATAGGCCTTCTGCTGAATCCGCTGACCGTCCTCAGAAGCCAGATATGCAATGCCCATGATCAGATTACCGGGAACAGTATCCAGACCAGCCGAAACCATCGTCAAGCAAATAGACTTCACCTCCGCTGTTACGCCATTCCGTCAGTGGCGAACTCTAATAATCAGACTAGAATCACTCTTACCCTCATTAAGCTTTGCTTCCGGGTCCTTCAAGATATTTCCAGTAATACACGGCGTGTCCGTTCCCTTAGCAATTCTGTCCTTGAGAATATCCAACAAATACGTCAAGTACTTATCCCGACGGACACGGAATTCCTCAGCCTCGCGGTTCATTTTAGGCAAAATCCGGAGTAACGGAATATAATCCTGCCAGTTATTGCTCGTACTGCGGAAGTTCGACACTCCACGTTCGACATCGACAATTTCCTTGAGTAGCTCATCATCAACATTTCCCGCGATCCGGAACCCGTAGTTCAGCGTAAGACTGGTATTAAGCGCAAACCGCTGGAAATAAGCAGTAGGGTTCACATCCACCGTTCCATTCTGGCTATCCTTGAACAGTTCCTTAATACTAGCGGTGGCTTCCAAGTCAATGATCGGCATGTACGACTGCACCGCGGGGCGATTCAGCGCCGTCGCAGCCGCCTTGCGCCGTCTCTTGCAGGATTCATCCCAGGGGGATGTACCAATAGTAAATCCCTGCGAGCTAGAAACGACGCTATGGAAAGTGTGGAATGTCGGGCGAGAAATGAGCGCGGATTGGTCCTTAATCCAGAGCTGGCGCACGGAGTCGAAACTGTTGGCAAACACCACGCGCTAAAACAGCGGTCAAGTTAGCTTCGGCCCCCCTCACATCAGCCTCCGAAAGAAATGTCAATGCGCACCTTGTTCCCCATGCGCACTTGGAACACCGGTCCGAACTTCTTCGCCCATTTTCCCGCGACCGTCGCGTGCTGGTCACCGAGTTGTAAAAGATTTCCGAAGAGAGGAACGCCGGGAATCTCTGGGATGCCTTTGATCTTTGGGACATCGGTGCGGTTCAAGTAGCGGATGATAAAGTACACCACCGCGATAGCGGCGATCGCGATCGTTTGTAATGACATCTCTGAGAACGTCTAAAGTAAAGGAGAGAAAACAGTCGCTACCGAAGGAAAAATCTCATAGCAGCTAGGGTGGCATGCGACGCGCCGGGGTTTTATACCTAACATCTCGTTTGAGCATCAAGTCTCCGCAGGGGTCATTACGTCTGTTGCACGGGACCTTTCCGACCGTGGTTCAACGTCATGGTACTTGGATAGATTACCTCGTTCTTGATAGGATATGAGACTGTCGCCTACCATGCACAGGAGAGGGGCGGCCATCGTTACAACATCGCGAATCGGACACACCTCATTGGTTGTAACGCTATGACCGAGGGAAGAAACCCTGTAAGTATGTACCTCAGGCTTCGGATCGGGCATTGCGGCATTCCATTCCGCGTCCGCCGGCTAAACACGGACGCGGAATATCGCGGCTTCACCTTCCGCTCGTCGCATTTGGTACAAATTTAACCCTACAGCTATGAATATTTATTGAAAGGAGGAAGATTGAGTGACAGGATTCATAGAGATAGAGATCTCGGGGAAAGCTACAAAACTACGGCTTCGAAGCTTTGCCAAGGCGGCCCCGGATTTCCCCAAATTACTGAATCGGATTTTCCGCTATATTTCCGCACAATGTTCTTATTTACTCTCAATTTTTGCAGGTATTTCCGTCTAAACATAAATTGTCGCAATTAATAATTTCACTATCTTGGATTATAGCCTAGGTTCACACTACTGGGAAACCCCGAATCCATACCTTTTATATCGGGGTCGGAAATGATTTCCTGCTCGCAGTGCGAAACACTGTTCTGCCGATCGATTAATGCAAGTCATTTGATCCAGGAACCTATAGTTTCTCTGTTATAGTCCACTCTCTCCTATCTCAAGATCACGAAGCCCTAATTCAGTCGGGTTGAGCCTGTGCGCCAATAACATTTCAAAAAAAAAAAAAAATAGCACAAATAGAACCAACTACAGCAAATTAACAAAGGGACCAAATGTAAGCTCAACAGACTAGTTAAGAATTTATTAGTGGTTGTACACTATTACTTTATATGCAATACCATTTCATTCAGCCTAAAAGCCTCTACTTTGCTAGTTCAATATTTTGTATTGCTTTCTCCGGAAATTATATATGATGTTGTATCCCATGGTGACAGCATCTGACCATTATAACTGACGAACTCTCGACCACACATTCTACTAAGTAGATACAGTGAGCAATTGCCAATTGCTTGCCACCACTAAGTGGAAACCCCGACATTAACATCATAGCCCAATCAATGAATTCTGCAATCGTTCCTCACCTGTAAATCCTACATATAGAATGTTTCCAGCGCTTTCCATATAGCAGGGTGAGCTATATAATTTGTGCGTCCGCAATTACAGCTGTTGAGCAGAAATTATGGTCTTTGCAAATGGTTCGATTCCATTTGTAGTAATAAAAGCGGTATTGCTACAGAGCTCTGAACAAGGGTTGATATTACATTATACGCTATACATTAGTTATATCCGCGGAAAATAGCAGCTTAGGGCATAGATACTTAATCTGAGATAGTGTTCATTGTGAATGGCCTCAGACGTGTCTAAAATAGGATTAGGGTTGGCCCTGAGAATGATTCCGCTACAACCTTATAGGACTAGCCGCAAGCTGCAACGTAGCATCACAGATTTTGACTGTTTTATAGGTATCCACGCAGCTTTCTTTGTCTGGCTATGGATCCCTGCAACACTAAAATAGTGTGTAATAGCTTGGTTACTAGGTAGCTAACCGTGTATAGTTTACCAGTGTTGGAGAGCATCGATAGGATCTAGGCGTGCTTGGCTACTAGAATGAGCCTAATTTTGACGCGGGTCAGAAAGATCTACAGCAGTATCATCTTGACAGGCGCAGCCCGCCATATTCACCACAGTAAACGCAATTCAAGTTTCTCCTCACCCCAATGGATTACATTCAACGTCAATGTGACAAGGACTTATAAGACCGAACACCATGTGCAGTCACAGACCGGATATTGCACGCCTTCTCAGGCCACGGACTCCGGATGCCGTATCACTATGTCTGCATGTTCCAATCATTGAAAGTGAACCTCATTCGTACTCAGGCAGTATAAACAACTGCTATGGACATTTTTGTATTTTAGCTGTGCGTCGTAGCCGGTGTTTTGGGGTAGTATGAGGGTTTACCCGTACGACATCTGGGTACATTTGTATGAAACAAGACCTATTGTGTTCTTTGTCAGAATTAAATAGAAACCTGGGTATTTTGATCTCTACTGTATCAAGCGACAGTATTCTAATTTACAGGAGATACCTCGTCGTATTTACAAAAGTCTTAAAGGAGGTACTTTAATATAATATACAGGTAAAGACCAGATACAAACGTATAACAAGGCGAAGTAAACCCAGATATAAAGCTTATTCGATACAAAAGAGGTTATATCTTCTAAGGATAGTATACTTAGTAATTATTCAAATGGTAGTATTACAATTGAGTATCTAAACTGTGATAGTCAAGTAGCTCATCAGTCATGCAGACCGACCCCTTGGTCAAGACTAGAAGTCTTCTCCAGCATTTGTGAAGAACTAAATGAGAATGAAGATGTAGAAAGACGAGGTAGAAATGAAACCATATCAACACAAACATTATAACTTGAAACGTGAAGATACTCGACAATTTCAGGGTCCGAATTCGAACGTATATCCACACATAAATAGATGGATGTAGGATGCGGAAAGGGGGATATGATTCATCAATTTATGGATGTCCGAACCATGAAAGTCTGCTTTACAAGCCGCTACGAACTAGGCAGCAAACGACGCCGACAGTCAGGTCTGCTTGGGGTAGAAAGTGCTCCTAGAGTTTCTCCTTCCAACTCCTTCAATAGCCGCCCCAAATCCTTCGTCTTCTCCATTTTATCGTCTAACCTCTTCCTCCAGTTCGACTCCACTGTAAATTTCTCCATCCAAATCGACCACTTCTGAATAGCGCCAATTGCATCCTCGGGGGCGACACGAAACCATTCTCTGTGTTTCCGCAAGCAGGCATCACAGTCAACTATTACCTGGTGCTCCCGCAGCTGCGCGTGGCACAAGGCCTCGACTACTTTAGGGTTTTTAATTTTGTTTTCTGTGTCCGTTGGCATAGGATAAAGCTCCATCGGCTTCCTGTTGCACATGAAGGCAATGTCTTTGAATCTTGTCTGGCTCGTGGAGCCCGTGTAACCGATCTTCACGAAGCCTGGATTTCCCTCGACTTCATATGCATAGACATATCCCTCCGGTGATCCTGATCTGGACTTCAACGCTGTCTGTGTACATTTGACAAAATTCGGACTACATCGATCGACAACCGTGAATGGGGAGGTGTCATACCCTGTATGCAAGACAGGTTATCGAGGTGCTTTCTTGGAGGCTTTAGCAAGTTTTTGTCACCTATCTGCTCAATATGTGCAAGGGCGGGGATGTCATCTCGAATAAGTTGCTTGGGAGAGGCATTCATAGCTGCGGCTGGGGCTGTTGATATTGACTGTGTTAGTTTGATAAGAGGGCGAATAGCCTGAATTTTAGCCATCCATTTTCTGACGCTCTCTGGCTTTTCCTTGTCTCTATGAAGAGGGCAGAAGACACATTGCCCTAGTACTTCAAGGTGCGTCTGAAGTCTCGTATCGTCGGAATATATATACGGCGCGGTTATCTTCTTCAGTATCTCTTGTACAATCTGGACATTCCGGCCTCCTATCTTACTATCGCGAGAATCATCGTCATGCCCATCCGCAAGACACTTGGTGCAGGCCTTAGGAACAACGTGCTTGATGCGCATGGTAGCTAACCAACTTCTTTGTTCAATACCGAGTCCTGTGGGGAAAGAATCCAACACTTCTGCAAGTCTAGAGCTGGTCTGCTTATGATGGTCCTTGCAAAGAGTGAGAGAAACCAGCTCATTCAATTTATTTTCCAGATATAGTGAATTCGCGGGCATATTCTCCATGGAAGAAATCAACTCATCGAGCCGAACCATCTGCGATCGCACGCCGTGTCTGCAAGGCTTATTCATCTTCGTTAGAGCACCACATCTTCCTTGGTGAACACCCAACTGATCTTTCAAAGATCCAAGTATTGAACTCCAATGCTGGTTTGCTCTATCTTTTCCATCATCCTCTAAGTTTTGTCCCTTCTGGGGACTTGCTGGAGGAGTTCTGGGCACGAGATCACTCCGAGCTAGCGAAGGGGGTTTTTCTTGACGCTCTTGTCGAACTCTCCTGGAGGTGGCCGGCGAAGTAGGTGGGGTGAGCAACGCGCCAGGATTCGCTTCTGGGCTTGAGAACCTCTGGGCCTGGTTTGCTTCAGCATACATGGTTGCGCTCGTCACTATGTTGCAAACGTTCCTGGTTGGTATATATTTTATAAACGGAAGATTGTCGTTTTTTCTGAAAGCACTGCGGACCTGGACAGAATGACAGAAACCTATTTCCATATATGTTTAAGGCTTCCTTTAGAACACATTGATTTGCTTGTGTTTTTTATGATTTATTTCCAGGTCAGGCGACGCATTGCAAGGCTGAGCCTCTGCGGGGTAGCTTTGCTGGCTGATTCCAGTCATTTTTTAACACTGCCTTCAAAAGCAAATTCTTACTGATTGGAATTAAAGGGAGACAATTGGTTCTCAAGTTGAGACAAACATGGGTTTAGGTTCCCATTCTGATTGACATCTCAATGCTAAAGACGGAGAGATAGCAAACAAGTTGCCGCTTTACTTGCAATTATTTGTTTCAACATATAATATACGGATCATTATTCATTAATTCTATAAACGTGAGGGCTTATATACAAGCTGAGCTTGGAATCCATTGGAAATCAGGACTGTCAAGATGCAAGACTTTTAGGCCATGTAAGGCTTCTCCTCCGTACTGAGGCGACTCGCCCGGCGCCCTGCATGCTGTGCGCGGTCAGCCTCCAGGGTCTGAGCAAATTTGCTGCTCGCGCGGATTTCAGGGCCCTTCCAATAGAATATATAGATAGGAATGGTCACTAGAATGGCCAGACAGGCGAGAATGGTACTCGCCCACTGCAGGTGGAACTTGCCACCAATGTTGCTGTACATTGGAGTCGCATACATGGCTGACAGCCCTGCAAGGAGATCACGAGCAAACCCGTTGCCTCCGGTGGCGGAAGCAGAGTACGGTCCGTATGCGGCAACCATGTAGTCGATGGTTGCCATGTAGATTCCGTAATTCGCAATGGCAATCAAGAAAACAAACACAAGGGGCACGATCCAGTGGGTATAGTCCGGACCCATTGATGTCCAGGCAAATCCAAACAGGCCGATCGTCTCCAGAGGTGCAATGAAGAGAAGGAGAAGCAGGCGACGTTCAGGTAACCGAGCTGTATTACCATGACTCTTTCTAATTTGACGCTGGCGCCAAATGTCGGGAAGGAAAATGCCATATGCGACAATATAGCCGATCACGATGGAGATGAAGCAGAGTCCAATCTGGAGAGGATTAAATCCCCATTGTTTGAACACGAGGTTGAAAGACTCAATGCAGGTGAAGATCAGAGCGTCAGAGAAACCAGAGAGCAGAGAAAGAAAGAGCACAATAGGTTCCCTCAGGAACATCTCAAAGGGTCGGCACCAGACACGCAAAACATCTTTAGCATCAAATCGGGGCTTCTTCAACTCGTTCGGTCCGTAAACATTCGGATCCTCACCCGTCTTGCGACGGCGCTTCGCTTCCCGGTCGATAAGAATAGTCGCGCGAGTCTCAGAGACAAAAAAGAAGTGGACCAATTGCGTAACTCCGCCAAAGATAAGCTGGATCCAAAAGTTCCACTCCCATTTCAGCCACTGCTGGATCATTCCACCGAAGATAGGACCGATTGTGGTACCACCGACAGAAGACAATACCACATAGGCAACCGCAAAACCTTGGTCATCAGGTTCCCACATGTCTGCAGTCATACCCAAGGTTACTGAGCCGCCCGCTGAGCTCAAGCCACCAAGGAAGCGGCAGACGATAATGGTGCCGAAGTTGGGAGCCAAAGCACAGGGGATCTGCCAAATGTTGACCAGGAACAAACTGAGCTGCATGATAGGCCATCGGCCGAGCTCTTCACTCCAGGGTGCCCACAGCTCACATCCAAACGCATAGGCCACCAAGAAGATCATCTGGCCAACTCGAGCGGCTTGCTCACTAACGTGAAAATGTTCCGACAGGGGCGTGACCGCATTTGGATACACACTGCTGTTAAAGTTCATGGACATTTGCACAGTGAAGATGACCGTAAGGATAGCCCACTTCTTATACCACGGAAAGCTGAATCCCAATTTGTCGTAGCAGTCATCTTCTGATAGTTCTCGCTTCCCATTCCCACGGAGCTTTTCATGCTCCTCACTACTGTTGTCCGACTGAGAGACATGTTCGGCATGAAAAGGTGCAGAAGGTTGGCGAGAAGGACTTGAGCTTTTGTCCTCTAAAGCTAAGCTATCTTTCTTATCCGAATACTTTTCAGGGTTTGGACCAAAATCCTTCTTTGAAAGGCCATTCGACGCCATGACTAGGAGATGGCTGTCGTTCCGGGTTGGATATATGCCACAAATCAGGTGTGTGGGCCTGTGGGGAAAGAGATACCTTACGGAGAAAGGTTCATGAATATGGTAAAAAGAGAAAACTAGGGTGGCTAATGAATTGCCAGTGGTTGTATGATGAAAAGATGAGGAATAACCCCAGGAACAAGGAAGTTACCAGACCTTTATATCAAAGGCTGGCGAGTAGTCCCGAATGGGTGGAATGATACGATGCATTAGGAAAGACATATTCCTCAACGTCATGGCACAATCCTCCGATAATCTCAGCGGCTACTTCATCGGCCATCCCCACACATACCCCCTTCGATCGGTTGGGTCCATCTGGCAGGGAACCACAATCTCCTCATACTCCACACCACGCTGCGGTCCCTTGCAATTCGTGCATAAACAATTTAGCCCTTCAATGGCAACCTGCAGCCTTTCCATACCACGGCAATTCCATGTGTTCTGTAAGGCTAATATCCTCCCTACATTGCTAGAAACATAGCATGGCAAGACCGGCATTTGCCACCATGGGATAACATCATGTCCGGAAATGACCGTCCATACACACGCGCATTGATTCGCTCTGGCGCCAGATGGCGGCTCAGCGCTTAACGGAATTTCCTAGAGTAGAAATCCGAGCGATTAAGGAGGACTGAGTCACGACTGCTAATTGGCCTACCGAACAGACCGCCTCAGGTTATGACGCAAGCACGAGGGCAAAGCCTGTTTGCATCCTCGATTTTATTCTTCTCACATAAGCTAAAGGTCTCTCTCACCGGGCGTTCCGACATGCTCAGGCAGACAGATATTCGATGAATGCTACCATGACATCACCTGGCCGTTCAATGCAACACGTTTAACCGATTTCTCCATGAAAAGATAACAATATCGTACACTACGGAAGGTCAAAGTATGAACGGCATAAACAACTCATAGTTGAACTTGCTTAGATCTTTGTTTACAGCGCCAACCCCTTACTTTCTCTAGTAGACTCTTGGGTCTAATCACAAGCTTTTCTTGTCCTGAGCCTGTTTATTTATTTTCTTATTACCGTTTTCCCAAGCCCAAATATATTCGCCAAGACTGATCCGATCCGAAGATTGTATCGGTCCCATGCGACTCGTCATACACTTCGGGTACTAGGGGGACCCCTTTACTCCGTCTGGAGACTCCAAAACGAGGGGACAGTGCCGAGAAAACCTATGCAACTGGACCCATCGCCGAGCCGAAGTTACTCGGACCGGCAAGATGAGTTCCGTGCAACTGTTTTTCCGGTTGCGGTAGTCGTGTACAGTATTCAGTCTATGCTACAAGTAGACATGTAGACTGTTGATGATATTTTTGGGAGTGATATTGTGTACCTTACACAGTCGCAGCTATGTAGGTTGAACACTGCCTGTCGGCACAGCGCAGTGCAAAAGGTGTATCATAGAGGCAAGTCATGACAAGTCGTGATAGCCGGCTCCACAAGGGGCCCAATCAGTCAAGGGGACTCAAGCCGTGTGAGGTCCGAATAAGAGACACAACAGACCCACAGGCCGGTACATCCCCACCCGACCCAGATCAGGTCTTTCGGGGAAGAGACTATACTTTCCGCCATACTGTGGCTTGAATGGCAGGTCACGAACAAGCTAGTATAGAAGTGCATTTGGAGGTGGCAGGGGCGTCGGTAGAGGACATAGAATGAGGTAGTGTTCCGAGTCAGTACATCAGCTGTCAAGCGAAAGAGACCAGTCACCGAGTGTTGCCTGATGCCAATCAATGCACCAATGTTCCTTGGTGCGCTCGGAGCATGCTACTCATAAAACTGATACTGGTAGAAAATCTTTAGTGGATAATGACCCATTCATCATTCATCTGACCAGGCAGTCATTTCGCTTGTCCGAGCTAATCGAATACTCTGAAGGGTTAGTCACGACGTTTGTGAGCAAATCGCTTAAATCAGTCAGTAAGGGTTTCCATCATTTATGGTATTACCCAATGGTAACTACATATTCACCTATGTCTATCAGCATGTTCTTCGCTGGGCCACTAATCGTCCCGAGGCTAGAGCAGAAGACCATGTGCAACGTGATAGAATTCTATGGAAAGACCCTCATTTGAAGCATTCATAGCATGAGGATATGCTACTTTGATGTGACTGTCTGTTGCTTCGGAAGTATGGCGCCCTGGTTGGAATGTTGCATTTCCCGGCAACACCGGGTTATCTGAAGTAACCTCGTCGTGACCATTCATAAGGTCGGCTTTTGAGCACAACAGATGTCTACACCATTGATAGAACATATTGCGTGCCGACCTTTTGTCTGGCCATTTTACTGGAATGCCGAGATTCAATTAACCTACAGTCGTTAGTCTATATCCTATCTTCCCCTAAGGGTTATTTCCATCTCTAGAATTCCGGGTATCTCATTCCACCAAGCCACAGCAAAGACACAGCCAACTCAAGGGAGGGTAAAATAGTGAACAAATCTTCTGTTACCTAGATTGTTCCAACTGTAGGCGCTACTGCCGATCAGCCACATACTTCGGTGAGGGCGCAGTACTTGAACAAATGCCCCTGCATGCCGTTCTTTACCGGCTGTTGAATGGGGAGAATGAGGAACGACTAGATACCTTAGCCACCGTTAGGTTTTTCTTTCTATCCTTGCGGAGTACTCTACCACAGTATACACATTTATTGTCGATAATTCTCTTGGGTAAGGTACTGTTGTGAGAACGCTTTCGGCCGAGATCGCTTGCTATCCCTGGTTAGGATTGGAATTTATTACAATAGAGAATCATGGACGGATTCGGTTATCCGGTCTAAAACATTTTCTTGGTTCCTTTAACTTCTAATGAAACTCTTGTAGATCGCAACCAGAGATCGACGCGGGAGATGTGCTCTAGAGCACGAACCTAAAGCTAACACCGAAGTACTCTGTAGTATGCCCGTCATTTAATGCTCATGCATCCCACATCGTTGAGCTCTTCACCTTCGACATCCTTCTAGGCTCCCTGTCTTCGATGATTGTTCGTGTATAGTTTATCGTTTTATATGTCTTATTCTTGGTTTTATTTCCTGGGGGTTTTGATTTTTCTTTTTTTTTTTTTTTTCCCCTCCATATTAGGTTTTCTTCAAAATAACCCTATTTACCAACTCCAAGATCTCCACTTTCAGTTCATACTTGGCATCTGATGTGTAATTGCCTACCAAGAAGCGAAGAAACAATTTACCCCTGGCCTTTTTGGTGAAGCTATTAAAGTTTCTGGCTAGAAGTGTCGCCCACACTGCGGGTTTAAGACCTTTTTACCAACTCTCTTCAACTAAGGTGTCCAGCACAATCATACAAATTAGGGTCAATAAACCCATGTATCTCAGCATATCAATAACTAGGTAACAAATATAGACTACTCATCCTATTCATTCAAATTACACTTGATCTGTATGAGATCCAAAGCTTGATACCCTATCTATGACAAAGTTCACATTTAAAGAAGCCCAAAACACCATCGTAATAATAACCCTTGCTTTCATTACTTCGAATACGCAGACAACATTTGACAAGTTCACTCGAAGTACCAGTACTCAACCATAAAGAGAGATAGATATCTGTGTATATTTTCTTAACGAAGTAGCTCCTCCACATCGCCCGCAAATAGTGGTTAGTATGCAATAAGCCAATAAACAGGCCATGCATCATTAATTCCATGCACGAACACCCCCTCGATCCACCTAATACGAGATCTCGACCCCATTAGTTTATGCTACTATTACCTGCAAACCCACCCAACCAGGTACTTACCAACAATGCTTGAATCCGAGCTCCTCATACATTCCCCTGACAAACACATTGCAACAGAGACTCCCAGTTAGTTTTATTAAATCAATAGATCCAGTACAGGCATGAATAATTTTGATTCATTCTTCTTTTCATCATGACTCATCAAATCTAACCCAACTCGTAGAAACACCCAGGACATAAAAACAATACACCACTCACTCGTAACATCATTCATCCCAAACCCACCCACCGCAAGTAACAACTCAACAAACCCATACCCATACCCATCACCACTCAAAGTTAACCCCCAACACTGAAGTTGAACTAGCCTCAGATCCCACACTTCCCCTCCCAGCACTTCTTCCACCAGAAGAAATCTTCCTCTTTCGAACCAAATCCCTCCTCTTATACGCCCGTCTCAAAAAGCTATCATCCAGTACTCTAGGCTGAACATACCTCGTACCCCCAATGAGCATACCCCCAGGAACAACATACATGCTTCCGTAACCAGACCCATAACTATAGTTATAATTATAATTATAGTGGGAGTGATGGGTATAGGTATAGTTATAATGTTGTTTATAGTTGACTTTGTATTCATACTCCCCACGCCCAGAGACAGAAACAGAAGCCAATATCCCCGGAATAGAACTGTATGGTACGCGTGACCGGAGGGCAGATAACAAGACAGCGTGTTCCAGACGTCGTTGGTGGAGTTTTGCGGCTTCGAGGGTTGTTTTGTGGGTTTCTGGTTCTGGTTCCCAAGGTGAGTTTGGGGTTTTGTTTGGTTGGGGGGTTGGTGTGATATGTTGTTGTTCTTTCGAGTGTATTTGAGGATTCATATCTTTTTTTTTTCTGTGGTATTTCAGTTGATTTGTATACTAAGTTCTTTGGATTCTAAGATATTGATGTCTGAATATTGACGTATAGATATTTGATGGGGGGTTAAGGCAGGGATTGCGGCATCGGGTTGTATTTATATGTATACGCAGTTGGGTTTTGAGCGGGGGGTTACATTGATATCTTTTTTTTTTCCTATTTTCTATCAATGTGTGTCAGAACAATATTGTCTTGTATTAGAATAATATCGAGTAAATGAACGCCTCATTGGTTGCGTCAGTGCTGTCGTTTGCAATTGATTAGTCTGATCGAATGGACATCTAGGGTTGTTTCAGATTGTTTCAGGTTGGGGGCATTCCCCCACTTTTTCTATGGTCTCGGTATGCTTATCAGCTGGTCAACGCTGCCCTTGGGTAGTATGTGGCGGGGCAATTGAGGGGTTTTATTAGATTGCGCTACATTGACTGAGCAGTTTACCTGCTGAATGGGCAATTGTGGGTTTAATATGTTTCATCAATTGGATCGTCTACTATACATACATGAATCATAGACATGCTTTCCTCCCGCGCGGCAAGAACAAATATTAACGAGTGTGAGAGAAGTCAAAGAAGGGGAAGGTTAGAAATAGGAGTAGAGTACATCGACAACCCTGGCTGCCGCTGCCCATATGGTAAATACATATGCCAAGTCAAAAAAAACAAAGCAAAAGGAGATTAGAGTATATGGCGACTCTATCGAGAAGGGTGCTGTGGCGTAAGTGACCCTGGGAGCGGCCCGGCATTTGACCCTTGACTGTAAACCCGATGGTGTCCTGGCGCCCCGTGAGGGCCAGGGACAACCTCACCCAAGGTCCCAGATACATGACCTCTGGCTTGGAGGGGATGGACGGCACCAACTGCTTGAGGCCC